GCCAGAAAAAAAAGAAAAAAAAGGAGCCACAAGTCGTTTAACATTATAAACCCAAAGTCGTTTACAAGTACTCTACTATTCGTGAAGTGCACAGCGCGCACCCCACTAGAGCATGGCAGAATCGCTCGCGATGATGCTAACTCATATGAACATAACTATCGATCACACTTCAGCAGCTATTCAAGTTGATTCATTTCGGACACTGCTATAAGCTGCCGTCACGTGACATAATATCGCGACAGAGGGGGACAAGATGATGTACGACAATCCTGCGGCTAAAGCCATTGAACTACCCCAATCGCAGGCTTTTAATACACTTTGAGAACTTCACTAAGCGAACCTCTTTCTCTTAAAATTGGCGCCTGCCTCATCTTTACCCTTTTTCAGGTTTCCGTTTTTGCTCATCGTTTAAATATAAGCTATCTAGTCATCAGGACCACTCTGTAGTCCCTCAAATCATCACAAATACCACGAATCGCAAAGATCAAATACCTCTGCTTCCCCTCTAAAAGCGATTTTAATTTCGTCTTTCAAAGTCTCAACTTCAGAATCCATGAATTCCTGTCACTGATTCCTACGAGCTTGAAGATCTAAACACTATAGGCCGCTAAACCTTTTTCATCTCTTCAGCAGCACCATATTTACTTTCACTACTTTGTCTGTCAAAGTATTCTACAGACGCTTGCTTCGTCGTTTCAACACCATTTCTCATCTAGCTACATCATATACCTATTTCCAACCACAACTTCGAAGTCATCAAATTTCCAAGTTTGAAGTAACGCTGCAACTCAGCCTGTGTCAATTTTATCTAGCACAACAGTTGACGCCCGTCAGCACTTCGGAAGACCGCTGGACTGTCACCTTTTGATCGGAATCATCTCATCAAGCTATACATTGTTTTAGTTGACTCACTATATTACATTCAAACCCTTTGAATAGAGACTCATTTGATCAAAACTCATCGAACAAACCGCTTCCTAAGCTTCAATAAAGCTATGTCAATCCACGCTCCAAGTTCCTCTTACTGCCATGAGCTTCGGCATGCCAGACACTCGTCTTTCAACGGCGGAATACCGCTTCACGCTTTTCATCGAGGTCGAGATGCTGAAAGACAGGCCACAGCCAAAGATGACTACACAGCCGCATATATGGGCAAATTTAGTGACTGCTTGTTCCACAGTCCTGAAAACTCATCCATTTCGAGACCTTTATCTTCCAAAAGCGATCTGTCCTTACATTCTGACGTAAACTCGGTTTTCGGATCCTCATCATCGCTGCCGGCTTTCACTAAGACTGGATCATTTCTTCGACGGAACTCACAGTCTGCAGTTGCCAAATGTGTCCAAAACAGGCTTGAAAAGGATAATGGGAAACGACTGGTTTATCAGTTCTTGAATGTGGAAGATGGCAGCGCAGAAAAGCCAGACGCACAAATATCACACACATCTCGACCTTCTATGTCATCATCGGCGTCCCAGGACGAATCGCTGTCGCAGTTGATCCTGTATGATTTGAAGGATGCGAATGGATTGCGCGAAGGCGCTTTTCGGGAAGATTTCAATTGTTCTGGTTCGCCCAGCTCGACCTGCACACCGAGCATAACTCTAGCCGGTGAACTCACAAAACTAGATAAAGGCGTTAGAAGTACGCTGGCAGAACTGATAGCCAAAGATCATGCTATGAACGAGGCTTCGGCAGATCTGGATTCGTTACAGATGGAAATACAGAGGATTCAACAAGAAATACTGGAAATTCAAACCCAAGTGACTGGCCACGACGTTAAGATACAATCTGCTTTCAGGATACAAGACGAAGACTCCTTCATTTCTAAATTCACTGCGAGTATCTCCTCTTACAGCAATCAGCTGGCTACATTTGAGAGATACATTGGCAAATGCAAGACGGAATTAATGGAACACAAGGCTGCCGTGCACAAGTTCGAGACAACCATCAAACTGAATGAGATGCTGAGAGATTCTCAAGATAGTATGTGTGTCGTGGATCGACTGCGAGAATACAAAGGCATCATCACAGACCTTTTGGCTTTGATTTTGATTATAACAGTGGCAGTGATGTTCAAAAAATTCTTGACCCATAAATGACTAAACGGAAAACCGCGAGAAAACTGCGCGTTATCGGAATCACTCATAAGGCACTAATTACCTCGAAACCAGCACCGCTATCGGTCTATAATGACTGTGTCAGTGTTAGTTCTGAGAAGCTGTGAAGCATGTGTCACCATAAACGAATTCCAACTTAAATGGACTATTGGCCTCTGGAGAACCTTAGTTGACAGAACTTGATATCATGAATGGCATAGATGATGTGTACCTCTAGCGCTCACACTTACTGAATTTACACCGTCGATCGAAATGGCGCCGTGGTATGTGCCTTTCTGCGCTTTTTTCTAGATTAAAAAATGCTGTCTTTTTGACTAACAAGCTTCCTGCATAGTCTTTTTATGGCCCAAGTGGGTCCTGGCACAGTTCTTCCAATCAGAATCTTCATCAACCGCAAACAGTTTGCGAAAAACATTCAGGATTGTATGTGTAAACAACTCTTTCCCCAGTTAGTTTCAATGAATTTTGGTTACTAACAGTTTTGACCCCATCACATTACAGCGCAGACTTCGTTTGAAACCCCCATTTTGTCGAATAACTCAATAATAAGGTTGAAATCACCGCTGGTGAGACTATACTTGTCGAACACGGACGCTAGAAACTTGTGCAGCGAGATAAAAGACGAACTGCTGTTGATTCTGTACGAATTGGCAGCTCCGGAGATTCACGACAGCGTGATCGGGAAGTTGAAAATCGACAACCTTGTGGAGTTTAAAGACATCATAGACAAGTTCCCGTCGTTCAAGTCTGCTTTCCAATCAGACGCAGGTCGCTGTGGTATTCTCACACTCGAAAGAACATCCCGGTACCAATACAAAATGCGCTACGACAAAAACTGGACGATTGACATCTTTGTCACCGACATACGAAAACTCACACGCATCCGGGAGACGCTTTTGGCCCGTCTTTCACCGGGAATTGCGTTTCAGAGTTTTGGTGATCCCCGTTCTATGAAAATTCTCAAACGAACAAGACATGAAGTTCCTTCATCCAACCGGACTTCCACAACGGCACAAGCAGAACCCAATTTTCTTCAAGAAAGTGATGAAGAAGTCAGAATACCAGACGACACACCCGAAGTGTTGCTCAAGCCATCAAACTCACCGGAAATCGTTCAAGAAGAGAAGAAACCACAATTCATCTATAGGCACTCGCCAATGCTGAATCTCGGCAATTGCATTGATATTCATGTTTTGAGGAGGCCCAAGCGGATTCATAAGAATAGATGAGCGTGTTAAGGTGCCTTGGATGACAACTTTTACCCTTTTATCTACCCGTACATCTACCCGCTCCTCGACTTGGTCCTCTAGTCGGTCGAGATTTTTCATCGAAATTACTACCACCAACTATCAAGTCGATTATCAATGGGTCAAAAGCCAACATTTACCTTCAATTCCTCTGGAGTAGGCCAACTGGATCTGTTCTTCCTCAACTAATTCAACTAATCCGCTCATTCAAGTCATGAGCAGCAGTGCTGAAAGTATAGCCAAGAACGCCCGCCTCAGTGGTAATATTTTAAAGACAATTTCGAACGAAAACCGTTCTTCCCTCTTGCACAAGATTCATGACGGGTTGAAAGCGAATACAGCTTCTATCAAACAAGCGAACCAGGTGGACTTGCAGAATGCGCTGGAGAATAAGCTTGCAGATTCTCTTTACAAAAGATTAGACCTTTTCAAAGGCGATAAATTCGAGACCATGTTGGTTGGCATTAAAGATGTGGCAGCCCTCGATGATCCAGTGGGGAAAGTCAAGTTGGCACGAGAGCTCGACGAAGGTTTAAACCTGTATCAGGTCACCGCTCCAGTGGGTGCGCTTCTTGTAATTTTTGAATCAAGACCTGAAGTCATTGCCAATATCACTTCTCTGGCCATTAAGTCCGGTAACGCTGCCATTTTGAAAGGAGGCAAAGAATCCGTCAATACTTTTAGAGAAATTTCACGCATTATCAATGCGGTCATCTCAGAAAATGAGGGTACCTCCGGTATTCCTTCCGGTGTCATTCAGTTGATTGAAACTCGCCAAGACGTGTCAGATCTTTTGCAACAGGATCTATACATCGACCTAGTTGTTCCTCGTGGCTCTAATGCGCTTGTAAGACAAATCAAAGCCAGTACCAAAATTCCAGTTTTAGGCCATGCCGATGGTATATGCTCGATTTTCCTGGACAAGAACGCTGATCTGGAAAAGGCGAAACGTATCACCATAGATGCAAAGACCTCTTATCCAGCTGGATGTAACGCAATGGAAACGTTGTTGATAGATCCAGAGATGCCCCAATGGTGGCTGGTACTCCAAAATTTGACGAAGGTTGGAAATGTGAAGCTGCATGTTACAGCTGATGTGAAATCAGCTTACTTGTCTAAGCTTCAAGAGTCCGGAAATTTGACTGAGCAATTGCAAAACTCGGTTGTGGATGCCGATGAGTCTATCGATTTCGACAAGGAATTTCTGTCACTTGACTGTGCTGTAAAATTTGTTGACTCGACAGAACAAGCTGTTGTACACATCAATCTACACTCTTCTAAACACACCGATGCAATCATCACCGAAGACCAAGAAAACGCTGAATACTTCATGAAGGGCGTTGATTCTTCGGGCGTTTACTGGAATGCATCAACTAGATTCGCTGATGGTTTCAGATACGGTTTCGGTACTGAGGTCGGTATCTCGACAAGCAAAATTCACGCTCGTGGACCTGTTGGGTTGGATGGCCTTGTGAGCTACCAGTACCAGTTAAGAGGCAATGGTCAAATCGCAAGCGATTACATCGGGTCTGGTGGCAGCAGAGCATTCGTTCACAAGAATCTTGATGTATCGAAAGTACAAATATGAAGTTGAGTCAGAGACAATGTCACAATGATATATATTACAAAATTACGAATAAAACGATTTGTCCTCCTTCTTCTCGTTAACAATTTTAATCATGGAATGGATTCGCAGAAGCATCTTGCAACTCTCCATGGATACCTCTCTTTAACGTTGTGTCATACATTCTTATGACCTTATCCTGGCCACCAAATTCGCTTTGAGAAAATGCAAACCCTCGCTGCTTTTTCATTCTCTGAACTTGCCTAACCCTCCGTATAGCTTTCTGGAAGTGCTCGATGCGGGGTCTGTAGTCTCCAATGTTGTATTTCTGCATTTCTTGGACGACGTGATAACTTTCTGGGGTATATGTTCGTTTGTAGTATTTCCAGACAAAGTCTCTGAGTAGTGCAAAAAACGGCAGAACAATACACATCAGCCAGAAGGTTCCCGATCCATAGACGTGTGGCACGATGCCATAGTATTCCCGCGATACGTTTGCATGCGGAAATATGCTGGCGTAGATGGGGAAGAAAACCAGCCAAAAAGCTAAGGAACCTGGAATTGCAAACGCTGTGAACTTCGTCCACTGGTTAGTGACAAGCGCGGCTTTACCAATAACGATGATGATGCTGCATGTATAAATGGCGACGCCCCATGTCCAATGATCTGCGGTTTCTCCATGAGAGTTCAAAACGTTGCCAGGTCCATAAATCAAGTACGATCCCAAAAAGGTCACAGCTGAGTGGTAGAAACCATTGGCGACCCATCCCCAGAATATTGTCACTGAGAAAAATTGACCTTTTTGTCCCAGTTTGTATAGTTGTGGATAACGATCCAAGAGACGGCTACTGACAAATTGATCGAAAACTCCCATCACGAAAGGCGGCAATACTGTAAAAAACACATTGTAGAAGGTCATTGTCCAGGATTCCATGATTGACTGGCCTGAGTAGGCGTTAGCAAAAACATACCAGAATTGGGTCATGTAAAGTGCGATATTTTTGTAAAATGAATAAAGGATGGCTTGTGATATTCGTTGATAAGACCAAGATCCGTGCACTAGCAAGAGCTTTTTCACGAACTTGAACTGTCCAATTGCGAAGTCGGCAGAACGGGCGGCCTGCATACCTTCCATACCACTTATACCAACTCCAATGTGAGCAGCTTGGATCATACTGACATCATTCGCACCGTCACCGATGGCTAGCAAAAGTGAATTGGTTCTGCGCTTCACCATTTTTACCACGAGTGCCTTTTGAAGTGGAGAGACCCGGCAGCAGATAACCGCTTTACAAATCTTACCCACAGCGAGCAAGTACTCTTCAAGGTCGCTTTCTAAAGCAAAGCCCAGAGACTTACCGTCAATGACCAACGCCAGACTGTTAATTTCTTGTTGAGAGATCTGATGATCGCCTATGGCCTTCAATTTCTCCAAGAGGTTCCTTCTGGTGGCCTCCTTCGTATCCTCATTGACTATCAAAAGATTCATATCTTCACTCAGCAATCGACAGCTCATACCAATATTAATGGCCGTCTCTTGTCTATCCCCAGTTAAAACCCAGATCTTGATGCCTGCATCTTGCAACGTGTGTATAGTCTCAGGAACACCATCTTGCAGCTTGTCTTCAATCGCAGTAGCCCCTATGAGGAACAAATCTTTTTCAATCAACTCTGCTGTTTCATCCATTTTAGCAGCTCTATCATCAAGTGTGGTGGAAGCCTCATTATACAATGTCTTCCAATTCGCATATTCGGACTCAGATACAGTTCGCATCGCAAGGCACAGTGTTCGCAAACCTTGTGCCGCATAATCTTCTAGGTGACGGACCGTAGCTTCTACGTATGGGTTGTCATTTGCCCTTAGTCGTTCCAAGATAACTGTGTCTGCTCCTTTGCAAAACAATTTGATCTGGCCGTCAGGCATTCTGAATATACCACTCATACGTTTTCTGGTAGAATTGAACTCGCAGATGTCTAAAAGTTCATACACTTGCTCTGTTCCCGTACTTTCGATCACAATGGTAACACTGTTTGGCTTACGAATAATGAACTTATACCCAAGCATGGCGGCTCCCTCCACTAAAGCACCCTCATCAGGCGAAGCGGCCTGATACTTAATAGAACCGTCATCTTGAAATTCAGGTATAACCGTGTGACAAGTTGCAAGTAAGGTCAAAAAGCTGTTTATGACGTGGGATTCAGGATCATCGACCTCTCCAAGTGTCGTGGTCATATCTTCAAATTTTCTAAAACCAACCTCAATGCCGTCCTCTAATCTTGCACCACTCTCCTCTGGTATAGTTTCAATGTAGCACTTCCCGGCAATGGAACAAGACTTGAACTCCATGACGTTTCTAGTAAGTGTACCAGTTTTGTCACTGAAGATGTACTCAATTTGACCGAGCTCTTCGACCAATGAGGAAGTACGCACAACGGTAGGTGTATCCGTTTTTTCATCATAAAGGTCAAGATCGGAACTGATCATGTATGCTTGGTAGTATTTGATCATTTCAACAGTCACGAACAAGGAAATTGGAACCAGGTTTGAGAATAAGATCCAGTAAGTGAGGATGTCTTTGAAAAACAGTCCCACTTTGTTCGTACCCTCTAAGTATAGATAAGTCAAATGTTTAGCATCGCTGGTGACTTTGATAACATTACCTATCGAAGAAATCAAGGCCAAAACAATCAATACACCGAATAATGCAAGGATTTGCATATTTATCACTCGTTCCACAGCAGTTCTTTTGATCGGGGTGGCCGTGGCATTGCGCATGAGTTTGGTTTCATGGCCAGTGAAAACCACCAAGCCGTAAACCCAAGCCGTGTTTCTTAATGTGGCTCCTCTTAGAATCAATTGTTCTGGAGTTAAAGGAATGTCTTTCCCTTTTAAATTCAGAGTTCCTTCGTAAGTGTACAAGCTTGAGTTGGGCTGCTCGGAGACAACTTTACCAGTTATGGTAGCAAGCTGAGCAGCCTCAATGTTTTTCGATGTTTCAACCCGGGCCTGCTTTATTTTGAGGTTAGTTTCCCCGTCTAGGTTTGCGGTTTCAATATAGCAAAGGCCCTCGGGTTCCGAAGAGGATATCAGTATAATGTCTGCGGGTATAGCTTCTTCAGACTTAATCTTTATAATATCACCAACGGAAATGTTTACCCACTTGCTCGTAGTAAAGTCGTGTAGTTGTTCTGAGTATACCAGTGCTCCCGAGTCATTCAATTCTCTGTCTGAAGCGGCACGCTTCAAATCTTCAACACTTTCCTTGACTGCTGACACAATCAGGACAATTAATAATGTACCAATAGTAGTGTAACGATTGGTGGGTGTCACATTAGGGACTTGTTGTATTGCCGACGTGAATAGGAAGAAAAGGTTTGCATATTTGGAAAACTCCTGAAACAAAAACTTGGGTAGAAATGTCGCTAGGTTGTACTTTGTAGTGGATATGTGATTGTCGTTGAAACCGTGTGCAATATTCGCTTCGCGGTTGTTGAGATATATGATTCGCGGGGCACCAGCCTCGGCACCTTCTTCAGGTCGCCTAAGAATGTACCGATTAAAAAGAATCTTGATGTTGAACCTATTTCTCGACCGCGCATATCTGTCTTCTTGACCCAAGTCGTCATAGTTGTGCATTTCAAAACCCTGATATTCGTTGGACCCATTTTTACCGAAACTGAGACCACTTTTCAGTCTGCGGAACGCTCTTCCAAAACGAGAACTATTTTTTGCGGACAATTTCACGCTTCGTTGGTTTCGAAGCGATTGACTGTACGTTTCATCAACGAATGGATTTTCTACTACATCGTTTTCGATATTATCTCCATGCCTCAGTTCGGTGGATTCACGATTTAGATTCACGGTTTCTTGTGGCACAGCACCGTGTCGCAGATTGTTCAACAAGTCGAAATCCGAATCTACAATTTGAGATTCGAACGGATTGGTGTTATTACCGTTGGTACCACCATGACCATCAAAAGTGGGCGTAAATTCGTCATTCAAAAAATCAATGTCAAATAAGGTGTCTTCATTAGACCTTCGCCCGGTCTTATTCATAGCTAATGAATGAATTGGAGCGTTGGAAATGGAGCCCTGGGCTTGAAAGAAAAGGCGTTGAAAGATGGTAATTCAATTCTTGTACATATATATATGCCCGGAATATTCAATTTCTTAAGATCATTAGAGATCACGTGAAGCCACATGATCTTACATAATCAGAATTTTAAAATATTACATAAGCAAAATACACGTGAATGTCACATGCTTTAAAGATTATTATGTAAGCTAATCTGTCCTTTCAGACGTAGAGCTGAAGAACGCTACTAGTAGTGTGTATGATTTTGAATTAGATAGAATAAGCGGTACCAGGAGCACCAGTAGTATACATAACAGTGACTGAGTCTACCCAGTCAGTTTTTAATGAATGGTCGTGAGCGATAGGAAAAAATGAAAAAAAAAAAATGCTAGCGGGCCAGCTCTTGCTGTGCTGGTTGTGGGGTCTCTTCCTCGTACTCGATCTCGACTCTGGGACGTTTCTTTCTGGCAGCCGCAGCAGCAAGTTTTCTGCGTTTCTGGTTCTTAGTATCCTCGTCGTCGTCGTCGTTTTCGTCGCCACTGCTGCTACTTTCGTCATCCGAGCTATCGTCGTCCTGCGAAGCGTTTGGATCATCCAGCCACCTTTCAAGATCCTCCACTTCGACTAGATCTTCGTCGTCTCCTTCGTCTTCTACATATTCGATCTCGGCATCGCTCTCTTCCTCTTCTTCATCCTCGTATTCGTCTTCCAATTCGTCCTGATCGTCCTCCACGTGACCCAGCACTCTTTTCCAGATCTTTTCATCCACATTCAACGGTTTGTCGCCATATGCACCGCTCTTGAGTCTCTCCAAAAGCTCCTTTTCAATCGCCTTTTCAATCTTGGCCGCTCCAAGCGCCTTGCGCTCACGGTTTTCTTCTCTTCTCTTGACTTTGGGCGCGATCCCCACATAGTGTCTTTCTTCTTCTCTCAGCTCCATGCGCCTTTCAGTCACCGCCACTTGTGTCAGACGGGTCAGTCTCTGCTTACATTTGTGTATTAGAAACTTGTTCCAGTACAAAAGCTGATCATCCACTTGCTTCAGCGCCTTTGCATAGTTTTTGGAAAGCCTTATTCTCTCCCACATCTTGGCCGGTGTGTGAGCCCTTTCTGCCGTTTTCATATACAAGTACAGTCTTCCGTCCACATTCTTCACCGTTGCATATCTAGCATTGGCTAGAGGGCATGATTGTCGCGAACACAGCCCAGTGACATTGTATTCATTTCTGCAAAAGTTCTGACCTTTGTCGGTTTTCAGCTTGTAAGCGCAGAAGTGTTGGTTTATAACTTGCCAAATAATCTCGTCCGACATTCCTACGGCTCGTTCAAACTTTCAACCACGCTTTTTCGATGAGATCAATCAAGCTTTGAACACACTTGTCTTTAGGCGACTGATGCATTTAAAGCTCATCGCATCTCATCGCTTGCTGAAATTTATCAAAAATTTTTTCAACTTAGCCGGCGACGCTAAATTGACAGAGTGATGTGATGACATAAGCTGACGTAAGCTGCGTTGAGAATGCGTAGTGATGACAGATTCGACAATTGTGATAATTCTTTCAGCTTCAACCATTGTCCAACACAATTGAGTACACCAGTCTGTTCTTCAGCAGAATAGTATGGCGAAGGTTGACCTCAGCTTCAGGGTTGAGTTTAAGAAGCTTTCTTGTCCTTTTAGACTTGGAATTCAGTCGTTTCCACACGTGGAGACGCTGAAGTATCTCGCAATTGCGTGATTTCAGCCGGGGAAAGACAACTGATGTAAACACACTTGCTTAAAAGCTCATCGTTTGTTTGAATTTTGTAGAATTTGGACCATTGAGCCCTTTGAATGAAATTCTTGACTATTTGGACGTTGGTCTGAAACTTGCTGTAATTGAGAACTTCATTGACGGCGATCCAGTTCTTCTTTTCTGAGTTGAGTGTTAGGTCAGACAGATATACCACAATGAATGGTATGCAGCCTTTCAGAGGATCAATATTGTTGAGCAGCCCACGAATATTCTGATAATTCTTTTCCAGGGACGGGATGTTTTTCAGAGATTCCCATATGAGCACGTCGCCGGGTTCAATCAGCCTCCAGGCATCTCTGAAACTTTGCACCACGAGCGAGCTCAGACCGAGTATTACTTGCATCAATGTATTGTAGTTCTGAAAGCTTCTGCAATGGTCTGCTACATGTATGAAGCGTTGAATGGTGTTTCTTCTCAGCTTATTATCTGTTGTCAGCACAACCTCTGAAATGACCCAATCAACCGTTAGATTGAATCGTGCAATTGCCAGATCAACACCAGACAAATTGACATTTTGTAACAAAAGCTGCAGCCAGCTTGTAACGGATGGAAAGGTTCGACTGACTTTGAGATCCAAAAGCTCTTTCCAATCTATCTCGCTTAAGATTTCCCGTTCTATCAGCGTCAATTGTTCCGCAATTGACTTTGAGTCATACATCAATATGAAGGGCACATGTTGATCTGCGTTACTGATATCCAACCTACTGTCCTGTAAGGTATAACTGTTAAGAAGTTCTTGGATCTGGCTTTCAGTCACCTTATGACTGCTTTTGCCTTTTTGGATTTTAGCATGAGGTGTCATCGGAATTTCACTCTTTACCTGACGTCTCCTTTCGATTAGAAATGAGTTTCTGTTACCAAGGCCAAGCACAGAAAGTCGCTTTAATCTCATTTCCTGCATGTCGGCCTCTTCATCTTCTTTATTTTTATGAGCTAAGGAAAACGTTCCTTCTAGCTTCATGAGTGCAACGTTGACGGGATCACCATGCAGTGATTCATCAGTTAAATTGGCCAGGTTGTTTAGTCTGCTGTCCTCAGCCTTGTAAGGAGAAACAATGGGTGTGACAGTACGCCGGTGGTGCTCATGCTGATGTTTTTCTTTGTAGATATCATCTAACTCCTGTTCTTCATTTGGTCCGTTCTCTTCTTCTTTTCCTTCAATTATCGAAAGTCCATCATCGTTCATAGACAGTGTGTCGTTGCCCATAGGACTTATGAACTTGATTTTCAAATCGTCCACATTTTTTTCGGGTGATGCGTCGTCAATGCTACCATTGTCGGGAGAGAAAAGATACTTGTTGCCCGGCTTATCGTTACTATCAGCTAGGCCCATAGATTCCTTCACAGCCGCGTTTAAGGAGTAATCAATAAAAGAGGCACTTGTACCAGAGGCTTGTTCGGCCCTGCTGCTGCTAGAAAGCTTACTGAAAGTGTCCACCGTATGGAAAGTGGAGAATGAGTCCTCACTCACAATTGAGCGTATGCTGGGTACAGAGGATAAGTGAACATATTTGTGATTTGCCTCAGAATCTTTAACATTATTCACACCATCTCTTTTATTTGGACTCGCGTCTCTTGATGCATATAGTTGTTCTGTTGGCACGGAGGAAGTGAGTGATACCTGTGAAACTTTTGATAACTTTCTGTTTTCCCCATTGAGGTTTATCATCGAAGTTCTCTCCTCCAAATGCCGTATTTCTTCCTGATTGTTCAAGAGCTTATTGTCGAGCCTCTTAAAAACATCGTCCTTCACAACACTACTGATTTGTGCTACTGGTTTCAGTTGGCTAGTTCTTGGATTTCGGCTTCCCAAAAGACTTATACGCCCGCTGTTGCTGCTCACCGACCTATGAGCGACAGATGAAGCAGGCGTGAAATGCCCTGCGTTTTCGCGTAGGCTAATGTTGTCATTTGAGGTGATGAAACTGGAGTAGTCGTCATCGACTTTGCTCATTGGAGCAGCTTGTTGTAAGGCGTTTGATACAAAAATCTCTCCAACTTCATGCAATGAGTGATTAGTATCACCATTCTCCAAATCTTCTTCAAAGTTGAATTCCCTGAGATTTTGAAGGCCATCTTTCCTCTTTATAACAGGAGAATGCATGTTTGTGATATGGCTATTAACAGACCCCGCGTCATATATATCATCACGGCGAGAACCAGAGTCCATATTTTCAACTTCAACAATGCTGGAAGATAGTCGCAAAAGATGATGTGAAGGACTCTTGTTGAGCTTTTCTTCCGGAGTTTCCTTCATGCTTTTCGTGATAGGACTCACTAGATTAGGTGCCGAGTGACTCCAAACACCCGTCGAAGACCTTGAAACCGTAGAAGGAACTTCTTGACGCTCGCTCATCCTTTTCATCGCGATGTTGTCTTGTCCATGGAATACTAGTTTGCGTGGTCCATCGTTCGCAAGAATAACGGATTTTGTATTCGTACGAAGAGTTGCCGCTCTGGCAACAGTTCTATTCTTTTTGTAAAAGCCGTCGACGCTGTTAACTCGGCGTCTCTCAAATGCAGCGTAAGAAGGTGAGGTGATTTGTTGACTTTGCAACGTTTTCGACAGTGAAATGACTGAAGATGCTATGAAACTCACCGTCTTGTAAAGATTTAAATTATCCATAGCACTTACCCCATCTGCAATGGCTGCTGGTGACCCGAGGTGTGCATCATTTTGTAGGTCCAAATGTCTTCCTTGGCGTGAGATTTTGGTTAAGAGCTCATTTTCCTTGGCAATGAAAAACTCTACTTCATCTATAGTCCTTGCACTCAAAATGTCAAATCTCGAAGATGAGCTGGTAAGAAGTCTTTGCATCTCATCGCCACCTTTGTTTTCCAGTGAGGTAATCGAAAACACTAATTTGATGAAGTTTTCTATCTCGAAACTGGTCGATTGTTGTCTCGTCGGCACAGGAAGAGGTCCCGTATTATGATTTCGTTTCCATTTTGACAAAAGACCCATCATTCCTGTATTTTCCTTTCGAGGGCGTTCGGTGTTATCTCCGGCGCCCTTCGAAGGTAGATATGAAGATCTGAGTATAAATTCAATGTTTTTAGCAGGAGTAGGAGGTATCAACTTGTCAACGGATGGTGTTGGAGGAACGTGCAGGTCTTTTATTACTTCAGTCACACTTCCGGTTTTCGGTATCACAAACCCACTACTTTTATGGTCCGGAGAATTGCCGCCTTCGGGTGGTAGTACGGCCATGGATGAGTTATCTCGCGGGAATAAAAACATGCTAGCTGTTCGCTGTTTGAACTTGACATTAGTCTTGGCGTTCGGTTCATCGACAGTTTCTGGCAGCTGGAAATTATCTTTGGAAGTGTAAAGGGAAAGCACACTTCTATTGCGAAACTCCGGGTTTTGAGAACTTTGAAGAGCGTACAAACTTAGTCGTTTACCGTCTTCACCAGAAGATGCTGATTTAAGCGTAACGTCTCTAATTGGGAAATGCAGCCATCCTTCTGGATCGGATGGCGTAATGTCTGGTGAAACGTCTTCCCACATGAGCTTTAAACACATGACCCACGATTTTTTGATCGTGATGACGATTCCCTGGATGAGTTTTGGAGTTGGCTTGGACTTCCCCCATTGTAGGGTGTTGATAGTCGACACAAAGTTACCTCTTAGCACTGCATTTGTCAGAAAGTCTTGAGCGAAATAATTCAAAATCCAGTGTCTGAACACCACAAACGTGCGGACTGAAGCGACCTGACCAATTTTCTCGCGGCTGCTATCTCCACACACAATTTCATCAAACGTCCATTGTAATCGGTGTTTTAGCAATTCCAAGAGCTCGATGGGTTTAATGAACTTCCGATACGAGAGAAAAAAATCGGATAAAAACATGTAGTCAATTGCGTCCACAGGCGATGTTAGTTTTACAATCAACGCATACAGGTCTGTTTTTATGATCAGTCCACCGTTATCTCGCTGTGCATAGCTCAATTTCGATTCATTGGGTGTAGGATAGTATTCATCCCTGTTAAAGACGTTCTGTGCACTGGCCTCGTCTTGAATGGATTCACCAGCACTCATCTATAAGACTCGGCAATGCTCTAAACAAGCTTGGAGCGGTCTGTGTTTATGTTCCGGCGTGGTAGTGCAACCGTTCGTAGTTTTTCGAACAATTTGATCTTTAACTGTTAATTCAATGTTTACTATAACCGCCGAGCATTTGACACGGCATCACCAAAATGCGTCAGTAAAGTTCGGGAGTGATAAAAAGATAAGGCGGGCGAAGCAATGGCGTTTGTCAGTTGTTGCCATGCTGGAAGATGACAAAGTAAAGACATTCGTGCGGGCAACTAGCTAAAAACTGCTCAAGCTCTGTGTACTTTCATTTTAAGTTTCTAAGATATTTCTCACCTTTATAACTTTGTCTATTTCGAGGATTAAGGTCGGGAGAGATCGTAGGCTTAGACACCGTATATTATAGCGTGGTATATCTTTGAATCGGAGTAGTTGTTAGTTAAATACTAACGGGACGGTTGTTTGTATCAATGTTTTTAAGCAGGGCGAGGACTGGTAACTCTTCACGAGTGTGACGCTGTGCAATGACACTGTACGCTGTAAACTCTAAAAAACGCGTTCTGGTATGCAATTCAGTGGTGTTGAAGAGTGGTTTCTACGGTTTCGCCGATATATTCAAAGTCCTTCGACAGCATTCTCTTTAGTAGAGCTTCGTTTGGTATGCTATGCAAACTACCGTAATGCAGAGGCTCAACAAAATGTACCATTAGGAATTACCTGTAAGACGACTTTCATCGATTTGATCATATCCTATGCGCTGCCAGCAGTTGTTCTTATGCTCGGGAGCCGGGTTTTAAAATGTGCCCTTTCAATAGTAAAGACCTATCATGCATTTTTCAAGTGTCACCACTTCAACTCTATATGATTCTGAGATTATTTTGAACTTTTTAGCATCCATAGTGAACATCGGGATAAATGCTCCTCCCCACCCACACACGGTACTTCATTTTGAGAACTAAGCTTCCTGCGCCTTTGTCCTTATGCATCATTGGAAAAGAATAAATTTTTCGTTTCAGGTCAACGGTTGTATGCGTTTTGTAAATGGTCCACATGAGCCTGCAAGGCTTTGAGGTCGCCCAAGATGTCATTCGACTGAACATGGTTTGCAGTACTTTGTGAGTAGTAATTGGGCTGCGGAACGGGAGAAGGCGAAAAGCTATGCACCTCTCTGGGAGGAACAGTTAATCTGTTATTTGAATATCCAGAGAGTGCAGGGCCAGTATAGCTGGGGTGCAGGTAGTTCCTGTCTTGTTGAGTGCCAAGCGTTCCATTATGATTCATGACGGGAAAGCCACCGCCACTTAAGTTTCCTGGCATTGGAGAAAGATTCCCTTGAAGCGGTTGAAACTGACCTGGGTTCGGCGACTGATTGATTTGCATCGTGCTTGCATTTGGCGACGGGGAACTCGACATGAACAATTGATGATTGGCATCAAATCGGTGGTTGAATTGATTCTGATTGGTTGTTTGGGGTGACATGCCATATCCTGAGCTATCTCTCTGCTCAGTGGAATTGAAGATGCCATTTCTATAATTGTTTGGAAATTGTGGCGATGATTGGTAATGATGTGCCGAAGAGTTATTTGGTACCGAGGGGTAGAGGTCAGGTAGTCGCGACTGCTGATTTTGAACGGGTGGCACTTGTTGTGTCTCTGGACGTGAGTGGAAAGACCCATCATTGTGCGGTGTTGAGATCGAACCAAAAGAACTGCTCGGTTTCGAACTCAAGTTCTGGTTTGGCTTCAAGGCACTTGAATTCGAAAACGCTAAGTTAGGCGACGTAAATTGACCATGAGAGGAGTTTTCTTGGCGTGAACGAAATAAACTATTTGCAGAACCAGTAGCTGTAGGCTTCAGCGGCTCAAGTACTTGCTGAGATTGCCAATTCTGGTTAGCTGGCTTCTTCGCTTGAAAGAGATGGTTAGCAGAGCCTGTGGAGGTTGGTCTCAAAGGTTCCTGTTGCATATGCTGAATGGGTGGTTGACTGGATCGGAATAGATAATTGGCAGATCCGGTAGCCGTTGGTTTCAAGGGTTGTAGCGCAGTTTGTTCGTTCGCGTTACCCTGGGACGACTGGATGGGAAAGCTGTTTTGGGCAACGGTATCGGCCTTCTGCAATTGCTGGAAATGGTTTAAAGACTCCTTCATGTCTTCCAAGACCTCCTTTTCCTCTTGGGTATCTGGTGTTTGCTCAGAAGGAGGTTCAGAAACTAAAGCCGAGTTTTTCTTTCTAGCTGCGAGGTTCTTAAGTAGTTGATCCATAGGTAGGGAAAGGTCCAACGGTTTGCTGGTATCAACAATTTCTCCTTCTTCGGCTCGCGCTGGATTGCCATCATTAGCCCAGGCTTGGTCCTGGAAGGTCACCAAATTATCAGAGAATCGAACTTTCTTGAGCTTTTTCAAATAATTGGTGATTTTCCGTCTATATCGTTTTTTCTTTTGACCTGTCAATAATAAGGACGCAAAACTGTCAATATCGACCTTCAATTCGGGTCCTGCATCCTGTGAGTCGTCGATTTCTTCGTAAACTTCTTCGCTTCCTGCAGCCAAAATTGACTTTGGTCTTGGCACCGGTGTTTGATGCAGGATCATACGTCTTGTAGGTACCACATTTTCGTACATAGCACGCGACAGGAGTCTCAAGACAGCGAAAAACTGACCAATATTGAGAGCGTTTTTGCACGATTTGAATATATGTTCCACACGGTCTTTGACCACTTGTGAGAGCAGGAAATTCGACATAAACCGGAAAATGTCGTCTAGTCTTATCAATTTGGCGTGTTTCCGCGATGTTATGTACCCGTACCATCGCAAATAGGTTCTAACTTCCTCTCTTGACAGTTGACTTTTCGACAGTGAAAGCGGGGCAGCCATATCTTCTTTTGTTTCTTGGTATTCACTACCACCGTTATTGGATGTAACCGCAGCACTTTCTGCAATGGGCCCGAAATCAAACGACACCGGTGGAGGTGGAGACTCAGCATCCCGGATATTACCAGTGTCGTCAGACGAAAGTCCCGGAACGTTTAGCCAATCGAATGACATCTTGTGAGCACCAAATCACACAAACAAAACGCTGGAATTGGTATCAATGTGTCTTCCAAGAACGGTTGCAAAAACTCTTGTACGCTCTGGCACTCTCTTTAGGGCTCTTAGGACTACCCAAGACTCGTTTGATCTTGCTTTAGGTGAATTTCTGATTTAAACATCTAATAAGTTCATATAGGAAGGAATGATTGATATACTACCCATAATCTAGAAATACCAGTCCACGAACCCAGGAACTAGTCATGAAGTTAGCCAAAACTAGACGCAAGGGCTCTGGGAAGCGAGCTTTTGGCTCTGCCAACAATGAATCAGACAATTCAGATCGAGAAGAGGGTCTGGAACAGTACATGAAGCAAAAATCGGCGAAAATAGCTGAAAACCTTCCCAAGACAGCTGTGGTTCCCGAACTTCAAGATGATCCTAAGGAACTGGAAAAACCCGGACAAACACCACAGAAATCCAAGCTGATTAGCAGGTTTAAGGCTGCAAAACAGCAGCGAGATCTCGATAAACTTCAGAACGAGGCCCTGAAGGCAGATCTGGAAGGTCAAAATTTTGAAAGTTATGTAACGGAAGGCTACAAAGAGAAGAAAGAAGCCCTGAACCAAGCGTCCAAGGAAGCAGAAAGGGAAGAAAAACAGGAGGAAGAAGAGTTTCGAATTGAGTTTCCAGCCTCGGCTTCACGTATGAACGCTCTGCTGATCAACGCCGAGGAAAAAAGTCCGGAAAAGAGTATCGAGGGAGACTCGAACTCAGGACGAAATTTCGTGGATTCTCAAAAGGGTCGCTCAGGACAGTGCCGGAACGACATTTACGTGGGAAACACCAAGAATAGACGTGAAATAGACACAACAGACATCCGTGGTTCTTCATCCTCAATTTCTACTGACATTTCGCCTGGGTTGAGCGGTGAATTAGTTATTGCAGAATACTTGGCCTCTAAAAAAACAACGGAGGAATTAGCACATCAACGACAACTGTATCTAGCTAGAAAGTCCATGGAAAGTTGATCGTTTGAGGCAGTCACCGGCTGCGAAGATCAATACTGCGAGTACGAGTCACGGGGGGTTTCTGTAAGATCACCCGTTCCTTCTTTTTGGAAAGGCTCGCTTTCTTCTTGAAAGAGGAGGAGGAGGACGACGAAGAAGCCTTTACTCTTTTTGCCCGCGCCGTATAGTCTATGCCTTCGTCCCGCACAAGTCCTTCAACAATCGAGTCCACATCAATACGCTTGTCAACAAACTCCTTTTGTCTACGTTCTGCAGCCTGTGGAGAAAAATCGATGCACTCGTTGAACATTGCGTAACCGACGCTTTTTGAATGCGACCCCCTGTGTGTTCTGCGACTAGAAGACAGTCTTCTCGAGCTTACGCTAGGTTTACTTGCCTGCATGTGCTGCTGTTCAAAACTGGAGACAGGCGAAAGGGCCAGGTTTACTTTAGGCTCATTTCGGGGCACACTGCATTCTGCCATAATATTCATTTTTGGACGTTCTTCCTTGGTCGTGTCATCCAAAAAGTCGGCAAACTGATACTTCGAACCGTCATCTTCAAGCACGCGCTTTTCCTGATCGACGTGTCGTACATAATCCTTTTCGAGTTCGTTGACCTTCCATTTCGCTGACTGGATCTGCATCCTGAGAAAGTAATCCAAAAAATTCTTGCTATAGGCCCTTTGGTTCTTCGAAAACACAGGCTCTCGGTATTGGTATGGCAATTTGGACACATCAACGTCTGCACGAGGCTTCAAGAGCTTGCTGTCTGGCCGTGCTAACAGAGCGGATATGTCAAGAGATTCACCAGGAGGAATGGCCACCTGGTTCGACGGAGTGATGCAATCCATGTCCACTTCTTTCCTGAGCACATGGTCAATATCAACTGCCGAAAAGAAAGCGCAGTTCTGAGGGAGATCTTTTATACCCATTTGTTCTGAGAAAATAGCCCTGGTCCATAGGTTGCTAATTTGGAGAGCCATCGCTGTCCTGTATTTATCCTTTTCCGTTGTCAAGTAACGGATCTCGTCATGAATAGAAATGGCAAGTCTTGCGTCGATGCTATATTTCTTGAGCAAATAATTCATCGAGCAGCACAAGAGATGAAGATAATCAACACCAGAAGATTGAATTGCCCAGTTTATACGCGATGGGAGAAAAGTGTTTGAGCGCAGGTTGCGTTTCATCAGCGAATAAGTGATACCCGCACCCAGGACCGGGGTTTTAGGAATATCTTGTTCTGCTATATGTTCCAGTTTGTTGAACAGAATGGATTCCGATCCACCATACCAAAACTTCTTGAACAGTTTAGAGCGTTTGGTTTGACCCTTTGTTGATTCGTACAGCTTTTCTGCCATCTCTTTAGTTTCTTGATCCGACAAGTTTGGATTGAATTTCTTGAGCAATTGAGTTGCAAACTTTACACCAGCTCCATAAATTCTACCGTAGTTGAAAATTTTAGCCTCATTTCTGGAGCACTTGAGTATTTGTGCGGTTTTCGAGTGCAAATCAGTGCCCTCATTTTTCGAGCCCTCTAGGCACATCCACCCAATTGGAGTCCCTCCATGTATATTGAAAACCGAATCACTGACGAGTGATGCAATCCACAGCTCTTCGCTGTCAACATCTGCACCTACAAATGCGTAGCCCTCTGGAGCTTTGATTTGTGCTTTTAGCTCTGACCCAATTCTGTTTGCCTTTGCATTTGAGGCCGTTAACCACGTATTCTCCACTGATCTTCTAGTCACCGTTCCCATCGGTATGATAGTAGGTAAAATAATGCTCAGCTCTTCATCGGACGAGGGTCCAGAGCCTAAACTCTTGAACTGATTGGGAAACTTCTTCTTGGATACCACAAACTGTGACATAACCCTTTCGCGAGCTGATATCCAGTAGGAACATGAGGAGTTTATTTTCAGAGCCTCTCGAGCCAAATCTGAGTTAGAAGTTAACACGCCTTTCTCGAAAAATTGGAGATAAGGTTTGCTGAGGAGGGTCGTGCAATTAAATTGCGGTCCGTTGGGATGTGGGACTCTGAATAATTGGTAACCTGGGACCATAAACTCTGGGGCGTTTGTAGCGTGATAATTCTTCTCTTTCATTTCATCCAATCGACCGCTTGGCATGGCAAAGCACCAACCGCTAGACTCAGTCCATATCACAGGCTCACCTTCCCAGCAAAGTTTAAAGAATAGAGGAATTGTTCGATTTCTTATGGTTATGACAGGAGCAGTACTGTTTTTGGAGGGAAACAGCTGTCTGTACCATTCTGGAAAACCAGGTAATTTTTGACCCTTAGCAGGAATGCCCTTTTTAGTGAGTCGCAAAGCTTTAGATGTCCAATCCAACTGCTTAAGCCAAGGGTCATTGGCAAACGAATTTTTGTCATCTTTTAGCTTTACCACATCCTCGACGATGGTCACAATTTTTTTTTCGATGCATTGTTTGCTGTCTTGGTAATGCGTTTCTGAGCTTGAAAGGTAGTTTTTCCAGTTCGATTCTTTGGTCGTGAGGAATGAAGTTGAAAGCAGACGCAAAGCACCGAATGACACAGGGTGTGGGCATTTCAGCAGGAATAATGGAAAAACAACGTCGAATACTTTACTTGTTGCCTCAACGTCCGTTGCGCAATAACTCACTAATGAGTTGAAATCTTCGATGATCTTAGTTTTATCAAGAGTTGCAAAGGCGTCTCGCTTAGATTTGTCTAGCTTTATACCGCAGTGTAAAGCTACTACGTCTTCGAGTGAATTCAGTGCTGAGACGTTAGTCCAAGGCTCCTCCTCTTGATCACCAGAAATGGGATCCATATCAGTGTCATCATTGCTTTCAGCCTTGTGAGCCTTTTGTTTCAGCATCCATTGGGGCCGCTGCCGTGAACACATACCAGAAGAGGCTACGTGCAGCGACATTGTATCCAGAAAGAACGCTTTTGATTCTTGACAATTGTATTCCTCCAATACCCGAGCACGATCATATCCGACATTATGGCCTATTACAAGCCTCGTTTTGTTCAGCGTATCCAGAGGCACCAGATGAGCAGGGTCATCGGATTCTCCACACAAAAAGGGCGAACACCAGCAATACCAGGCTTCTTCCGATACCGCAACAGCCAGCGTTGGGTAAGGAGATATTTTGTAGAGTGTTTCAACGTCAAAGACTATGGTGTCTTCTTGCGGGAACGGCACATGTGCAGTTTCCCCAGAAGCTGTATATCGTGTCCAACCGGCCTTTCTGAGCCAAGACTTCGGCCTTGGTGGCAATTTGGTGAATTTATTCCGCGCTTTACCCAGAAACGGCTCTGACGCGTAGTGTCCCAGTTTTTGGAAATGCTCGTCCAGCGAGCTACCTTGTAGAGTAGGTAAATCAAATGCGATGGGCTTGGAAATCCCGGTTTTTTTGCCCAAAAGGCCATGTTTTTTGAGAAACGATTTTGACAGACGCGTTAATAGCTCTTTTTCCTGGGTTGTAATTTCGTTGTTCACTGGCTTGGACGTTTCCGGACCAAAAACTTGATTGTGAAGATGTTTACTCAGATGCTGGATTCCCACCGGATTGATTCGTGGTTTTTCGTCAACAGAATACCATCGTGTTTTCCTCCATACTCGGAAACCCGAAACGGCATTTCTAAGCTTCAAAGGCATGCTATAGAGCTCGCAATGCTACAAAAGTGTGTTTTTGATGATGATGAAGTAGTTAGGAACTGCAGGTATATTGACTGAAACTTTATTTATTGAAGTTTAACGCTGGAAATGTGCTTACGTCAGATATTACTAGAGAGTGACAGAGTATATATGAGCACGTGACACACTTTTTGATACGCCAACATCCAAGCAAGCAAGCTGATTTGTAAGAAAATGGCGTTATTTATCACTAAGTATTGAAAGTTAAACGCTCAGACAGGAGCAACGTTGTAATAAGAGTCAACAGGGCACTATTTCCATTTTTTTCAGACAAATCTGTTCTAGAAGACGCAGCTTGCTGCTGTTCAGAAAACATAGCATGTCAGATTTATGAAAACAGTCGAGAACGACTCTTCTAACTAAAAAATCCTGCAACAGTGTCAGATTCTCTTCTTTATGCATAACGTCAGATTCGTTGGGTAGTGACTGACAAAGTCACGTGACCTAATTACAGCGACAGAATTGACGAAAATAGTGAAAGAATCTAGAAGAACTACTGATTCAACGGGAACGACGTAGAATGTCACGAATGCCACCACTTGCGATTGATGGTGTACTATTTATACAGTAGCTTATTGAAGTAAGTGCACTTGGATGACCCGAAAACCTTTATATCCGTCGGTGACGGAACATTTCCAAGATTTCTGCCTTATGTACGCCAATATCAACAATATTTTAGAATTGAAGATCGTGAATATTGAATCCTTGATCGTCGTTTTACTTTGTCATTGGCTTCAATTGAGGAGTTAGGAATCGTCGCGATCAATTAACACATCAATTCGTCGGCTACTCAGCTCATAGACCAGAAGTGGAAATCTCCGGGAGAAGTGAATCTGGCTATGGAGCCTGTCAAGGATTTGCTGAATCAATTTTTGAAAGGCCACCACTAAGCAATGAGTGGAAAGCCTAAAGGTTTGATCTTCGCACCAATTCTTTTGAGTTCGCTAAGGGTGTCAAGATTTTTCTTGAGGAATTCTTAGGGACGGGATACGTGCAACACCGGACTGAGGCCTAATCTCAAATTATGAAAAGTATTCAGCCTGCAGACCATGAAAGCACTGTCATTGACTTCAACGAGGTCTGTGTTGCGAGCCCAATATGCGTAGGTTTCGAAACGTTCCGCCTATATGGTCATTATGGTTGATCTAACGATAAAGCTACGTGGAGAATCGAGTATGACTGAAGTCCACAAGATGATGGAAAGTCCAAAGAAGTTAACAGGTAATCAAGTGTTAGAGATACTAAGAAATATCATTTTGGCCGCGGCATGGAAGCCAGAAAAACCCTAAAAGGCACTTAAAGCAAGGTATCAGTGGCAAAAGCCTTGACAAGAGTAAACCGCACAAGTATTCACTTTTATTACTTGACAGTAGTGCTCCTTTTTCTTCTCCTTTGCAAACCCGGTGGAAAATGAAAATATAGGTCTGAGAACTTCAAGATAACGAGATCCAAAAGGAGTCGTGGAACTCTACCTAGGAATAATGTCCAAGCTAGAGACTCTCTTATCAGGGGGTCTTTACTGCAACACAACTAACCTTGAAAACGAGTGCTAACTTATTATTGATTGAAAATCACGTCACCTTAGCGTGATTAGCTGGATGAAGACGCAAAGTGCTTACTGGATCTCTCCTGACACAGTTATTGGCTTGGGTTGTGCCAATAATCGTTGAAACTCGAAAATTTTAAGGCTATCTGGAAGAACTATACCAAAAGATGAGTCCTACCATCTGCAAAAACCTTAGAAAGTCAATTGGATTGGGATTGGTTTCTGATTTGCGATTACAAGATGGTGATTTGGGAAACCTTGATAAAATCAAGTGTGAGTTTCGTTTAGCTAAAAATGTTAAAAAGCACACCCATATTCGTTAAAACACATATCAGGACAAAATGCAGAGTTCGAGTGTCTGCATTTAGATTCATTTGGACTACCGGGACATATGGCGAATGCTCTGGCCAGCGTTCGGCCCATGACAGAATCATAATGCACGTGACACCACGACAGCGATAGAATTGACAAGGGGTCCTTGAAGAACTACTGTACTAACAGGAATGACGTCCATTGTACCGAGTGCCACCTATATCATTGTTGGTCTTACCTGCATCGGTACATTGACTTGATTGCGCCAGGAACACATCCAAAAATTGATATAAGAAGGGACGTTTAATCCACCCCGCAAGCTCCGCTCGTTTATGTTAATTACACCACAGCAATAAGTTGTGCGATACTCTACACGTTGCAGGAAAGGACAGAATCACTCAAGATATGGGACGTTTATTGTGCCACGACACTACAGAGATATAGTCTCTACACGGGTATAAATACCATTCCTTCAGACAAATTTGTTTTGGAACTACCTGGCAACTGGTCAGCGAATTTGATACTAAAGATGTATTACCACCGGCAAGGATGGCTTACATACCCAACTTCAAGACCCGTTGATTGTATCGTATTCATCACCAGTGATAGGCGCTCACGTGACATGATGACAGCGACAGAATTTGACAAAATACCTCACAGAAGTATAACAAGCGCAATTGAAAAGAGTGACGAATAGCTGAGAGCATCGTCAAGATAGCTAGACGCACGTTCCATTTTATTGATCTCTGGCGGTTTAATTGTTCAAATTTTCCGGTAGCCCTATTTGTTCGCAACTCGTTGCTGATATTCTCAGTCCTTCAATCATGAGCATTACGATCTCTCCAAAATACACAATTGACCAGTGATGCGTGCAACCCTTACAGTAAACACCAGCGGTATTATCTAAGTTTCAAACATCAATCGCTTGTCTCCTTTCTCAAATCAACCCACACATTTTCCTATTCGTTTAAACTATCATCAATATATAACACTAGAACTTTACACTGTGCCAGACAGACGACAGTAAAAACAAAATCCATAAAACAAAAAAAACCAAGAATCTAGAAAGCCGATTATCAAGCTTCGGAAACTTAACTGTATTTTCCAAGAACCCTTTCCCTATACTGGTTAAATCTCCAGACACGCTCCCTCGTTATAGCGCGGATTGTGGCTTCAACCCGTCATTTCATCACATTTCACAACATAAACCCTACTATTCCCAAAGTTTTACGAAACTCTAAAACATTACTCGAGCGATAACATAGACAATACACCCTAAGAAACTCTTAAAGTGTGCTTTCCCTGTGCTTTCCCTGTGCGTTACACGACTTTTATCAATTATTTCATCACTTTGTACTAAGGCCTTCAATATTAACAGTTTTTCCAACTCACTCACCTTACGTTCCCCTTTCTGATAAACGTCTGTAAAAGAGATTCTCAAGACTAACGAAACTTACGGTCCATTAGACTCGCATTGTTGTAGGTGCTTCGAAGGGCGTTCTATAAGTGAAGGTATCTTACAGAAAGATTTAACTGCGAAGCTCTCTTTTGTCTGGTTTTACAGTGTTATTCCGACCTAACCTATTTTTCAACTTTTTACCTTCAGGTATTTCAAGCTAAAAAGAATCCACCACCAATACTACACAGTTATGTCCGCAGCAATTACCTCGTTGACACCCTCGCAGGTGAACGATGAGCTCAACAAGATGCAGGCTTTCATCAAGAAAGAGGCGGAAGAAAAATTCAAGGAAATCAAATTGAAGGCTGACCAAGAGTACGAAATCGAAAAAACCGGACTGGTCCGTAATGAGATCAGTAACATCGATTCGGCCATGGAAGGCAAGACCAAGAAGGCTGCGTTGAAACAGCAGATCACCAGATCGACCATTGCCAACAAAATGCGTCTCAAGGTGCTCTCCACCAGAGAACAGTTGCTGGACGACATTTTCGAGACTGCCAAGGCGGAGCTCAACAAGATCTCCAAAAAGGAGAAATCCTACAAGCCCATCTTGAAAGCCGTGATCTTGGAGTCTTTGTACCGTTTGCTGGAGGCTCAAGCCGTGCTCAAAGTGCGGGAGCAGGACAAAAAATTGGTCGAGGCCTTGAAAAGCGAAGTCTCCAAGGAGTACTCCGAAAAGACCGGCAGAGAGATCGAGTTGTCCATCTCTTCCGACTACTTGAACAAGGACGCCGCTGGTGGTGTCATTGCCTCCGACCACACTGGCAAAATTGTGGTCGACAACACCCTTGAGGAGAGATTGACTATTCTCAACCAGGAGGCCCTTCCAGCAATCAGACTCGAATTGTTCGGTATTTCCGAAACGAGAAAGTTCTTTGACTGATCCCAGACTACAGCTGCGCTGTAAGTAGAACAGAAAGCAAAAGCGACTACCCAAAGCCTCGGGCAATTAACACAGCTCTTACGTATCTGGCCTTTTTTGAGACTTAAACTGAAAAATAAACTGATAAAATTTCGAAAGATTCTACGCATATACATCAACTGCCTCTAAATACTCGGAGACTATTGACCTGCTCCTCCTGCTGGTCGCCGTCCTTAGAGGTTAGTATATCTTATGGTTGTCTTATTTCACACTATTAGGCCTTTCTTTAATCAATACATATTAATGCTCGATGCCAAACTGTAAGAACATCCTAAAGAAAAACGCACCATAGAGCATGTTTATGCGATCTTTTAGGAGTTTCAAACCTTTGAGTAGGCTACGGTGGCCACCAGTTCGGAACTATCAGCGTCTTTTGCCGGAGGAAAACCAGGGAATTCTTTTTCTCAAGCCAATTACACCAAACGATGCGTTCGTTAGCTGTACTGTTTTCGATAAACAAGGAAGCGTATGTGCAGTATCTAGAAAGTTCCCGAAGTGGACGTTTCTCCAAAACCACAACTTATTTCCACGCGATCTGCGAAAAATCGATGCCACGGCGGTAGATGTGATTCCTAGCATCGTCGTCAAACCTACTTGCATATTGATCAATTTACTGCATATCAAAGCAATGATCCTTAAAGATTCGGTATACGTATTCGATACTTCGAATTCCGAAGCTGCTGTGAAGCTTGGAGTTCTCATGTATGACATGGAGTCCAAACTCTCTTCAGCAGCCGGAACACACTCTTCTCAACTGTATGAGCATCGCGCACTGGAAAGCATTCTGATGAATGTGATAACGTCGTTGGAGACCGATTACAAGCAGCATTATGCGATCTGTGGGATTATTTTGAACGACCTCGAAGACGAGATCAACAGGGACAAACTGCGAGATTTGTTGATCAAATCCAAGAACTTGTCTTCTTTCTACAAGAAAGCTCTGCTTGTCCGAGACGTCCTAGACGAGCTGCTGGACAGCGACGAAGATCTCGCAGGCATGTACCTTGGAGAGCATAAGACCGAAAACGACAACTTTGCTGATCTGGAGATGCTACTCGAGACTTATTACAAACAATGCGATGAGTACGTACAGCAGTCCGAAACTCTCATTCAGGATATCAAATCCACCGAGGAGATCGTGAACATCATTCTGGATGCCAATCGTAATGCGTTGATGCTGTTCGAGTTGAAGGTCACGATCTACACATTGGGATTTACTATTGCCACGCTCATTCCAGCTTTTTACGGTATGAATCTCAAAAATTTCATAGAAGACAGTGTTTGGGGGTTTGGAAGCGTGGTGGTATTTTCGGTCATTGGTGCAGCGATCGTGACGCGGTCTAATTACAGAGCACTAAGGTCTGTCACGAAGCTCACCATGATGAACAATCATACGGGCATAAGTTCGGCAAAACATGCCGCACATGCCCACAATGCCGTCGATAGGGAAGTAGCCACTCTTCCAGCGCGTTGGGCTCGTGGACTTCGTTCTATTTGGCGCGGCTCAAGCTATCCAGTACGAAAAGGTAAAGAAAGAGACATGATTTGGAAATGGCTTGTGGACGACAAAAAATGATGGTTGAAACTCGAGAAAAACGGCAATATTCTCAACAAAACACACTCGACGATTCAAATCTACAATATACACCTGAAAGCCCGCATCTCCAGTGTCAGTAACACGGTAACTATCCCCTCTATAGAGGTAGTCCCGTGCTTAATACTGTCACTGTCTACGAACTGGCTCAAGGCGAGTCACTATTATTTGCTTGAGCACTACACACATCTAGGACCGTTTGGACAACCGGATACACGAAAGAACTCCCCAAAGGAAGGCTCAATTCGACTTTTTCTCTGTTTTTGGGACTGAAACTGCCTTGTTCTTCTATATGTACATCAAGGCAGCCGCTTCTGCCTTGAATTCTGTTCCACGAGGGACGGGGTTTCTCGACCATTATGATGTCCAATTAGTCAAATGTCGAGCCATTGTTCTACGTTTACAGGAGTTTTTACGCATTCTGAAAATCCTCAACACAACTTCAAAACGCAGGACTGAAGCCCGTTTCATCATTCCCCTTACAAACTATATTTTGGCACTTTACGGATGTTTTACCTTAAACATCTCGGAAGCACTGAACAAGAAACTTCTGGGTATCAGCGAGTTCAAAACAGTCGCAGTACCAGATTCGATACCCGGATTTGAAGCAAGTTCAGTGGACATTCGAATTGAGCTTGCAGCTGTGGGATCGGATCTCGAAGAAGTCAAGAAAAACGTCTATAATGTACAACTGCAAGGACAAACTTTGGAAAGTGCGATCAAAATAACCACTACGGCATTGCAAGTTGCAGAGCGTGTTTACGGCATGTCTTTAACGGAGCGCAGCTTCAACAGACAGCCAGATATTTCTGGAAGACGTTTCGATCTAGACGAGACAGCATTTGATGAGCTTATACGACCTGGTGAGGTTTCTATGGCCTTGGATCTTGCTGTTCTAATAAAAAACTATGATTTGGATACTTCTGATGCTTCATTCGAGAAACTCAATCTACAAGTATTGACCAAGTTCAGAGAGCATATGAACGAAAAAGCCTTGAGGCCCGTCAAATCTTACCACACGTCGCTATTTCGGTTCTCTAAAGCCGCATCTGCTAGTCAGGCCAAGATTATAATGAACTTACCACATTGGCAATACACGATGCACCGAATGTATGCATTGCTTTTGAGAATTCTGTACATTCTTTCCATCACAAAGGCTTTCCTGAGGCAAGTTTACATTCCCAACAGGCAACACTTAGTAGCGCCCAAAACGCAGCTTCGATCTACAAACGTTTATGAATATCAAGAGCTGCTAGAAAATGTGCGGAGAATTTGTCTGGACGACAATGATCTCGATGAGCTAGTCAATTTTGTCAACAGCTACAACCGGAGTGGCTCCTTTCTCATGGTTCAACCAGCAAATATCTCAGAATTTTTCAACACTGATATCTCAAGTGCTATTCGCAAACTAAGACTATACTTCCAAATTGTAGATTCTTGGATTAAGATGTGGACGCATATTCAAGAGAGTGGAGAAGCGATGGAAAACCTTGATGTTTTACCTGAGTCAGAACTGATTAAGCTCGTGGAAGAGCGTCTTGCTAATGATAAACTAGAACTCATGGAGAGGAAAAACCAAGAGAAAGCTGCGAAGAATGAGGCAGCGAACAACGAAATGGATAGAAGTCCTCCCCTCAAAGATGCTGCGAGGTCTACTCCGATCAGAACTGTCTTCAGAAGATCATCCTTGCAACGGTCAAGTCTCTCTCCTACGGGCAGTGATGCGTCTCCACCAAGCTCACTCTCTCCCCGGGCGCTTAGTAGGTCACCTTCGCTGAATAATAAAAAGACAACCATCCTCGCCAGAGCACCGAGAAATGGTAGCAACTTATCTTCGCCGGTCGTGTCTAGACGTGGATCTGTTTCAGAAAATGAGCGAACCGCTGGTATAAAATCACCCGTGGTTGGGAAACATGTCAGTGGTGGTAATGACCGTACACGTGCCCCAGGAAGAAAACGGTCTGCTTCTTTGCAGTCAGGGTTGCATCCTTCTTCCGAGCCTGCTCCTTACGGTTTGCCCGGTGACACCACGCGATCTAACTCTTTGCAAGCTGGGGCAAGTCTTAATCAGCGTATGATACGCAATTCATTTGCCCAAGTGTCTGGTAACTTGCTGGGTGGTAACTCTAATTCGCAAAGGGGACCAACTGTTGTTTCACCAACGCCGCTGAAAAATCCCGCAAAAGCAGTGCGATCGGCTTCGCCCTCGCCCATTTCCAGGGACAAGTCTCCTTCTAAGTCCCAACTCGATGGTCGAGGAATCGATGATCTTCCAAATATAGGGTCCTTGGTTCTGGATGATGAAAAGTTAGCACTCGTTTCCCTAAAGTTCAGTTCTGAAAGCAGCGACTCTCATGTCTCGGGTAGTTCGAGTGAAGCGGGCATGGATGGAGGAGAAAACAGGCCGGTTCAAGATGAGAGTGAAAATCAGGTCATGGACATGGATGTAAATGTCACTGTGAAAAGAGTCCGGTTCACTGGGGTCCCGCCATTCTCTACCAATGAAGACCCACGTCCCAAAAGAAGAGGCTGGTACAAAAAACCAGCAGTCTTGCGCTATCCACCTCCCCCACCCCAATATGCTATACAGAAATACACACTGCGACAAGAGGGCGCTACTTTCCACAACAGTTTGCGGGAGAATGAACTCGAAGGCAACAGTACAGCTCCAAAAAGGTCGTCACTTCTTGTACAGTCGGATACAACGAGCACTTCTGGGCACAGGCTGGCTTCCAAATTGCGGGATAAGCTTATTCGATGAAGGATGGGCAGGTATTACGTTGGTATTGGAATTTTTAGGAGACATCTTTCTCTCTATTCTCTACAGCAAGCTGCAAGATCCTTTCGCTAGCAATACAAAGCTGATTAGATATCAACGCATCTGATTCAGAAGCCAATTGACTACCAGATCGCTGAGTCCAGATCACTTTTTGCGATGAGTTTAGCGTTTTATCATCCCGACATGGTTTCAACTCCAAACTCGAAGAACATTCTTCAACAATGCTTGAGGAGGTCCAGCGGGCTTGGTCCGTGACCTGGTAGCTAGTCACTGTCTGACAGCTTGTTAGAACTGATGATGGCATGATCAGGTGATCCGCTGATATTATAGATCACCAATGACGAATATTAAATCTGGCATGGAATCAATTACTATAGTAAAATGAAAGGTGAGATGAGATGACTTTAGCAGGAACAACAGCTTTGAGCAGAAAGAGACATAGAGATGTCCTTCTCGTACTCTTTGAGCGCTTTGCTACCTAAACCAAAGCACTCGCAGAACGTGCTTGAGCCCTCGAGCGAAATCCAGGAACTAATTGCTCTATCCAACGATCCTATAACCATTGACAATGATGAGCAAGAATCAGACACATTTACCGATCGAGCTGTGAATTTTCAAGCATTTTTACCCTTGAGACAAAAATTCCCAGACCTTAAAATACCACTACCTAGTGAGACGGAAGTTCGCGATACTTATGAGCATACGAAAGCCTTTTTTGACACAATTTTGAAAGAAAAACTGAATCCGCAAGGCACCACAACGACGAAAGGCGTAAAAGGCACTGATGGTACTAAGACAATAGAATATAAAAGTGGGAATGACAGCAGTGGCGAGAGGAATCGTGTTTTGAAAATTGTGGATCGGAAGGTCGATCCTTTGCAGCCCAAAATGTTCAAAGTTAAGAAAGTGGTTAAACCGCTCAACGAAGATGAACCTTTTGCTCCCATTTTGCACAGATCAGACGACAGAGCACCTCAGCTCAGTAAAGAAGAGCGAGAAAAGTGGGCGATTCCGTCTGCTATATCAAACTGGAAAAATCCTAATGGTTACGCAATTGCGCTGGATAAAAGAGTGGCCGTCGATGGTAAGTCAAACCGAGGATCTGATCTTCATCATCAAATTAACGACGGGTTCACGGAACTTTCAGAGGCACTGGATACTGCTGAAAAGGATGCCAGGCGAGACGTAAAACTGAGAGCAGAAGCCAAAAGAATGTTAGCGGAGCAGGACGCTCGTGACAAAGAAGAAAAGTTGAGACTTTTGGCTCTCAAAGCTCGTGAAGAAAGAGCAAATGCTGCCAAGAGCCCTGCTGCTTCAATTGGAAACGAAGACGACTCCGTAAGAAACCGGGAAGCTGAGAAGAAGAAACGTCGGTTGCAATTAGAGAAAGACCTAAGACAGTCCAAAATGAGTACAGCTGACCGTCTGAGGGCTTTGGCCGCTAAACAGAACCGTGAAATATCTGAAAAAGTGATTATCGGCGCAGCTAAGGCCTCCGATACGTCTGGCGTCCAGTATGATTCTAGATTTTTTTCCAAAGCAGCGAATGCTAATGCCGCAAGGAGCGCAAACCAAGTGTACGACAATCCTTTATTTGTTCAGACAGGCATTAACACTATGTATCGTCCCAATTTCTCTCAGCTGGCGGATTCTCAACGGACAGAGGATATCACACAGTCTTTGGGTAAACAAGTGTTTGATACTACCTCTGAAAAGAGAGGTCGCGAAGGACCTGTTGAGTTCACAGAGGCGCAAATGGATCAGGAGGAGCCCGCAGCTTCCGAAATGGAACTCGATGCCTCTAGAACGCATCGAGCTACTTGATTTGATATCTATCATCATGTAACTTCTAGGTTTATCTATGCAGGCCGTAGACTATTGCGACGTTTTTTTCCTTCAAAGGAACCTGGTTATCTCAGTTAATCCCGAGCGTCATCTTCGCTCACGCTATCGAAGTGTTCACTCTCTCTGCTGTTTTGAAATACAGCTAGTAGCCTTTCGCTACGTCTCATGGCATGTTGCTCGATCCGCTTGATGGTACCACTTACTTTTACTGCATTCAAAATGATCTCTTCAATGCCTTCAATCTTGTTGATTAGTGTCAAAGCTACTACTACCAGTTCGTAGTCTTCCCGACTGCATCGTATTATCCCAGTCGAAGTTCGATTGGAAAAGTACTTCATTTGAAGCAAAGAGTTCACTTTCCCAACTCCATAGTCACCGAAGTTGTATTGCAGGACTTTTCGCAGCTCTTGTATTATTGTTTTCGTACTGATTTGTGCTGAACTAGCCTGGTGATGTCTTAAAAGGATCTCTCTCCGTGACGAACGTTCTGATGAGCTATTCTCTTGAGGTGCGGTTGGATAAAGTACTTCAAACAAAATATACCGACTTTTAAGGCGCACCATGGTTCGAAAGAAGCTCTAGATATGTATCCAAAATGTGTAGATATTGCCAGGTATTGTTTTCAAGAAATGTTCATAGATCTGTCAAGTTTCGTCGATTTTGAAAGGTTTATAGATGTCAACAATGATATGTAGAGCTTCAGCATGTCAATAAAGATTTGAGAGGAGAAGAAATCGAGGGCAGACTAAAAGGTTTGAAATGTTTTACAATTTGTACTGGAGCGATTATCTAGAGATTTTATACACAGTGAACAGATTAAATTGAAAGCTTCTCTTGTAGAAGTTCAGAAACTTCCTTGACAGCGTTCTCAATCCCGTCTGGCTTGTCACCAACACCTTGGAAAACGTTGGCTTTACCACCAGCCTTACCACCAATATTGCGAGAAATTCTGTCCAACAAGTCGCGACCAACAACACCTTTCTCGAGGGCTTTGTCGGAAATGTAACAACCGTGGGCAACCTTTTCGCTACCGTTCAGCAAATAAATGGTTTTGTCTTGGGCCGAGGTCTTCATGTAAGTGACAGCTTCGGTGATGGCTTTGGCGTTGGTTGGGATATCGATGTACTTGACGAAAAATTGAGCAGATTCGTTTTCTGCGAAAAAGTTCTTGACTTCATCGACGGTCTGCTTGGTTTCCTTCTTAGCACGAGTTCTAAGCTCATCTTTAACAGCTTTTTCAACCTTGGCAAACTTGGTCTTTAGGTCGTTTTTGGCGAGGACAGAAATGTTTAGCTGGCCAAGGTTGACACCGAGTTCCTTTAGTTTCTTCTCCTTCAGAGGCGAGAATGGCAATTTATCAGCGGCTTCAAGCTCTGCGTCGAAGCTAGATGCAATTCTTTGCACTTCATGAGCTTCGGTACCCGAAACTGCAACGATTCTGCGAATACCCTTGGCGATACCACTTTCCTCGGTAATGACAAATTCCTTGATGTCACCGGTCTTGTTGACGTGGGTACCACCGCAGAACTCAACCGAGTACTTCTGCCACTCTTCGCTCGTTGGGTTTGTCAACAAATCGTCAACCGGTTTGCCGACGGACACAACGCGGACAGGATCTGGGTAACTTTCACCGAAGACTGCACGAACGGATGATATTTGCTGAGCCAAATGCAAAGGAACATTTTTGAAGTATACCTGCAGATTGGCTTTGATCTGCTGGCTACACACATCTTCAACTTTTTTCACTTCGTCCAAAGTCAGAGCCTTTTTATGGGAGAAGTCAAACCTCAGTTTTTCTGGGCTGACCAGGGAACCCTTTTGGTCGACTTCGCCTCCGAGCACTTCTTTTAATGCAAAGTTCAAAATGTGGGTACCAGTGTGATTGTTCTTGATAGGGAAACGGCGTAGTTCATCAAAGGAAGCAATGATTTTGTCACCAACTTTGAGTTCACCTTCAGCAACAAACCCGGTGTGGAACACGTAACCGTTATAAAGCTGAACATTTTCTACTTTAAATTCAGTAGAGCCGTCAATCACCAAAGTTCCGACATCGTATTCTTGACCACCTTGCTCAGCGTAGAAACAGGTTTGGTCAAGAATCACACCATATTGATTGCCCACTTCGCCGGTACTAGAAACAAAGTTTTCACCATCGTAGATCTTCAAGACCGTAGCCTCCACGTTGGCAGAGGTATACTTTGGAGAGTCATCAGTCTTAGCAACGCTTTCTGAATTCAAAGTTGAGAGCCCGTGAACATCTAGCTTGATCAAGTCCGAAGCGCTCTTTTTACCGCCCTTTTTAGAAGCCTCGTAAGACTCCTGTTTAGCCTTCTCGAAGCCAGGACCGTCAATTTTCAAACCCTGTTCTTCGGCCATCAGTTCCGTCAAATCGACGGGGAAACCGTAGGTGTCGTATAGTCTCCAGACTTGAAGACCATCCAACGTCTTGGCCTCAGTTTCCAAGGCGGTCTGGGCGTACTTTTCAAATAATTTTTCACCTCTGTCTAGAGTCTTGGCGAAAGAAGCCTCCTCTTCATCCAAAATTTCGAACAAATAGCTTGGATCTTTTGCAATTTCAGGGAACATACTTTTTGTTTGTTCTATCAAAGTGGGAGCCAAAGTAGAGAAGAAGTTACCAATTGGGTAGTTCAAATATTTACGCGCGTAACGAGCACCTCTTCTCAAGATACGTCTCAGCACGTAACCTCTTCCCTCATTGTTTGGCACACCACCATCAGCCAACGCGAACATTAGCGTACGTACGTGATCGGCCAAGACTCTATAAGCTGTGTCAACACCGTCGACATCTTCAGCTCCGAACTTTCCGGCGTAGCCTCTAGCGCCTGTGATTTCTTGAATACGAGCAAACAGCGGCTGGAACACGTCAGTGTCGTAGTTGGATCTAACATCTTGCAAAACAGACACAAGTCTCTCGAAACCCATTCCGGTATCAATGTGTTTGGCGGGCAAAGGTCTCAATTTCCCGTTCTGTTCTCTGTTGTACTGGATGAAAACGATGTTCCAGATTTCCAAAACGTCCGGGTCATCCATATTGACCAAGGACGACGCATTTCTGCCTCCGATACGGTCGTAGTGAATCTCAGAACAAGGACCACATGGACCTTGTTCGCCCATTTCCCAGAAATTGTCCTTTGTGTCACCGGTCAAGATGTGGTCGTCTAGAACCCCAACTTGGCGCCAGAAGTCGCGCGCTTCGGTGTCTGCTTCCAGTCCCTGTTTTGCATCACCTTCAAAATAGGTCACATAGAGTCTGTCCGCTGGAATTTCGTATACTTTGGTAAGCAACTCCCATGCGTATGCAATAGCTTCTTTTTTGAAATAATCGCCAAAAGACCAGTTCCCAAGCATTTCGAAGAAGGTGTGGTGGTAAGAGTCTCTTCCGACGTCTTCCAAATCGTTATGTTTACCACCAGCTCTAATACATTTTTGCGAGTTCATCGCACATTTCAAGTTATAGAAATCGGAAGATGGATCCACCGTACCCAAAAAAATGGGCTTGTATTGATTCATACCGGCATTAGCAAACAGCAGCGTAGGGTCATCATATGGCACAACTGGGGAAGAAGCAACAAACTTATGGCTACGTTGACTGAAAAAATCCAAAAATGTGGAACGAACGTTAGTTGCAGTCCATTTTTGCTTGTCACCGACAGTCATTTTGGCTCTGGTAAAGGAAAACCGGGTTAAGCTCTTGCGCAGCACTTTTCAAACACCTCGGGGCGGTTCAAACCGTGAACTGGGGTCTCTTTATCTCGGAAGATCCTTATGGTTTTCCCAGTATCGGTGATGAGATAAAAGGAAGATTTTGATATTTTCGCTATATTGAATAGTAAATTTTCGTCAAGAGTGATGAGCTGGTGACGTGAAAGGAAAAGGCTACGAGCAACCGATATGGAAGTATAAGCCTTAAGAGGAGGCTGATAGGAATCATGCTTTGGTATCTTTGGATGGACTTCTTTTATCTTGATGCAAGAGTGAAATCTGTATCGGTTTTCTTCGGTTAATTTTGGGAGCTCAGAAGCACTGAAGTGGGTGTTAGCTAAATTTCGAGACGCAGAACGGTTTTGAGTGTATAACAGCTTGACTCTAAGGCTCCATCTTTTATTGTAGATATTGTTTTGATGAGAATGTTGTGCTATTGTGAGAATTGTATCACTTTTTACTATCGTGACGGCGCCATATTCAATAACGTTAACAAGACAGGTATAACCTGGTGAAAGCAGAGTGGGTTGAAATCTGCATTGGTGATTGACCAAGAGGAAGAGATCTTTGAAAGTCCAGCGTAAGTAGCTTTGCCAAAGGAGAAAGAAGTTTGATGTATGCGGAGAAAAGTAAGCTGCGGCGCCTAAGGAAATTGTGATCGTGCTATTTTTTGAGGGCTTTCTTCATCATCAACAGAGCAAAAGCAGTTCATGGCCTCAATCGCATCACTAATCGTACATTGTACTGCTCTAATGCAAAGTTTCTGGTAGCTAAAGCTAAAACCATGTTGAAACCAGCAAGAATAGCATCCCACGTGACCGACGTCAGCGACAGATATTTAAATGGAAATAGTTGGAGCTTTACAATCGGCATGGAGTTTTAAGCCGACCACAGCTCTTAGACATTCATCTTGGGCTATTTCCTTTGCTGTATGGTGCAGCTATAGTCAGTCGAATTCCTTCACAGATGATGAACCTCTATTCCAACATTTCCATCTTACACATTGAAGACCCTCTCGAGAGCAAACCAATGCAAAAACCTTGTCATTTATTCCCTTTAGATCTTCACAATTGAGCACTTAACTCGATCACTTCAAGAATCAATGCGGTATTCTCATTTTACCAAATTGTATTAAATGTTCAAATGTCTCACAACAATGAGGCAAGCAAACATTCTTAATGCTCATAATCGTACTTAAATGTATCCAAAATATGCGTTGTATCTTTTAAACCTTTAACATCGTACTATTTATCGTGTCGCACCTTGATCTCTCGCCGTGTAACGCTACATGAGCTTCGAAATTTGGCGCCTATTACACTTGAATCAGCATAGCTGAGAATGATCGATGTTGTAAAATAAACAATAACACATTGAACCTGAGCATCAAGATGTTTGGGTCCATCTTTCTGATACTTCTTGGTGTCTTCCATGTAAGTGGATTGACCACCATAACTTTCCCGCACTCTTCGTCTGGCCAGACATTACGGGCTTGGAACACTTTAGTCAAATTAGTGGATGATCGAAACGTCTTGCAGCAATTGTATTTCGAAATTGCAGGAGTTGCGGATGATTCAGATGACTGGGATGGAGCTGATGATTCTGCTCAATTTTCGGACCGCATAGTGGATGTTTTATATTCCTACAACTCTGATTTGGCGGGTCTCTTTCCTTTGCATTTCGCAAGCGAACCGGGGTTCAGTTCAAATACGTCAAATGAAAACTTCTTTATACTCAATGACAAAAAATTTCAATCACCCGACGATCTTTTCTATCTCAAGAGCTCTGATCTCGCTGCCCAAAAATTAACGATTGAGAGTGAAATAACAAGTCCGGAGGACGTCATTCTCGGGAGTAATGAAAACGCTCCTCTTATTCAATTTTACGGATGCGATCGTGTCTCAAGTTGGGAATCATTTAATAGAAACCTGCTCACAGAGTGCCAGTCTGGGAAAATAAGGTTTTTGTGGAGAAGTACGTGTCCAAACGACCAAATTTTGGATTTCGTGCCTTCTGCTGTAGCATTAACGGTTAAAAATTCACAATGGGACAAACCTGTCGAACTTCCCTTGGAGGTGCCCGAATCCTTCAGAGACAACGAGTACTATGCACAGCAAGTCAATGATGCGAAGTTGAGTGATCTCGACAAAAAAGTAACATCTGCTATCTGTGACCTCTACGAAGAGACTAAGGACTTCTCAAAGACTTTAAAATACATGAAACAAGTGGTTGACAATTTTCCTGCACTAGCCCAAAAATTGACAAAATTACAAGTCTCGGACACGAAGCTCGTCGAAGCCCTGAATAAGACAACTGAAAATGGTATTGATCATACTATGCTCGGCTTTTATATCAATGGTCAGTATCACAAACTCTCGAATTTGGATAAAGTCTCTGTTGTAGAAGCTGTGACAGCAGAACTGACTCGTATTGACCTAATAAGGAAACTACTGCAGGATTATGAAGGTTTGAACGACAAAGAATCTACAACTGTAGCCAAGGATCTCGTACAGAAATTTTCTACTCACTCGCTGGCTACTCTTCAAAACTCGCAGCCCGCCAAATATGATTTACATCGCGTACCCGGCTTTTCGGAAAGCGTTATCTACTTCAATGACATTGAGAATGGTGCAGTTTACAAAGAAAAGCTAAGTGACAATATTGGCGAGTTTTTCAAGCAGTCAGAATTCGGTCACATACCGGCTTATAGGGAAAACTGGAATGAAGTTGTCTTTGTTATAAACTTATCCGAACTCGAGTCGAAGGACACATTGGAAGCTTTACAAGGATTACTCAGAGCAGTATCAGTTGTCGAAAACGGACACCCTCAGAGAATTGGTTTTCTTCCCATGGTAACCAGCTGTCAAGACAATGGTTTACTTCGCAGGATATATGAGTTAAAAAGTAAAAGTTTGAAAAGGCTTACAAACTACCTGCAAGAATTGTCTGTCGGAACCGGAGTTAGATCTAGTGAATATAAAAATCTTCCTCCAGTGTTGGATATTTTGCATGCCAAGTTGAAGTTGAAGAATTCATCCATCATCATCAATGGCGAAATATATCCCTTCAAAAGCAACCTATGGAACTATATGATAGCCAAAGTGATAAAAAAAGATGTTTCGTACATCAAGGATGAGTTGCGCCGTATCAATGCTGCTGGTGTTCTTACTGCCAGAGAAATACTACACAGAAGGTCTTTCACCGAGAGAAATCTAAAGCTCGCACCAGACTACTTTGAGGATGCAACATACTTTGTTACCAATACGACAGTTTTAAAGAAATTAGGAACAAGACTACTTGAATTCACAAAGAGCAGGGATCATAATGTACTGCATACCATTTCTATCGTTGATGACTTCAATACTCCATTAGCGCTCAGAAGACTGCTTAACGCTTCAAAAGTGGGACTTTTGGGGGTAAGGATTAGAGCCATACACACGGGTGTGGAAACAAAACAATGGAACAAGGTTCGACAACTAGTGGAGAATTATTCCTTCACTAATATCGAAAAGATTATCTCCACCATAAAAGCGAAAAGTGCAATCAATGTTATCGATCATGCAGTTTTCAACGCGTGGATATTTGAGCTGCCATACGATAAATCTGTCAGAAACTCATTCATGACAATCAATGGAAGATTCGTACAGTTTGAAGAAGATGAAGTGCCTTCTACAAACGAATATGAAATGATTTTGCAGCGCGAAGCACTACGTGTCCTTGATGCCACCCAAGCGCTGCAGGACATCTTTCCTCACTTTTTAGACACAAGCATAGATTCTGATCTGATTGAAATGGTATCAAGTGTCTTAACGAAATTGTTTTACGATGGGCAGCGTTTTTACAATAATGGCATTGATTACACCGCGGAAGGCTCATTATCCCGAATTGATTTGGAAGAGTTTGTGAATTTTGCTGCTTACAATTCTTTTCAGCATTCTTCGGACGTCAAAAAAGTTGATATCACACTGATCGTTGATCCCCTTGAAGAAAGAACGCAGAAACTTTTGACGCTGGTCTCTGAATTACAGGGATTAGATTTCATAAACATTCGTCTACATTTTCTGCCAACGATGGATCTGAAACTTTTTCCAATTCATAGGTTCTGGTTTGAAATCAGCGATCTGACTCCAGAAATCGAAGAGCCTGGCAAATATTATGTTGACATTGAACGTCCATTACACTGGCACCTTGGTCCACTAAAGGAAGGAAGTGCAGAGTTTGAATATGCTATACTCGAAATAAATGCATTCGACGACGCGGCAGTTCCCTCAAAAGGTCTCGTTGAAGGTAAAGGAAATGTCTGTCTTCAGTTAGTTAACAGAGAAAACAAAGTTATCGATAAAACCTTTACATCAACCACGTTCGGATACGGCCAACTGAGAATTCACAACCTGGGAGGGCATTATCGAATTGAAAGCTGTTCCGAGAACCTTAAGGTGACTTCGTTCTCGTTTGACGCCCATTCGAATTACGCACCTGCCAAGTCGTTTGACGTCACCAGCTTCTCTCCTTTGCGCGCTTACGTCAAAATAAAAGACGAGGAGAATTTTCAAACAACTGAAAGTCTTGACGTTGTGAGGAGCTCGGTTGACATTTTCTCAATTGTTGAAAATCAGGATGAAGAGAATGCACTTAAAGGCTTAATCGCCAGCATCCTCAACTCAAATTTGGAAAATGGCATTAGGTTGTGGGTCTTGACAGGTGAACCACCTTCAATTGATTTACTTCAATTTCTGAACGATGTGTCCAGGAAGTTTGGAAGTCGTATCAAATTCGAATTCATAAAATATGACTGGCCGCGTTGGTTAAGACCACAACGTTTCACCGAAGATGAACTTGTGGCCGTAAAGGTCTTGATGCTGGATTATGTTTTCCCAGGTGAAGTCGATAAACTCATGTACATGGAGCCGGGTACCAGACTTGAAGATCTCAAAGCCTTATGGGAATTTAAATTCGACACAACTTTTTGCCTGCCCCGTGCGTACCATTCAGATGGCATACCGTATTGGAAGGAGGGCTATTGGCAGACTTTCTTGAGCAAACACAATCTGAAATTCCATGCAATTGATCCGGTCTTCATTGTGAACCTTACCAAGTACAGGAATGATCATGTTGGTGAAAAAATGCGGATCCATTACCAACGCCTCTCTGCTGGCATCAACTTTTTGGCAAAAATAGATCAGGACTTGATAAACGATATGCAGCCGAAAGTCCCAATATCAACGATGAGAAGGAGCCTAGTTGCACAAAAAGTTACTCAGCGAGACTGGGATGATGAAAATATTGAATCATTATACAGGCAACTGATAGAGGATGACGCTGCACCAGTGAATCAAAACGATTTTGATCATGATGAGCTGTAAGTCCTCGCGAAGCTCCAAGTAAGCTGGGACATTAATACTCATCTATTTACGAACAATGGCTGACTGGACACAAGACGTGGAGAAGTGCTTAAAGTTGGCTAACGTGGATTGTCTGCGAAGCTGCAAGAAGGTATAATTTCACCACCACAACATGAGTAGAGTCCGAGCCAATAATCAATACCCATACCTCGAGTTTAAACCTAGGCTCAGATCCGAGTACTTCGGACGCGATATTCATCTTGCGTCGGAATCTTATAAAGTGACCACAATTGATGAATTATTTGACAAGATGCTATGAAAGTTGAATGATGATCAGATGAATCAAACTTGATCAGCGGTTGAGTTCTACCCGTAACGGTTAACGAAGTTGGGCACCCAATGCTTGTTCACACGTAACTCTGCACTCGTCATGAACAACTTAAAGACTGCTGGTGGCTCGAACAAAAGGGTGCTAGATGAAATCACTTCAACAACAGAGGAAACCCAATCTAGTGAGAACTCATTCTTGGAGCCTAAAAGACTAGCTTGTTCCAACTGTCGACGTCGAAGGAAAAAATGTGACCTGAAATTCCCGTGTGGGAATTGTTCAAAGCTGAACTTAGAGTGCAACGTCAATATGGAAGATATGAGAAAAAGACGGCACACGGCGAGTTATGTGGGCTCTTTGGAATCTCACGTTGCCTCATTGGAAACAAAACTACGAAATCTAACCGATACCCTTGCGTCTATAAGCGGTTCTAATCTTTCCAAAGTTGGTTCGAACGCCACGAAAAATGGCCCTGGTCTTTCTTTCATGGGTAACATTTCAGAGGATTTGTTAAATGGTTGTAGCACCAAAAACATTCCGATTTCTGAAGTCAATAATCTAAGCTCCTTGAATGATGATAGCTTGCGCAAGAAAGGGTTTGTAAAAGGAAGCATCTATCCCGAGGGACCTGCAAGCTACAAGCCAAATAGATCCGATCACTCTGTAATCAAACCGAAGAACAGAATAGCAGATTTGAAAACCACTGTGATTGTACGAACAAGCGGTGAAGATGGAAGAGCTCTCAATGCCAACGCACAAATTTTAAAAAGTCTATCTAACTTTTACGTTTGTCTTTATCCCGGTCATTTCGTATTTGTTCATCGGGAAAGTTTCCTGTACGGCTTCTTCAATCACAGTGACGATAACTACGACAGTTCTCAATACTGCTCCGAAGAGCTCATTTATGCTGTGGCAGCGATTGGGGCCAGATTAACGCCTGATTTACGAAATCTTGCAAAAACTTACTATCAAAAAGCAAAAGAGAAACTCTTGATGATCGTTTTCAGCGAGCATAGTATAGCCAAGATTACAACTGTTCAGGCACTTTTGTGTTTAGCGTTTTATGAGCTGGGCAATGGCCAAAACCAATTGGCTTGGTATTTTTCAGGGCTTGCCATTCGGGTTGGACACGATATGGGTTTTCAATTGGATCCTAGGGTGTGGGTGACAGATGAATCAAGTTCTAATGAGCTCTCTCAAAGTGAACTTGAAATAAGAAGTCGAATTTACTGGGGTTGTTACATTGCCGATCATTTTATATGCCTCTTGCTGGGCCGCACCTCAACGCTGAGTGTATCGAACTCCACCATTCCTGAAAGCGATGAATTACCAGAAGTTCACGGTACAGAGGAATTTCGATTTGATAGTAAACACGTTTTACAGGTCTCACTACCACTGAAAAATTTGGTAATCCTTTCGAGAATAGTGCAGGTCTTTACGGCCAAAATATTTATTGAGCCGAGCAGTACGTCGCATCGTATCGAATATCTTATCAAATTTAACCTTAGGGTTTACAATTGGCGACAGTCATTGCCTCATTTTTTGAAATGGTCCAAAAACCTGATTAAAGACCTAGACAGGTCCACGGATCCTACCATCTGCTATTTTTGGTACCATTACTACATTGTACTTTTGACATTCAACAAACCATTCATGGAAGATTGTAAAGAGGCTAAAACACTTGTTTTAGAAGTACTTGGAGAAGTCAAGACTTTATTGTCTAATTTTCAAGTTAAGTTTGGCAACTACGAAAAAGGTGGTATCTACCAATTGTACAGTTGCCTTCTATCGTTAGCGTGCTCTCGAAAATTGTCCAACATGTCACTTCCAGCGCAGGCGACACTTACTGTGGAACCCGCGAAAAGGGATTTGAAGTTTTTCACAGACGTTTTCCAACAATTTGGCGTAAGTTACGATTTGCCGCGGAAACTTGACGAAGAGCCCGACTTGGAGGTGGAAAACGATCCAACTTCTATCAACCAGTTGAACAATTTGGCGTACACACATGATTTTTCCTTAAGCGACGAGATCGACGATCTAATCAAACAAGTATTTGGGTTTGAAAGCTGGTCTCTGAACACTGGCCATTCAGTGTAAGTAGTTTTCGGTGTTGAGACTGGTTTTGATTTTTCAAGCTTTGTAGTTGAGGCGAGCGTTAGAGAGCTGAGAGAAGAGTACATGAGATACAATGGTGTGTTAAGTTTTTAGATAAATGTGATGAAAAAATAGAATGCTTGCAAACACGTTGAAAAGCTTGAACTATAGTCCGATTTTCAGTACTGAAGAGCTGAGGCTATCGTTGTGAACCCCTGAGCTGGGAGTTTTTTACCCATACATATTGTTTAATTCCTGTACCTACTTATATCCTCTATGTCGTTACTTTGGCTTTCTTATAGCTCAGTAAACATATGAGCTTAGATTTATATTATATACGCCTTGTTGACCCCCTCCTGCTTTGCTAGAGATACCAAGACAGACTTTGTCTAATTACGAGGACCGTAAGTTAGACTCAACGTAACAATTCCATTTGGTAGGCTCCGTATACCGCTGTTGAACTCCACGCACCCTTCAGAAAAAATTGTCATTGCAACGAAACCGCGAAGTTCATTTTTCGCAACAAGTATCTTTTTTTTTAAGTTCCCCTTTGAGATCAGCGTTTTTTTCGAATGGGCAGCTGTCCCTACGAGCCGCGCATATCTTTACGCTCTGGCAGAAAGTTTTGCGGATTCCAATTTGGATACCTCGTTGCAAAGAGAAGTAGGTTGCGCTCTGACACTTCTTTTTTCAAGATAATTGATCCCGGATATGCACTCTCTTGATCATCTCGAGGGCTACCATCGAGACTTCGACCGGCTGCTCCTTCAGAACTAATCTTCTCATAGATCTACATTCCGCAAATAATGCTCGCAATAACCTCAACTTCTAGAGTATTACGGAACCACTGCCGACAGCTAATATCCACGTTAAGACTTGAAAGATGTGGAAAGGCTGTCTGAGCAGCTTTCACGTCGGTGATTTTATTGAAGAACGCCAACGTATCTTTCTTCTTTTCTAATCAGATATGAATTGTCTTTCGGTTTCTTGTGATCTGTGAAAGCAATGCTTCCAATTGTCTCATTCCCAAGACATACCAAGAAGCCGGCGAGTATATTCTTCATACGTTCAGGAAGCCAGGTGTGATTGTTGGGTATAATGAAGTTAGGGCTTTCCAATTGCATTATCATGGTATTGAGCACCATACGATGTACTGACAACTCAAAAAGTATGTTGGTGTGCTTTTCTACTATTAAGGAGTATCATAGTAAGGCTATTTGAGGGCATTCGTAGTAGTTTACGGGCAGAGCTGACTATTCCCATGAATATAAGCAACACTACTTCTTTCTATCCAAGAACAGCCCTGAGACAGCTCATAAATTCGTCATGATCAGCTATTACAGGCCTTTTTTGAGCGTTGACCATTCTTACTTGATGTTCTGGAGATCGAATTGTATCCGATGAGTTAGTTGTTATATTAGCATTTCAAGTGAAAGACTGGGTGTCTGGGTCTTCAAGCACAAGTCTTACTCGTAATGTTTTAAGCACAGAGGATTCGAGCCCTTATTTCATGATGTCACGACGGAAATGTCATTGAGATTGCAACCACCCAGACATTTAGTTAAGAGACCCAGACATCCACGAGATCCTGACATCCACCCACCCAGACACCTGAGAATCCTGACATCCGGCCACCCAGACATTTATTTTCACCACCCACACACCTGTACATCCAGTCACCCAGCCACCCAGACATTATGCTTAAACACCCACACACCTGTACATCCGGACATTCGTCCACCCAGTCATCCCGCCCCGTTTCTTTTTTCCTTCTTTACCGTCTTTGCGACCCTTCCATCTGTTACCCGGCCCGCCCCTTCCAATTGCCTCCGCCCCGATGTTTCTTTTTTTTTGGTAGGTCTGTTCTTTTGGCTCATTTCCCCGGAAAAAAGCAACTCCTCCCACTTCTTTTGGTCGCTAGCCACGAGCAACAATCGGGAGTCCCAGGATACGAAATATCACTCATCACAGTATCTCTACCGGCAATATATAAAAATGCAAAAGCGATGAGATGAGATGAGATGAGATGAGATGAAGCCGTTACAAGAATAACTTCGTTCTTCTTACTCAGCAATAGAAAAGCATTGCAAGCTCTTAAAGCTCTGAAAGCCTGAGTATATATACGTACAATTAGTGAAGTCTAGCGTACCATCTTTTCAAGTGTGTTTTTTGACAGCTTACCAATAGGTTTCGCACTCGAGAAACAGACACAACAAGATCTATTCGAAAGCGGTACTTTGGAAGTGTTTCTTTCCCGCTGCATAGAATTTGACTATACTTCATACTGGCATCATGGAGATCAATTCGCCTCAGCCAGAACATGCTCAATTGGTTGGGTCCCGGGTGCACCCCAAGACGGCCGCTTCCGGCCGTCTTTTAGCAGCCCTACACCAACAGGTGGTTAGTGCCACCAATGCGGCCAGCAGACCCGGACCCGGGTCGATTGATGCGGCTTTGTTGGAGCCTGCCATCGTGGAAAACCAGCTCATCCCATCTCCACCATTGTCGCCCAAATTGGTGGCTCAGGATATCAACGACTCGTTTGAAAACGACTCCAAGACCCTGGCTCACGAAGAAGACTACGATTCGCTACTCGTGAGCCCGATCAGTGACGCCCAGGTATCACCCAGACGATACCGTGCAGCAACGCTTGGGTTCCTGGCCCAGTACCGGTGCATAGATCTGTCAAGGTCCCACAAACGGTATCCAGGATCCTCTAATTACAAAACAGCTCGCAGAACCCGCAATTACACATTTTCCCCCGCTGGAGCAGCTTCTCACAATTCCGGAAACTCCGATTTCGAGAGATCGTACCGCACGCGGCGTGTCACTGGCAACATGGCCTCTCAATCGGGTTCAGCCCTACGTCGCCCTGGAAATTTAGAGCTTTCTCGTGATTCCACACCAGTCATTTCAAGACCCTCAACACCTACAAACAGACATCGCAAAACCGCACAGGTATCTTCGCCATTAGCTTCTGCTGCAGCAGTATCTGCCCCAAACATGAGTTGGGAGCGTTTACCAGACTACAGTCCGCCAATATCGTTGCTACCTAACAACAACAAGTGTCTGAAAGTTGAATGGAAGGGTTCATCCATGGATCTTTCTGACGATCTTCTTAAGGACCATCTACATCCAGCAGAGTTGCAATTGGCTCAAATACTAAGGCTGCCATGCGACTTATACCTGGACTCCAAGCGCAGACTTTTCTTAGAAAAAATGCATCGTTTGAAGCAAGGGTTACCGTTCAGAAGAACTGATGCTCAAAAGGCATGTAGGATTGACGTGAATAAAGCGTCCAGACTTTTTGCAGCCTATGAGAAAATTGGATGGTTGCAAGATGACAAATTCGAAAAGTTTCTATGAACCAGCGAAGTTAGCTTTCGGTTCAGGGTATATGGAACACTGGCATTTTATTTTTTGGTAATGATTTTTGGTAATATCTCGGGCAATTTTTTATGGTACAGGGACAAACAACGGTGATCCAGTTGGGAGAAGCTAGGTTTCACCGTAATCTGGAAAGTTTTAATAACTTGATTCATTTCAAGAACTTTTTATTACATTTTTTATACATGTATATGTATGTTTCAACTTCTTTTTTCCAGCTTTTGAAGCAAAGAAGAATCTAATACTATTCTTTTGATAAAATCTGTTGTTGTAGTGTTGCGGGCCAGCCCATTCATATTTTTTTTTCAGTCCTCAATTTCCTCGTAGCGCGCCAACAGTTTCTTCTTGTATTCTTGCATGTCATTATCCCACAGATCTGCGGCCACTGCGTTTAGAGGAGAGCTATTGTTGGGTTCTTCCAACAACGATTGCAGTGATAGCAGGATTGTCTGAACGTTGTACACTGCAGACCATTGATCTTTCAAAATGTCCAAACAGATGTTTCCGCTCATATCTACGTTTGGATGCCACATAGGACTCACAAACCGAACTTTTGGCGCCGTGTATGGGTACGTCTGTGCAAACTCTAAAGCGATCTTGAACTTTAAATCCTCATATGGTGTTCCCTCGGGCCCCGTAACAATACCACTCCATTTGGTCAAATCCTCTTCGCTTTCAGGGAAAGCGCTCACCCCAGGAGAAGGTGACATCATAAGTTGCACCAATTCGCTTTGTAGTCTTTTCACTACCGAATGGCCCTCTGGAACCTTAGTTCTCCCATTGTTTTCCATTTGAAAAGACGTTGTTGGCTGAGTCAGGTTGAGTCACACAAAAATCCACCGATCCTCGAGTTTACCTCTACTTCTGGATCCTTTTCGAGCGATGAGCTCTTGATCAAGTTTCTCGTGGTAGTTCTAATTCGTTATGGCCAACAAACAAACAGCACACAAGTAAAATACAGATAGTCATAGGTCATGTGATCAAGGTCACATGTTCCGGCTACTTTTTAGTCATGTGATCTTTGGGTGTATGGGTGGTAAATGTCATCTGGGTTCGGTAGCGCGTTGTAACGCGGACAAGTCGGGCGAATTGACTGGTAGTTCGTCATCTGGTAGATGCGAAGTTAGTAGCGTAGAATCGTGGTCCGAATAGTGGTTTTTAGGATTTGGTTGAGACTCCTCGTTTGCCAAAAGCTCCTGAAGCTCCAAACGCGTGTTTTGAGCAAGATATTGGGTTCTTGAATGTAACAACGGAGAGTCTTCTTTTTCAGGTGCGGCCACAAGACTGTGAATATGATGGGAAGAGCACTTGTCATTAGATTCGAGGACCAGCCCGCGAACCTGCGACACCACGAACCGGAGACTTTCGTTAATCGGGGTCAACGAACGCCAGATTGCACGTTGTTCCTCGTTTGTTGCAACGTTCTCGTCGGCAAACATTGCCATAACTAGCCGTTTGTATTTTTGTATTTGCCACAATAGTCTCTGGGAGCGGTGCAATTCGTCCCTGAGCTGTTTGTGTTGTTGTAGTTTGGAGCGCAATTCTTGAAGTTTGTTCTCCACGCTAGCCACCATTTCGTTTTCTTCTGCAGATTCTGAGGTGCTTTGCAGCACCAGCGAGTCGTGATGTCGGAGACGAAACGACCCGTTTTCTATCAATGATTGTGGAATTTGTAGCACGTTCCGTAATATGTACAATTCCAGTTTGTCAAAGCTTCTGTCCACGGAATGCTCCCATAAAGTCTCCACTTTCGCAATCCCCACGCGAATCTCCTCCGTGTAGTCGTGGCCACCCACAAAATTGCGTTCTAACAAGTATTTTTCCATCGCCTGTGTGCATTTATACATCAACTCATTAACCGCGTTTATAATGTCGTCTACCAAAGAAATAGGCGGGTAGCCCAGATGTTCCGTGAGTAGAAGCGTCGTGCGCATCGTGGGCGCCGTCATGGTCTCTAAGGAGCTGAGAAACGGTGGAAACGAAAGGATGTGGATGAGAAAGCTGCGATCAAACTAGTCGTGTTGTTTGCATTAGTTCAGGATGTGATGCATATAGAGCATTTCGATATTAATTTAAGAATGTCGTTATTAGTGACGGTGTTAGGTAAGCAAACCTTTCATACGTCACGTGATACTAAAATCTATGCTAGTCAAAGAACGTTTAAGGTTTAACTAACGGTGCGTGGTCCCGAATGGACTATAGATATAATCATGTCAGACTGTATTTTTAAAAGCCTGATATTCCCTCTTAGTTCGTCAAACTTCTTGTTTTCCTTGTTTTTCTTTTCAGTCTCTCGTCAGTTTGACTTCTTTAGCTCATCTCTCTATCACCTAATGCAAATGTGCTTATTACCACTATACATGTATTTGTACAATCACTTGACAAAAATGATTACTCGCTATCGCTCGAGTCGCCACTGCTGCTGCTAGAGTTGCTCTCGTACACGATCTCCTCTCCATTGTCTTCTTTTACTCTCTTGGAAAGCTCAAGATCCTTGTGGCTCGCCTTGTTTTCCGTCGAGACTTCATCATCAAAAATGATTTTTTTATTGGACACAACGGGCAAGTTTTCAGCTTGAGAACGGTTTTGTTGGCCCGGCACTTCGTCTTGAAGCAACGAGCCTTCGAGCGATATCACTTTCCCTGTCGTGTAAACGTTTCTCACCGTGAATTTTAGCTTGCCATCCAGCTGTTGCCCGTTTTCATCCACCCAGTGGCCAAGCGATCTTGGTTGTTCCGCATCACCGTCATTTCCACCTTCTTCGGATCCATTGATGTCCTCATTGTGTATAAAAGTCCATTCCGGTGGAATTGTAGTCTTTTTTATGCTTGCATTGAAGGCATCGTGGATCAGAAGACCGATATGGGATGGAGATTGTATGAAAACCCAACCCTCAATTACATTGCCCACTTGAGGTTGCCATACGTACAGATCTACGCTGCACCATGCAAATCCAAAAGGTGTGTCAGCACTCACTTTGATTAGTTTATGTTCGGACAACTCATCATCTGGACTCGCATCTTTAATTTCAAGATTCTGGTACCCCAGCACAACACCACCCACATCACTGCTGTACTTCATTATCATTGGGTTCAAATGCTGTTTCTTAATGCCTTTGTTGGGCTCTCCCATATATGTAGGCGCCAGCGAAACATACATCGATACGGGCACACGGACGATGCATTTCGATGTACCGGTGGTTTCATCTAAAGGATTTTTGAGCGCTTTCTTATGCCTCTTTACAAATGCCACATTTCTCTGCTGTTCTGAAGACCTTTTCGCGCTTGACATGGCGTCCTCCTGGTTGAAGGCTAGAATGCATCTTTCAGCTATGGTACCAAAGCGATGCGATGCGATGAGCTTAACATTTAATTTTCAGAAAATTTTCTATCATTCTGTTTTTTCGTGTCGTTTTCTTGATATTTGTTAAATTAGTCGTCTTCCGAGTTTCCTACCGTAAACTCAAGGACCAGCGGGCCTTCTCATTGGAAACATCGGGTTTGTACGTTACAGCTAGGGTTTGAAAAGCATCTTCTGACTGATTCTGTCTTGAAGGAACTATAGAGCTGGTTGTGTATGTTGGAGAAAAGGTAAGGATCACCAAAATTTGAGCGCTCCTGGCACGTAAAAGAGGATCACTCGCGGGTTAAGGAAACTCGAAGGGGAAATAAAAATGCTGAGAGGGGTCATCTCTCAACAGTTCTTAACACACACACATTTAAATCGGTCTCGAGCACGTGACCAGAGTTTCCCTCCTGTCTACGATGATAACTACATATAAGATAATATATACAGAGTAGTGTTCTATGATCACATCAGAGCGTGGAAACCACAACTTTGATCCAATTTCGTCTGAATGTCCGTTTTCAGCGGCATGTCCCACTCCCCGTCATTTCACCTCCCATCACTCCAAACTTCTGTCTATATCCAAGCTCAAGTGTCAGTTAAACTCAATACCATTAATTTCGACATAATCATAAAATCTACATATTCCGTATATCCTTCAATGATTGTCAATCTTCTCTTTGATTTTGTTTTCCGCCTTTGAACCTTGACCCGATCCCAAAACGCTGCTGGCAATACCACCGACAGTTCCAAGATGCAGTTTGTTACCGGCGTCTGCTCCCAAGACCGATCCGGCAATGGAGCCAACGAGGTTGCCTTTGTCGTGAGATTCTGCGTTTTTGTCAGGCATTTTAAAAGTATTTGGTTGGATATGAAGACCCTGCTTGATTGAAACTGGGGATCTACATGCTGTCGAGGGTCTGCGCTTCCCTTTATATAGTCCAGTAGCATTTAATTTAAAGTTGCTGCTGCCGAGAGACCTCGTCGATGGTGATATGGGCCTGCGATCGAGAGCAATGAGACTCCTGGAAAACAAGATAGAGCGTCGAGGCTTTCAAATATAATACGAAATGTAATGGTAAGTAGTGGAATGGTTTAGATATCGATCGGAAACTTCAGACGTTTCAAGAACGCATATCACGTGATGAGTGTCACTTTTATGTAAATCCCATTTCTTGGCGCTGGCTTGCGTAGTCGGGCGATTATCAGCATTTTGAGCATTTTGTTCGGAAAGCTCAGTGGCGTGCAAACACTCAAAATTGATTGAGATTCAGAACATGAAAACGAATTTCTGACTTAACCTGACAAAGTGACAGACCATTCCTGACTTTAATGTAGAGCCCCAAAATTGGCGTCTGAGACAAACCGAACTGGAAACACCAGGGCTACTAACAACAGGACCAGCACCCTAAAATCGTAGCTTGGCAGTATCTGAAAAGCCATTTTTGTCAAGTCGATGGAAATTATATACCACGTGATCATAAATACATCAATCACCCAAGACGAATTTCAACTTTAAGGCATAAAATTTTTTCATAGCGTAGTTAAACTCATCTCATCGCATCTCATCTCATCGATCCAATACTTTGACAACGTTTTCCATTCAAAACGCTTGAGAAATCAACTGTTATAGCTCCAACACTGCTTGTTACTGCTATCAGTTAACATTGGAGGCGCTTGAAGGGTTAAGCAGCTTTTTCTGGCGCTTTTTTTCGTTGATTTTTCATAGTTTTTAGTCTCATTTCGCATTACCACTACTGTCACCGCCATAACACGACATGGATATCTCGAAACCTGTTGGCTCCGAGATCACATCGGTCGATTTTGGTGTGATGTCCACACAGGACATTCGGAACGTTTCTGCGATGCAAATTACAAATCCAACGGTTCTGGACAACTTGGGTCATCCTATTTCTGGAGGGTTGTACGATCTGTCGTTGGGTGCTTTTTTGCGTAATCTATGTGCCACTTGTGGTCTGGATGAAAAATTCTGTCCCGGTCACCAAGGTCATATCGAATTGCCCGTCCCTTGCTACAATCCGCTATTCTTCAGTCAACTGTACATCTACCTCAGAAGTACCTGCTTGTACTGCCATTCGTTCAGGCTGAAATCTTCGGAAGTGCATCGTTATGCTTGCAAGCTCAAACTTTTGCAGTATGGCCTCATCGACGAGTGCTATTTGCTCGATGAGATTCGCGTGGGCACGCTTGAAAATGCTGTTGACGAAGCAGAAGAGGCCGAAGAGGGCGATGACGAAAAACCTTCCAAACCTCTAGATGCCAGGTTACTAAGAGAATTGAAGGCTAAGCGTAGGGAGTTCACCGATCTTTGCATAGCATCCGCGATTTCTGATGGTCGTACTACTCAAAAGGGTACTTTCACTGCAACTGTCAATGACGAGAGGAAAAAACTCATCCATGATTTTCACAAGCGACTTCTATCAAGACCCAAGTGTGATAACTGTGGAATGTTCTCGCCCAAATTCAGAAAAGACGGTTTCACCAAAATTTTCGAAACTGCTTTGACAGAAAAACAGCAGACGAACAATAAGGTCAAAGGTCTAATCCGCGCTGACACAATTAAGAAGCAACAACAGCGGCGCAAGCTTGCTGCCGACCAAAATAAGGGTGGTCTGGGCGATGACGACATGGATGTTAGCGAAGACTTTGGGTATGGCAGAGACTCCACCGCAAGGCCCAAGACCGGCTCAACTTACATTTTGTCCACCGATGTTCGCAGCATTTTGCAAAGCGTCTTCAAAAAGGAACAAGAAGCACTCCAATACGTCTTTCATTCAAGGCCCAACCTTTCGAAAAAGTTGGTTAAAGCTGACATGTTTTTCCTTGAAGTTGTGATTGTCCCACCTACTCGTTTCCGGTTGCCCTCCAAAATGGGTGAGGAAATTCATGAAAACACTCAAAACCAGCTTCTGTCCAAGATTTTGACCACATCATTGCTGATAAGAGATTTGAACGAAGAAATGCTGAAGCTACAAAAGGACAAAGTGTCAGTTGATGACAAGAGGGTGATTTTCAACAGGCTCATGAATGCTTTCGTCACCATTCAGAACGATGTGAATGCTTTTATCGACTCTACCAAGGCTCAAGGAAATCAAGGTGGGAAAGTCCCCATTCCAGGTGTCAAACAAGCTTTAGAGAAGAAAGAGGGTTTGTTCAGAAAACACATGATGGGTAAGCGTGTCAACTACGCTGCAAGATCTGTCATTTCACCTGATCCCAATATCGAGACCAATGAGATCGGTGTGCCACCAGTCTTTGCCACCAAACTGACTTACCCTGAGCCCGTCACAGCCTACAACATCGCAGAGCTAAGACAAGCTGTAATAAATGGTCCTGACAAATGGCCTGGTGCTACCCAGATTCAAAATGAAGATGGCTCTTTGGTTTCATTGATTGGGATGACTACAGAGCAACGCAAGGCTCTTGCCAATCAGCTTTTGACACCCTCCTCGCACAGCTCCACTCATTCTTTGAACAAGAAGGTCTATCGTCACATTAAAAACAGAGATATCGTCATCATGAACCGTCAACCTACCTTGCACAAGGCATCTATGATGGGTCATAAGGTTAGAGTCTTGCCTGGTGAAAAAACTCTACGTTTACATTATGCTAACACTGGTGCTTACAATGCTGACTTTGACGGTGACGAGATGAATATGCATTTCCCTCAAAACGAGAATGCAAGAGCTGAGGCTTTCAACCTAGCTAACACGGACTCTCAGTATTTGACTCCAACCTCGGGGTCGCCCGTCAGAGGTTTGATTCAAGATCATATCTCTGCTGGTGTGTGGTTAACAAGCAAGGATAGTTTTTTCACCAGAGAGGAATATCAGCAGTACATCTACGGTTGTATTAGACCTGAAGACGGCCATGCAACTAGAAACAAATTAGTTACGGTGCCTCCTGCCGTTATGAAGCCTATGCCTCTTTGGACGGGTAAGCAGATCATAACGACGGTACTTCTCAATGTGACCCCAGCCGACATGCCAGGTATAAACCTGAAGTCCAGCAATAAAATTAAGAACGATTATTGGGGCAAGGGCTCTCTTGAAAATGACGTCCTGTTCAAAGACGGTCAACTTTTGTGTGGTATTTTGGATAAATCTCAATACGGTGCTTCCAAATATGGTATTGTGCATGCCTTGCACGAAGTGTATGGTCCAGACGTTTCAGCAAAGGTTCTCTCTGTGCTTGGCAGGCTTTTCACCAATTACATCACTTCGACCGCCTTCACATGTGGTATGGATGACCTTCGCTTGACGGACGAAGGTAACAAGTGGAGGAAGGATATTCTCAAGACATCCCACGATATCGGACGTGCAGCTGCATCTGAAGTTACTAACTTAGATAACGATGTTAGTGCTAGCGACCCAGAACTTTTGAAACGTTTAGAGGAGATTTTGAGAGATGACAATAAGTTGGGCATTCTAGATGCGGTCACATCCTCTAAGGTGAATACTGTCACTTCGCAGGTTGTCTCCAAGTGTATTCCTGATGGTACTATGAAAAAGTTTCCCTTGAACTCAATGCAAGCGATGGCCTTATCTGGTGCCAAGGGTTCTAATGTCAATGTGTCCCAAATCATGTGTCTGCTAGGACAACAAGCTTTGGAGGGTAGAAGAGTTCCCGTCATGGTTTCCGGTAAGACCTTACCTTCTTTCAAGCCTTTCGAAACTGAAGCCATGGCAGGAGGATACATTAAGGGTCGTTTTTACTCAGGTATCAGACCACAGGAATACTACTTCCATTGTATGGCTGGTCGTGAAGGTTTGATTGACACAGCAGTGAAGACTTCTAGATCAGGTTATCTGCAGCGTTGTTTGACCAAGCAGTTGGAAGGTGTCCACATCTCGTATGACAACTCTGTAAGAGATGCTGATGGAACTCTAATTCAGTTTTTGTATGGTGGGGATGCTGTGGACGTAACTCAGGAATCCTATATGAACCAGTTTAAGTTCTGTGCTGATAACTATGATGCCTTGTTGAAAAAGTACAATCCTTCTGCCCTCATCGAACACTTGGATGTGGAGAGTGCTTTGAAATATTCCAAGAAAGCTCTCAAACACAGGAAGAAAAACGCAAAGGTTTCTCACTACTCTCAAAAGATCAAATACGATCCTGTTGTTTCCAAATACAATCCATCGAAATATTTGGGGTCTGTATCGGAAAACTTTCAGGATAAATTGGAAGGCTTCATTGATTCTAACGAAGGTCTTTTCCAAGGTGGTGACAGTGTCGGTGAGAAGAAATTCCGCGCTCTCATGCAACTCAAGTACATGCGTTCTTTGATCAACCCAGGTGAAGCCGTCGGTATCATTGCTTCGCAATCCGTTGGTGAACCCTCCACTCAGATGACATTGAACACATTTCACTTTGCTGGTCATGGTGCTGCTAATGTGACATTAGGTATTCCACGTATGAGGGAAATTGTTATGACGGCTTCGGCTGCAATTAAGACTCCTCAAATGACGTTGCCAATTTTGGATGATGTCACAGATCCTCAAGCCGACACCTTTTGTAAATCCATTACCAAAGTTATGCTATCGGAAGTCGTTGATAAGGTCGAGGTTACCGAATCTACTGGCAGTTCCGAGGGCTCTACGGGCTCACGTTCTTACTTTATCAACATGAAGTTCTACGGCAGCGACGAATATGGTGAGGAGCATGACGTTTCAAAGGAAGAACTGCAAAGTGTTGTCGCAGAGAGATTCTTGAAAGCTCTCGAAGTTGCTATTGTGAAGGAAATCAAAAAACAGAAGAGGACTGCGCCTTCGGAAATTGGTGTGGCCTTACCCAGATCTCACACCGCCATATCTTCTGGAGAGGGTGGAAAGATTTCTGATGAAGACAACGACGAGCTAGAGTCTCGCCAGAAGACAAAACAAGCCGTCTCTTACGATGACCCTGATGATGACGAGGTTGAGACTATGAGAGAAGCCGAAAAATCTTCAGACGAGGAGCTCGAGTCTGAAATGGACTCCGACTCGTCGGACTCGGAGACTGAGGGTGATGGGGAGACCACTGCCGTGCTCGAAAAGGTAAAGAATGGTCTAACGAAATCTCAGCGCGACAGACAATCGGCTATCATATCTTCCCATAGATTTGTCACCAAATATAACTTTGATGACGAAGAAGGGAGCTGGTGTAAATTCAACATCGATTTAGCCGCAGACACTGAAAAGCTTCTGATGGTTAATATCGTCGAAGATATTTGCCGTAAGTCTGTCATAAGAGAGGTGAAAAGCATCGATCGTTGTGTTCACGTCGAACCAGATAATGGAAAGCGCGTGCTAGTGACTGAGGGTGTCAACTTCCAAGAAATGTGGGACATGGACGCCTTCATCGATGTTAACGCTATCACTTCAAATGACGTTGCATCTGTTTTGAAAACGTATGGTGTGGAAGCCGCTAGAAACACCATTGTTAACGAAATAAACAATGTGTTTTCTAGATACGCCATATCGGTCTCATTCCGTCACTTGGACCTAATTGCGGACATGATGACCAGACAAGGTACATACCTTGCCTTCAATAGACAAGGTATGGAGACGTCAACGTCTTCTTTGATGAAAATGTCTTACGAGACTACATGCCAGTTCTTAACCAAGGCTGTTTTGGACAGCGAAACTGAGCAATTGGAGAGTCCGTCTGCAAGGATTGTTCTCGGTAAACTCAACAACGGAGGAACGGGGTCTTTCGACGTTTTAACTAAGGTTCCCGCGTCGCATTAAATCAACGAAACATAAGCATAAAATATTATAAATTTACTGTATAATAGAAACCATACCAAACCAACGTCATTGTGAAGATTTGTGGCTCTGCAAAAGCATCGTGCCTACTCTTCCAGCCAAAATGAATAGAGCTACGTAGCCTTATAACCTCACTAAGGTGCCGATGGGCTTGCCGGTGCAAAATGAAGTCCATATGGAAACATGATCAATGTTTATAAATGCTGAAAATACTAAAATACAAGAATCTTGACATCCGAGCTTGAGTTAGCTAGACAGGGTGGCTTACTCAATGCCAAAAACAGTTTTCATTTTACGCAATAACAGCCAGTCCGATTTAGCCACCTGGTCTCTGAAAGCGGGATCTTTCAAAGTGTCCAAGGACCTTCTGGTAATCAAAGAGTAAAGAGTGTCCTTCTCATCGACATGACGGCCCCAAATTGGCTGTTGACCAGATGGGTCCTCCAAACGCATGGCGACACCAGCAGCCGTTTGTCCCTTCTTGACTTCATTATGAGCTTGGTGATTAATTTCAAGCGACACGACCCTACCTAACAGTAAAATTTGCTTCTCTTTGGTAACAGGATCGTTTCTGACAGCACATATTGGCGTTCCAACGCGTACTGCACCTTCGATGACATCCACACCGATAATCATTGGACCACGCTTGTTGATGATCTGCAAGGTATTTAGAACACAAGGGAAAATTGCGTCATGCAAAAAGTCCTTACGGCGCTGCTCCATGAGTTTCTCCTGGTATGCAGTGAAGGCATCGAATAAATGGTAAATGATATCGGCATTGAAAATCTTGACACCTTGCTCCTCGGCATAATGCTCAGCTTCCTTGTCGATCTTCACGTCGAAACATAACATGACAGCAAATTCCTTGGCCTTTTCCAACATGGCACAAGCTTTCATCACATCTCTCTTGTAAACGGGACCCAAGCCAATGGACATAACTGGAATCTTCATGTCCTTCAAAAAGTCTAGCAATGCTTCTAGGGAACCCAAGGTGGACGCTTGTACCACCACACCACGACCAGAAGTGTCGACGGAATCGAGAAGACCAGTTAGGTCATCCATGACATCATCCATCATATCTTCCTCATCGTCATCGGGTCCAACAACCAACAATCTGGAACCAGAGACAGCTTTTTCCAGATCGTTAGCAGCGATTTTGACACCGAGAGCAGCCTTGACCTCCTTGTGATGTACGTACTCAGACTTCAAACGAAGTTCTCGCAGTGGTTGGGGAGTTAGCAAAGCCCTGATGTTAGTTACGATTGGACCATTCAGCCCGCACAGCACAATTCGATCACCTTCTCTCAGGTAACCGTTTGATAAGATGACATCGATTGTAGTACCAAAACCTTCGACAACCTTGACTTCCAAGACCGTGGCAGCAACGTGAGATAAGTACATCAGCTGCTTGGACATTCTCTTTTGAGTCAGCTCTAGCAATAACCATAGCAAATCCGGAATACCTTCACCAGTAACGGCAGAAGTAGGAACAATTGACACGTACTTCGAGATGTTCTTGTTTTGGAAGTAAAGTTCAGAATTTAGACCCTGTTCGGCGAGAGCAACCTTAATAGCTTCCAATCTGGTGGCAAATTCCTGCTTGACACCTCTGGTTTGTTTTTGGAAAGTGCTTCTAAAGGCATCGTTGGGGGTGGCTTGCCAGTCATACAATCTATCGATCTTGTTGAGAGCCACGACGAATGGAGCCTTTCTGTCTCTCAACAATCTGATAGATTCAATCGTTTGTTGTTCAAGACCGTGCATAATGTCGATAACCAAAATGGCAATATTACACAAGGAAGAACCTCTAGAACGCAAATTTGTGAAAGATTCGTGACCTGGTGTATCGATGACTAGCAGACCAGGGACGTCGAAAATCTGTTTTTCAAACTGAGCCATAGCCTTCGTCTTGGTCTTGACAGCATCGATAGGGAAGTAGGTGGCACCGATTTGCTGCGTGATACCACCAGCTTCGCCACCTTGAACGTTAGTCTGTCTGATTTTGTCGAGCAGTTTCGTCTTACCAGTATCGACGTGACCCAGAATACAGCAGATAGGCGAACGTAGATCTTGTTGGCCTGCAGGTGGAGCTGATGGAGATGGACGTGGGATTTCTTCAATGACCGGCTCAGTCTTAGCTGCTGCCACTGGTGCTGCCTCTACAGCGGTTTCTTGTGTTTCGTTTTCGGGTTCTGGAGTTTCCGTTTCTTCAGCCTCTTCCTCGCCTTCATCAGCGTCTTCATCAAGCAGATTCTCCCAGTCGTCGATTAAAGCCTCTTCCTCGTCACCTTCGGCATTTTGAGCCGCTTCAGCAGTCTTTTGAGCCTCAGCAGCTGCTAATTCGGCGTCTTTTTCCTGTTGTGTCTTCTTCTTCTTTTTCCCGTATACCACTTTTTTGGGCTTGGCATCTGAAGGTTCATCAGACTTGTCCAAACCAGCAACCTTGATGTTTCCTGCAGCCAGAAGCGCTGCACGTCTTTTCTCCAGCAGTTTTTTCTCTTCTTTCTGTTTTCTGGTCAAAAGTTTACCCTCGGCTTTCAATTTTTCACGTTTAGCTTTTTCCTTTTCGCGCTTTTCGCGCTTAGATTCTTCATCGGCCAGTTTGAGCTGTTCCTGACGCTCTTGTTCCTCCTTTTCGATCCTTTCTTCTTCCTCTCGTTCCAAACGTTCCTGTTCTTCTAGCTGTTTTTTCAATTCCAATTGACGTCTAAGAACCGCTAGACCTGCAGGTACCTTTTTGCCACCTTTTTTGGGGCCTGTGGATCCAGCAGTGGCACCAGATGACGACGAAGACGAATTTTCGTTATCGCCGTTCTTATTCTGTTTGGCCTTCTTGGCATCGGCAGCGGATTCTGCTTGCTGTCTGTTGAGTTCCTTGTTTTTCTCCTTTTGAGCTTGTTGTTGGGCCTTCTTCTTGGCAGCCTGCTCCTTCTTCAGTTGCTTTTCCAGCTCCTTCTTCTCCTTTTCCTTCTCTTTCTTGGATTTTATCACTGGTTTTTTGGAATCCTGGTCTTTCTCTCTAGTAGCTGCTTTACTCTTGGAACTTTTCAATGCAGACATGAAATCTTGTTCTGTTTCTTCTGCATCGGCTGTAGAAGCGGCTTCTGCTGTAGATTCCAGCTCGGGAGTAGCCTCCACCGAGTTTTCAGCAGTCAATTCATTAGATACTGGCACAGGAGTGGCGTCTTCTCCCAGATCATCGTCCCAGTTACCTTGCTGAGATTTCTTGGATTTCTTCCCCATTTTTAGTGGGTTTTTGGCGGATGAAACGAGCTATTAAGTGTAATTTGAAACCTGTTTTATTCGAAGCAGGTTATTCAAGCTAAACTAAACTCGAAACGCTTTAGGTTTGGAGTTTAAAGCAGATTTCTTTGATGGTTTGAAGAGTAACTTTTTGAATCAATAGTAGTAACGACGATCTTTTAATTTTTCCAAAAAATTTTTAAGAAAGCTAGTCGTACAAGAGCATTTGAACATAAAAAATCATCACGTGCTCCTCGGAGTGTGGTGTTGGGATGTTGGTTTGGATGAGATTTAAGACGATTAGCAGCGTAGCAACGCTAATGAAGGATCATGAGAGAGGGAAGACCATAGCGGGAGGGGATTTGAAGCACTGGGTAGCAATATCTATTGTGTAGTTGACAAGTTAAGAAAGTGAGTGTCACGTGCCTAAGTGGAAAGACTGACAAAACACTGACATTTGGGTAATGTTCTCACATCGAAGAAGCTTTCAATGAAACTTGTATCGGACGTTACGCTTTCCGAAATGTGCTTCTCCTTTTCGTAGATTGTGAAATAACTGTTAGAGCGAGACACATATTATCATTCCATGGAAAATCTGGAATACACAATTTGAACTTGTAAAACTGGGTAAACGGTGGATACTTTCCGTATGCTTAACGTCTTGAGTGGGCTTAAATATCGATAACGTACTTTGCATACAGCTTTCTTAATGATTCCGACGCTGGACTCGAGTCACGTGATACAGACGCTGTCACTCCAGGTGAAGACTCCAAAGTTTGTATCTGGCAGCTGCCCTCTTTAGCGGTATCGACCTTTGTCGCATTTTCATCACATTTCCTCAATCAAGAGATTTGGTCCTCCCACTACCACCTTTTTCATCGAAATTTCCGAGACGCCTTCAACTCCAAACTTCAATCTCGACAGTCATTTTCCCGGGCCCATAGTCTTTACTAAAGCGGTGAACTGCATTTGCAAACTTACCACCTCACGTGGAGTCGTCGTCCGGGTTCAAACTTAATCCAGCGGTTGTCATCAGATGATGCTCTTGTGATTGTTCTTGGTCTACAAATGCAATTGTCAAACATTTCAAGTTGCTAGCTGTAGCGGTTACTTTTTGGCTTTACATCTTCTCCAAAAACTTCAAATCAAGCCAACGATGCATTGCAAATTAAACTTTCTCGTTTGGTTGGTTTGCCATTTGGTTTTCGCTCATGCTTCGGCAGACACGGTCATTACAGCTAAAGCCATGGGCGGTAATTCTCCGGTGCCAGTTGTAGTGGGAGCAGATGGTAGCATAACACCTGCTCTAGACAGTGCATTCAAACACTATGGCAAGAAAAATTGGCAAGAACAATCGAGGGGCCTCGAGCTCACAACAACAATTGCACGCAATATTTCTTTATACCCTCTTTTGACATTGAAAGAAAGCCGCAAAAACTTTCCTCATTGGACGTTGAGATCACCGGCCGGTCAGGCTGATTATATTGCATGGCTAGCGAAGAGTGTACCTAGTGGGGATCGTTGGACATCCAACGTAGACTTTACAGGATTTGAGGTATCGGCTTTTTTCGCATTGTACCATATATCAGTGGGAAGAATGATTTCTTTAACTGTCTTCTTCGCTTCGAGGTACGCACATGTCTTTGGGGACAGAGTATCTGCGGCTGTGAGTCTGATGAAAAGCCTTCAAGAACACACCTCTAGAAATTTCGTTAGCTGGTTCATGTACGATGGTGAGTGCGTCATGGCATGGTCATCGCACTGCACACCTCCGAAATGTAGGAAACCTGCTACGAAAGCTCCAATTTTGAAAGCATTTCGGCAAATTGTGCATAGTGAATTGAATGACGAGGCAACGTCGGTCTGTATTCATTTGAAATATGGTGAAAAATGGAGCAATGACGTTAGAGTGGCGAAGAAAGGTGTCCTTAATTCCTTGTGAGATATCGAGTGTTCCACTAACAGCAAACGCAAATATGCTTACCTTGAAGAAATTCTAAGATTGCCTTAGGGTGACAGAACGCCAGCTTTATGGGCTGGCATAATATGAAGAAGCTAAGCTACTCACTCTTGGTGGTACCGCAAGCTACTAAAGATTTGTGCCTTGTTGTTGATTTTGGAAACCGAACTATCCTGACAAGCTGAAGGCAGCTTCGGTTTGAGATTTGCCCTTTTGCTTAACACGCCATGGATTCGAATTCGCAACAAAGTTTATAACAGACAAAAACGGTACATCGCACTAGAGGATAGCGACTAAAAATTCTAGTCCGCTACGATGCGTTCTAATTCCTACAAGAGCAGACAAGGCATTTGAACGAACTCTTTGTTTCTTCGTGACGTTGGCACCACGACAGGTGCCAAGCGAGTACAAAGTGATGAATAAATTCAGAGTGCACTGAACCATCGAGGAGTGTAATTTGAAGTCGCAATCGACAAGTTCAGTTCTTTCGAGATTCAAAGCTTGTGTGCTGCCAATGTTGGATCTGACAGTGCAATGCATCTGAGTTTATAGTCTTATGGAAACTCAATGGTCGAAACCGCAACGTTAACATTTCTGGTCATCTGCTTTTCACGTGTGCCAAAGTCCCGTGCATTTCACATGACCCACAATTTTTTTGTTCAAGTACTTTAAAATTTTACATGAAAGATTTGGCAATGTTCATGAATGTGCATCAAGATTATCTTTCAATCCAGAAGAAGCTACGAACTCATCGGCTTGAAAAGTCTCTAATAAAGCCAGGTAATCACTTAACAAGTACTTTCAAACCGTTCAATAGTCACTTTCCTGTATCAAACTTTTTTTTTTCCACGCCATGTCGACTACTGTAGAGAAAATCAAGGCCATCGAAGATGAGATGGCCAAAACGCAGAAAAACAAGGCAACTTCGTTCCATTTGGGTCAGTTGAAGGCCAAATTGGCGAAACTCAGAAGAGAAATTGTTACTTCGGCCACCCAGGGCGCTGGAGGTGGTGGAGGTGTTGGATTCGACGTTGCAAGAACTGGTGTTGCGTCTGTCGGATTTGTTGGTTTCCCATCTGTGGGTAAATCCACTCTATTGTCAAAACTGACAGGTACAGAATCTGAGGCTGCCGATTACGAGTTTACCACTCTGGTCACCGTGCCAGGTGTTATCAGATACAAGGGAGCCAAAATTCAAATGTTGGATTTGCCCGGTATCATTGACGGTGCCAAGGACGGTAGAGGTCGTGGTAAACAAGTCATTGCAGTGGCTAGAACCAGTAATTTGCTATTCATCGTGCTGGATGTGAACAAGCCGTTGCACCACAAACAGGTGATCGAAAAAGAACTGGAAGGTGTAGGTATTCGTCTTAACAAGCAGCCACCCGACATTTTGATCAAGAAAAAAGAGAAAGGTGGTATTTCCATTACCAACACCGTCCCACTTACACATTTGGGGCCTGATGAAATCAGAGCCGTCATGAGCGAGTACAGAATCAACAGTGCAGAAATCGCTTTCAGATGCGATGCCACCGTCGACGATCTGATCGACATCCTTGAAGCTCCAACAAGAAGATATATGCCAGCGATCTACGTCCTCAACAAGGTAGACTCTCTGTCTTTGGAAGAATTGGAACTGTTGTACCGCATTCCTAACGCAGTTCCAATCTCTGCAGGAAGAGAATGGAATTTGGATGAGTTGTTGCAGATTATGTGGGACAGATTGAATCTGGTGCGTGTTTACACCAAACCCAAGGGTGTCATGCCCGATTTCAGTGATCCTGTCGTTTTGAGATCCGACAGATGTACTGTTCGTGATTTCTGTAATCAAATTCACAAATCGTTGGTAGACGAGTTCAGAAACGCCATTGTTTACGGCAGTAGTGTCAAGCATCAGCCGCAATACGTCGGATTGAGTCATGTTCTGGAAGATGAAGATGTCGTTACGATCTTGAAAAAATAAGTGCGCACAGACATTAACCTTATCGTCATTTCAGCTGCTTTCCAATTGGAAGTTGAATCATACCAAATTTGCATTTCATTACCATATCAATTGTATAAATAATTACACAGTAGTGAGCCCATCATTAAAAATCATCACGAACAGTCGAACAAGTCATCAATCAACTTCTCTTTTGCTCTGCCACATTACATTCCCGATGGTCGAGCTGAGATCTTTCTCGCTTTTGGTGTTCCCGAAGCGGCTCTCACCGATTGGAGGCTTGAAAACGATATATTTGCAGATTCATTATCGTCCATGAAACTTTCATCTTCTTCATCGGATGACGGCATGTTTCGCCTCTTGGTGGCCAGAGACGTTGCATGGGACGAAAAGCTGGAATCTGCTATTGAATCGTTACAACCATCCTGATAATTCTGCCTTGACCGCAGTTTTTCTGCAAAATGGGTCAGACCGGGACCAGAAGTTTCCAGACTGAGCCCGTTTGGCGCAATGGAGGGTCTCAGAGATCGCACATATTGGAGCGCTTCGAAAACCGTGGTTTGACCATTAGTGTGCAAAACATGAGAGATGAGCAATGAGGCCAGATCGTTTTCGTTTCCACTGGACGAAAAAACGAGTACATTGCCAGCGTTTGAAAGTCTAAAAATGGTGAGAAGATCGTTGAATCTTTCGAAAAGTTCGGCGTTTTCGGCTGTGATTACGTTGCAATCGTAACACGCAGCATTATGGTAAAGTGACTGCTCCAACTCCGGTTGCGGTGTCAACCCACTGGCAGAATTGTAATTTGCTTCTGTTTGCGCACTTACTTGAGCAGTGAGTAGCTTCAGGCTTGCTGATTGTATTTGCATGTACCGGGCCACCAATTCCTGATCTATGGTGCTGACAGCGGCATGCGGATCAAAAAGCGGATCGTAGTTGACCACCAAACATTGATCGGAAGGCAACGATTGGCAGTATTGTGCTACACGAGCTGTAGGAATCCCAACGGCGACAAAAAACTTGATATTGTTAGTTTGCAAGAATTTGGCCTGGGATAAGGCATTAAGTGGGCCGAAAAACACGGTATTGGTCAACTGTTGTGGAATGAGTTGATTCTTACAAGAAGCCACAGCAAACTGGTTTTGAAAGGACATGTTAAGGCCTTTGGTTCCAGTGTAAGAAGACAAATTAGTACTTTTTAGCTGGTTGTAAGCGCTTTAAATTGAATGGTCACTTTCCTGGAGTGTATTTAAGAAAGGAAAAAAAAATCGTGGAAATCTAGAAAATATCCAAAATGTGTCAATATGGGACAAAGTGATAATGTGGGAGGCCTCTAGAATCAAACTCACACATGTTGTGTAGCATCGATTGTATCTGTCATGTCATCCCATCCAAATTTCTTTTCGTTACTCTATAAAAGTTATACCTATCTCGTCGTCATGGTCGTCAACTGTTCGTGTGGGGGACCCTTAGTGTGAAAACTCTGGGCCAAATTAGGCCGTTTTTTGAGGGTCCCGCAGTTGTGTTAAAAAAATAAAATCATAAAATGTGCGTAACATGCGTAATGCGTGTTTTGGCGTTGCGGGAAGCGCCATGTGGTCTATCATAAGAAAAATTCGGAACTGGTTTCCTCCAGGGAAAGAAAAAGGAAGTGTGGATCTTTATTCCTTTTCCCTGCGTGAACGCTCCAGTTCCCGTTTTAAGCGTTGCACCTCCATCTCGTACAACCGCTCGTTATTTTGCAAGTAAAGGATGTAATCCACGGCTTTTTCCAGGATCATGCTCTTGTTGAGTTTGGGCGTTGCCACGTCCGTGAGACGCACAGAGACGGCCGTTGCCGGATCTGAAGCGTAGCACGCCGAATCCGTGCCGTAATTGCACGATGAAGACGACGACGACGACGACGACGAAGCGGAGCCATTGGCCTTGCCCTCGCCGGCGTCAAATGCGGTTTCCTCGGACGCGACCCACGGTATGATCTGCTGGAGCTTTGAGATCTTGGTATTGATGTTTATGCGGTAGCGTTTCTCGATCTTGTTGTGCGCCTCTTTCTGATGCGCCGTAAGCCGCTTGCGCGGCGCGCGGCGCTTGCGTGCCGCAAGGTTGCCAGGGCCGCCGAGCGCGTTGCCGGGGGTTTCTGGGTCGTTGCCCAGGCCAACGGCCTGCTCGAGGTCTGCGAACCCGTCTAGAGTATCCAACGGCAGCTGCTGTTGCTGCTGCTGTTGTGAGCCGCATAGTCCTGCACCTCCGGCCCCTGCGGCCGTTTCTTCGCTCTTCACCAGCGTCGGTGATTCCGAAGCGGAATTGCTGCCGCTACCAGCGGAGGCAACAACCGCTGTGTCAGCGGCGGATCCCGCACCCAAACACTCGGTTGTCGTCGTAGTCGTCGTCGTCCCCGTGGCCGCGTCAAATAACGTTGAAAACTGGTCCAACGGTGACCCGGCCGACGATGTCGCGCTGGACGAGTCGGCGTCACGTGCACCGGTCATCTCCGCGACACCCGGTTCGGTCATGTTCCACGGTGTCCCGATATCCATCATCAATCGTTCACCACTACCACTTGCACCACCGCTATTGTTGGTCTCGCCCGATTCCGTTTCCGGGAACAGCCAATCTTCGAACCCGATGGCGTTGGATCTGGGGAGTCCCGCACCGGAAGTCAAAGTCATAGTTCCGGATCCTTCCATCATACTGGTTGTCATACCGTCAAATAAAAAAGGTGCGAAATGCAAGGTTGGGTATACTATGGGTATATTTTAAAAGCTAAAAGCTTCTCCAAATTGTTTTTCCAAGTTCTTCTCTACTAAACCGCTAGGTCCAGCTACAGCTTTGCTCACTGAAAGAGCTCTAAACGCTCTGTATTCACAACGGCTGCGGGTTTCCCACAACTCAGCTCTTCCGCTTGCTTCGACTCTCTTTTATAGAACCCATATACTAAATTGTCATTTTTTTTTTTTCCTCCTACTCAATGGTACCACCCACGTAGCCAGATCGCCCGGGGACAAGATTAGGCTCAGGCCTCAGTAGCACCGCAGGCAGGGTAGTGAAAAACCTAGAAGGAGCTAGAAGGAACCTAGACAGAGCGCACACAACGCACGCAGAAAGCGAAGAGGGCGTCCCAAAGGAGTTTAGAAGGAAGCCCAGAGGAAGATTAGCGAGAACCGTAGCCGGAGCAAAATTGGAAGCGTGGTGGTAAAAAAAGCAGATAGTGGCATCCTAGAAGGACCATGGGAACAGGAAACTACCAAGTATCATGCAAAATGCACTAGAGTTCACTCTTACACACATATTGCAAAAGATCAGTGTTGTTGGGAATGAATGAGTTTATTAGGGTGGGATTTTTTCAATTTGAGCATGTTTTGTTGCTGTAGGAAGAAGAAGGCCCGCAGGAGCGTTTCTGGCCCTTGGGTGTCTTTCTGCAAAAGACTGCAACGGCTGCAAATATACACCGCGCTGCAAACACTGCAAAGACGGCGAAAGCGAAAGACCGTCGTCTCAGATAGGGAATAATATCTGGGAGTATCTGGGAGTATCTGGGAGTATCTGTGAACATGATGCAGCAAATGGCGGTGCGATAATATTGCCGAACGGTCGGTGATTTGCGTGTGACAACGACGCACTGGGAAAAAGTGATCTCGGACCGGGCATAAAATCTGCAATACTAACTAACACTACATACACTGACCGTACCCCTAGAGTCTTCGCGTTGATATGGCGATGGAAGGTGTTCCATGCTGAGAATGTTGCAATCAACAGTTTCGAAAATCCAAGCGTGGGCGGGCGTGGTCGTGGTCGTGATCGTGGACGTGGGCCATTAGGGTATTGCGCAATATACCCAAAACTATTGAAACGTCGTGTGTGCATTTAGCTACGGTGTTGTTGTTGGGACCGTCGGGTTGGCGGGAACAATTTGCGATACAGCTTCTAAACCCCGGACTCAAAGTAGACCATTACGAGTGATCGTTCCGCACTGTATTGGTTAATACGAACGGTTCGTGTGAGTATATAGTGGTGGACACTGATACCGCGACATGTGACCAAACCGAAATTTCAAATGTTCCGTTTGGGTGTCCGGATGTAAAGTTCTGCGATTTGTGCCAGCCACCCAATTCTCTTGTCATTCCTCTGCTCGGTGATTAGATATCATTATGCACGACAGTGTCATCTAGAATTCCTTACATTCGACAAACTCATCGCTACCTCATTCTACTTATCCCCCAAATCCAGCTCCTTCGCTGGTCAAAAACAGTCTCCACTCAGTCTCCACTCAGTCTCCACAAAGTCTCTAGACAGCCCCCACACAGTCTCCCTCAGCACATGGACCAAGATGCATTAGCAGAACTTCTTTCCGATACCACCGAGCCCTCTGACGTTGGTCAGTCCCAGCAACTGGACTCGCCCCTGCACAGCTATTCTTTCGTCACAACGCAAAATGCTCCAGGCTGCACCCAGCAGCAACGACTACTTTCCTCTCTGAATGATCATTCACTTGTGAACCTGGTGAACTCGTACGAAGCCCCCCAACCTGCTAAACGCTCTTTGCTGGAACATGAGTCCGATGACGACGAACAAAACTGGGATTCCAATATTTCCCACCTTTCTAGCCACCAAAACAACGTGAATTTTGATGTTATCGATGACGAGTCTCCTACTGTCGCATCTCCGTCAATTGTGGCTACCTCAGGAGAAAATTCCGATGACGATCAGCCTATCACTGATGCACACCCTCGAGTGGCCTCAAACATCAATTTTGGTGACTACGGCCAATACTTTTCCGATAAAAAAGTACTCCAACAAGATCGCGATCAATACATGAAAAAGCTATATCAAAATGCTTTAAATGATGGTAAGCCTTTCCCACCTGTTTTCAAAGATTGCATCATCTATATCAACGGTCGCACAGACCCCGATCGCTTGCAACTCCACCAAAAGATCATCCTGTATGGCGGCCAATTCATGCACTTTCTGTCTGGTAAGACAAGCGTAACTCATATCATTGCCAGCAACTTGACCGCTAAGAAACGGGTCGAATTTCAAAAGTATAAAGTTGTCACCCCCCAGTGGGTAACGGACTCAATTGCAGCAAATAAAAGGCTTCCTTGGCAAGATTTCGCGCTGATCACCGGAGATGACGACCAAGGTAAGCTCAAATTGACTAAAGCAAAGCCACCAAAAGGCGAACCTAATGTCGAAGACAAAAACTCCGAAAATACACTTGATTGCAACCACCCAGACTTCTTGCGTAGTTTCTTTGCCAAATCCCGATTGCATCACCTTTCTACTTGGAAAGCCGATTTGAGGGCTCTATTTTGTGAAAGATATCTAGAGCATTCAAATATCCAAGGTATCACTGAAAATGAAAGTGTTGCTATTTTTCACATTGATTTCGACTGTTTTTTCGCAACAGTCTCCGCTCTCAGCGATCCAAGATACCGGCTTTACGAAGACCCACTCGCAGTGGCACATGGCAACAACAGTTCCGAAATTGCAAGCTGTAATTATGTGGCACGCAGTTTTGGTGTAAAAAACGGGATGTGGGTACGATCTGCTCGTAGACTCTGTCCCAAATTAGTGTGCATGCCTTATAACTTTGAACAATATGAGGTCAACTCCAAATTGCTGTACCAAATTTTAGCGGAGACACACTTCTTTGATATGATTCTGCCGGTATCCATTGACGAAGCCATCTGTGTCAAGAGGGTTAGCACCTTTACAGGTTTTCATGATGTGCAAGGTCAATGCGAGATGGTTACTCAGACCATTAGACAACAAGTCTTTGATGCAACCAATGGCTGTACTGTGAGCATCGGTTGTGGTCCTTCCCTTGTGAGCGCAAGGCTGGCACTGAAAGATGCAAAACCAAACGGAAAACGCGTCATCATGAATCTGACCAACGAAACTGAATTAGATAATTTTCAGGCTAAATTCCCGCTAAACGACTTGCCGGGCGTTGGTTTTTCTATCGTGCACAAAATTCGTCAACAGCTTTTTCCCGATGCATCTACGACCCCGACCATCGGCGATTTAAAAGCTAAATCGACATTGAAATCATTAACCTCCATCTTGGGAACCAAGACGGGCCGCAAAATACATTTATTCTTATCCGCCAAAGACGACGAAGAAAATAGCCGAATTCTACGCAACCCCTTAGATTTTTTCGCGAGGAAGTCCATTTCGGTTGATATCAACTACGCTATCAGGTTTGATTCGATTCACGATATTGACGACTTTATTGACAGAGTATGTGAGCATCTAACATCGAAAATTCATGATCTTGGAATGGTGACGCCTCAAGTGACCTTAAAAATTATGCGGCGGTGTGAACATGCTCCGATTGAGCCTGCCAAGTATTTGGGATCTGGCGAATGCGATACTTTCAGTAAAAGCAGCCGCTTTGGGATACCTACAGATGAGATAGGTCTAATCGCTACAGAAATCAAAAGCTCCTTTCGAATGCTAGCGTGTCCTCCCAAAGACTTGAGAGGTTTGGCGGTGCAATTAAACAAGCTTGAAATGAAGGCTACTAGAAATTATCAGAAGAAGCTACCTTTTGGCGATGCTATACTTACCGGTGATTCTAATATCCCGGTGCTCAAGCCAAACGCATTCCACTCAATGCCTCGCATTTTGAAGGAAGACGTTCGGTCTGAATTCACCAAACGACATCTACAAATACCACCCTCGCCCACCCGAAATCTGACCGTTTCCGTGTCACCAGTGAAGGAATATTGGGACAGGTTCGGTAAATCAACCAAAGACAGTTTTAAACAAGAGCTGCCCAGCACTCTCGATGAGGACTTTATGAGAAACCTCCCACCGGAACTTCAACGGGAAATAAAAAGAGATCATGCAATCGTCAAAAAGACTCGAAATTCCGTAAGGAAAGGAAATGTCATTAAAGACTACGGGACGACAAATTCTCCTTTGAGCTTGAGGTCTACTTTAGAAGAGATAGAGCAGTTTCAAAGTTTAGAACGTCCTCGCGACATCTATCATTTGATAGGAACTTGGATTGATCAGACGATCACTGTAGGTCCACACGCAGATGATCTAGATTTGTTCGATCGCTATTTGGATAAGCTAGTTTTAAAACGCAAGACTAATCGAGCTCTGCAAATAGCTAGAACCATGTCTTGCCGACTTGAATATCATGCAGCCTTCACTAGCTCAGAATCAAAAGGACGGCAAGAATGGGAAGAGTATCTATTAAGGCGAATGATACCCAAGCTAAATTCGAGCTGTTCATTCCGAACTCCACAAGTGCAGTTCGAAATCTAATCAAGTCAGTACCACGACAAATTGATATCATCAGTGTAATGGATTAACAGATGTATGCATTTTACAAACGTGAACTTCGCTGTATTGTTTCTAGACGTATAAATTTATAAAGGGTCATTAAATTTAGACGGTCAACACACGCAAAGTGTTAGAGTGACCGACACCAGCGGCGAAACCTTGAATGGTAACAATGTTGTCACCTTCAGCCAACATACCGAATTCCTTAGCCTTTTCGATACCGAACTTCAAACGCTGGTCAACGTCCTTGGTCCAGTCAGATTCAGCATCCTGTTCGTAAACGAATGGGAAGACACCTCTGGACAAGTGAGAGAATCTGGCGGCTCTTGGGTTTCTGGTGACCAAGACAATTGGCACATTTGGCTTGTACTTGGAGACCAATCTTGGGGTAGAACCAGTGGTAGACAAGACAATGATGGCCTTGGCCTTTTGCTCGTACACAGAGGAGACAGCAGCGGCGGCAATGGTCTCAGTGGTAGAGGTTGGCTTAGGAGTACAGTTTCTGATGTCGTCAAAGGTAGATAGGTATGGAATGGCTTGTTCGGCCATCAAAGCAGTCTCGGCCATCATCTTGACAGCGTTAATTGGGTAGTTACCCTTGGCGGTCTCACCAGACAACATGACACAGTCAGCACCGTCCAAGACAGCGTTACCAACATCGGAAACTTCAGCTCTGGTTGGTCTTGGGTTGTAAGTCATAGATTCCAACATCTGAGTAGCACAGACAACTGGCTTACCAGCGACGTTACACTTGGCGATCAACTTCTTCTGAACAGCAAGCACTTGAGGAGCTGGGATTTCGATACCCAAGTCACCTCTGGCAACCATGACACCGTCAGTAACAGCCAAGATTTCGTCGAAGTTGTTGACACCTTGTTGGTTCTCAATCTTGACGATGATCTTGATGTCCTTACCGTCTTCACCAAGAACTTCTCTGATGGTGGTGACGTCGTTGGCAGTACGGATGAAAGAAGCGAACACCATGTGGACACCATTCTTAACACCGAATCTTAGATCGGCCTTGTCCTTCTCGGACAAAGCTGGCAAATCGACATCGGTACCTGGCAAGTTAACACCCTTGTGGGAGCAGATCTTACCAGCGTTTAGAGACTTGACTTTTAGGGTCTTGTCGTCCACAACTTCTAGCACTTCGAAAGACAAGACACCATCATCAACGTAGATGATACGGCCGCTGTCGATAACACGGGTGATGTTCTTGTAGTCGATGAACATGACCTTGTCGTCACTAGCCTTGGAGTACTTGTCATCAGTGCTGAAGATCATTTCGTGGTTAGGAGGGATTGGGTAGTCGACCTCGTTGGTGGTGGTACCAGTTCTGATTTCAGGACCCTTGGTGTCAAGAGCAATGGCCAAAGGTCTGCCTGGATATAGCTCCTCAGACTTTCTGGCGTTGTCAATGACAGACTGGTGGTAGTCGTAAGAACCGTGAGAGAAGTTCATTCTGACAACGTTTAGACCAGCCTTTCTCAAAGCGACAAGCGACTCTGGGGAGTTGGTCTTTGGACCAATAGTTCCGATGATCGAGGTTCTTCTAAGGTTAGAACCGGTGTCGGTTTGAAGGTTAGATAGCCATCCTAGTCTAGATTCCATGATTGGCGGTGTGTGTCGGTGTTTGAGTGATACTGGAGATTCTGTAAGAATTCTACCAAGTAGAGTCAAGAAGCCCGAGTAGTATAACTACGATGCGGTGCTAATATTTATACCTGGCGGAAGGTGTAATCGTGTCAATCACCCAACGTCAGGGCGCGTGAGACGAATAAAGTCTGGCGAGTGGTGGTGATGGACGAATTTTCAACTCTTCAGAAAAGCGGAAGCGCACTGCGGAAGCCGTAGCATGTGGGATAGAAGAAGAAGCAGACATTGGGAAGCCGGGAAGCTGGAAGCTCATATAGAAAACTCACGACTTTTTTTTTTCCTTTTCCGACACGTGATATATGTCGTTTACGGGAAAATAACGAAAAAGTAAAAGTTCACGCACGTGCATGCTACAGATTCACGTACAAGATGCCCTTGTACTCGTCACATGACTAGAATGTTCCCCTCGTGTTTCGTATAGAGTTAGGACGCTCTCGAGCGACCTTCACATACTAAACTCTCAAGAAGACCAGCAGTCGCTCTTGTTGAAGATAATTCATTAGTTTCAAGCTGTTGAGCGCTGTGCTGCTGCTTCAGATGACAAGTATAACTAGTAGGAACACCTGTGTCATTAAATTTTGTTGATGTTTTGGGGATTGGCAGTGAACAGGTCCTGAACCGCCCACCCTTTCACTATTTATACGCCAACTTCGTTTTTGTGTCACCTCAAAGATTATGTAAGCAGCTTTAGGGGTTATGCTTTCATACGAAATCAGCAATAGAGCTCGTTGTTTACGAACAATTGATTGTACGTTCACAAGTCACATGATCAGATATTTCATTTGTCGACAGACTTAAAGCCTCTACAGCCACCATATTCTCACATTTCTCATTCTCTCTCCTAGAATAAGTACAATAATCTTCACGCACCAAGTTATACTTTAAGCATTGTCACTTCTTAGTTTCCTGTCATCTGATTAGAGTTTCGTCACGTGACGTTGCTAGAAACGATGTTCCACGATATCCCACAGATGAGTTGGGTTTATGTCGATATTCTGCTCATTTTTAGGCTATGGGTTGTATTGGTTCGAAATTCCTAGATGCTCCCTCCTTTTCTTCGTTTTCACCCATTACTTGTAAAAGTTATATTACGCCCTCAAAACATTAAAATTCACACGAATACATCAGGGGATCATCATCCGGATGTTTCGCGGACAATCTCTTAACTATAACTACTCACATACCGGCCATCGGCATAGTAAACTCACTTATTTCAGAACCTATAGTCAAGCTTGAAGAACCCCACTCTCTACTGCCTTCAATCAGTAATCTGTGTCATCTTTAATATATTTAAACACTTGTGCGAGCATTTTGACGAACCAGAAACACCAGATTTGCACCTTTAAGTGCTATTAAGAAACCTCAAAATCGCCTAGTAACTGAAACCTATTATCGCCATAGATCGAGCCCGCTTCCTGACTTCCAAGCCATTAGCTACATCATTGTACTCATCTACGAATGTGACCATTTCTACTGAGATGGTCAAAATTAAACAGACCGGCTAGTGACCATCATCAACATACTTTCCTCTTCTCTTAGCATGGATGATCTGAATGTTGACAGTCTTTTGACAGTGATTGAAAATGGTGTCCAAAATTTGAATGACATTCCAAGTGTTTTGACTGCCATTGACCATTTTCAGCAAGATCCATCGATACTGGACGATCATCTGGCTGATCTCGTCACTGCTCTCGCCGCTGATTTCTTTGCGAGATCGACCGAGGACAAGAAATCTATTGGTGCCATATTTTACACATTCTCGAAAGTTTGCAAGGTCAAGAGAGCAAGGAGGCATTTGCCCACGGATATTTTTTTGTTACCGCATATTTTGGACCAGCTTGCAGTATGGGACGGTATTAAAGACTGGAAGATCTTGTCGATGCTGCTGCCATGGCTGAATATTATTCTAATGTCACCCTTCAAGCTGGAGAATGACTCTGAAATCTACAACAATACCAAAAATTTGAAGGTCTATCCGGTTTTGGATCCGCTTGTTGCTGGAGTACATGCCGAATTATTTTCCAAAAACCTGGATCTATTTCAAAATCGATGCGATGAGAACGAGATCGATCTTCTTACCCTCAATTTGACTTTCAAATCCATACTGAATAGAAAAACATCGCACGAGTCACAACAGTTGCTGAATCCCTTGAAGTTAGCTGAATTGACCAGCTTCTGCATAGATGATAGTCATGAGCGTGATGAAACGCAAAAAATTCTGATATTCAAAATCTTACCCAAACTATGCCGACTTCACATAATGCAAGAATCGTGGGATGGATTCGAGGAGATCACCTCATGGGTGCTCAACAACATGGCTCCCGGCTTTACTGAAGCTAGAATACAACTTGCTCATAGCTTTGCAAAAATCATTCAGCTCTTGACAACAATCGATCCCGATTCTTCCCATGCTCTCGTTGAAGATGTGTTCCAGCAGCTGCAGGAGGAACTTGAGACTATGCCCATTGATGCAATAGACGCAGACCGATTACACACTCAACTGCTCTTCATCGCAGAACTTGGTCGTCTTAGATCTTTGGATCAAAGTTTCGTTACCCGTTTTGCTAAGGATGTTCTACCTATTACAACAGGATTCCAACAGTTGAGACTGAACAAAATAACTGGACATCAAATCAGAGATGCTAGCAACTTTCTATGTTGGTCATTGGTGCGGAAATATGATGTTACATCTGACGTCGAGAATATTGTTTTCCATCTGCTGATGTGTTCAATGTTAGATCCAGAGCTTACAATCCGACGTTCCGCCTCGGCGGCTTTACAAGAAGCTTTAGGCAGATACGGTAATGCAGTTTTCGACGATACGAGCGTAATGACAATAATAGAGCTGCCGTGCAGCAATCTTGAGCTCTGCTACAAAGAAAACGTACCGAAGCTCATAGAGCTATTCGTGTCGAAAGTTCCACATTTGAGTGAAGCCACTATCAAGTGGCTTGTACACATCAATGTCATGCGAAACCATGATCTCAAAATCGTAGAGCTTTCTACTCTATCGGTCACTAGCCTCATAACATTAAGCGGCAACCCTGAAGTCGCTGCAAAGATATTCAAGTTGATCTTTGAGCTTACACTAAAGGTACGGAATGACCAGACAGCGAACGCCAAGGCTCGTTACCTCTTCTTGATATCGGAGCGCGTATTCTACGGTGATGAACGAATAAGATCGGCATGCCATGAAACTTTATCCTGGCTAGTGAACCACTTGAAGACAGAGTCCAGCAATCCTCAAGAACATTTCAAAATTACGTCGTTCTTGAAAGCCCAGAACCTTGTGGTTACGATGGGAGCGGCTCAGTTGAAAATTGATGCAGTGATGGTGGAGACCTTGCTACGCATTGCCAGATCAGCCTCACCAACTGAGCCACGCTTCGAGCGAGTGAAAGGACTTCTTTTGCCGATACTTGAAAAGATGTTTTGTGATGGAGCGCATTTTGAGTCTAGCATTGTATTTCAGCAGTTCAAACAAAGCTTCCGAAAACTTGTCACTCAAAACAATGCCATGTGCTGTGCAGCAATGGCTTACATGCCGCCCAGCGACTTCTTGAGTTCATTCATCTCCTACTGTCCGCATCTAAATTATGATGGACGATTCCATGTCTTAAACGCGTTGTCAAATACATTGCCCAATATTATAAGCTCCGAAGGCTCAGGCATTCTTTCAATTGTGACCGAGTTCTTAGATGACTATACGGTAACCGAGCAAGGTGATGTCGGGGGGCTAGTGAGAAAATGCACTATTGATCTAATTGAGAAGCACATCGTTCTATTTCTTGACGCCGGTACTAGCACAATGGAACTGATCTGTCCCAGACTTCTACGGCTGGCAGCAGAGCCGGCGGAGAAAGTGAGAGAAAGAGCGTTGTGCGTTTTGGGGCAAATTTGCCAATTGCGATGCTCTGATGATGAGCCACACGATGAATGCCTCTTCAGAATTTACCACAATATGAGTGAAACTTTTTATGATGAATTTTGGCAAGGTTTTGTCTTCTCCGCTGGCGCAGTTTATTCGACTGATAGACAAATACGCACCAGCATTGATAGTTTCCTGAAGCATTATGCTGAACAGGCGATGGAAAAAAGATTGGGGCTCTTAAACAAGCTGATACGTATCGTTCCTTCTTTTTCGCAGGTGAAGTCCTGGCAAGGAGAACCAACGCATGTCAATCGATTCGGATGCCAACGGCGGGATATAATCAAACGTGCGATTGTATGTGTAAACTTTTGGCGACGGATCCTAGAGTCTGGACTGGATTTAGTTGAGGCTTTTAATCTACGAGCTGCTTATGCCAGATTTTACAACCTCGCCTTGGTCAAGAGTTCAGTCCTTAAAATGGCTGTCATAAAGCTGATGCCTCATCTTGCGGTAGCTTGTACAGCAAATTTCTCCAACTATGACAAATTGCAAGATGAAATCATCGCACGGTTAGGAGTTTTGGCACAGCGGTCCAAAATTGAAGGTGTCCGCAACACATCAATCCAAACAGCTTGTCTGGAAGGAATAGCGACAATAAATTTAGCATTTGATGAGGTTTAAAGACCAGATGGCTGAAGTTTTCTCGGTAGGCAAGCGTTAATGCGGTTTCATTAAGTCATGGTTTAGCGAAGACGAGTATCTAATTTCTGCGATCGCATGTAATCGAGTGTAAGCCTCACGCGCTCCACACTATCCCAATCTGCCACTAGAGAGTAGTGATGTGATGATATTACGGGACTTTCGTTTTGTTTCCGCCACTTCGCCTCCAGCGAAAGGATTCGTCTTGGGCTCAAGTGGTCAAGGTAAAGATCCCCAAATATATCCTTGAGAATCTTATCAGGAATTTTGAAATCATTTGCAGAATGGTGATCTAAATGCCAAGCAGCTACTCGTTTCAAAATATTCTCTACTTCAGCAGGTCTTTCGCCTGTGGATCTCAGCTTGTTGATCACGGACTCCACAGATGCTGCCATCTTCCAGGTGTGATTTCCATACTCGCTAAGTCTCAAACACTCTTTACCGAAATCTAAGATATAGTGGCGGAGGTAAATGTATACCGTCTTGTTATCCCCTCCATGAAGGGTTGAGAGCATCAAGTTCGCGTAGTCCTGTTCCGTCAGCTTGCAGCTATTTGAAGTTTTCATGAAACAGAAAAGCTCATAGCCAGCAAGTTTGGCCGCAGATGATCTTCCAGCAGCATGCAAAAGAATGTGGAATCCATTTTTTCCCTTATGATTTGCCAGTTTATGCGAATCCATGAACGCTTCAATGCACCCGCGGTCCATGATCAACCGATGCCAAAGTAAGATAACGAAACTAAATGACCTATGCGAAGCGACGTGGCTAAGAACGGTATTGAAGTGCAGTGCTTTCAAAGAAGACCACGCGTTTTCTGCCGGCATACTATTCTGAAAAAGGCTACACCATTGGTTTATCGACATTGCATTTGTGGGGAGTTTTGTAGATAAGAAATCCACCGGAAGCTGCTCACCAAACGGTTGAACTTCGGCCTCCCCCAGTAGTTTTATGTAGTGCTCAAAACTGAGATCTTTCTGGAAGGTCTTCCAGGGCACAGATCCATCGGCTTTTTGACTTTTGATCACCTTGTTCAGCGCCAGCTGCATCTTAAAAGCGCCGTATCTCTCAGATAAATGATTGAGACGCAGGACTGTGGAATAATCCAGTGAGTTCTGGTTGATCAATATGTTCAATGCGCCCTCAGCGTCATCATCCAGGCCCAAAGAGAGGAATTTGTCGATGCTTTGAAGAACGAGACCCTTGGATAAAAACTGCAGATCTGTAAGTCCAGCTGTCCTCAAGACCGACGAAAGGTGTGAGATTTGATTTGTCTGCAGATAAAAGGCGATATATGCGAATGAGATTGGTAGCTTGCCTTTCGCCAGCTCCAATAAATGTTGCAAATAGTGGATAGATCCGGTACGAGCTACTATGATAGAGCAATTCTGCCAGAAAACCAAATCAGGAGATAAAGTAGCTCTTGTTTCAAGTATTTCAGAGTACTTTTCAAGAACTGTTAACGTAAAATTCGCCAGACATGTAATATCCGCTCGATCGTCTGAATTAGATGACGTGGCTCGCAGCATATGGGAAAGCTCACGGTACAGCTCTACCGGTGTTTGATCCACGATGTAGCTACCCTTTTTGGAGATCCATCGGATCTGGTTGGATTGCAATCGATTCAGCAAGGTGAAATAAGCATCACCGTTTTTTGTCAGACGAAGTTTTCGAAGAGTATTAAGTACCACATTCAACGACAATTCAGCCTGGCCATTTAGTAGAATCTCCTTATGTTTGTGAACTTTATGCGAGCGCATTCTGCGACCTGTTACCAGAGCTTCTCTCAGCCATATATCAGTGTGAGAGAGGGTTGCTGCCGCTGGGCTTCTCAGTACGGAGCGGCCCAGCCTTCGTACCAGTTTATCGCCACCAATAATTCTTGCAGTGAAATCTTGGAAAGATCTCATGGGAACATGGTACCGTTGCATTTCGCTGTATTGGCTCTAGGCATTTAGTTTTGGTAGGTTCTCTTTGACTGTTCTAGGTCCAAATAATCATGTAATAAAGTACAATTTTGAACTTGCTCGATGCCGAACCGCACACCAACAAAGAACCGAACAATGAAGAACGATAATTAAGGCTGCTCTCGGCGTGAATCTCGAGATTGATGACACACCATTCTCCCAGTTTCACTGTCAGATGAAATTTCAAAATTTTGAGCGGTAGAGAGCATAAGTTGTTTTTTAATGGCAAGCTGCAACCCAAATATTTAATTTATGTGGCGATGGGATTCATTGCTGAACTCTAGCCATTTTATTCCTGGTTTCATAAGCAGAACAAATGCTGGCAGTGTCAGACATCTTCCGTTTCTGATCTATGTCTTCAACATTGAATGTGATATCGACATCCTGTACAATTCTTTTCTGATAAATCTTTTCAAGCTGCCCTTTATGCCTTGCAATCCAGGAATGTTCAAAAGCTGAGCTACTGTCGAAACGCCTGTGGACGTCAATTTCAAGTAGCCGACGAACGAAGTTCTTGGCGCGATTGGAGACTATACTCCACTGACTAGATGTGAAGTTGAGGTTACCCATCTTAGCGTTGTGTATAACACTAGCTTCCGAGCCGTCACCATAGAACGGCGAGATGCCCGTTAAAAGTATGTGCGCGATGACCCCCAGAGACCATAGATCGCATTTGGCGTCATATCCGTGCTGTTCGAAGCTTGCTGCCCGCGAAAAGCGCTTGTAAGCTGTTCTATCAGCTTTGAAACCAACTTCAGGGGCGCAATATTCTGGTGTACCCACTACCGTATGCATCCTAGAGCGTGAAGACGATAGGTTTTTAGCTATTCCAAAGTCTGCAAGGACGATTCGGGAACAGGGTTCTGGGGTACAGAGAAGAATGTTATCGAGTTTCAAATCGCGGTGCACTATTCCTTGGGAATGCAAGTATCGTAATGCCTGCAGGATCTGGTACACTATGAGCAAGGCTTCGGTTTCTGGGACAGAAGACAAGCAGTCCGATGTGGCCAGGTACGAAAAAAGATCACCACCAGTAATCAAATCCTGGAAAATGTACAAATTCCCACCTGCATCCGCAAATGTCTTGTAGACTCTGATAATATTGGGCTGTGCAGTGGCGTTAGTATATGAAGTTTCATTGGGATCAGTGATAGGGTCTCAACGTACATGTGAGAGCTTGAGTAAAATTTTGGCCTCTTCATCCAACCTGTTAGGCTTTATTTTGATCACTTTGACGGCGTAATTTGTGCTTTGATGGGTGACATTTATGGGGTTCCGGTTGTTGGCAACCAAGACGTGACCAAAAGTACCGCTGCCAACAATTTTGGATGTAATGTGCCAATTTTCGATATCTGCTCGAAATCCCAACTGTTCCACAAGATCGTGTGTTGTTTGTCTTATACGGGCCACGAAACGATACACTGCTACATTGGGCACCGTGATAGTGTCTCCATCTTCTAACAAACACGTTTGGCCTCGTTTCATCGACATTCCGTTGAGCTGAGTTCCGTTCAAGGAACAATCCTTGACATAGTATAGCGGAACGCTGTCATCGTCGAATCTTATAGCCCAAAAAACGCAATGAACGCTCGACACCGATGCTTGATTCAGTACAATATCACATTCTCGGTCGCTTCTACCCAATTTCACGAGTTTATTTTTAACAATGGCCATGGCGGCTAATTGTTCATCTGCCTCAAAATTCCCCGGTTTCGCGGTAAAAGGTTCCAGGACTCCGAGAATTTCCTTCTCGTTATAATCTATCTGTGCAATGCCCATCTCGGCAGCTGAAGTCGGTTATTTGAGTGGATGGTTTTGGAAATCTGTGTAGTCGAGTGCACAAGTTTACTGATCGGTATGTCCTCTGAAGTTTGACTATATGTAGACATCTGTCATTATATACGATATAAATTTAGAAAATTAATAGCCGAAGACTGCCACTGGCGATTTGGGTTGCTCAGGGTTTAAAACAGCAGCAATGTGGTCGGTGTCCATATCATACTAAAGGAATTGCGTGTTGTAGTTATTATGCGGTATCTTAGATCTCAGCGGGGGAAACATAATATCACGAATGACGATTGTGTCGTTGTAAGCCATTACACCCGATCAACCGAAACACTCAATGGTTACAGAGCTAAACTGTGTCACAGTTACGTTGAATGGCTCAGCCACATAATTCTGTGAAACAATGTGTGCGATAATTGTTGTGAGAAGAGAAGTTCAAGTTATCATCACGTGACTAGATACGCAAGCGTCAGTATTAGTAAAAAATGAGAATTTGCATTTCAAAAGAAAATACGAAGCTGACTATCCATGAACATGACTGAAGATATCTACACGTAGCTGAACCATCTGTAGCGCTTTCGATACTCATCTGAATTAACGTTGTTTCCCAGCTGATCAGATATGATTTGAAGAAAGTGGATCACTATCCACGACTGCTACTAATTTATATTCGTTATATGTATTAACTACGTCATCGCCAAAGGCGAAGTATCAATGGAATCCATCTCGCCAGGATACCTACACCCAGGGATGTCTGCGATGCTTACTCCAGAAACTCCCCAGCACACCGCTGCAAATGAGGAGCTAGATATCAATGATATTAATGAACTAAACGAGAGCGATATTCAAGGACTCGATTTAGAAGAGGAACGCGATACCAGTGCAAGCGCTGTCAGCCAACCGACCCCGAAACGAGAAAGGTTAGATGAAGATCTAGAGAGTAACCTCGACTCACATGATCATTTTAGACCTCGTGTGAATGTCAGTTCACCGTTCTCATCTGGAGTTGACATGCGTAGATATGCACATCGTGCTGAACATGTCAATCAACGTGCACTGTCAATGTCACAGCAGTCAAAATTTATATCGTATTGCGATGAAAAGTTAATGGAAATTCAGAGGAAATTTGTACAATCCCGAGGTCTAAACGAACAACATGGTTACCAGGGTCTGGGACCGCTTTTGGAAGATCTTAAAACAGTGCTGGATTTTATATGGTATTCCATAGAGGGCCTTACTAACACGGAGTCACTTTTGAAGACTGACGTAAATCTTATGAGCCGCGAACAGTTTGCAGGCACGAAATCTACAAGCTTTGGCCAGGTTTACTATCTTATACGTGTGGCGGACGATTTTTTGGATTATTTGGCGACATTTGATATTCGTGGCATGAGCAGTGATGAACAGCACAAAACTCTTTCAAAAGCATTCAAATTCATCATCATTTTGGATGTATCATTTGCACGGCTATTGGAAGGTCTGGTACCAGGAAACACCAGGCTGAACGCCACTGAGACGGTGAGAATTGCGGGTATTGCAGAGCGCACAAGAACTGCTGTTCCACGCTATCTAGAAGAACAGCAAGTTCACGGTTATCATTACGAGGTAAGCAAAATTTATGAGGAAACGTTAGAAAGGTGTGCTTAGAACTATGCAGGAGAAATATGTAATTTTATTAGAATTGGTCAAAAGGATTTGTAGCATGCACAGTGACCAAGGAGGGAGTGGACAGCGGAGTCACCATTGGAGGATTTGAGGGCTCCTCTGTGGCTATCGAAGCCTGTGAATGGGTGTGCTGCTGTTTAGCAAGAGAAGGCTCCGCAAGTTGTTGCTGTTGCTGTTGCTGTGCTGCCTGTGAAACACTTCTATACGAACTCAAGTCCAATATAACTGTGACATCTTTTGTAACCTTCGCCAGAGATGCTAGATTTGGTCTCACTTCATGCAAAATGGGCAAATCCTTCATGATGATTTTTGTATTTGCCAGAATAGAGATGATGGACTTCAAAAATGCGTTGATATGTTCCCAGGTTTTGACCTTCTCCTTTGCGCCCGAGAAATCATCCGACGCACTTTCATAAATGAGCGACAACCTTTCTTTCAACATCTTTGAAAGTTCCTTCGACTGATAGCACGTATCGGTAAGGTCCTTGATTTTGGCTGCGATGCTACTTGTGATGCTCGAGGACTCAGCGCTTTTCGTGCTAGCGATAGCACTTTTCGTTATAGCAGACGTGAGTTGAGCATAAACCACGTTGACCATCGTGATCACTGACTCTAGTGTGTGGTAAAGCTGTGAATCAACATCAGTATCGGAATTTTCGTCAAGCGAAGGTTTCGAAGATGTACTTCCTGGAATAATGGGCGTCCCGCTTGAAGTGGGTATGTCAGTGGCGGCTCTTCTTGCGGCCTGTGGTGAATGCTGCGATGCCTCTGTTTTCATCCTCGGTGATCCTTCGTTATCTGATCTTAGTTCACCTCCAACACTGCTCTGCGCGGGAGGTGGAGTTGTCATAACCGATACATTGGCCGACCTGTGACCGGCAGGTTGTGGCAGAGGTGAAGTTGCGGGCAAAGGTGCGTTTGATGTGACGGATCTTTGTAAGGTGTTGCTCCGAGCGCGTGGTATATGTTTATAGCCATGTGAGGTGCTCAGAGAATGCGTTCTGGTTACCCTTCGCCTGGCGTTAGCCAAATTGGTATGAGGAGTGATTAGATTCCAAGCATTGAACATCTCCGTGTAAGAACAAAGCAAATTCATGTAAAACATTCTTGCAAAACATATATCGTTTCCTTGGAAAAATGCTCTAAAATGCTTGCGAAGCAAAATGAAGACTTGCTTGAAAGTTGTGATTATTGTGAGACAAAGCTGAATCATCACACCATTTTTTGTAGAAGTTGGGTTTTCACTTTGCTCAAGAAGCTCTACAAGGTTGTCAATATGGGATCTAACATTGTAGAGTAAGGAAATGGCGTTTACAGCAACAGCCTTGTCTTCACAAAAAGAAGTTATCTTTCGTATACTTTGTTGACATTCTGTGAAGCAGAACAGAAGTTTTCGACAGGCCACTAATAATTCATCGTGGGACACCCGTTGAGATGTCGTTTCTTCCGGGAGGACCGAGAGGCGCTTGAAATAGTCATTATATTTGTTGTTGCTGTGAATCTCTTCCTGACGGTTTTGTTCTTCCGAGACATTGATAAAGCCACGGCGTTTCGCGGCTTTGCTGATCTTTGCGTCTTCGAAATGTTTTCGCAGTGCAACACACCAGTACTCTTCATGTGAAGTATCTAAAAGCGAGGATAACGGCACTTCTGCCTTCACCTGATCGAGCTCTTCCTGTAAAATTGGGTTGCCTTCTACTTCCAAAATCTTCAGATTTCGTAGCGACATTACAGCGGGATAAAGTTCCCGTAATGTCGTTACGTTATTATTCTTGAGCGAAAGGACCTGGAGATTGTCGCACCACGTCTGTGGGAACGCATGAGGCAGTTGTGTGATAGAGTTTGAGGAAAGATCTAAGATCTCGAGTCGCTGGCACTGCAATAGGACTGTAGGAAACTCTCGCAGCTTATTGTTATGCAGATCAAGATATCTGAGCTCCCGCAGTTTACTAAAGCTTTCAGGTAGCTCCATCAGCTGGTTTTTCTGCAAAGAAAGTCGTTCCACTGAAAGCAATAGTTCAATTGTATCATCTGTAAGTGATGATATACCCAGATCGATAAGCTTGATGGTCGGATCGCGCTGCGACAGTTGGGTAGATGCGACAAATTCCAAATTCGTTCGAAGATCAACGGCGGACGCTTCGCTCCCGGCAGGTTCTGTTCTAGCGTCCATCACAGTTTAGTATGTGAACGAAGAGAGAGCCAGGGTCGCGGTGTAATGACGTTCGTCTGTGTGTTTCTGTCTATTGAGATTTGTCGTTGTTCGGATTTAGAATGGCTATTATTGCATTATGTTGAAAGCTGCCGTTCTTGGATGGTAGTAAAAGTAACGTCATACGTTAAAGTAACGTGACCAGACTATAAAACGTGATAAGCTTGGTCACATGATCAGCTCTGCCGCCAATTGATACAAAGTGCAGCTGGGCGGCTACGGTGGCCGAAAAGCGGCAACAAGATGTGGACAATGATCTCCAAATGAGAGCAACAGGACAAGCTAGAGATCACTTTCTGCATTCCGGCTCTGACAAGCTCTGTATCAGCCAATGATGGTCGGAACCTCCATTTCTACCAGTCTGGCCCTAATGCGATGTCTTTAACATATTCAATTCTTCGAAAGCAAAGTTGACGCAGCACTGATCCACTCTCATTCCTGTGAATCCATCGGTTCGGCCACTGTCGTTGAGCGGGACCAATTTTTTGAGCCCATTCTTTCACAAGTGCTTACGTGTCTCTCCGAAATAAACCTTCTCTAGAAACCTTGTCCGCGAATACACAGCTTGCGATACCTTAGCTAGAGTGTAGCGGGAGGCACAAAGCCTGCTTGGAGAGATTCCAATGGATCTCAAATGCTCAAGTTTACTTTTTCTGTATACCACAGTATGTATGTTTCAATTTGAAATGCTCGAGGGAATTTTCTTGTCGATCCTCTAATCATTCATCTTGTCGATGGTCAAATAGTGTCAGCTACTTGTGTCTTCATCCGTTACTCTACCCATTCCTCGACTCGAAGACTCGAGATCTAATAATTCACCTGGCAATGAACAATGAAAAGTTTGATACCGATGCCTCTCCGATGCTCATCACCAAATACTCCCCATAATAAAAGATATTAGATCTCGAATTGTATCCCAAGGTAGAATATGGGATGGTTTTGGGCGGATCCTGTTAAGGTACGTTTTTGCTGTTACACATTGCAATAAAATCTCCCGTTGTCCTTTAAATACTAACACGTTTCTTGTAGACACAGACTTGCCCCGTGAGCGGTAGCTCTAAAGGTTCAAAGTGTCCTGTCACTCACGAAAGTGCTCCAAAAAATGCTAAGAGCAGCACAACAGATGGATGTCCCGTTCTGCATGGCTCGGACCCTCAAGATGGGTTGAACCCATTGAATCATATTCCTGCTAATTTGTCGATGGAAAGACAATCCCACCAGATCTTGGAACTCCCCAAAGATCGGACTACAAGCTCGATTCCTAAAGGTAGCGAGGAAACCGGCGAATTCTGGGAATACCCCTCACCGCAACAGATGTACAACGCCATGGTCCGCAAGGGTAAAATCGACCCAAATACCGGAGAAGAAATCCCTGAAGATGCTGTGGAGTCCATGGTTTTTGTACACAACTATCTCAACGAAGGGTGCTGGCAGGAGATTTTGGATTGGGAGAAAAAATACATAGAGGACACAAATGTCGAACCCAAACTTCTGCAGTTCATGGGTAAGCCCACTCAGTATTCGCCCAGAGCACGTTGGTTCAATTTTCTCGGAACGGTCTTCCCTACCTGGTTCTCCAGTGAGCTTCCCTTCGATAGGCACGACTGGACTGTTCTAAGACCGGACCCTTCGTCCTCTAACACTGAACACCCTGGCTACAAGAAGGTTCGCTACGTGATCGATTTTTACGGTGGACCAGACGACGAAGAAGGTTTACCCACGTTCAATCTGGATGTTCGTCCCGCGCTTGTTGATTTTACAAGTGCAAGGGACCGTTTCACCAGATGGACTGAACCAATTCTCAGCGAGTACTTCGGGAGCGAGAAGAAATGAAGGGGAATATTTAAATGCAGCTCCCAGCTGCCCTTCCCAGCAGAGCTTCAACACCTAAACCAGAAAATTAAGTAGCTCGAGTTTTCGGCGCCGGCGAGCGTCATCGATCTAAAAGCGATGGTGTATGGATATATATGTTACATGATGATAATAAGTATTTACAGTGAGATTATTATAAACTTCATTATTTGGAGACCTTTGGTAAGGGAACTGCATTTTGAGTCAAGATGTCTAGATCTCTTTTAGCTGGTGTAAAGTTTCTGACGGCATACACATCTTCGAGCAATTGAGTCACCAAATCCTTTTCTTTAGAAGCGAATCCACCCTTTTGAACCCTTGATAGCTCGGCTAAGGTGTGAGTGATTTTCGAAGCCGCATAAAATGTTAACGACTTCTGTGCCTTTTTGGCAAAGGTAGCGTAGACAATTAGCTTTTCGAGGAAAGCTGTTGACTTTTCCTTTATGCTCTGTTCGCATACAGCGTCAACGATAGGGTCTAAAATAGATCTAGTTATCGTGGTCACATCTCGAGTTTCCTGAACAAAGGATTTGAAAATCTCCTCACAAGCATCAATGTTCCCTGCTTTTGACTCAGCTGTTATCATATGACCGAACTTTCGAGCCCCCAGTGGTAGTTTGATTTCTTCAAACGCCTTCCGTACGACCTCAATATCAGGGCAAACCTCAGTGAATTGCTTAAAGACTTCAGTAGTGGCGTTGACATCGTTTTTGCTCTTTGAGATGCTCTTGAAAAATTGAAATTCTTGGTCTTTGGTGTATAGGTAATTCGCATACATTTTTAGCGCCAGAGTTGTACTGTTAGGCTTTAACAGGGCACCTGGGTCTGTGAACTGTTCGCGATAAAACTGATCAACCGCTTTTTCAGGGAACTTCTCCTCAAGCATTTTTCGAAGGACTCGATTAGCGAGTTCAAGAGAGATTATCTTTGCTGGTAATTCGCCAGTGATTCCCTCAAGAGTGAATTCTTTTCTGAAAGATTGGAAAAACAGATATTCTTCGGTAAGGCGTTGTTCCGTTTTCAAGGCGGTAGGGATCTCATTGATCCAAAGTTGTTGCAATTGATGAAAGTTTCTACTCTCTCCTAAAGCTCTTACCAATGCAATGTACGAATCTACTTTGATTGAATCGGAGACATTGGCAAAATATGTGTTCCAAACCGCTTCTATGCGTTTCGCCTTTTGCTCACGAACATCTTTTCCGTATACCGGAATGTTGGCAATCACAACCAGTAGTGCATTTTTAACAGCGTCATCAAGAGTACCGGATTGCTTACTCAAATTGAAACAATGAAGAGCTTGCTGTGGTTTTTTCAGTTCGGTAAATTTGATCATGAAGGCAGAAATAATGTCACTACGCAGAGGCTGCTCCGATAACTTCGAAGCACTTGAAAGACTTTGAAAAAGGCTCTGTACATCCTGAACTATTTCGAGTTCCTTAAGCTGTTTCTTGAACTCGGGGGAGCAGGTCTGGGCGAAATCCAAGAGTAAGCGTAGATAGTTCTCCTTCGCACTTTTGCGTGAAGAAGAATCCATTTTTGAGGTATCAAGCAAATATCTTAGTCTGGACATTTGCATTTTTTCGGGTGTGTCACCTATGTTCAGAATCTGCGTCAATTCTGATAGACGAGGTGTGTTATCTGGAACCATGAGGTAGCCAATGGATGCTAATGCCAAGTTATTTTCATGATGAGACCCATATGTTATAGTTCTGGTGTTTTCGGCCAAGGTTTCGAGATATTTCACCCATAGTCCTAGAATATCTTGAGGAGCATTTGACGCTATCAAGTGCTCGAAGACCACTTGAAAATGAAGATCACGGGCTAGTCCATATTGGCACAATAGTGTCAAAATCTCGTACGGATTTGGTGGGAGCGGACCGGTAGAGTCGGTAGAGTTTTTGGTAGTGCTAAGCTCTGATCTTGACGCCTGCAGAAGCTGCTTCAGAACGGAATTGAGTCCAAAAGACTTCTGCAACGTAAACCTGGAGTCATTGAGATTTTGAGAGACCTCATAAACTTCATTTTTGAGCAGATTGAAAGCTGCTGACGCGTTGTGCTGTTTCTTAAGTTCGTTGCCGAGATCGATATTGAGCTGCGCGATAGGATGAACTTTGCGCGCTGCATGGGCAACCGTACTGTTCCAACAAGCCGCTATGCGGATGTGAACGCTAGTCGCATTCCCAAACTTGAAGGAGCTCGAAAGCATTGGGGATGATGCCTAGATGCGATGGTTTTTGGTCTAGATCGATGGATAAATTTTTAATATGTATGGAGTTCGTGCTAGGGTATGTGCTAGAGAAGTGAATATTCGAGACTGGCGGCATGGCGTGGGGCTTTGAACCCAGGAGACACAGAGGGTAGATTATGATTAGGAGTCCGTACTATCACAGAACGAGTTGCAAGTAGTGCAGAAATGCAATGGAAAGCGGTTGTAGCTTTTGGAGGGCTTGTGTATCGTTCGGTACGGCGAGTACATACATAGCCTTCAAGAAAGCGGGACGTTTCTTCCAAGATTAATCGTGAATAAGTTTCAGATGCATAGATTGAAGAGGTCTAGAGGCTCCAGTCTTGGTTAGTGGGTCTTGTTTGCTTGTGATCGCTCTTAACAAACGGAGATCACGTGACAGAAAAATCAAAAGACAGACTCACCATATTCAGTATCGATCAAAAGACTCTTATCCAAAAATGCCATCCAAGCCAAGATACGTCAATGATCTTTACTGAACAGTTTGAAACCGCACTGCGTCTCTTTCGGCGTCATACCATTATCATTTCGTGTTGGTCACGTGAATTAAAATCATAAGCTCGTGCATAACGACAGGTATCTCTTTCACCCACCAGTGAATATCCCATCACTCCACTATGACCTTTCTTACCGTCCTTCACACACACTAACGCACACATACACATACACATACACGCGCCCTTGTTTCAACCTCATTGATCCTTACATTCGAGCTCTTTTCTCCAGTCCAAGGTCAAACCCATACACCACATATCTACTCACCCACGTGACGCCTCATCACCTGCGCGCACTCTCTCTATTTCTCTATCATTCTGTCTCAAGCTCGAACGCTAATGACATCATTTCAACCTTGTGTTCGCAGCAACCCTACACGCAAAGTTCTTTCATCGTGGTATCTCGAGTCTCTGTGTTCAATGGCTTATTGATGACCCCAATTTTTAGGGGCGCAAGAGACACAAAAACGCTATAGGGCCAATAAATGGGGAATATAAATAGGCTAGGCGGTACCCCACTAATCTCTATTGTCTTAACACCACATTACAAGAAACATGGTACAAATCACACATGTGAACGTAGGTATATAGTGACTTGTAATAAGTAGAAGAAGGCACTGTATAGAGTTTGTTTAACATGTACATAGGATCGAGCAATCGCGGCAATTGAAGGTGTGTCAGAAGGTGCTGTATTAAGTGTAGGGTTTGGCTAGGTGGCGTGCCGTACCGGACAAACAAGAACGTGATGGCGATTGAAGGCGGTTGAACAGACTAGACACATTGTGCCGAGGGACAGCAGCTGGGACATAGATAAAAACTTGAGGGGTACCAAATGAGTATTGTTACTGAGTATGAACGACGTTGTCGCGTGCCGCTCGTTACCCGCTTTGTACCGGGTATTTCTGAGTCTAAAACTAAAGAAACTGAGTCCATACTCAAACTATACTCATTTCAATTCACAATTTTCTCGCTCCCAGACGTGTGTGGTGAAGAAATTTCGACACCAACAGATGTAAACCCGGCACAGTGGACAGATCAGCACAGTCAAGATCGGCTATCACCCAAATACATACTGGCTTGTCGACAAGGATTGAAATCCTCAGCCAGTCTCGCAACCGTGTGGGCACGCGCCTTGCTTGTGTGAAAGTCGTTTTCGGTCTCTTTTTATTTCACCCGCACACAACCCTGATTGCGTCATGGGATCCTCCGACGGTAGCAAGACCAGCGGAGACGCACAAAACAAGAACAACCCTGACCAAAGCCAGCGCCAAGGCCAAGAGGACAAAAACCAGGGCCAGGGCCATGGTCAGAGCCAGAGCCAAAGCCAAAGGCAGAGTCAAAACCATCACACCAACCGAACTGGTTCCGGCCACGAATCTCTCTCATGGATGGCACCTACCGCAGTGCGACCAGGTACCAATTTTAAGAATGATGTGGATGGCGAGGAGCTACACCGTAGTGCTAGCCACCACCCGCAGCAGCAGGGGCCACAGACACCGGGTCAGGAACCACAAGAGGGTCATGGCAAGCCCCTCGATGAAGTGGTTGATAACTATCGACAGTGGCTAGAAACCCTAAATCGTACTAGTGAGTCCTCACCAGGTCAAAACCCTGCAGCAGCAGCCATGGCCGCTTTCCCAAACACGTTCCCGTCCTTCGACGATTTGAGCCAACAGCAAGAACAACAAGAACCTCAGTCGTCGCGTCAAAAGCATCCGTACCAGCGAAACCAGGATAATCTGCGACAGCCCGAAACTCAACCACAGGGCTCCGACCAGAACGATCAGCAACAGCATCGTGGCTACGATCCAAAGCATCAACACCGTCAGGACTTCGAAGACGTTGATAAGATGACCCTCGATCCTGACCTCGACTCGGTAACTTTTGCGCTTTCCGAGCCGTTGTCTCAAGTAACAGAAAGTGTAGCTCTTAAAGCCAGCGGTGCTGTCCACGACAGTTACGATGACAATTCGAGGGAGTCGTCAAATCGTTTTGAACCGACGAAGGCCGTTCTGACGCCAAGGGCTAGCAGCACCAGTCATACAGAGACTCCGGATCAAGAGCAATCACAGAGACAACCTCAGCCGTTTTCCAGCATAATGCCTTTCGGTCTCAATTTGAATACTGGGACGCGAAGCACTACTGATGTTTTAAGGTCTCACTCTTCAAATGGATGGATGAACCGCTCGCGTTTCAGACCTTATTTCAACATCTCACTTGTTGGCGACTCCAAAATCGCCACATGTATCTATTGTGGCAAAGACTATAAGGAAGGAGAATCTACGGGAAATCTTTCCAAACATATAACCAATAACCACGCTTCCGAGTATAAATCTCGCGAACGAGCTGCCTCCAAGGAGAACACATTGACTTCACTCACCAGCAAAGAGCGCTCATTGCGACTGTCTACAAGATTTGCTTCCGAGCTCAATCGAGACAGTGGTACTTTGGCGTCTGTAATTTTGATAACTGAAACGTTGGTACCCTTTTACGTGGTAGAGTCCATGGGTTGGAAGATCATCAACGGCCTTGTCCCCGATGTTCCACTTATAGAGACTCGTAAGGCCGTTGTGGAAAAGTTGGATCACTACATCGATTGTTTAAATGAATCACTAAAGGCAAGTTTGGAATCTTCCACATTTGTGAGTGTCCAACTTTACGTGTGTTCAAGGGAAGATGGTCTGAGATACCTGGCCGTGTCGGCGTCTTACGCTCCAAATGTAATAGGTGATGAAAGGTTAGACAGTATTCAGTCTCCTGAACTTTTGGTTAACAACACGGGAGATCCCGTTAATGGTCATTTATTAGATGTGGTTGAATTTAACGAGAAGGCCAGCGATCACCCCTCTTTATACCAAGGAGTATTGAGAATACTGGACAAATATGGGATCACATCAAAGGTAGCTCTGGTCACAGTCGATCAATTAAGCCACGCACTTGGTTTGCATGAGCCCTTGATGGAAGCCTTGCTGAGCTACTCTGATTCGCAAGTGATGCGTTACCTTGGCAGTGTACGTTTGTCACGTTGCATCAACTCGGGTCTTGAAATGCAGTTCGAAGCTGTAGCGCGAGACTTGATGAAGGATGGAGATTTCAAGCACGAGTACCAAAAAATCGAGAAACTTGCTAAGTCCTGGGAGAAGATTCCTTCCTTACAAAGTTTTGCAGACGATCTTGTCAGTCAACCTCATTTTTCAAGTCAAGTAAACGAAGCCCGAGGAGCTTGGCGCAAGGTCACCAAATTTTTGCGAGTGAGACAGAGGCTTAAAGTTTGGCTAGAGAGCCCTGACAGAGACGCCGAAGGATCTGCGGTACAGGATATCGAAGAAAACATCTCTCACACGTCAACGGCTTTAGAGCTATTCCGCTACTTTGTCGACTGTTGCTCAATTTTTGATAGATTGCGGGGTTCTTTGCTGACGGATGGGATATGCTTTCTACCTGAGGGAGTTTTCATCTACTACAAACTAAATGGGTTTTTCGATTTGTGCGAACGGGCATCCAGGGGCGAACGCATTCATCACGAAGAGTATTCTTTTCTGAATGGTTCCGACAACTTACTCCCTGAGCACAAAGAAAGAGTTTTAAGAGCCGTATTAAGCAGCAGGAAATTATTCAAGGGCTTTTTCGAAGGTGTAAAGAACAATGCCTTATTTTACGTGGCTGTTACACTGGACCCTTCTGTGCGTCTTGAGGATCTTCAAAAATATATGACGGAACAAGAAATGAATGCTGTAAAGCGTGAAGTGGAAGTCAACGTCCAGGAATATTTATCAAAATGTGATCTGTACGAGCATAGCAGTGCCAAATCCGAAGGTTCGGAACATAATAAAGCTCCCAAACGCAAGAGGATGGGACAGGAGCCATCAAAAGAGGGCGTATTCACTAGCAGCTACGACGAATGGACTCAATACAAGTGTGATGTCAAGGTTCTTTCAAAATCGCGTCGCGGGGTGATTCAATGGTGGTTTGAACGCCGTTCTAAGTATCCGCACTTGTTCAAATTGGCCATGGCATTGTACTACTCTCAGATCAGTTCCAACGAAACCGAAAACATTTTCTATGTTACGGAACACACGTTGAAGGTTTACCAAAGGAGTGTGGGACGAGCTAACACTCAGAAAGTGATGCTGTTGAGAAACCGTTTCAAGAACTTTGGACTGTACAACCAGGCTCTAAGGTTTGTGAACCCTTCTATCGATTAAACACATCTTTTGTAATTAATGTATTCATGTAAGAAAGTAAGAATAAGCAGCGTTGCGAAAGTCCTGAGAGTCATAGCGATGTAAAGAGACAACAGAGGGGTAGGTGGGGCTTTTGTTGTTGTTGTTACTTCGACGATGAAGATCGCGGTGACGATAGGACAAGGGGGTGCCTCGAACTGCAATGCAATAGGAGTGCACCTTGCAGATGGTTGTCATGACATCACAACAGTGGATAACAATGGGGTCGTGGATAGTAACAGAAATCATCTTGCTTACTTAATCTCGAAATGCGGTAAAACGACTGTTAAGTCCGATCTACACCAGGGGAAGGGTGAGACGAGAGAGAGAGAGAGAGAGAGAGAAAGAGGGTGTGAGTGTATGTGTGTGTCAGAGCTATTGAAACTGTTTCCCAGCACGCACACACTTGCAAACCCATCTCTATCCTCCTTGCACACACTTTGACTGATCCATCCATCCCGCTCTCTAGCAAACCTGAGACCACATGCTCTAGCTTGCCGTGTTACCGGATCGGGCAAAGAAACGGTCTCTATGTCTCAAAGAGGCATAAGTTGTGCGCGTTTCGGTAACTGCAGGTTACGCCCTGTGTGCATACCTATCGAGCGGCGTAAGGTACGTCACTACCAAGAATTGCCAAGTATACCATGTGTTTTCGACAGGGCCCCGATAATGCACCTCGAATAACAAGAAACTGCCGTGTGGCTGAATGGATGGTGGGGGGGGGGGNGTGGCTGAATGGATGGGGGGGGGGGGGGCAGGGGATGTGGTGGACCGACCAAGCTACTTAGACAGGGCTGTTTTTGGTGGTGGCCTCATACATAGATACATACATATCTGATCGGTTGGCGAAAGACCACCACACAGTGCGTTTTAAATCGAGCACCATAACGGAAAAAAAATGAAGCCATAGTGGCAGTGGATGGCGGTTCAGTTCCCCCCGCCAATGGCTTGCTCTGTTTGCCACATACGGTAACCCAAGTAGTTGTATTTGATTCAGAATGGCACACATCGCGAGAGATCTCAGACCGTAATTCCTGCACGTAACGACAAACGAAAAAGAAAAATCCTACTCTACAAATTTACGGATCCACAATTCTTTACCACCGACACTGCACCGTCAAGCGCATTGTGCAAGTCAGGTCAATCAATCAATCTCCAGATATCTGCGAAAGTCCCGGCGTAAGCTAAGCTCCGCCAGCTCAGCATTCTTCATCTTACACTTTACTCTCTTGCTCTTTCTTACTCTATTTCGCAGCTCTGCTCTGTTCTTCTGCCTTTAATTTTTTTTTACACTCTATACCGATACAGCACAGCACCTTCTCAGTATAATTGGACAGGAAGCCCGCTAAACACCGAGGTCCAAGAATTCCTATCGAATAACTTGCGTCTGTCTGGTGGTCCTGCAGCACTGTATCCTTGGTCTTCGTGGTTTTTCCGCTTTTTCTAAGATTTTTCTCTTTATCTGCCATTGCTGAGACACGACGCTGCGTAAGACCCAGCCAGTCGATCTACCACTGCCACAATCCGTGCTGCCGGGGGTGACACCACCGGCTTCCAACCCGAGCTGGCTGAACAGCAACTGCCCTATAGATAATCTACGCTACGCTCATGCATCAAAAAAAAAAAAGACCTCCTACTACTACAGCCCAAACAGGTAAAAAAGCTGCCATTTTCACCATCCCAACCACCACCCGTTATGGTGGTATCCCACAAGCACCGAAAAAATGTTCCATTAGCTTCGCAAGCTCGCAAGCCGTAGTAGACACTGGAAGAGAAGAGAAGTGAAAAGAAAAAAAAAAGGCTCTGGTGTGTGTGTAAGTAGGTTAGTGCACCTCCCGTCGTTCTGAGAGTCCCTCCCACACAACTGCCACTTGTTTGGTTCCCATGGCCACTTCAAACTGCACAGTACTGCACTCTTGCTGTACTGTGCTGTTTCCTACCCACCCGCCCTCTTTTTTCGATTTAGTCCAGTGAGTGAGAGATTCTCGAACCATACTCGTTCTCAACTAGCTAGCTAGCTCGAATTTTTTTTTTTTTTTTTTTNCAATTTTTTTTTTTTTTTTTTTAGGTGGGTTTTTTCTTGATCCCGGCTAATGCACACGAATTTCCTGTCAAAGAGGGCTGCGATACGGCTGAGATTACGGAGCACTCACGCCCACCCAGGCCCTAACTGTTGGTGTGTGTGGTGTGTGTGCATGAGCTTTATATCGATACTCATATTAAAATTGTATGTATATATATGTATATATATATATTACACCTATAATATAGCCATCTTGAAAATCTACAATTCTTCCTGAACTCCATCCTAGACATCATTTCTGTCTGTTGAGCGCGACAGAAACACCAACCAGGGCAAAGGGTTTCATATTGTGTGTAAGTCACCAGAGAAAAAAAACCAAAAAAAACCAAACCGCAGGGTCGTTTGTGTACATCTTTCTCTGTTTCCTTTTCTCTCTTCCCACTGCTCCTCCTCCTGGCTCCCCCTTCCTTTCCCTCGTTGTAGTGTCCCTCAGACGCCTTTTTTTTTTGTCATTTTTAACCTTGCATAGCGCTGTCCCCTCACGTTTTCGAGACAGACCCAACCATCTTGCATCTGTTGTTTGCATTACCAGAACTCACCAGTTGCACACACACAAAGTCATCCACTAACGCTTTCATTGTCCACCATTGCCCAAAAAGTAGCCAGCTGGTCTTCGCTACAACTAGATTTTTGGATTAGGATTTGTGTTGTTTGCCCTGGCAGTTTTTGGTTCTCTCATTTTTCGGAGCTGCGTCCAAGAATCGAACGCCCGTCTCCCTTCCCATTTACTGTGGGACAACAAGCCACTCTCAGCAAGCAGCCCCTGGAAACCCAACACATTCCCTGCATCCCACCACACAGCCGTCAACTCACCGTTTGACAGTGGAATTTATTCGTTTGGCTCATAATATCCCACACTTCAAACGCTAAAGGACCAGAATTCCAACCCACACCCTTCTCCCCTGATTTTGTTTTTTTCCTTTTTCGGGTTCGAGAGGAGTATCACATCATCCAGACCGTAATTGGTTTATCTTTCGCGCTTTCACCGCAAAAGACCCAAGATCCCCAGAGTGTGTTCTTTTGACGTCTTGGTTGCTTCTCATCTACAACACGGCCTCATAACCTCACCAAGCGAGGAACTGTGAACCGCTCAGAAGTCTCTTTGCGTGCGTGTGTTTATCTTTGGATCAGAATTGAGCTATCGTTCGTGAGGCGGAAATACAAGAAAACACAAGGAAATACGAGAAAAGATTTTGAAAAGAGATTGACAAGACCTTGTAACTACCTTCACTTGTTAAGCTCATTTTGTTTCGTTTCTGTACTGTTTCTGTTGCATTTTGGCTCTCTTTCCCAGTATCCAGTCTGTCTCATTATTACGCGTTATATCACCGACCAAGTTGAAGATAAGTTGAATCTTGAAAAAGAAGAAGACGAATAAAAAACTGATCATTAGTCTTGTAAAGATTCCCCTCCGCATCTCATTGTCATCCCCCGCTTTCAAATGTCATCGTCTCATCTCTCCGCAATGGCCGGCGTCAGACGCTCGGTGTGGAACTCCAGAGCTGCCCATCCCAGGGTCGTCCAAATGGAGCTCCTCACTCACCAGCTCGCCTGTCAAGACTACAGCGTCGACATCCTGCGACACCTCATCGATATCGAGCAAAACAGCAGACCCTGCCTTGCCAGTTTCCAAGCACAGCCCGAAATCAACACCCACATGCGTTCGCTCATCTTTGACTTTGCCATGTGTTGTCACACCAGACTGGCGTTGTCGTCTTCCACACTATTTCTGTGCTTCAGCGTCATCGACCGCTATTGCAGCCGTATCGTCGTCAAAAGCTCCACATACCAACTCGTTGCTCTTTGCAGTCTGTGGCTGGCATCCAAATATACCGACAAGAAACCTCGTGTGCCATCCTTGCGGTCACTTCAAAATTTGTGCTGCTCCCAGTATTCTCGTACTCAGTTCCAGGAAATGGAGCTTCACATCTTGAAGGCTCTCAACTGGACGCCATGTAACGCTCCGCCACACGATGCGTTTGTCGATATCCTTTTAAAAAATAAGATAAGCTCTTTGAGTTACCGTGGCCTCAACATCAATGACCTCAAATACGCTAGTTGTGTGTTGTGTGAACTTGCCTGTTTCGATCACGTCCTGGCGTTTGATTGCAATGCTAGTGCCGTAGCGCTTGCCGCGGTCACGGTCGCAACACATGCTTTACGTCTGTCCGTTGATGGCGAGTTTTTGCATTACTCCACAATGCTCAAGGATGTGAATCTACAACGCGTTTGTGGTCTTATCTTGCGGAAACTGCGCACACGCAACTTTCCCTCAAGTTTCAAACTCAAATATTTCGGTCAAAACTCGGTAGAATCCAATCCGACTATCAAAAGTTTAATCGAATACGACCAAGCCATTTGTCCTCCAACGCCAATTTCTGCGTCTTTGAACTCCATGAATCCAGGTTTTCCAGGTCCTCAAAATTGCGATTCCTCAGTAGCATACACCGTTAGGCCACCCAACCGCGCAACTTTCCAAACATTCAGGTCCCCGCTTGCCAATGTACCGCCCACGCCAAGCACGCCCTCTTCGATAGGATTGAAAAACCACGCCCGAGCGGCTAGTTTTATGGAAACACCACAATCATCTGCATCTCCAAATCCAACGAAGCCCGTGAATCCGGCAGCGTACTTGGCTAAGAGTACAACCGGTCCACCGACCACTACCATGCTCAAGAGATCCGATTCGAAGCGCAACTCTGCATACATGGACATGGATTTTTTCGACATGGCTGAAGTAACCTGTAAACGTCCAAGATAATTTGCTCAAGGCGACGTTGCAAATCAGGGCGTGCTGCATCACTGGGCGATAGAAGTACAAGTATAAACTTCTGTCGTCCGAATCATGACAAGCTCAATAAATCATACCATATTGTGTGGCTTACGAATTTTTTAATGACAAACCAAATATCCTTTAAATCACAATAGGTATCTTCCAACCCTTAAAAAGGAGCGGTAGACATGCTACGTTTTCCGTTTTCCATTCCTTACCTCAGCTCAAATGGGCTTACAAGTCGCTCAGATATCCAAGTACAGATTCAGTGTTCTTTAACTTGGAACCTGCGTTTTATGAAGCACATATTTTCTTTTGGTTGCTCTCGCAGACTTTTATCGGTCACTCTATACAGTTACTTAGGTACCTAACTTGGTACACAAAAGATCCCACTGTGCTGCATTCTAGTTGGTGTATAACTTTACATAGTTTCAAGCATTTTTCGTCGTTCAGTGGCTACCTAATGCATAAGTCTTGAGATTTTTCTGTAATCTTTGTTTTTTTGTGCCCAAACAAATAGCCGCCAACCATTGTCATGCAGGGTCCTAAAATGGTGCTCATATTTATGCGCTTATGCATATGCTGTGATGTATGACGTGCGTCGTCACTGCCATTGTCTAATAAATTGATAATCCGTCGAAAGGGATAGTGACAAAAAAATAATTTTGACGGTTGAAAGCCTGTGATGCAATGGCCACCAGGTGGTTCGAAAAAGAGCTCACTCGATTCAACCCGGTGTTCGGCTAGTCTTGCAAGATGAGCAAAAGATCAGTCGGCTTAGATGCTCAGGCAACTTTCAAAAGATCAGAAACTCTAGCGAAGACCATAGACAATGAATACACTAATTATTATCCTTCGGCTAGAGTAGAAAGCATAGACATCATTGAAGTTCCTGATACCCCCGAAAGAATTGAACAATTTTTGACAGACTATGTGACCGCTCGGAAACCTTGCAAAATCAATGGTGTGTTCGCAGGAAACGTGCCGTTGCAAAAGCTGGATTCAAGGCATATATCATCCACTTTGCCAAGTCATCAAGTTCTACAGGTAGAACGTAAGATTGATGGTGGCTTTGGAAGTGGTGAGAAGCGACTTAAAATGTCATTTGGAGAGTTCATGTCGCGCTTGAAAAAGGGCGAGAGAGACCTGTATTTGACAACACAGTATGGGGCTGAGAATACAGAGCACAATCAGGTCGTAACACGACGCGATGAAGAAGGCGATGACGAAGAGGAACAAGAAGAAGAAGAAGAAGAAGAAGAAGAAGAAGAAGAAGGGTTTCAGAGGTTTGGCGACGAGTCAATTTCAGATGCAGGTTCTTTCCCGGCAGACGATTTAAGAGATGATTTCGATGACCTCGACTCCCAAGACGAAGAAGTGGTGGCTAACTTGAAGTCAGGTCCCCTTACATCTTCGGAGGTTGAAGAACGATTGAAAGAGCTTTATCAACCTCCTATGGATAGCTTGATCAACACTTTACCAGAAAGCCCCGCGTTTATGAGTGCACTGATACCGCAACAACTCAACCTCTGGGTTGGGGCAACATCACAAATAAAAAACAACGCTAACGATGACTTTTTGTCTAATTTTGATGCCAAACTTCCTCGTCTAGGTCTAGGAAGATTCGTACCCGGCGGCGGGTCTTCGTCAGGGCTACACCACGATCACGCAGACAACCTTTACGTACCTGTTAGCGGACACAAGAGGTTTACATTGTTCTCGCCCAAAGACGCCCACAAAATGTATACGGTTGGTTTGATTCGGAAAGTATACGCGTCTGGGGTCATAGACTACGCGAGGTGCGAAAAGTCGCCTTTTTGGAGAACTTTACGTGACGATGGTGCAATACTGGGCGAAGTGGCCCGCCAGCAATTAAACCACAATCCCAATTTGTCTGCGGAAGAGAAAGAAAGATGGAGCAAGATTATACAGCAGGACGAAGAATGCGTCGTCGAAGACTCAGACAACAAATTTGACCCACCATCGTTCTCCACAGTAATCCCAACAGTAGTACACCTGGACAAGGTTGAGGATCCGAGCATACGACAGAAAATTCAAGCAAAAGCACTTGAAGAATGGCCATTGTTTTTCGAAGCCAACCGCATCGTGGTCGATCTTAAACCTGGAGAAATGCTATACTTGCCCACAGGATGGTTTCATGAGGTCACATCATTTGGAGCCCCTGATGCTATGAGTGTTAAAGATCAAATTCACATTGCGGTTAACTACTGGTTTATACCGCCCAACGGAGTAGACACCCAAAATCTATATCCTAACGAGGATAACTACTGGCACACGGACTATGAGCGTACTCGGACAGCTCTTGAAACTGCAAGACGGGAATCGGGCAGAGTTGTAAATGTGCAAGACTACGAAGAATGAATATGAGTGTGCTACTCCATAGCTATTCTGGTAGGGCTTCTGAATTAGGGCAAAAATCTATAGGGCTTTCGATTTAGGGCTTGACAGTTTCGATATTACCCTTTGACTGCTAAATTTTTTGAAAAATTCCAATTTCAGAAGAAAACAGTTCGCTGCGCATTGCGATATATCGCATAAAAACCATCAGCACAGTGAACATGTGGATCAAATTTGGCCGCGACAATGGCATGGCTTTAAAACATCGGTGATCTTTTTCAGCGTCAAAACTGGCTTCCTCAGGGCGTTAACGACAGTCGTTGAATTACACCGTACAAAACGATACTCTCAAAAGAATCTGTAACTGGCGATTTTTCTACCAGCTCATCTGCGCTCTGCCAAAAAAGTACGAGTTCTGCTTGAATAGCTTCCATATCGTCGTATCTTAAAACTGTAGTATCGCTTTTGAAGCTTGCGTAGAAGTAGCCCTACAACAAAAAATCAATTTCCAAAATTACTTAATTTTTCATTGCGTCTGAAATGATTCAAAAGTAGGCCATCGCTTATATCCAATATCGACCAAGAACCCTGTAAATCCCACCTTCGTTCATAACTTGGAGGTTTCGGCGCTTGTTAACCCCGGAAACGTTACAATATAGTCACATTAACTTGTGCTCCTTTTTTCCTGGTAAAATTTCGATCATTTTAGCGTTGGTCGATCCCTAAAATTCATCGACAAAAAGAGCTTCTCAGCTACGGTTATAGGCGACTGGTTTGGGGTTAAGTTATAACGATTGAACCGTTTAGCTTCTACAGAATACTACACAAACCATCAGTTTGGGTTGTGTTATCTCTAGTTCAAAGGGTTCACTTATCAAATATAGTTTTTAGTGCACGTTCCTTGAAGAATCCTCTGTGAAAGGCACACATTTCAATCTATTGAACGGTGCATGCTTGAGGATTCTTGAATTTTCTTTCAGCCTCAAAAATTTCTGCTAGTTGACGCAAATGGCATTGACAAATTCGAGACCCTTGCAGATCCCTGCACTTGAAAATGAGACACTCCATAACTCCGCTTCCCCAGTTTTCCAGCCAAGCTCACTGAGTAGCTCATCACAGACTGCATCATCTGAAAACTTGGCCGAAAGAAGTAGCTCAAGCGTCACTTCGGAATCCGGTAATGAGAATAGCATCTCAGAAACTCCCTTAGTTCGCAAAGACCTTGCAGGATTGAAACGGTCGAATACATCGTCGCCAGTGCCGTCTTCAGGAGGTGTTTCTGAGCTTTCTATTACGGTTCCTGTAACAGGGCAACGTCCAAAACCTATCAAGAAGGACTTGTCCATGGATGATGACATTTTGTTGGCAATTTTCGTTATACTCTACGAGAAAGATCTACAACAGAAAGGTGTGACCGTCAAACAACTATGCGATTATGTTGCCGAGAAACACCCTGATATGGCGGGTGCTTCCACGAAACTTTCGAATTTGATTTCAGCAAAATTGAATGCTTACGTGAAAAAGGTGGAAAAGGGCGAAAAGACGTTGAAGTATGCTCTTTCGCGTCAGTGGTCGGAAGGCTCTCCTCGAAGAATGGTGTACGTGTATCGTGGGGTGTTGGCATCGGATTACAAGTCTCACACGCAATCTATGATGTTGCAAAGGCAAGATTCTAAAGCAAAGAGCGGAAAGCCTAACGGGCCAAGCAAAAAGGGCTCCGGGTCCTCACAGACTACAAGCGATACCACCACAGAGGCCAGTGGCGCTGAAACAAAGAATGGGAATCAGGGGGGACGTGCGTTTGCCGTTAACAATACCTTTAGCATAAGCGCATTTGCGAGTGATTTCAACATTCCATACGCAGCATCTCCCGTGACAATGAGGCTCATTCCGCATTTCACAGAGAATAATAGCAGTAATAGCGACGCCACTTCAAGTGATTCTTCGAGGGAAGTAAGAGCGAGACCGAGTTTTAGCGAGCCTATTGCTAAGAGACCCAGAATATCGTCCTCTACAGATGCTGCTCCACCCCCCGCTGTTCCATATATCACAGCTGCTGCCGCTGCTCCTAGGTTAAGTAAGCTCAGTTCGAAGCGGACTATTGGGCTTCAAGAAGCTGGAAATTCAACGGGCGCATCATCTGATAACAAGAAAGTTTCGACGACGACGCAAAAATCCGGCGACTCCGATCAATTTTTCTCTGCCAGCCTCTTGGAGTCGTTTTCTCCAAGTTTGGCATGCAGTTCCTGGTTGCAGACCATACGATCAGGATTTCTACTTGAAGAAATCGACTCTCCAGAGACCGTTTCCGTAGAGGAATTCGATGGACTTTTCAATTGAGTATGCACACAGCTATTGAAAAGCTCATCAGACACATTGCAAAATGACAAACGGGTCATTTTTACTTCATTTCAGTACAAGGCCAGGTTTACTAGGGCCACGTTTAGGTTTTGGTTTTAACATATTAAAAAGGACAAGTTGTAATACTATTTAAATCATAATTATTGGACAATACTCAAGTTAGAATTGTCTCAAGCATTCTTGCCAACTCACACAATCTCAATTCTTTTACATCGTGTGATATTCCCGACGTCACAAAATTCGTTCGATTCGTTGTGACTATTTTCGTGACGTCTGCGAGTCATCCGATAATAATATATATTGAGTTGAAATTTAACATGGTTATAGGTTCATCGAAGAAAACAGCGCCGATTGGAAACATTACTAGCTGCTACAGAGAGTTTTGAAGACATCTGTTGAAGGAGAATTTAGTTTGTTTTCTAACCCTTCGACTGGTTTCGTCGTACTTGAACAATGCTTCCGAGAATCTTAACAAAACGAACCATCAAAGATGCGCATAACCTCAGATTTTGCTTGAGACAACTTACAACTGCTGGCGCGAGAACTTCCAGCATTAAAAACAATACTAGAAAATATGCTGCTCCAAATGGTGTAAATCACTCTCCCCGTAACCGAGTTCGTGAGTTTTCTACGTCGCATGTTGGGCTAAAATCCACTGAGATACCATTTGACAAACTAAAAGAAGACCAAAAAGAAGTTATGACCGAAGATCGTGCCGTTGATAAAGTTGACGTCTGTATCGTAGGCGGTGGGCCTGCAGGGCTTGCAACTGCCATAAAATTGAAGCAATTGGACGGCACGTATGGGACCGGTGAACTTCGAGTCGTTGTACTGGAAAAATCGCCTGACGTGGGCTCACATATGGTTTCTGGAGTCATCATGGAGCCAAGAGCGCTAAGAGAGTTGTTTCCGGAAAGCGAATATTACGATGAAAATGGAAACGGTATTCCGCTCCCACCTGATTTAGTTACACCTGTCACCTCTGGAGAGCTCAAGTACCTTATTGGCGATCTTGACATACCGGTTCCCGAACCCCCTCAAATGTCAAACGAGGGGAATTACATTGGATCCTTGAGCCAAATAGTGAGACATCTTTCTGAGAAGGCTGAAGAAGTAGGAGTCGAAATTTTCCCCGGAATTTCGGTCTCTGAAGTCCTGTACGGTGATGATGGTAAATCTGTCGTTGGTGTTGCAACAAAAGATATGGGAATCACCAAACAAGGAACTCCCAAGTCCTCGTTCGAAAGGGGTATGGAATTTCACGCTAGACAGACTGTTTTTGCTGAAGGGTGCCACGGTTCCCTGACTAAACAGCTCATCAAGAAATTCAACTTGAGAAAAGACAAGTGTGCTCAAACCTACGGTCTAGGTATAAAAGAAGTTTGGGAGGTCAAGCCAGAAAACTTTAAAAAGGGCTTTGCCACCCATACAATGGGATATCCATTATCTAATGATGTTTACGGCGGTGGATTTATGTACCACTTTGGAGACGGACTAGTTGCGGTAGGGTTAGTTGTTGGTCTAGACTACAGAAATCCCTATGTGTCGCCTTACCAAGAATTTCAAAAAATGAAACATCATCCTTACTACAAGAATGTTCTCTCCGGTGGTAAATGCCTAGAATACGGAGCTCGTGCCTTGAACGAAGGTGGGCTGCAATCCGTCCCCAAACTAAACTTCCCGGGTGGCCTTCTGGTCGGTGCTTCTGCTGGGTTCATGAATGTTCCAAAAATCAAAGGAACTCATACTGCAATGAAAACTGGCTTACTCGCAGCAGAGTCCATTTTTGAATTCATCTCAAAATTACCTCCTCTCGAAAGTATAGAAGAAGAGCTTGACGAATCATTGATGGTGTCACCTATCAACCTGGAGTCTTATGACAAAAGTTTCAAAAATTCGTGGGTCTTTGATGAGCTTTACGCTGTTCGCAACATAAGACCTTCTTTTAACCACCCTGTACTTGGTCGTTTGGGAGGTATGGCATATTCAGGTCTAGATTCGATGCTGCTGAACGGACAAGTTGCATGGACTTTCAAACACCACGAATCGGATGCTTCAATCACCGAAGCTGCCGAAAAATACGAACCTATCGACTATCCAAAACCAGACGGAGAGATTTCTTTTGACATCTTGACTTCTGTCTCACGTACAGGTACTTACCACGATGAAGACGAACGCTGTCACTTGAGGGTACCCGACCAAGATCTAACGAAGCACGCTAACCGTGCTTATCCAAAATGGAAAGGAATTGAGAATCGGTTTTGTCCCGCTGGCGTTTATGAATACGTTGCTGACGAAAATTCGGAATTAGGCGTTAAGTTTCAAATCAACAGTCAAAACTGTATCCATTGTAAAACTTGCGATATTAAAGACCCAACGCAGGATATTAATTGGGAAGTGCCCGAAGGTGGTGATGGACCAAAGTATACTCTCACATAGCGAGTAGCTCTGTGGTTTATTTATTTATTCGAAGTTTGACTAGCCGCTAGTCATCCTTTTCACTACATAGCTCGAATTAATAGTAGATTTAAGAGGTTTAATGTAAGAGTCGATCCTCAATTCTGGATAGGTTTCGTTACGAAGTTTTAGTTCACTCTGAGCGCCTCCGACACTGCTGTGATTGAAACACAAACTAGGTCGCCTCTCGACTTCAACCAATCATTCTGCATCTTAAGCTCTGCAGTAAGCGGTTACAGTGTTCCTCCGCGGTGACTGACGGACGATTTGGACTTGGCTACAGGTTCAGACAAATTCTAATGCAAAATTCTATCAAAGTCTTTTCCTTGTAGTGATAGCATATCCTCATACCCATGAAATACACGCAAACCAATAATTAACAACTTTAGTCCGGATCATTCAAAAGTTTTCATTTTCTAAGCGAATGCCCAGACATTCAGAATGCGCTCACTGCTTTCCCTTAGCATGTCTTTGACTACATTCCAATCATCTTCGCTCTCTAGCATCACAAAGTCACCGTCCTCATCCTGATACTTTATCTTCGAAATGTTCCCAGCGTGGGTCAGTTTTCTTTTGATAATGCTCAATAAATTGTCAATGCCAGAGTTTATTTCAACCAGAACAGTGTAAAAGTCATTTTGAAAGGCTATTCTCACGAGAAGCGTAGTCTCGGGTATCGATGACCTATAACTCTCCGAGATAGAACGATATTCGTTTTCAAATGATTGATGCGTTTGATGTCGCGGCAGCACGTCAGAAATTCTTCTATTCGGGTTGCTGGTCAACGAACTCATACTATTATGCGGGTAGTACGTCGTAGACGAATAAGATGAACGATCACTGTTGCTGCTGCTACTTTTAAGAGACTCACTTCGAACTTGTCGCAAAAGAGTTTGGAGACAGTTATGCCAATTGTCCCTGGTCTCTTCGTTTCTGAACTTTAAAATAAAATTCCCATGTTCTTTTGGAGATTCCCATATGATATTGAGAGCGCGGGATTCCATTGGATTCACTTTGTTGAGGTTTACAATCATGATACGGCCTCTAAGATCTAGCTTGGAGTCGTTTGGTCCACCAGGAGAGTTAGCATTACTATTGCCACTACCTGAAAGATGTAGTGTCGACGATGATGTGGTACTGGCTTTCTTTTTGAGCGATATGCTGTTGACCTTTTTTTGGACCATTTCGCTGAATAAAATGATGATCTTTTCGAAAAGATATACTTCAAAGTCGTGATCGGATTCATTCGCGTTTCCTGTTGATATGGACACCTTATCGAAATATAATAGCTCGCCAAATTTGGCAATGCGGTATCCTTTCCAATTTACGACGCGATCATAAAGTTTCTTGACAATTTCGTGATTTTCGGTCCTTCTCTGATTCTCATTGATGCTACGTGCAATACTTTTCGATATGTCCCACGCCAACTCTAGTTCTTTGGAGTTTGCGCTCGATGTCGATTGCTGTAAAAGCTCTTTGAGTAACAGAGGATATTTGCACAGTCTTTGTACTGGCTTCAGAAGAAAGGATTGAAGTTCTAGCTTATTGGCAATAACAAAATCCGATCCTTGCATCTTGTCGAAGCTCGACGAAATGAAATCTATGGCAGCATTTTGACCAATTGACCAAGGTTCGTAAAGCTTGAAGAAATGCTTTGAGTGCATAAAAAGAGCTCCAATCCGTTGCTTATTTGCCTCTACCTGTCCGTTTATCTCGAGAGATATGAGGAACCTTCTTTGAAAGTCTATAATATCATTAATGTTTGGGAAAAGCATTTTCAGCTCTTCAGAACTGATTATACCTCTATGCAAAAGTTGATTTCGGTACTGATTCAAAATCTCCATGTCGTAAACATACTTTCGCTCAGTTTCAACAAATTCACGCACAATCTTTCCTTGATCTGTATTCATCCATCGTAGCTCTTCGAATGGTATGTGCGGGAACACTTGCGGAGCAGAGTTTATTAACGTTTCCACCACATCCAACACCTTGATGAAATGGTCCGTGGTATTGGAATATACGTCTGAAATGGTGAAAAGCTCTTCGTCGCTGAAAGTGAAATATCTCTTGCAAGCTAGAATAAAATCGTATATCGATTTCTTGCATATTTTTTGGTCGTCTGATGAAACCACGGGCAGCTTGAACTGAGGTTTGACTGCATTGAATATTATGCACAATGGTGAACCCTGCTGGAAAAGATGTGCCAACTGCGTTACTGGATCGCAGTCCATGGTAATAGGCAAGATACCCATACTGAAAGTTACGACCGTTTCTTCGATAGTCAGGTTCGACAGATCCAAATCATCGGAGAAACTACCGTTGGAAATTGCACTGATACGTCTATCGCCCACAGATTTTGTACCATTTGTATTCGTATTAGAAAGATTTCCTACACCAGGTCCGATGTTGGAATGCCTCTGATTGTTCAATTGCTGCTGCTGCGACAACAAAAGTGCTTGTTTTTCGCTCAGAAGTTCGCTGCTGGTATGTGCAAGGTTCAAATATGGTTTAATTTGCGGCAACTGCTCGAGCCGCTTCTTCACCGTCAAACATATATGGTATAGAGAGTCTTCATTCGTGACACGTCTGTTCAGTAAGCTTTGCGTTGATTGCGTTACCAGTGTCGGTAGCGACACTGTCGATTGCGATTGAATAGCCATACGCGATGTTTGGCGATACACGATCGACGAACTCAAGGGTTTCAAACTCTGAAGATCCTCGAGTCCTTCCTCCACCAGTCTGGTTGTATATACTATTTCATAGAGATGAGTTCGAGAATTTAACGACCGGAGAATAGTATCGTTGTGAACGAGTAGCGTCAAAAAACGATTTCGGTGATGTCGGCGCCAGTATGCGATCAGGGCCTTCATGGAACTTGACTGGTATTGAGACTATGGTGAGCACATTCAGCGGGTCGAGTTTACTCTTATCTTTTTTTCAACAAATTGTAACATCATTTAGTTTAGTTTTGAGTGTACTTTTATCAGTTTCTTAAAATTACAGGTCAACAGATATCTGATCTTTCTTGAGAATTGTTTTTAGGGTCTGAGTCTCAGGAACTTTATGACTTTTTTAACTTCTGTACTGCAAAAGTTCTTATTCTTATCTGTCTTTCAAGCGCTCTTTTTGCCCAAAAGCGACCTTTGGGCCTTGTATGTCACCTTGTCAACCACAGTGCCCACTGCGAGAATGCCACCAATACTGGTTATACAGTTCAATATGAAACCGGACCAGGTTTGTGCATGCTGTTGTCTGTTGATGACTTTGAGCGGAGACATCTCGAAATTCACGTAAAGACTGGGCCACCCACCGCGACCGTGAAGCGTGTTGGGATGGTCTTCGTCCGTTCCACCGTGAATGGAGCGGGAGTGATATGTGGCGCTGAATTGTGTGGTCTCCAATTTCGTACCGTCGAGATGTTCGAACCGGGTGGGCACGATTTTCAAAAAATACGTAAACTGATGAAAGTGCGTGTCGATGTCTGGTTTCACAGTTTTGCCATCCAAGGGAGCAGTTGATACACTCTCTGTGGCAATCTCGTTCAGTTCTTGGCCGAAGCTGAGGTGGTTGATGATGTGGTTGAAGTTCAAATTGTGGTTTTTATCGTAAAGCGATACATCATGGTAATGGCCGCGCGCATTACGATAGGCTTTACCTGGAGCAAAATGCATGCTCCCCTCAATTCTATTGAGCTTAGCTTTGCCCTTAATTCGGCAGCCCTCGTTGATATGCTTGTTGACCTTTTCAACGTAGCCCTCACGTTCGCATTGTTCAATGTCTTTGCCATCGAAGAAGGCCCATTGCGCATTTGCATACGCCGTACGCACATCCTCACATGTTTGGCAGCATACCTGTTCTTCTTTTGGCTTTCCTTCGTTTTGACTTTGATCTCTAGCACCGTAGCAAGGTCCACAGTAATTTTCGTCGGTCGGTTGAACTCCATCCTCCTCTCCAACCTTGAACTTTTCGGTACCCAAACTTTGACCCGACGAATCCAGTCTTGTTTTGCTCCATCCACTTTCCAAAAGGTCCAATTGTGTTTCGCCAGAGCTGTCCAAGACGTCCAAATTGAGCAGATAGCATGGAAGATTTGGGAATGTCACGTCCATGTTCAAATCGAGCTTCAGATGGCGGTCACGGTCTACAACCAAATCTGGACGTATAATCACCTTGTTGAGTTGTCTCCACTCACTATAGAGCAGCATTAGCGTTACCATAACGCATGACAGCGTTATAATGCCGCCTGTTCTGGTTCGGATTCTCACGTCTTCCTCGGTCTTTGCAAAAGCGTCAATCGACAGCAAAGTTGACTTCTTCATTCTGAACTCCCAGCAAGCTATTCAACCGTGCAAATCGAGTTTTTAACGGGCACAAACGAGTTATTTGAGTTGTTGTTCGTAGCTTTCATTGTCATCATCATCACATTTCTAAATATTGCAGTATTACTGGTAATAATGTATGTATCGTGATACGAGAACTTCAGACGGTTGAAGAAGTGTGATTTTAAAGAGACGATGATGGTAATAATTTAAGTAGCTATGACACATTAGCTCAGTAACTACTGTTCGTTTTATGAGGGTTTATTCCGTCTTTTTTTTTGGGCTTTTCAAACCGTGTTTTACGGCTCAGATATCGCAAAATCTTATTTTCCATTAAATCCGCCTTTTGCGGGAAGAGGTGAGGTCCTGACCATTTGAATAACTGTGGAGTAGCTGAATTTCGGATGTAAAGACGCTCAGATTCGAGATTTATGAGGAATTGCTCTGTGTATTATATGTGCTGCGACAGATTAGTACAGAGTGATATTGAAGTTGTTAGATGTACTTCAATTGTAAGCAAGTCAAGCTCAGCGAAGAGGGCGAGGCACTCTTGGTTAGGTATGCTGCACCGAGCATAGCAGTTTGAATCTTTGCTTTAATGGAGACACAGACCGAATAAAAACCCCGCAAACAAATTCTGCTCTCTCACATAGTACCTTTAGATTGCCAATAAAATGAAAATGATCAAGATTCTTTCATATTCATGGACTAGCATCCAGCTTGGTGGTTTGACAAACTTCAAATTCAAAATTTGTTACAATTTTTCATAGACTTGTAATACGTAGATTGAAGGTAGATAAGATGAGAAAGAGGGACGATCACCACTGAAATACAAACTGTGAAAACCTTTTCCGAAATACTAAAATGAGGCCAGTCAAATGATCCATGATCACGGCAACGACTCAATTCAGAAACATGATCACGTATACTCACTTTAAGATTTATCAGTCACTTCATTCGAGGCTCGATAATTCCCCTTGCATTTCCAAAATGCACCCATAATCTGGTCTAGATATCACTGTTTCCGATTGTGATAGCTGCGGGTGCTTGTTGTAACAGCATAGTGCACTTTTATTACTTTCAAACGGTGAATATGATCAGTATGCTAGACCGACAGTATCATCCTTGTAGTTAAGATGTTATATGTCACGCTTAACGGGTGAGTCGTCGAGAATCAGTACCACGTAGAGTATCGAAAACCGGCCTTCCTCTCCAAGGCTTCCTGGTCCCACAAGGCGTATCCACGTACTACTAGTGACACCATACTGTTCATTCACCCTCGATCTGATCTCAAAGTTTCTCGAAAATCTCAAATCTGGTGGTCATTGGCACCCTAACCCTGGAAACATTCCGGGTTATGTTCCTGGTTCTTACAATACACTCTGTCCCATGGAGTTGAGACCCCGACTCTACCTTAACCTGTAAATTTCGGATTCTCGATAAATCTAACGAGCACTTTGGATCCGGTTTGTAGCAACGGGTGGCCTGCCACCGCGTTCATCCACTTGTTGAGATCCTCCTTGCGTTCTTCTATAACCTCATCACTGAAACGGTTGCCCAGGATAATCTTTCCCGGTAGATTTGGCACAACGACTTTGGGATGACTAGAAAGCGAAAGTTCCTTAAGCAAACATTTGCGAAAAAGCTCAAATTCAGAGTATCGTCTACGAACATTGCTTAAACGTTTTGAAAATGACGGCAAGTTGGTTCGACAGATTATTTCATAGTCTGTATACATTCCACGTTGATCATTGTGCGGTAAATGCGTTTTCGGGTTCGCAACTTCGATTTCCAAGAAGTTCTCCGGTTCTGCATAAAGATCGACCGAACTGGCCGGCTTTTGAGGCTCTAGTGAACTTGATTCGACGGTGCTACTGAAGGATTGAAATTGGCGCATTCCACGACGTGATTTAGCCTTGATTGAAACCTCTTTGGTCGCTTTAGAGTGTCTTCTGTGATAAAGATATAGGTGCTTGCAAGCTGCGTTTATCAATAAGATTATTGAAAGTAAGATATTGAAATAAAGTTACGCAGCTCATCGCTAGAACAAAACACAACACGTTCAAGTCCGTTTTACTTAAATAGCATCGCAATGGACGTGCAACCTGAAGAAGAAGAGGTTGACGTTTTTCGGAATGTCGCACAAGGTTTGGTTGGTAGCTATCTTGAGATTACGATTCAATATTGGCAAGAGTTGATTAATGAGATCGAAATGACTAACGAGCCAGGCAGTGAGTTCCAGGACGATTTCAAGTCACACTCGTTGCCCTTGGCACGGATCAAAAAAGTCATGAAAACTGATGAAGACGTCCGAATGATAAGTGCAGAAGCACCCATCCTCTTTGCCAAAGCGTGTGAGATTTTCATCACAGAGCTGACATTGAGAGCGTGGTGCATTGCTGAAGAACACAAGAGAAGAACGTTGCAAAAGAGCGATATCGCGCAGGCGTTGTTAAAGAGTGATATGTTTGATTTTTTGATCGATGTCGTGCCTAGAAGCACAGAATGATGTGACAGCGTCCCAGCAAGGGCTGAATGAGTTTTGAGGAAGGTTTTAGCGGTCTCCACATTCATCAAGCTAGACACATTTCTCAAGGGCTGCGATGCGGGGCATGTGTGCAAAAGGGTGCATAACATGGAGTTTTCGCTGGACTTAGAAAAGGTGCAGCTTGTGAGGCTGCGACCTTCGAATCCACACACACACACACACACACACACGCACATACTGAAACGCCTTCGAATCTGTTGTTGGGAAGGACATCAAGCTAGATACTTGACAAAGATCATCAATTTTATTCGTTAAGAATCAAAGTATTTGAACCCGATGCGTCTTCAAAACACATTCAAAATCTATTCTGCCGGGTTAGAAACGTCATATCTCATCCTCGCATCAACCACGGGCTACTGGTGACGGAAGCAAACTGGCGTCAGAATTGACGGCTGGAAATATGGAATTTTTGGGCAAGTCGAGTTCAAATAATGTCGTTGACTCTAACAATGCTTCAGATTTGCTGTGAGAGTAGTCCAGGTATTACCAACTATCCAGTAACGTATTGTTTCGTCCCATGGTTCACGAGCGTCACATCCGTACAAAGCGACCATTTTATTTCAACGCATAAATATATTCCAAAACATCGTTTCAATCCCTCTTAGAGAGTCTCTTCTAATGTCTTCTATTTTTGACAATTCTTTTCATCTCTTTTCGCTACTGCCTCTGCTATTTTGATGGCTTCTTCTCTGGTCGAATTCTGAGTTTCTCACATACGAAATCATTATACCGTTAACAACAACCTAATTAATATATCTAAATGAAAAGTTCCTGGTTTGGACGATGAGATGCGAAAAGAATACCAAAACAAGGTTAAGAATAGGACTGTTGTTGGGCTATGTCAACTGAAGTGTCCCAATTGGCTCAGGCCAGGACGCTGGCCATGCAAAATAAGCCGGGAACAATGCTTCCGAAGGTTTTAGAGACCGCTATGTCGTTGTATCGCTCCGCTGCAAACCCATCCGCAGAATTGGGCAGACTATGTTCCAGGTTGTTTATGGATGTACTCAATCATGAAGAAGTTGCCTCGAGCGAAAAGCCTTTCATTTCGTCGCAACATTTGCCGACATTATCACAAATGTGCCGAAATTCACTAGACCATATCACAGTTCAAAATTGTATTTTGGGTTTTAGTCGATGCTACGAATGGCTTTTTGATTTAGTCGCTAAAACTTCAAATAAAGAACTATGGGATGCTATGGACCAGTTCAAAAGCTTCATTATATCCAAGTGGAAAACGCCTTATCCGTTGTCGCCAACGGAAGATCTTCTCAACGACCACGCCCGATCCCTAGGTGTGAAGCTGGCAATTATCAAATTTATCTCAACAGTGGTCATCACACATACGCAGGGACCTTCGGGCAGTGGATTTGCTTCGCTACCCGAGTCACACCCTGTTATTCCACCTAAAACTCAACTTGGATCAGGAGCTAAGAAACTGCTAGGCTATCTGTTGGGATATCTTTCTGAAGAACCAATGATGGTTTCAACCTTGTTCATGGGGGTACTCAACTGTTTGGCCTTCATTATGAAGCAACGGCCCCAAGCCACAAGTCATATCTTGGTGGGTATTTTGAGGTTTAACGTGGACAACAAATATCAACAGGACTCGGAAAAGGTTTTACAATATCGATTGGCGAAAAGATTCGTGGAGCGATGCTATAAAATATTTGTTCAGTTTGGTCTGAAATCACAGCTGATAAAAAACTCTGGTAGTACATCTCAATATCACGCTAAGCTATCCAAGATTTCTCAGACTCTTCACGTAATCGGCGAGGAAACCAAATCCAAAGGCATCTTGAATTTTGAACCTAAACAAGTCGAGCGAAAGATGCCAGCGCGCGAAAGAGCAAAATACATTGCTTTTGTAAAATCATCAAATCAGGCGGCTGCGGCAAAAGCTGAAACCCCACAACCCTCTAGACTGTCTCCAGAGATGCAATTATTGCAAGCTTTACAAGAATACACTTTGGCCAAGAGCTCATCTACCGGGTTCTTCAATACATCGCCAGTCGCTATTGACAATACATATGCATCGGCTTTCTCTCTCATGAACAGTAAGCACTCGGAGATAGATATTTCCAAACTACCAGCAAATGTAATTGCAAAATTATGCACAGAGTCGCTTTATCAAAGTGACACGAATAAGGTCATTACAGGATTGTCCATAGTTGCTTCTCGTTATACTGATCTCATGAACAAAGCCTCACGTCCTGAAGCACCGGTAAAACGTCCTCTTGAGGACGGAACTGATGCCACACAGCTAGCTAAAAGACAAGAAACATCAAAACCGCTCGAGGATGAGGAAATTTCCGAAGACGAAGACAAACAAGACTTTATCCTAGCGCCTCCCACTCCGATGTCTGAGGAGGAGAAAAAGGAACATTTCGCGCGGATCTTAGAACACATACTTGATGTTAGAAAAGCAGAGGCAGAGGAAGATACGTATGATGAGGCGCCTGACAACCTTCTCCACAAAGTCAGACTTATGAAATGGAATAGCAAGACGTCTTGGTTGACATTGTTGACCAGATTAGCCACTCGAGGGCTAGTTCATAATAGTGAAATGAGCAACACTGCAAGACTTGCTATTTACGAATACTTCTTAGACGATTTTGGCGGCCGCGTCGATGTTGTAATCGAATGGCTGAGCGAGGAGTGGTACTTCGAGTCCTTGCAGAATGGCAGCGATTCCAAAGAAACGCCGATTTACGACGAATGGTCGTTGAAAGTTTTGGATGCTCTGATGCCGGTCTTGGAGTCCTCACATAGGCGTTTGTTTATTAGACTAGTGAGTGAGTTACCTCGGTTGACTCAGCTGCACATCGAAAAAATCAAATCTATCTGCCTAGACCCGCTTCGAGGCTCATTAGGATTTCAATCGCTCAAATTCATGCTTATGTTTAGACCTCCAGTAAAGCCTTTTATTCAAAAACTTTTGTTAGCCATGCGGGATGAGGACGAATCCGTGAAAGAGAACTGCGAATCCATACTGAACAAATTCTTTTGAGGAAGTGGGCTTCTGCGACAGCAACAGAGAAACAGCAAAATACGACAGTCAAGAGCATCGTTTTGTTCCACCATAAGGTTTGAAAACAAGGTGCGCCACAAACACGAATCGATCTGCTCAACAACAATACATACAAGACAGGAAGTATGTACGACACGCAAAACGCTGAACCTGACGTCTCAAAAGCTTCTGCCAAAAAGCTATCCAAAATTTATATACAAATTTAAACCACACTTTCCATCAGCAACTTCGATTGTGAACCTCCCTCCAGCTCATTGCACGCCAACGCTTCCACTTCTTCTTACCATCATCACCTACTGTCTGGTTTCTCATCGGGAGACTAGCGTCGTTACCTTTAATTCATTTTAAACTGTCGTCGTACTCGAGTACTCTACTCGATCTCTCAATTTTTCTTCTTTCTTTTTTTTTGTCAAATTTATTAATTTATACAATCGTTATTCACGAAATAATTTTTCACGGGAAAGTGAAAAATTATTTTCAAATGCTCATCTCGTCCATTGAAATGTCAACGTTTCTATCCAAAATCTCAGCCAACTACACCAGCAAGATTGCAAACAATCCGTCAGTGTGAAAGGCCTTTTGAGAACGCTTCTAATCGCTGTTTAAAAGGGCATTGAAATAGACCATAGAAAAGTATAGAAGAATCGGGTTTCGCGAACTGGTCGAAAGAATCATCAAAAGACGAGTTTCCGAGTTTTTGGGGAAGACCAAGTAAAGAAGCAACGGTTACTTATCCAGTCGTTTAATCGGGCGTTCCTTGCTGTACCTTAAGAGATCTCAAACTTTGCTTCTACAGGTAGAAGAAAAGAGATACATATATAGAGAGAGAGCAGGTCTTTTTTTTTTTGATTTTGGTCCATTTTTCTTTCAAAGAAAATCACTAGTATTCACGTTCTGGTCTTGTGTGTGTTTGTGTGCGTGTCTTGGAAACCTTTTGAGCTCAATTGACTATGTTCCAGCAACAAGAAAGTTTGGGTCTCCCCACACGGGTGCACTCTCCAGTCGGTGGAATGCCGCGAAGAGTGCATCCTGGAGCTGTACTACTGTCTCCACAGTCTACAGCCATGAATAGCATCCATAGTGCGGGACCACCCGGCGACAAAAACAACGGCTCGCATATGCCACTCAGCCCTCAACTTTCGTCTCAGCATCTTTCCCTCAACGATCTGTTGGACCAGCAACAAAGCATGCTCATGGATCACACACAACGCTCAGCAGCCGGACCTGCTGTCGTATCTCCAATGTTGCAACCAAATGGCTCCATGTTTTTGGATTCGTTCACAAGGCCCACAAGCAGCATGGGTCAATTGCCCGCTCCTGCTCCTACCAACATGGTTAACTTCACACACGACGTGAATCAGCTTTGCTCGTGGATGCTGATGCTATCTTCAGCCCAACAAAACTCAGTCATGGATAATCTTCTGTCTTCGTTGAACGAGGAAGTCTTGCAACACACCAAACTGAAACTGGACAGTCTGATTAGCTCGGGGTACATTTCCCCCAGCGTAAGATCGCCGCAAGTCATAGCACCCATGCCCGATAGAGGTCTCACACCACAACCTTTGACCCTGGACTCTCTTTTGAACAATAACCTTGATCATAGCATGAATCGGCAGTGGTCTCCCTTACCTCAAACTCATTCAAATGGACAGCCGATCTACGACTACATAAATGATCTCACCCACAGGCCACGTTCCGCTGACCCACAGCTAAGAAAGAAATTTGGTACCCCTGGGAAACAAATACCAAAAAAGTCGCCATCACAACCTAAAACGGCGCCCCACAATGGTATGAGCTCCCCAACAGGGTCCACTGGATCGTCGTCATCTTCCTCGATGAACCCCAAGACCTTGACGGATCCGAAACTTTTGAACAACATCCCTGCATGGTTGAAATCTTTGAGACTTCACAAATACTCGGATGCACTCAATGGGAAATCTTGGGTCGACTTGATTTATTTGAATGACGATTCATTGGCAGCTTTGGGTGTCTCCGCTCTGGGAGCCAGAAGAAAGCTTTTGAAGGCCTTTTCTGTGGTGAGAGATCACAAAGAGCGCGGCCTCATCGACTCTAATGCATTTTAAAGGTGTATATCTAACACTACAAAAAGACTTGAACTTATAACCTAGACTAGTGTGCCCTCTTCTTCTCAATTTCACGATGTTGATCCCTACACCTCAGCAAAGTTAGGTTAGGACTAAGGAAGGAACAATACAGATATTATCAAGTTGCTTTAACCGTTTATACTATATGAACAAAAACACCTTATTTACATTTCCCTTCCCAAAATTTCTTGTTTGCCTGAACATTATTATGCAAAAACCTCAGCTCTTGAAAACATTCTGCTAAACCGGCAAATAAACTTTCTGCAAATGCATTAATGAACAGAAGCTGACCCTTTGGTATGGATGGATATTTTATCAAAATGCTTTCTATGCAATCCGGAATAGGTTCGTCGCAATCCGTCACCTTGTGCCCATAAATATCATTGTTCTGAATTGACTTCAAGAGTGCGGCACATTCACTGAACTCGCAAGTGATTAAGACTGCCCAGTTGGTAGAGATATGTAGAGGACGGGTGACGTTTGATATATCCGCGGCCTTTAGAATCAATGACAGTAGACTTGGTAGTTTCGAGGGACCCGCATCCATTAACTGCACATATTGCGAATGCAAGGCCATGTCGGTAGCCAAAATGGTATCGGACAAGATAGTTTTCTGTTGCAAGATCTGGGGCCAATGTTCTTGGAGGAGATCTGAGAAGATTTCGGTATGAAAGTTTTCAAGCACGGAAGCCTTGTTGTACAATTTGGCAACGGGTGAAATTGGATCGCACATAAGAGCGTTATTTGTACCTGGATGTCCAACGTCGTGACCAATGGCCGCAACGCAGACGACTAGTATGGAGGAATTTTTTTCGAAATGAGACTTCAAATGGCAACATAGCTGCCAAGTGGCTTGCATAACGTCGACGGCATGTCTAAAACTGTGAAACTTGTTGCCCTGATGGTAAGAAGCCTCCAAGCTCAACAGAAATAAGAATAGGTCGTTGTCTGAAATATGAAAGTTGGCGTCATGCGCAACTTTTTTAAGAATCAGATAACTGCACCATATAAGCTCTGAGGTCGAAAGACTCATGGCACAGAAATCCCAAGTAGAAATGAGTTTCCAGTAGTGGTCGCTCGAGACTTTATCCTTCGGTAGAATGATCAAATCTCGAAGATTGAGAGCGGTGGAGATGAGTTTCGTGCATGGCAGACCCGCACTTTGATGACTGTTGTTGCGTACTCGTGTAAGATGGGAAAGCATTGTATACACGTTTGCAGAGCAAGAAGATGAGTTGGGAGTCGTTTCATCTTGTTGACAAGCATTGTGGGTCTCGTGGCCTGTGAATGGTTTCTTGCAGCCTTCGTAATTGTTGTACATCCAGGTGGAGACTCTTGCCAAACGGCTGGCGTATAGGGAAGCGCACTCACGCAGGTGTTTCAAGGCTTTTGGCACTTCTGCGGGAGCTGTAACGCTGAGACTGAAACAGGGAAATTGTTTCTGCACCAGATACGCCAGTTCCGCAGTGGTAATTGACTCCAGCTCTGGATCTGAGCTGCTCTGGGAATCACGCTGTGGCTGCTGGTGGACGACTAGCGACAACGTCCGCTCAAATGTGTCTTCACCCGAGAGCCTGTGGGCGTACAAATACACCAGGAGTTCACTCACCGATGAGAGATGCACCACGTTGCACCCTGCAAAATGCTCAAACAGCTCATGGCACAACTCGGGCTTGTTCACGGCGAAAACTGTTCTCATGTTTCAGATGTCAGTCCTGCAAGTCCCAGATGGAGGGAGAGGGATGGGGGGAGAGGGGGTGTTATAGTCAAGTGCAGGTTTACTGTGGGTATCCGTTTGTCTTCCTTTGTTGACCCTGTTGAAGGTTTCAACAGACAAAATGAGGTCTAATGTTCCTGTGATGCAAAACAGACGCAGTCAAACCGCTAGTTTGGCTTTTATCAGTGTGTGAAAAGTCTCAGGTAACTAGTTCTATCTCAATATCACAATTCAAATTTCTTAATGCCCAATTCGAAATTCGAAATTCATTTTTCAAAATTCACAACGCACACAATTCCACCACACAATACCACCACACAAAACAACACACAATACGAACCTCTCAAATTGTGAGTAGCATTCAGGTTGGAAAGAAGGGAGATTGAGCGCGTGCTCCGGGTTCTTGGCCCAGCCTTACTCTCGCCCAGAAGCTGGAGCCGGGCCCCTATCGCGAAAATAGAAAGGGAGGAAAAAAAGAAAGAAACGGGAAGGAAGGGAAAGGAGGAAAAGAAAACAAAAAGAAAGGGAAAAGCAATGTTCCGAAGACGATCCCCGCGTCCTGTGAAAATTTCGGGGCTCTTCCAGTACATTCGTTGGTTTCTTTTTTTTTGGGGCCGGTGGGGCCGGATCGCCGGGTAACCAAAAACGATATCGGGGAAAAGCTGGCTCTCATCGCCGAGGGGAAATAATGTCACGTGAACAAATGTGTACTCGAGTACACTCGTGATTTTTGTCCTGTGGTCCTGCCGTGCACGGAGACACAGATCCAATATTTTCGCTTTTGTGGCATGTATTAATAATTGGTAAGATCGATCAATGGTAACGAAATCGTCGTTGATCTAGTTGCTAAGCGCCCTGGGAGCGATCCCTTCAATGAAGCCTCAAGAGCGAACCAATGAAAAGGGACCGTGCTAGCCACAATGTGCCGCCAGCAGCACCGCAGCGTCGATAGATTATGCGTTTTTGGGAGCCGCTTTTAGCGACCCCAACCAATACTTTATAATCACAAAAACAAAAAATAAAGTGTGTCTAGAGTGTGTCTAAAGTCTGTCTAAAGTCTGTCTAAAGTCTGTCTAAAGTCTGTCTATACTACTTACACCTGCATTCGTCAAGCCGCTAAGCTCTTACCTAGCTCGGTGCCATTGCGTTGAATGTTCTTTTGTTTGTTGTAACGGCGGCACACAAATATCAAATCAAAAATGTTACAATGTCTGTGGGCTCGAGTCTTTGTTTGCTCCTTTTATAGCCCGGTTGTCGAGTTCCTCAGGCGCCCCTAATTTTTCCAAGAGTTTTTTTTTTTTGTTTTTTTCCCTCTTCTTCTCAAGGCCAGAGGGAAACACACCACGCTGAGATGGTTGAAAACGGAAAACTACGTCGGGAATAAATAAAGAGCTTGGCTCGGTGTTGAATTTGGATCTAAACGAAGTGATCGCGATGAAGCAACAACACCTGAGGGGAGATGACATGGTTGTTAGGACGTGAAACCATAGCGTGTGTGTGAAGATTGGGTCGTGGTGGAGGTGTGTTGGGTCGTGGTGAAAGTGTGCTTTGGCCGCAGCTCTGGTTAGGTTTGTAGGACGATTGATGGACCCAAATTGGATTGAACGCGGTGTGAAAGCCTGTGAAGATCGAGATATTTGAACTCTGTTGGAAAAAGGGTCGTCTAGAGAACGCCGCAGCTTGAAAAAAGGGTTTCGACTTGCGCTGTTAGGGGCCCTCGAGTCAATATGTATATATGAAAATATTAATATATGGCGACGGCAGCTCGTATTTAGTGATTTGATTCAGGACAGGACCGTCACGAAACAGACCGGAGTGATATGCGGCTGGAAGACTGCGGAGAGGTGTGTGCGCGTATTAAATGGTTGTGGTACTCGTTGCCCCGTATGATATTGCCAGTCTACTGTGTGGTGGGAGTTGTGCAATTCTCACCGATAGAGCCAGTCACATAGCTTTGCAACAGGCTTATTATTGATAACCGACTACGTCAGCAGTGCTCGAGTTGTTAATCTGCTTCGTTTGCTCAGTTATGGTTTCCTCTCAGCGAATGGATATGGTTCATGAATTCCACTTATCTCTCCGTAGTTCTTTTGGTTATAAGTTTATTGATGCCCGACTACGTCAGTGTTCGAGTTGTTAATCTGCTTCGTTTGCTCAGTTATGGTTTACTCTCAGTGAATGGAAACGGTTATGGATTTTACTTATCTCTCCGTGGCTCTTTTGGTTATAAGTTTGGTACATTCTGTTTAACCAAATCACAAATATTTAAACGATTCTTGGAGCAAAAACAGCAAACAATGGGTAACGTCGTAAAACTCAGTCATTATTAAAGACCGCTCAAAAGAAGTCCTGGACTGCTTACAAATTCTGCATAGCGTTGACGTATTGTTGCTTCATATCTCTACGATTGGTCCATTTCACCTTAGCGCTTGATGTGTCATTTTGGACTAATATGTCATTTTCTGATTACGCAATTTGGCACTATCACATATGGTTTACCAATCTCAATCAACACTTATCATTTCCAATTACTAGTGGCTTGAGGTGATCTAGGGATTTATAAATGTAAGCAAGTTTATGTCTGAATGGCTTCAGCGCTCACTTACTTGAGGTGTTTCATTTTGATATTGAGGCCCCTGAAGACTTGTTACATGTCTTTGAACACAAGCAACAAGGTGGTAAGTTACCATTTCTATTAGAAATAGCTTAATGTCAGCGCTGAAGCTGAATGAATGTGCTCGCTGATCCTGATCATCATTTTATAAGGCTACTCTTGAGTTTCTCTTGCACGTGCCCAAATCTCGAATCCTGTTTACGCGAGGACCCGAATCCGGGCGCGAGTCTGGCACCTTTCTGAGATAGCTAAGGAATCTCGACACGGTGGTTGAATTGACAGTAGATCAAGATGCACTGTCGAAGTCGAATTTATGGGCCTTATTTCGAATCGAGTGCTCATTGCTTTACAAGCTGCGAATATGACATAGGACAGACGTCCGGCGGGAGGAAGCAAGGTTCCTGACAACGGAAGGCATCAAGTACCAGGAGCCGTTTGATAAATCTATTTAGTACCTCAATCAGCGACTGACGGAGCTTAAGTGCTACCACTAGGTATGCGTGTGCAATGATGGATTAGCGATAAAAGTCACGAGCATCAAAATCTCATATAGCGACAGTATTCGTGACTCGTCTCCTTTGCTTCTGCCCACTTTTTTGACTCCTTCCTCTAGCCGAGTCACAAACTTTCGGATATCTTATCCACGTGACCCTTTTTTATCTCTAGACCTTCAATGCATCATCACAGTGTTTGATATATAAGACATGAAAACCCAACTACCATTCCCGTAAGATAGTCGAACCATCCAAACTCCATCGTTTCGTTTTAGATCCTAGTGTTTCATTTGCCGTCAAATCCACTATCTAGAACGCTACAACCTTACATCCCCGCTCACACACATCTCAAAATGCTTCGTTTCGGTTCGCAATCTATGGTGAGACTTACAGCTCGTTCTACACCTCGTCTTTTCCTCAGGGCTCAATCCACAAACGCACTAAATACCGCTCAGACTCCTTTCACTTTTTCAAAATCCGGACCATCCGCCATCAAATACACTACCCAGCACGAATGGATCGCTGCTCACCAAGATGGCACCGCTTTCGTCGGTATCACTAAGTACGCGGCAGACGCTCTGGGCGATGCCACATACGTGGAACTGCCCGAAATCGATACCGAACTAGAAGCTGGTGATTCTCTGGGTTCCCTAGAGTCTGTGAAATCCGCGTCCGAGATATACTCGCCAGTGGCTGGCACTGTGGTCGAGGTAAACGAGTCGTTGAACGACTCCCCCCAGCTCATCAATCAGGACCCACTGGGCGAGGCCTGGATCGCCAAAGTCAGGGTCAACAGTCTTGAAGACCTGCAAAAAGAGGACCTTTTGACGCTCGAACAATACGAGGACTCCCTCAAAGAAGACCACTAGAAGAACTTTCTCCGCTAACTGGTGCTCAGCATATCATATCCCCCGACTGCCGATAGGGTGTCAGGCGTAGTTACATAGAAGAATCCAAAAAAAGAATACAAAAAAAAAAAGAGTTCTGTTGGTATTTCAAGGCAATGGAAACCAGTCCGGCCTTATTGTTTTCGTGCTTGTTCAGAGCTGGTTCTTGTCTGTAATTGTAACGCGTGCAAGCCGCTGTGCAATTCATCTTCTAGCAAGTTATAAATTAATCTGTGTCTTTTTGGCAAAGTCAAGCCCTGGAACCCATCGCTTACAATTTCGAGTCTAAAATGCGACTCTATCTTGTTTTCGGCCTCTGCCATACCGTGATGGCCAGCATGTTTGTAGGAATCATTGAAAAGCGCGAAATGCTGCAGATCTGGGAATCTTCCGCGAACTTTCCGGTTAATACTTTGCGCAATGGGACCCTCGATACTTCTGTTGGATGCAGTACTCATTTGGCGAACAATTTGCCTCAGCATTAGCTTCTGTTTGGCTGTGAATTCTGACGATCATGCTTTAAAGCTCTTCCCAGTGTGATTTTATATTATATATATTATCTGAGTGGAAAATTTCAAGTAGACCGACCAACGAAACTCGCTCACATTCGGCAACAGCAGATCTATTAACGAGGCCATAGTTCCGATAAGATGATCAGACTGATAGCCCGTAGATTAATGTCTTCTACTCCTGAGGAGAAACTGATTTTTGATAAGCTGTCGAAACAATTAAGCCCTAAAAACATGCATGTTCAAGATGTCAGCGGTGGCTGCGGGTCGATGTTCGCAATTGACATCACCAGCGATAAGTTCAAGGGTTTAACAATGGTCAAACAACACAAACTGGTCAATAAAATTTTGGAGGACGACATCAAAAGATGGCATGGTCTACAACTTCGCACCAGAAGCGATTAAGGCCTAAATATAATTTATAAGTATTCCGGATCAAGCATGTAAATATAGAACGAACGACAAACAGAGGTTAAAGCAAATAACAGTATTCACAAGTTTTTTTGTACGTAAAGATGCTCTACAGAATGGAAATCAGCATTGCACCCTTCCTCGAAGATTGATCTAAGCATCTTCGAAGCTGTCCACTTGTTCCTCTTTCTCTTCCAGAATCTCTTCCTTGATCTCCTCCACGACTTCAAACTCTTCATCAACAGCAGACGTTTCGATAAAGTCGAAAATCTCGTAGTTGTATTCCTGTTTCATGCCGTTGGTGATATCATCTCTGTAGTTGGACCATTCCTCCATTAGCGAACGACGTAGCAAGATGAGCTCTCTCAAGGCACTGTCTGCTTGCATGGCGTCCGATTCGTCAAATTGAGCAGACCATTCTCTCAGGTTCTTTCTCACCTTCTTCCTCTCCGCATTCGTCAGCAGAGAAGCGGGTCTAGGTCTCCAGACAAAGTTTTTGAAGTTTTCAATGAGTTCTTCTCTCACCACTTCACCAGTGACATTGAAAACCTTGTAACCGTTCTCCAGTTTGTGTTTGACAGCGGAAGACCAGACGGCTAGGAACCGACCAGAAGGATCCCAGCTCAAATCTGTAGCACCATAGAAATCTGGGTGAGCAATGGATTTCACCTTGGCAGCCACGTCATCGCGGGTATTATCGTTCTTCTCTCCCGTGTAGTCAAGGTCGAAAAACTCAAAGTCTGCTTTACGGGTGTCTGGTGTGACCAAAGTTGCTACCAACACGAATCTACCAGATGGACACCAAGAGATTGTGTTCGAAAACTTTCCGCTGACTGTGGCACAAGCTCTCCATTTTTGACTATCGTCTTTGCTGTTCTTCTCCTTCAATTCTGGAGCAAAGAATGTGATGACATTTTTAGGGATGGATGGATTGTCATCCACAACTTCTGTACGTGATAGAGTGACAAATCGTTGCCCAGTTGGTTCCCAGGCAAATCTGAAAGCTAGTTCCTTCAGTTCAACCTTCTCAACAGGAACATCTTTTTCGGTAAGCTTGCAAATTTCCAAGTTTGTGAAGAAGGTCTTACCAGACTTAGTGTGACGATCGACCTTTACACATAGGTATTCAGCCTGTTCTTGCCAGATCAAACTCACATCGGAGACCTGAACGAGGTTGACCGTTCTCAGCACTCTTCTTGTAGGAATCTCCATTATGGTGGCTTTGCACGATTGGTTATTGGATTCTGGAGTCCAGAACGCTAGGACGGAAGAAAGCTCGTTGTTTCTGTTCACGGCCAACTTGACACCGGCGGGCGCAAAAGAGAAGTTCATAATATTCTCAATCTTGATAATCTTACCACCGAGTAGTTCAAAGTTGTTCTCAACATCGTAAACGGCCAAAGCGTTTGGACCTAGACGTGCACAGTATTTATCATCGAAAGACCATTTGATCATAGGCCAGTGCAATGCTTGAGCTGGAGGCAAGGCGAAAGTCTTGACAGAAACACCAGTGGCCACGTCCCACACGCACAATTGGTGACCATTGGATTCAGGACCAAATGGAAAATCTTCAGGTGCGTTTTCAGGAACAGAGATGGGTTCCGGCGATAAAGTCACCAAGTACTTTTCTGTAGGAGAAACGTCGAGTGCCTTGGTTTGAGGATGGAAATAACGTCTCAAACGCTCGAATTTCTTACCACCCCACGAGGCAACACCCTGGTCGTGGTAAGAGAACAGGTAAGTACCCTTTGGCGAGAACTTGACCGTGGTGTTCGACCAGTTGGATCTTGGCTCCACGGCGTTATCTGGCTGTTGGGTGTTTCTGTTCCAAAACACTCCGATCACGTCATTTTTGTGTAGCACGAACTGGTCTCTTCCTTGTTCGTCTTGCAACCATGACTTCAAATAGTCAGTAGGCTGGAAATCTGGCAATTTTGGCTCTTTGAATTCATTTTCGAAAGATTCAGAGCCGAACTTGTCCATATCACTCAAGCTGTTGACAAGAAGTCTGTGTTTTACGTCCAGCTTTTTACCGTTGAGCATCTTGATGGCCTTCTTGGCAGAAACCGCAGAGTCGAATTCAACGAACAAATAGCCTTTGGTGCTCTTCTTGGCTTCGTCAAGAGGTAAATTGATATCAACGACTTTTCCAGCCTGCGAGAAGAGTTTGCCTAGAACTTTTGACAAGATAGGAACCTTTGATTCCGGTGCGATAGGTGCACCATCGACCACAACAAAGTTATCAAAGTTGACATCAGATTCGACTTGAAATTCCTTCTCCAAATCGCTGAAGTCAATGTCGTCGACGGGAATGTCTTCCAATTTGATTTCCTCAACAGATGCTGCTGCCATTGTATCTCGATATATATATATATAGTAGAATGAACAGCTGTGTTTGGTCTCGACCTTTCTTGGATTGTAGTAGAAGAAGGCATCTAAACAGCTTATAGCTCAATTCGAAAATTTTCCAAAATCTCAACTGATCATTTTTCACGTGATTCTTCTATTCCGCACGTGACTGAGTGTTCTGGTCCGATTTGATGTATTGGACAATGTTTAAGATGACAGTTCGAGATGAAGGTATCAAACATACAAGTTTGAGTTCTTTAAACACCGAAGCACTGGGTTTCATGCTTCAAGAGCTGTTTAGCTAGCTAAGTGGATATTTTGTGAATATTTGGGCACTTCCAGGATCATTTTTACGCTTATTTTGGTATACCTAAGGACTGGTTAATTTACATACAAACGAAAGAAAGCTTGGAAGGCAACAATGGATACCGAAGACAGTGATGTGAGCAATGAGTCACTTGGTAGTCACTTGGAAGAAGATTTTGGTCCAGAACAATCAGGGTTATTGTCTAACGAAAACTCATCTCACATGGCAAGCAGTCCCGGAAAGCAGGATTCGAAATTACCATTTGGGGGCGATATTCCACGTCTGAGTGTTTCTATGACACCCTGGCGCACTTCTGGACCCAAAGAGCATAGTTTCGATACCTTGCATCACAGCTATGTCGATTCAAACCGTGGCTCAGAACCTCCACATCCGCTGCCAACACTTGACGCATCGCCGCTCAATTCAAGGCCCCGCACCCGTAATTCTCTGTTTTCTGAGTATGGCTTGTCCAGTACGGCTACCGCATCCGCATCAGCCTCTTCCTCTGCGGAAATTGAGAACTTGCAGCGACAATTGACGACATATAAACTCAAATTACGCATACTCACAGAATTACTACGAGAAATCAACTATACTCGAGACGGTAGCGCAGAAGACGGCATAACTCGAAACCAGACTTATGCAAAGCTCATTGAAAAGCTTCCTGGTCCCGATAAGGCAGGGGATATACCTAAAGAGCTAAATGAGCTACGACAGACGCTAGACATGAAAAACAAAGAGCTTATAGAGCTCAAACAAGAACTCGTGTCAAGTAATGAGGAGTACCGCACGGCTTTGAACGACATTAACTCGTACCTTGAGCATTCTGATGTGATTGCTGGCAACATTGACGAACTCTTGGGCTTGTTTTCCGCGAACCTGACACTCTCACCGGAAGAAACTGACGCGCTGGAAAAGGCGCGTGGCATATCCAATAACTTCGTGGATCTCAAAATAAATGCTCTGGCCTCCACCATACGGAGATTCTTGAGTATATACTCTTCCTCGCAGAACCAGGAAACTCAAGATTTTACGAATTCTACCACGTATGAAGAAAACCTTGCCACTTCTCACTTTTTGGATCCTCGACTGGAGGGCGCAATAGAAACGATGCATGAAGAATACAATGGCTTTTTGAGAAGCTTGCAGGACAAAATGATGCATTGCGCAGAAACGGAGAGAATTCTCGAGCAAAAGCTTGACAAACAAAAAGATCTTTTGGCCGAATTTGCCACGTTCTATGACAACAGGGCCCCCAGAGATAATGAAGATGAACGATTGCATAGAAACGAGGGTGATGATCATTTAGCAACTACTGCCTTGGATGTCAATCCGCAGTCATCAACCAATGTGGATTACTCGGGCAGTGACGTGGTGAAAGACAGACGAAGCGCAGAACACCAGGTTTCCAACAGCGAAAATGAGATTGATGGAAAGTTCGCAAAGTCTTTCGATCTTGAAGGAAGCTTGACGAATGAAGTGGCATTCAATAAGTGGTTGGACGAAAAGCAACGTCTCATGAGCCAGCTCTCGGCTGCTGACACTGAAATTCGGCTACTCACGACGGAGGTAGAATCACTCAAGTCGGAAAATTCCCTTCTGCGAACTGAATCGGACAATGCACTTGCCGACCTCGAGAAAACGCTTAAGCGAGCCGTTAGAAAGTCGGGTCTTTATATAAGTGAGAACCGCGAAATGCATTCCCATGTTCTTGCAATGGAGCATGAACTACAAATTATCACAAATCAAAATCAAGAGCTTCAAAAGGGCGCTCTAAACATCGGAAGGGATCATTCATTGCTGGAAAACGAATACCAAAAGTTTCGAAACCATTTGTTACTGCACCTCAATAAAGTATTTGACGTCTTCGAGAAGGTCCTACAAAAACATTCCATAAACCAAGCCAAGGGTAAGCTTAAGGCACTGGAAGATTTTAGCGCTAATGACAATCACAGAGTCTCACATGCTAAGCTAGAGTCACTTTATGTCTTCATCGAAACCGCCGTCAATACGATAGTTGAAGAGCACGCCAAGATATTGTTAAAAGAAAAGGAAAAAAGGTCCTCGCGTTTGCCATCGCAAGAAGAGGATCCTAACAAGAATTCAAGTTTGCGGATCGAGTTTCTGGAGCGTAAATGGGTAGCAGAACGTGAAAGGAGAAAATTGGATGCCGCTGCTGCGGAATACAGAATTTTACGCCTGGAGGATGAAAACAAGAAATTGAGGCAACGTCTGAGGCAGAGTTTTCAGGACGAACATTAATCGACACCGTCCCTGCGGTCGACCTCGAAATACAAATTCGGACTTTCAAAAATTACGGATCGTGATTGTAATAAGTAGCGCGTCTTTTTATTTACTCTATGGGTACGTCCCCTTCAGCATCTCGCTTTTCGTTATTGTTTTCGCGGCCTTCGTCATCACTAGAATCGTCACTATCGGAACCGTCACCACTCTCGGCCTTCGCGAAGTTGATTGCTTCCTCCAGCAATTCTTGAGGTACGCTCTTGTGAAGACCATTGGTCTCGGATTCTGAGCACCAGCTCACCTCGAGTTCGAAGTCTTTTTCCTTGTTGTCATCGTGAGCCAGAAAAACAATTCTTGCAGCCTCCTTGACCGCTTCCCTAGCATCAAGGTCAGGTTTCGATACCAAGATTTTTTCTAGTTCTGCTTTAGCGGATTGTCTGCCTTTTCCGGTAGCAGCACCTTTGTAACCCCAGTAAGTCCCGCTGGGTTCGAGCATATAGAGATGGGCACCTTTCTCGTCAACCCCACCAAATATCGCAGTGATACCAAATGGCCTTACACTGTTATATAGTGTGTGTGCTTGCACATATTGTCCCAACCGGTCGGCTAGGGCTGCTAGTGGTATAGGACTGCCATATGTTTTTCTGAAACTTTGAGATTCTTCACGAGCTCTGTCTACCAGATGTCTCCCATCAGGCATCAACCCGGAGTAGGAGCATCCAATGTGACGGTCTATGGTTTGGATTTTGCGGTTCTTTCCTGGAACCAGAAGTTTTGATGTGATCAACTTTTCCACGGCAAATATCACACCATCTTTGCATTTGATACCCACAGCAGTCGCACCGTTTTCAGCTGCTTTTAATGCATATTCGACTTGGAAATTTCTCCCATCTGGTGAGAAAACACTGTTTGAAAGATCGTAGCCCGTACCGATAGAAGTCTACGTTGAAAGCCATGACAGGTCTATGTTAGTAAAGAAGACACTAAAATGGCAGCTTCGACGAGCTGAGAAAAGTGCTAGAAGCGGCAATTAGATTCCACATACCATTTTCTACTCGCAGTTGATGCTCTGGATCACGAAATGCTATTAACTTGAGCTACCTGTCTGGTTTTCGATGTTTAAAGGTTTGCCACCGTGAGAGATTTGTCTATAGCTAATTTCTAAATCTTGGGTGATCATTCGTGTAGAGTGACTGTTACTATGGAATCACGGTTACGTGGCTTATTTCTTCTTGTCAAATGGGAATAGCTCGATGAGTTTAAAGCTCCCATTTTATGAGAGCTCAATGTGAAGAGGTGGGTCACTTAGGTCAAATGTGTCTTTTACGCCTTTACGATATATCTCGTTGTATTTGCGGTAAGTCATGATCACTTGATTGTTGATTGGTGACGGATCAAAGAAAAACGGCAACAGATTCATTCACTGATGATATTATTTTTAGATTCTCAATATTTTGAATACCTAGGGATTTTAATTCAGTTTGGTTCTCAGTTAATTCATCAACTACTGTAGAAGGATCCTTCAATCGATCATCTGATACTATATCTATAAACCCTCGAACTCGAACCATTCAGAATTTCAAGATACTTATATATTCAATCACTAGAGGAGAAGTGGTCATAACTGTAAGTTCCGTCTCTCCTGCCTGGCGTCAGGTCCATGGTACAGTGATCCAATGCACGTGATACGACGACAGGGACTGAATTTGACGTAATAACGGAAAGAGTTGTAACAACTACAGTTTCCCGCTTCCTTGATGTTCATGGGGCCAAGAGAACTGGAGGGAAGATATTTGAAGTTTTTTCATTACCTTCTCTGTCTGTTTTGCAATGTCGTTATTGCACCACGTTTACGTGGAAAGTTTCACTTCCATTCAACAGAAACGTCCTTAAAGTAGGCCAAATGAATCACGAAGCGATTACTCTGGAATCAGTAAAGCGCTTATTCTACTTTAACAGCAATGGATGAATCTACCGAAAGTATGGGGAACCTTGTGCGAAGAAACTTCAAGAAAAGTCCCATAACGAGTATAATTAGTAGTTACACAAGCTCGAACAAAATCATCAGACGAAGGGTACAAAACAGTTGTTGAGACGTGAACCTCCAAATCCTTGCTTCAAAAAAGGCTACTGGTACGAATTACAGCTACGTAGCGATTCGTGTTTGAACAAATAGACACACAGTGACAATAAAGTACAAAGTGATATTTCAGTAAGATCTGATTTCTCTGGTACTTTCGTCGATTCTAACAGAGACAAACTGACCGATGTCTCGTAACGCTTACGTCTCTACAAACTCAAGCCCAACTAATTACGACTTTTGTTTTTGCACAATTGGTGGTACTCTTTTTATTCTAGTGCATATTCCACTAATTCGGCCACCCACATCTCAAATATAATCCACCGGTCTATTCGCGTAGCCATCGTCAAAGTCGTTCTTAGATTTCATTCAAAGTTTGTTATAGCTCTCGACTTGCACCGTTGCTCCTCATTTATGGTCAAAGAGCAGATTAAAGTGGTAGTTTGTGGTGATAATGGGGTTGGTAAAACAAGTCTAATAGCATGTCTGGTGAAAGATCAATATATTCCAAATCTACAAGATTGTTTACCGGCTGTCACAGTTCCAAGAGACTTCTCATCCAGCCCGTATTGTCCCAAAACTACTCTCTTGGTGGATACTACAGGTTCCGAGCTGCCATCCTTACATCGAGAACTGAAAAGTGCTGACGTGATATGGCTGGTCTATTCCGATCATGAAAGCTACGACCGCGTTGCGTTATACTGGATGATGATGTTCCGCTCTCTTGGTGTGAATTTACCTGTTATTCTGTGCAAAAACAAGTGCGACGAATACTCCGGAAATGGAAACCACTCCCTTAATGCAGGTGAGTTTCGCGCAGAAGACCAGGCCTCAGATAGCACCAAAATTGAAGATGAAGAGTTCATACCAATACTCAGAGAGTTTAAGGAAATTGAAACGTGCATCAAGACAAGTGCCAGAGATAAAGTAAATGTAAACCAAGCTTTTTATCTCTGTCAACGAGCTATTACTCATCCTATCGCGCCTCTTTTCGACGCCCGCGTTGGAGAATTGAAGCCTCTAACTGTTTTAGCTCTTAAGCGCATCTTTTTACTATCCGATAAAGACCAAGATGGGTATCTTAATGATGAAGAAATATCAGTACTGCAACGACGTTCTTTTGGCAAAAGCATTGACATACATGAGCTTGAGTTCATAAAGGGGACTTTGATTCACCTTTCCACTCCTCCTCAGGAATATGCTAGCTACACGCTGTATGTCCCCGAAAAAGGAATGACAAAAGACGGATTCTTAGTTCTGAACAAGCTTTACTCCGAAAAAGGACGTCATGAGACAACCTGGGATATCCTCCGCGCATTCCACTACACGGACTCGCTTTCCATCAATGACAAAGTTCTATATCCCAAAATGGATATTCCAGCCACCGCGAGTGTAGAACTAAGTCCCTTGGGTTATCGCTTCCTAGTTGAACTATTTCTGATATACGATAAGGACAACGACGGCGGTTTGAACGACCAGGAACTTGAGTTTCTTTTTAAGACGACTCCGGGACTCCCCACATTATGGACAGAAACTAATTTTCCCAACTCTACGGTCGTCAACAATCAGGGTTTCGTTACACTCCAAGGATGGCTGGCTCAATGGACAATGACTACATTCTTAGACTACAGGACCACCACAGAGTATCTTGTATACCTAGGCATTGAAAAGGATGCTCGGCTGGCTTTGCAAGTGACGAAATCGAGAAAGAAGCGAAGACGAAACGGAAGATTTTACAGAGCGCCAGTAACGGACCGCAAAGTGTTTAACTGTTTCGTTATTGGAAAACCACATAGCGGAAAGAGCTCTCTTTTAGAATCATTCGTTGGAATGTCATTTTCGGAGCCCTACACTCCGACAATCAGACCTCGTATCGGCGTTAACAGTTTGGAGTTGAAAGGTAGCAAACAGTACTACCTCATCGTGCAAGAGTTCGGAGAACAAGAACCTGCAATATTGGAAAACGTTGAGAAGACAAAAAAATGTGATGTTCTATGTCTCACTTACGATTCAAGCGATCCGGAGTCTTTCTCCTACTTATTTGACCTCATTAATGAGCATAAGCACCTTTTAGAACTTCCGATGGTCTTTGTGGCTTTAAAAGCTGATCTTGATAAACAGCAGCAAAGATGTTATCTGCAGCCAGATGATTTTGCAGATCAACTTTTTGTAGAACATCCTCTGCATGTCTCTTCAGCGTGGTCTAGCTCTTTGAATGAGTTATTTATCAAACTAACGGCGGCCGGCCTCGAGCCCGGAAAAAACACTCCAGGGCTGGCCCCGGACGTGGCCAGAGAGGATTTGGATTACTGGAAGTACGCTTTGGTCGCCACTTCAGCTGTAGGCTTTACGTCGCTATTCACCTTCGCGCTTTTCAAGCTGATACGAAGTCTGCGTAATGAATCTTGATTGGCTACACCGGCAAAGTAGCTCGATCTTTTTAACTAAAAGTATTACTGGGTTATTATTTTCCAGTTAATGTCTTGAATTTGAATATATACTAATGCTTTGCAAGCTTCGGGGACCAGTGCTGCACAAGCGCCTAACTTCACATGCCTCCAAGCAGGAAATCGAAATCGAAGTCAAACAATTCTATGTGATTAAAGTCCAGTTCTGAATTGAAAGGAAGCTGCAGACACTCAGTTGATTCCCCACCGTTTTGTAACTGTCCGATCGATGGGGAGGGACTCATGTTCACAGTTTGAGATCCGTTATTAAATTGCGGTAGAGCATCAGGGATAGTGTCTTTAGAGACTGTGCTTGCTGCGTACTTCTCGTCTGGGCGAAGTTGGAAAGCAGCAATACGATCAACCTCGCGTTGAATATCATGAAGGACATCCGTTTTTATTCTGGACAAAGAAACTGTGCTCCTCAAATCGTTGAACATCTGACCTGTCTTTTTCACGTCGAACCCAAATCCTAAAAACAAATTCCTCTTTGTTTTTTCTGTGAGGTCTAGCTGTGCTAGTTGACTCATAGTTTTGGTCATCTCCTTCTTCTTCACTAGTTGTAGAATATGATCGAAAAACAGCAACATCTTGAATGCAGAAAAGAATGTTAACCGGAGGTGATTAGTTGATAAATGGCACAGTCTGTCAAAAATCATCTCGAGTCTATTGTTTATAGCATTGAGAGCCTCCAGCTTCTTGGTAAGTTCGAAAACTGTCGCTTCCGTACTTTTATCCTGAAAGTACTTCTCTCGAGCAATTTTGTCCTGAATAATGTCAATTGCATGGGTAAGCCTCAACATCATTGCAACCGCTGTATAAAAAATAGTACCCATACTCATTTGCATCGCTTTATCAATAACAAACGAGGCAGATGGAATAAAACTCTCCGCTAACTCTCCACTGTAATATTGACAGTAAACTTCGCTCAACTTCAAGAATCTCCGTACCACATCAACAAAAAAGGTCTCGTAAAAAGGGTAAAATTCCTGATAAGACTCTTTGCATTTCGTTTCAAAATAAATGAAGATAGTGAACGAAGTTCTAGTCAGAATCAGCTGAGCAATGATATAAGCTTGAAAGTTCGAAGCTTTTTCGGTAGCCTCAGCGAATATCCTCTGTCTGGCCTGCTCGCTTAACACTGGTCGATTTAAGATAGGCTTTTTTCCGTAGCCGAGATCAACAAGACTGTACAATTTATCAATATGTTCTTCCACGTCTTGGACCAAAGTGCCTATGGAACTGAGGGCCGCTTCACCCTGTGATGAAGACCATATCCTTTCGAACCGAGACAGAAGATCATACGTTCTTTGTTTTGTGAAGGTCTCAGCATACGTTTTTTTATGATCTTCACCGGAACCTACAGTGTCTTTTACCATTTGGCTCATCAATGTTGGCGAAAAGTAGTCAAAGTCTGAGGAGCAGATAGAATCCTTGATGGATCTGGGACATCTTCCTTTCAAAGCTGATTCTGAGTTCAAGATAGTTCTGAGACTCATCCATAGAATTCTTCGATAATTCACAAGCCTTTTATCAACTGCCGAATCGTCCTGAAACTGACGAAATTGTAATGGATCCCGATGTAACCCAATATTGGTAGCCAGAATCGATGTTATTCCCAGCACAAACTCTGTGGGTTGCCCATAATAAAAATCGCCCTCCTCGGGGGAAAAAGCGTAAAACGTCCAGAGATACAGTAAACAGCAAATAGTATTCTCTGTGGTCGAGTTCATAAAATCGAGCGCTGCAATGATCTGCTGAGACAGCAATATAGTCTCGTCCGTGATTGGATGTTGGTTTATCAAAGTCTGGTTTGCCATTGTATCGTAATAAGTAGGCTTCAAAGTGGACGACATTCCCAGCTCAAATTTCATTGAATTATAAGAGATGCCGATCATCACCATTAGAATGGCCAAATTCTCGACCTTTACCCGCAGATTTTGTTTACCAAGCCTCAGTTTTATTTTGTGAGGATGCTGAGGGTTGACCGTTATAACGTTCTCTAAGGCCTCCTCGAAAATACCCCGATCGACGAAGGGAAAATGGTGGAAAACGCAAAGAAAGAAGTAGGATTTGTACGCCATTAGCACAGGGAAAGGTGGCAGCTGGTCCTCCATCTTCTTGATGAGCTGGGTCAAGGCCAAAGAGTAGACGTTTTCGTCAGCGCTGACATCTTCTATCAGATTTCGGGACATTTTGGAGTTCAAAAGGTTCAGAAAAATGCCGTTACGCACATCTCTAGAACCTCCTAGCTCTTGCATTATCCTTTCCGAGAAACTGGTCACTCGCGCCTGCTGTACCGTATTGGTACATTTGCGAAGCATACGGTCCTGCAAATTCATGAGATCGGATCTCAGGTTCAAACGTTTCGCGTACGGAACACCGTCGTTGGAGTTGAATGAGTTGATCAGCGTATTTTCAGATGCCGCTGCGAAAAACGATGCAAAAAATATCGCCAAAAAGCTGTCTTGACGGACCTGGGCCATATCTGACGAGGGTTTCACGTCTCGGCTGGTATTCTGAGTAATGATCAAATTGGGTTGGAATTGCCGTAGATCTATCATGACATCACACAGGCCCTTGAAACGGCCAGATGTGAAAGCGGCATTTGGCGAGCTATGTCCGGACTGCGATGCTGTCACTGAGGACGGTTCTGACTTGACGCTCTCGTTGTGCAAGCAGGAGTTGCCGTTCGTAGCCTGCGTCAATGCTCTACTTTGCCAGTACTCTATTTCACGTTTCAGTCTAGCAATGGTCGCGTCTTTGTTGGGGTGTCTTGGTGGAGTTTGTCGCTCTACGTCGTAAACACAATTGATGCCTTGTTTAAGGCAACGAGTGCAGCTGGGCTTTTCTCGATCGCATTTTGTCTTTCCACGACGGCAAGCCTGGCAAACGAACGACAGCCTATTTCGCCGATTAGCCTGTGACTCCATTGGCGATGACGACTGCCGCTTATCAATTGGTGATGCTCTTTCCATCCAATCTTCTTTTAACCCACAGTTTTTGTTATTAACCTCTATACAAGGTCAAAATTCGCCCAGTTTTCTGCTCCAGTATCTCGAAAACCAAGGTATACAAATTATCAGCCAGAACGTATCAACTATCGTAGCATACAATGGTTTGAATCGTATACACCAGCTGAATTCGTTACTTTAGTTTATCTTGGCGACGACAACCTTGCGTTGTTGGGTAACAAATGATTAATATGGGACCCAATCCCTTTATACGAAGTTCTGGGTTAAATTGGAAAATGTTTAATTTTTTTGCTCGGGAGATAACGGAGATCCCGTGATCGGGAAGATCATTGCATATACGGTTGATAACTCTTCATTTGTTAAGGAAAGTAGCAGTTAACTCCGTCGAGCTTGAATAAAGATGGATAAGACGAGACAGGTTGGAGCCGGTTGAAACCTTGAGTTTCAATTCGGGGACTTATATGGTTCAGAATCCAGGTGAGAACTTTTTCCTGGCTTCAGATTCCTACCTTGCTCTGTATTTCAGGATGACACGATATAGTTTAAAAGTAGTATTGTACAGAGAATATGTATGACGGACAGAAAAAAAAAGTGTGTAAAGCGACAGTATGCCTATAGATACGACCTGCCGTTGGAGTAGGGGTTGGCATTGTCCGCTACATAGCCCTGGTAGCCTGTGTTGTTGTTGAAACTGGTCTCAGGAGCACGCAAATTCTGAGCACTGCGTCCAACAGGTGCAGTGGGCACTTTCTGGTAAGGGTTTGTGCCGAATGTGCTGGTTCCCAGTACCGCAGAAGTCGGCTGCAGCGCCTGTGGTTCGCCGCTGTAAGCGCGTTTTTCTCTAGAACCCGATTGGTCCTCGAACTGCGAGCTTTCGTCGTATTCGTCGTCAAACAGCAATTTTCGCGAGCTTTTATTTCTAGACGAGCTGTCGCCGCTTGAAGGGTACTTGGTAGCCTCGTTGGTGATCATGGCGGCTTTTCCAAGCTCAAACAGTTCAGTCTCTGACTTTGACGCCGCGCCATTTGTCTGGATTTTGGGAATAAATGACACCCGGTCGTCTTTCATGGGTTGGTAACGAGAATCTGGATTTCTGTGGATCAAAGCCAGCGTGCATGTAACGATGGTGAAGATGAGAAGGAACAGAGCAAACACGGCGTTCAGAACAAACAGTACAATCGCCATCACCGATGACACCACTTGTGGCTGTCTGAAAATGCCGGAGAAAAACATGAAGAAAATGGAGTTGAGGAAATTCACCAGATGGATGACGATATTGAACGCGTTGGTACGCTTATCCATGTACGGTCTTTTCCAGCAGATCGCCACGAAATAGAACAGCTCTATAGCGAAAACCACCACTGACTGGGCACGGCCCATGTCCTGTAAGACGGCGACGAAAAGAGATCTCAACAGAGCATAAAACATGAAGGGAATCAACCACCAGTACATGTCAGCTTTGAACTGGACGTACAGAAACCCGTACCTATTCAGAAAACTGGCATCACCATAAAGCATGTACGCGGGAGTCTTGTAAAGCCGAGTCGACTCGCGACCTCTTACAATCACTTTAACGACCCCGTAAAGTAGCACAAATGTCACTACGACCAAAACGGCCACGGCATCTACAACTACAGCTGGAGAATCGCGTTGCGTGAATTCCCAAATACTCAAAAGCGACAATTGAGGGAACGCAATGATACAAAGTCTGAAAAGCGTACCTTTTATAATGTTGCTCCAACTTTTGCGGTATTCAAAAAATTTAGAAGATTCAGCCATAACGCGAGTTCTGGTCAATAGCTCAACAAGAGCCTTGAAAAACATCAAGGCAATCACAACAACGAAAACGAAGAAGAACGTGAAAACGACACCTGTCAAGAAGAAATTGGACAATTCGATTCCCGCTTTAAAAGCGACACGTTGGATTCCGTGAAGTACTAGCGTTTTCGATGCGTAATTGGTTGAGTTTCTCTCGTTCGTGGTGTAAAGGTTCGATTGGTTCATAAAAGAGCCAACGTCAAAACTGTCGCTGGTGGCTATTGAAATCCGCTTGTAAAGCCTCTTTGCGCCTTCGACCACGGCTCTTTTCAACCGCTTTTTTTGCACAGAGATGGACAAGATATTCTTGTTGGCGACGACAACTATGGACTCACCGCCAGTGGCTTGGACGTACCAGTTGAAAATATCTTGCATGAAACCCACATTAATGATACCCATGGACCACTGGAAGTTTTGGGACCACGCTGCTGCGATGGGGGGTACTCTGGACACACCCATCATCGATGTAATTGCCAAGTTTTGAAAATAGATGAAAAGTGAGATAGAGTTGGAAGCAATATGCGCTGCTGTAGTGGAGTGGCCAAGCACGGAAACAAAACCGGATGTCAACACACCAACACCTGAAATTGCAGCAATCGGCCACGAAGCGTATTTTGTTTGCACGGTTTTCCCATTAGTCAGGGGTGCAACTACACAGGCCAAGGGCTGTGATTGCTTGGTGTCGCTTGCTGAATATACCACAACACGGACCTGGGCGTCCAAGTCTGGAATCGTGTAGGTGACACCCGGCAGTTGATTGACCAGATCGGTGTTTAGCTCCTGTGTAGAATCCACGTCGATACGGCCCGCTTGCAAGGGGCACAGAGATTTTTGACCCAGTTTGCACAGGTCTATTGTCGTCTCCATAACATTCAGACCATATACGATGACTTCAACGTGTGCAGTAATGTTGTCCTGGATTGTGGTGGTAGCATCAATGTTGAAAACCACGGTCTTGTTGTGAGCCAGGTACTGTACTTCGAAAAAGGACGCAGTAAACTGCGAGTTTTCCATGCATGTTAGCAGCGACGATGTTCCAATGTGTTTAGTCATGTTTGAACTGGCAGCAGCGCTAAATGACGCCAGAAAGACCGTTTGGATCAGTGCCCAAAAGAACATGTTAATCTGCATTTTGGCGGTGTTCAACGGCAAGTGAGCGATTGTAGTTCAAACACTTAAACCGCAAGCCACTTTCAAATGTCCTTGATGTAAAGTCACAACGCGTGTACCGTAACTATCGTGAATAGGAACGTTTCTTATAGTTTCCGGTCTGTGAAGGTCTCGTTGGTGCAATTCGAGGTAGGCTTCGCTATTCTCTAAAAATAGTGGACAGTAATATAAAAAGTGCTTACGTCAGAAATGACGATGTGGAGAGATAAAGGTTTCTAAAGTTTAGGGAAACTTCGCGTCAGAAAGCTATTAGTGAGATTTAAATTCTTGAGTGGTCGATGTGTTAATGATGATTTCCCCAGTCGTATTGTTTCAAAATTTTTGCAGTGAAGTAGAATGGATTAACCAATAGAACGGGTGGACTTACCGTTTTTTTTTTTGTGCTAACGTTTCCTAAATCGATGGGTGAACGGTGTATTAAGGTCAGTGTTGAGGAAAATTCAAATTATGACGTATTTGAAGGGCCTCAGGCTGGGTTAAAGTGTGTATCTCTGAAAGTGTCGTGAAGAAACGGAATTCGTATCACTTTGTACTAAAATGACGCTGTCACTAAAAGATTACGCTAAGCCTTCAAAAGGTAAATGGATCGTGTTCTGGTATAGGAGAACCTACATTTGGGACTCCAGGGGAACGGGTCAAGAAGGTCAACTGATTTTGAAATTTTGAGTCTGACAACCAAAAAATTGTGTTTTCATGTTTGAGTGGTAAGATGGGACTTTTGCAAAATAATCTTCAAAACACGGCCAGAAAACGTTTTGAGGAAAGCAAAGAGTGCAATTGAGACGGGCAATTGTATTGGATGAACCAATAACGTTTGTTTTGGATTTACAAAAGTGCTTGAATCTTTTTCTATGGGTTCAAGGCCATTATCACGTGATCCGTTAAATTGATCACCTAATCTGTACATATAGAATCCGGTAGTTGCAGTTGTCGAGGGCATCGACCAAGCATCGATACTCCCCAGAAAGGATGACAGATGCTTCCAATGGTGCGGCTGATGTAACGTCCCTCGACCAGGATTTGCAAGAACTCAGACGCAACAAATTCTCGCCTCAGTCAATCCAGGAGATCAGTGAATGGATATTCGGTACGCTGTTAGGGGAAAAGTTCAACACTCGAGACGCAGCTCAACTTTTAAGCAGGCTAAAGGACGGCACTGTCTTGTGCCAACTAGCAAATAAACTTATTGAGGCCGATGGATCTGACGTTTCGAATCGTTTAAAATATAAAGCTTCAAAAATGCCATTTGTGCAGATGGAGCAAATCTCACAGTTCTTATCATTTGCGAGACTTTACGGGGTGCCTGAAGATGAGCTCTTCCAAACCGTGGATCTGTTTGAGGAGAAAGACCCTGCTTCTGTTTTTCAAACTCTCATATCATTGTCCCGCTATGCTAACAAAAGACACCCTCAAGAGTTCCCTGTCATTGGACCACAATTAGCGACCAAAAAACCCCGCCCTCTGAAGGCTGCGAAACCGACACATCTGCAAGCAGCAAGATGGAGCACCATGGAATATGGGTCAATGAAAGGCGCCTCGCAGTCCACGGAGGGTGTGGTTTTTGGCCAAAGAAGAGATATTACCAAATGATTTTAGAATGCAATTTTAAGCTTCATGGAAGCTCTGTGACTGGCTCGGAAAACCTGTATATGTCTGCAGGAACAGAATTGAGACTAAGAGGGCTCACAACCACAATGTCTTTCCGCAGATGCCTTACAACAGACCAGACGCCGTCCTCAGTGCCGCATTCAATTATCTGAGAGACAGGGAATTGAACCACGGTCGATCTAAGTGTAATTTTTGGAGGTAGAATCACCACTGCTTGCATAGAAATTAGCCCTTCCCAATCGAGACCGCTCTCATACATATCCTCTGTAAAAACTATACACGCAGAAATGGAATTCTGTTCAGTTTCGTCAATAGTAGGTGATGATGATGACGAAGTTGTACTTTTCTTCCAGGCATAATAGGCCCCAAGAGCAAGCGCTGTTAGTGCACCAGCGGCTAAAAATCCAACAGATCTATTTCTAGGCCTTCTAGCTTCCATTTCCTCTGATAGATATGGTTCCCTTTGGAAAGCATAGCATAGATGGGACCCTACAGTATTCAAGAATCTTTCCAATTCATAGTCACGTGAACACAGATTTGTGCTCATATATCACTTTCTGCTTCGTTGGCATTGCGTTTGAAAGTTTATCCCAAGTTCACGCGAGGCATTCGCAGCTGCTTTTGCCAACCGATCACTCGCTGGGGAGTAATTTCAGTGATTTTATGGGCCCTAAAAAAATATTGTTCTGATGAAGGATGGATTCGTGTCTATATCTCGTCTACTATGCATCTCAAACTTCCTGAAAAATTCAGGATACTGATCTTTGATCTTTCTTGAGTATAAATGCATCTCTATTACCAATTTCCACCTCACCTGCGCCTTAGTTTTTGTCGTCTCTGTTTTCCTGTCGTTGACTACTATTTCATCTAATTTAACATGAACATCATCATATTCACATCACCATAAAATGCACCCCACAGAGTACCAACTTCGCCACTTGGATCTGCTTAAGATCCAATGTTCGATCAAAATGCACTGTTTTCGGCTTCTACGGTAAATCTGGAGCACATAACCACCGCTCTGAACTGTCTTACGCCCTTTGGAACCAAGGACGATGTGCTTATTATAATCGATAGAGACGGACTGTCATTCGCAAGACAGAACAATAAAGTAATCAGCATACAACTGTATTTGTCCGCCGAGCTCTTTGTTTCATACAGCTATAATCCACCAAATAACGATCCCGATGCTCATCACAAAGTATGTGTTAAGATCCATCATATCTTGGACAGCGTAAGTGTAGCAAGTCGAGATAAAGACGACATTGTTGAATGCACATTCTCGTACAATGGCGAAGGATTCCCCTTTATACTCATTTTCGAGGATTCAGTCATAACGGAAAAAGTCGAGTATTCCACGTATTTGGTCAAGGAATGGGACTCAACTGGACTTGAGCTACAGGCAGATGCGGTCACTATGGAGTGCATACTACGCGGAGAGGTATTCTATAACGCACTTCAGGACATGAAAGAAATAGGCTGCAAAGAATGCTACCTATATGCAATTGCAGGAACGGATGGGAGAAATTTACTAGCCCTAGTATCGAGAAGTCAACTGGGGCTGTCCAAGATACTTTTACCGAGCGAAAAGTCGATTTTGGAGAAGCTCGAAGTTTTTGACTCCACATCATTCGAAAGGACTTTCGACCAGCCTGTGATCGGTATCTTCGACTTTTCTACACTGGACAAAATCAGATCCAGTGTCCGCATTGCCAGCAAAGTATTACTGCGAAAAGATGTACATGGACTAATGAGCGTGAACATCCTAAGTCAAACTGACGACTTTATTTACGGAAACGTGAAGAAATCGCGGCATGCGAACAAATCTGGAGCGGCTCAGTTGTCGAAAGACTATCCCGGCGTTGTGATCGACGTCGCCATTTTGGAAAAAGCCCGTCTTGACGACTCAGACCTGACAGATGTCCGTTTATTGATGGATGCTGGCGAGCGAAGACAAAAGCCGAGCTACGAACCTTCCAACTTGCGTGCGGGGGTTAGCGTTGAAAGAGTTGTCACACATACGCCGCAGCAGGGCGGGTCCCTACTTTTTGGCGGCAAAAACCTATCAGCAGACACAACTGACGCGGAAACCGAGGAATACGTACCTGCCACCAATGATATCCCGCTTTTCTTCTAATGAGCCAACTATAACAGCGCCACGGTATCTGCATTCAATCAGAATAAACAGCTTGAAATGAACGAGAATGAAAAATGTATTATTCTTACTACAAATTAAATATAGCTAAAAGATGCACTTTAAGACCACGACTTTCAGCAAGCAGCGTATGCGCTTACTGGGAGAAGTGCTCCAAGATCATTTGACGCTCTTCGGTGTCAGCACCCCAGTTCTTGACAACAACGACGGAGGCACCAACAACCTTTCTGGCGTTACCCTCACGGTCGATCTTACCCAAACCGGCCCATTCACCTAGCTGCTTAGCGTCAGCAACCTTGATCAATGGAACCTTGTTTTCTGGGTCGTTGGCAAGACCTTCAACGAGCTTGATGATGTTGTCTTCGGTGACAGAGTCGACCAAGACGGCTAGCTGGGCTTCACCTCTGGTTAGAGCCTTGGCGGACTCTCTTAGACCTCTGGCCAAACCATCGTGAACCAAAGCGGTTCTCAAGACAACCTTCAAAGCGTCTTCAATGGTGATGGACTCAGCTGGTTGTTCGACAACTGGAACTTCTTGAACTTCTTGAACTTCTTCAACGTCAGACATTGTGATTGTATAAGGAGAGTCTTGGAGTGAAAAGTGCTGGTATGACTTCTTCGACAGGGAAACTGCTCAGTGAAGAGAGAAAAAGAGTAAGATTCAAGACTAAAAGTGAAGTGAATGTGGTAGAATCCAACCTCTTCCTTCCAAAGTTATAAAAGTGAAAAATTTCTGAAAAAAAAATACTGCTTGGGTGATGAGCTCTCGTTATAGATGATACTTAGCCTTCAAAAACCAAAAAAGAACAAATCATGTGATATTCACGTGAAGTGGGTATCTTTTCAGGTTTCTGGTATGAAAAGCGTGTTGCACACTACCTTGATAGCTAATGTGTCGTTTACAATAACGTTTCGAGGCTCATGACCAAGATTGTGCCATCTTTTGGGGCTGCAATCATCTTTTCGCATTTTGAATCCAGTTTGTTTCCAGTTTGTTTCCAGTTTGACATGTTTCCAGAACGATATCAGTTGATAGGACTGGAACTCCCACGGTGTTTTTAGACCTAGCATTTTAGACGATAGGTGATACTCTTTTGTTTCCGGTTTGTTTCCAATTCGACATGTTTCCAGAATAGTATCACTCAATAAGACTGGAACGTCCGCGGTGTTTTTTGGGCAGAAGCATGTTGGACGAGGGTGTGCACGGAACGACACGAGTTTAACTAGTTCCACAGACCAGCATGGATCATACTCTCTCGGCTGTGTAAGTTTAATCACATTAATTGATCGATGATGGATTGGTCTCAGGGAAAAATCCCTTTGCCCATGAGGCTGATATTTGCTGAGAGAAAACCTAGTTTGGCACCCATTTACTTGGAGTACTTCGTTTAAAGCCAGATTTTGGCCCTGCTCAGCGAGCTACTCATCGACATGTCTAAGAAAAGTAAATAGAGAGAATTCCTTATTACGCTTCTTCTGTCTCCGGTAACGAGAATGGTCGTAGAAGAAAGACAATCAGTTCACTTGGTACACCGAAACCCATGCTTTCATTTAATACACCATGGTCGGTATTGCCGTCTTGTAGGCATTCATTGTCACATGCGAACGGTGTGGATGTACATGAGCTTGACGCCTGGTCACTTTGTACTACAGTGTCGTTCATGCCATCTAGGTTTGAGCCGGAATATACCAGATATATGTTCTAAGAATGATGAGTATGCAATGAATAAATGTTTTGACAGGGTCCCAAAGCTATGAAATGAGGCTGAAATAATCGAGCGGTGTTTACCACTTGTTGTAAATTAAGTGCCTTTTTCATGTTACGTCTACAGTACCCTCTTCACTTATTTCTCAACCCTAGTATAAGCTCTTGCGCTGCGAATCCATATCTCTCATTAGTACGAGGGTTTCAAACCCAATCTTCCCGGTGAACTTGTCAATATACTAATTTCTTCTAGTACTAGACTGTCTAAATTTACACGTCGATAATTGATACTTGACCAAGTATTCGTCATATTTCCATTTCGCCTGCGAATTCTACCGGTTCCACACTCATTTCTGATCCGAGGTTCATATTCATTTTCTCAACATCGTCATCGTCAATGACTGCAGATTCATCCATCTGCACATCATCGTCTTGATCTTCGAAATCCAGGTCGAAAAAGTCGTCGTCGCTCCCCACAATTTTCTGGAACAGTAAACGTGCCGCTGTGATGGCCTCATCGTAAGATATTTCGGCCGAAGGAAGTGCAGTGTAAATCACACCATTGTCGCTAGCACCGGGAATCAACTTCCCATTTGGTGCTCCATCAACGTCAAATATGGAAGGATCTACAACCTCAAATGGAGGAGTTGAAGTAAACTGTTTGAAATAGAGCTTTACAAGTACCTGTAACTTTTCTCTTTGCGAATGCTCCTTGAAGGACTGGCCTAGCTTAACCGAGTTTAAGGTCATATGTCCTTGATTGTCCACTTCCAATATTCCTTGATCGTTTTCTGGATCTGCTGAGGATTCACGCATTATACTTTCCTCTAGGGCACCCAGCGCCGCATCAAGATCCATTTCACCTCTAACGCCACTTTCTGTGGTGCTCAAATACCAGACTGATGTGCCCGCAGGGCAAACATCGCTTCCTGAACCCATTATCAGCACTTGCACTGCTTGGCGGTTACCCGATTTCAGAGAGTCGGGCGGAAATACAACCACAGCGGCATTCTCACCCTCAGTAAACCATTCGGAACAGGTTTTGTCAACAACGCAAGTTAGTCGCTGTACCTCGTACTTTTGCTCAGGAACATTTCCGCTATTTTTCGGGCATTGAGTGGGAGCTATTACGACTTTCTCAGTCACGCTGACTTTTGAACCGTCGCTGAAAACGGCTATTCTCGAGTCTGGATTGTAGGAGATCATGCTCTCATTCAGTTTGTAGGTGGCGCCTGCAACGGCAGCGGACCGACAAAACCCTTGAGAAAGTTCTCCGGGCCCACCGTACTTGGAGTATAGAACTGGAAAAGGGCCGTAAACATCAAAACTGGTTAGGTATCGCCTTATTCTCTGTAATGCCTCAGGGGTCTTGACGTCAATATTGTAGCACAAGCCGATTGAAAAAATCAATTCGTACACTTGGGCGCGCTCTAGCTTAAACTTCTCCACCAAGAATGAAGCCACCGGCTTATCCTTGTATGCGTCCCATATTTCGGGCTGGTTGGTCCAGTCCAACACAAATTTTATGAATTTCATGAGATTTCGTTTCGTCATCAAAGGAAGTGAGGGATTGGTGAAAATTTCTTGTTTAGTGTTGGTGAGCCTTTCAAAAGAGTCGTTTTCATACGTATGGAAACTTGAAAGCGACTGAAACTCCAAATATTGGTGCACACGCGACTTCAACAGAATCGACAACAGATCTGACTTTGCAAACAGAATCTTGGGCGACAGGTCAATACCAAAATCCCGCGACTTGTACGAACCTCTGCCCATAAGGCCAGATATGTGGAGTTTGGCGTTATCGTAGCATTTGGACTGGCCCCTGTTGACTTCCTGGACCCACTGGTTCAGCTGGTCGATTGTCAGCGTCGCGGATGTGTCACCGTAGTAGGAGTTGGCATCAATTTGTAAAACACTCGAACCCTGCCAGGAGAGTGCCGCGGCCAAAATGCTTTCCACAAGACCTGTTCCCACCAAGACCACGTCGACTTTTTCTGGGGTGCTGTTGGGCAATGGGTCCTCAATTCCAGCCAGGTGTGGAACCACCTGAGCCGAGCCTGTTCTTTCTGCACTAAAAGAAGACCGGTTAAGCGTTGAAGGACGACGCTCAGCCATTGATTTCCGCCTTTCGGCTTGCATCATGGTTTATACTAGGTGGTAAATTGTCAAATGACTCGAAACTCTTCAAACTGCTTTAATTCGGCTTGCACGTAAGCTAGAAAGCCCGTTTTTCGCTCTTTCAATGTGTAGTTGGCCCCGATAATCCGATGAAGAGCTTGAAACCGGTTCAAAACTAATCGAAGTAACGACAAGGCAACTTTACGTTCCGTTGCTTGTTTGACAAAAGGTTATTTCTCTCACCTAAAATTTTTCGATGTTATTGACTGTGATAATACTCATTAGTTTTTGACCTGCCGCGCCGACGAGTACTCCGGTGACATTATTCATGAGTACATTCTAGAATTTGAAATGGCCCAGAAGACATGGCTGTCTTGGATACTGGACACCACCATGCGACCAATTTTCTGCTCCAGTTTCTATTCAAATAGTGCTATCGTAGTATTTCGTAATTGAAGTGCTAGACTCTTTCAGTGCAAGGTTATTCCATTGACACAGGGACACTCGGGAGTTACTTAGTTCCCAGTGGTCAAAGAGCAATGGATTGCGAAGCGGTAATCAGTGGTAAAATGCATGTGGTGAATGTACCACGCAAGTAAGCGTTTTCCAAATTATGTGCACTGCACAATATCCCGCCCACAAGCTGTAAAAAGCCGTTTCTGTGAGTTGCAGACGTGGACAGCATCCGGAGCTGTTCATGCCACGGCGCATCTGCGCCTTCAGGCTCGATACGCCGCTCGTCACCAACACAGAAAGGTTCGAGCATAAACGAGTGAAGATCCAAAAGGTAAAGACTCGACATGGAAAAAGAAGAAGAATCAACTTTATTCATATTACCTCCGTCCGATTTGCCCCAATGTCTGTCAACATCGCACTGTGCGAACCCGCCCACGAAAATCGCTTTAGCCGAAATTCGAACCAGCTTGTGTCCCACCAGAGTGAGATTCATCTCTGGGCGTTGACCTTTGTTTCCAGAATCTGCCTTGCAGGCCTTGATTTGAGTCCACTTTTCCTTATCGAGGTCGAACCACCACAGGTCACCGTAAACAAGCGACTTATTCGAGCCACCGTGAATCACCAGCGTTTGAGAAGTATTTTGCAGCATATGTGACTGTCTTTGAGCGTTCCATGCTAGGAACATGGAAACGTCATTTACGCTGGTGTGATGATGGTGTTGTTGCTGATGGTTTAAATGTCGATGATTGTGATGATGTTCGCGAGAGTCAGACCACGCCGAGCTAGCGTATGGGTTTTCCTCTGCACTTGTTTGAGACGTTACCTCTGGTTCAATCATGAAGTTCTCGCGCAGATTTTCCAGCATTTCTTCTTCCGAAGATTGTGCCTTCAGCAGTTCGTTTTCATAGATCTCACAGGCGTGAAATGCTCGTATTGCTGGCCATTTACGACCTTCAGTATCGTCAGGTAAATTCGAAAAGGGGGTGGCTAGAGCTTTGTCCGCGAACTTGTAGTAATTTCTCTTTCCTCGTGCAATTACGGTTACTTCTATTTTCCAAAGATCATTCAGTGACTCATAGTCGTCGTTGCTGTCGCTACGATACCCGCCCATCATCAGAATTGTCGAAACACCCATACTGGTAGACATAGAAAGTTTGTTGGCGGCATTTTTATCAGTTGAGAAAGAATTTTCAGACTGAGGACCTTCGTCGATGGGTTGCGATAGAATAGATGAAGAATTATCAGAATCTCGCTTTGTTGTATCGAGTTTATTATCCGCAGTCAATGCTGTCGCACAAACCGAGCATTTCACAGTAGGATTCACCTTCACAGACACCTGCGAGTGGCCAAACCGTGGTGCGATAAAAGGGTTAGAATTGAATTTTGTGGGCTGTGCAACGAGATCGACTTTAGTGAATTTGAACGTAACCACATCCAAGATGTACGCACGGTTACTGAGAATGGCTCTTTTCTTTAGATAAAACTTGCCGGTGTTGTCGTCAATCACTGTTTCCGTTTTTATTTCGAACCCACCGTAGTAGAATATATGACGTTTGGTGAGGGCTGAACCGGTCATGCAAAGGAGAGGAGGAGGAACGTGGCCTGTCAAAACAGGTTTAGTCACCCTTGGGGATGCAGAGGATATCACATAAAGGTCATGGTTATTGACCATGCTGGGATTATTAACAATCGAGTCAAGCAGCGGAGGCGGGAGATTTGGCACCCCGTCTACTTGATAAGGACTCAGATCTGGCATCTCATCAGTGTAGTAATATGAGGGGGTGAGCCCACCTAAAGTGTATATCTTATCCCCGATATCTACGGTACACTGGTAGACAAAGGGCGGGAGTTTCATTTCTCCAAACAAAGGAGGTATGGTGGTTGATCCGACAAACATGTTTCCGCTCTGAAGATCAGTTTCTCGGTATATGCATGCATTAGTGTTCAAACACGAGGCGGTGAAAGCGGCAGCTTCTATCGTGTGGCGGTCAAGCAGCGGTCCTTCTTGTTTTGAAGATTTGGCTGTAAGGTCCCATCTCATAAACGGAGTCCACATGTTATGGCGTCGAATAACCTCTGTGTTTTCAAGACTGGGTATCGGAAGCTTAGCACAATAATTCGTGTAGCCGTTGGAGAATACTTCTTGAGTGAACTTCGAATCGTCATTATTGCCACGAAGTGGGGTCTTCTGCTCATTGAAACTCGCGTGCGAGCCCGTATTGCCATGCTTTACCCGATTACCCTTCCTAGAGTTGAGGCTAGTTGTGGATCGATCTGTCGATCCACTCGTTACACTGTCTTGGCGAGGTATGTGCAGCTTCGATGTGTAGTAGGTCATCAGTGTGCGTTCATTGTCTGCTTTACGACGTTCAGCTGGAAGGTTCATCAAGTCATTTCGCATGCCGGAAATATAATTGTTCATAAAGGGAGGTGCCGTATACTGACGAACAGATACATTTTTGGTGATGGGAGGTGTACTAGGGGCTTCTAGATGTGGGATGTTTGGACCATTAGATATTGTAGTCAACGAAAGTTGACTGTTATCGGACGAATCAACGATCATAGACATTTCAATAAGAGGCTGGACTGCTGAGCAGGGAGATAAGGACGGGACCGGCGACTTGGTCTCCCACTATTGTCTTGCCTACTTATCGGAACACCAAGGGTCTATCACTGCAGAGAAGCTTAACATGACATGATGAAGTATTTACCTATAATATCCGTTCAACACTACCACTCGAGCACGTGACCTCAAAAGCGATTAAAGATCAATGCCAATGCTAGTGGCCGGTGTCGATAAAAGAGTCCCTATTCTAGGAGTTTGCTAAGTACAAGTTCATGTCTCATCCGTTATCCATTTAAGGACGCTGTGCGATGTCGTTTTCGCATGAGTTTTACTCCCGCATCGAACAAGTGGAATCTCGAAAAGTGTCTCAAAATTTCAAGAGACGAGCGCTAGTGCTGGCTTGAATATTGAACTAGAAAACGCTGTTTAAGAATTCTCCGTTAGGGCAAAGTCATCGGCTCATAATCGTAAATTTGTTGATTTTTCGTCCAACTTCATATCCGAATGTTCCGACCTCAAAGCGACTGCATTCTGTACTTCCGCGTAGTGTCCTTATTCCTGTGCGCTGATCTAATGGTTACGCCTCTTTGCGTTTCACTGCGAGCTCGAAAATCCCCCCTGGTTATTGACCGTAAAACGGTTGATTTGTGACGCTCGTTGTTTCTTGTTCCGTCGCTTTGTATAGTTACCTTGCGAGTCACCCGCAGACACAATCTCCGATTGTGAACGCTTGAGCGCTGGTTTCCGCCTTTTTGAACCACCTTCGCCACCCATCACAGTCCCACGCGTCGAATTGAAGGAGTTTGCATTCGTTACAATTATCTGAAATTTGGGCTGTTTGCGTATTACCTTTTTTGTAGCGGTTGGCTGAGATTGGGAGCTCAGGTCACTCTTGAAAGAGCCCATTTTCGGCAGCTCTGGAATTCTAATTTGTGTAACGTTCGTATCATTGCAACTAGCTGGCTTCGGAGTTGGCGACAGCGGTAACTTGCCTATCTCAAAAAGTCGGCTGTCAATATCGTGTGTTTCTCCTTCACTCGATCCCTCTTCCTGAAAGGGTATAGGCGGAGGAGCACCAACAAAGCCTAGTTTATTCCTCGTTGGCTTCGTCACGGACGAATTGAGCTGAATAGTCGTTGGTGAAGAACCACATTCGTCTGCTCCGGAGTCGTCATCTTCCACCGTATTCGATGTACTATTCCTTCGAGCCTTCGCGGCAGCTAAAGCCCGACGGCTCAGACGACGTGCGGAGCTATCCGTTAGATTCGCGTTTGAGGGAAAAGTTGAGCCATACCTTTTGTTGGGGGTGACCTTTGTAAGGTTGGGCAAATTTCCTCGGTTCAGATTTGGAGACGACTGTGCAACGTCTTTGCGCGCTTTTTGAAAATCGACTAATGCACTATTGGAAGACGCCAACAATTTCGCGTACGGCGTGCCAATATCTGAGAGAACGCGTTTGCCGTAAGGCGTCAAGGAAAGATATCTTTTGGATGGAGATGACGACGCAGGCTGTCCCATTTTATCTTTGGAATTGAACATAAGGTTCACATCGATATTTCTCAAGGGAGTTGCAGAATTTGGTGGTCCCTGATGAGCGGAGCTCGTAGGTCCTTGTTGATCGTTTGAAGTTGGAGCTCCGGCCGTGCTGTTGAAAAACCTGAGAGGAGTCTTTGCCGGCGTTCTATGCCACAAATTGAATCCTGCTGGGGACTCAAATAGAAAGTCTTTAAAATGTTCTGGCGAAGTGAGCATGAATTCATTCCCGAGTTGTAAAACCGACGATGGCTGCATGTTGATATCGCTGAGCTTACCGGCTGCTTGACCCCCGGCTAGCATGCTATTTTCCACCATGGAGTGCTCTGCATTTTGCAATTCTTCTCGTTTTGAACCGTCTGTTGTGCTCATCATTCCACGTCCGTTGCCAAAAAGCGGCTGCTGAAACTGCTGTTGCTGCTGTTGTTGTTGCTGTTGCTGGTGTGGGTTGTTCTGCGGAGCTTGCAAAATCTGTTGCTGTTGCTGTTGTTGCTGAGAATATGGAGTTGGAAACTGCATAGTTGGAACTGGGCTTGTGAATGCGAATTTCATGTTTTCAGAAATCACTCTAAAAAAAGCCTCTTCTTCGTTGTTGGACTCCATAACTGCAATTATTAGCTCAAACCTCTGGCTATTTCTTTCCGTACCTTATTCTGAAGCCCTAACCGAGCCAACTATCTGACTCTTGTTGTTCTTGAATGTGTCTCTTGGCAGTGTATGTCAGTTCAATCTTGTGTTTACGGATTATACATTACTTTCGCTCCTTTGAGATTACCCGGAGGGAGCGAAATATAGATTGAACGGACTAGCTTTTAAAAATTGGCGCGACAGTATAAGAGGATAGTGACACCAGATGCCCATGGGCATTGGTCTTAACGGATAGGTTTTGAATGTAGAGGAATGCTGGTTTTCAAAAGAACAGTGTATAGCTATTATTGGAAGAGGGCATGCGGAGCGAGACATATGAAAAATAAGCCGAAGATTGGATTGAACATTGTAACATTTTTAGGTGGATCTTTAAAGTTTTATCCGGGTAGGGTTTTTGCATTTCGCATAGTTCTGTCAAGAGCCCAGATGGCTGACTAGCCCTGCAGGGATTTATGCGGTATGTGATTCGTGCATTTTGAGAGTCCTTGTTGAGAAAGCAGTGGGTTGAGCTGGTTGCGTCGTCGATGATGAAATTGTTTCGACAAAAAATTGACAGGTGCAGTGAGGGGTTGGGAAAGTCAAAGAGACACTTGCTGTCGAGTGCCAAGAATCTGTGTACGCAAGTGCGGCAATGGTAGTTTCTCGTAGTGAGTTTCGTTGGAACTTATTTCACTCTGACATCTGGCGCACGTGATATAATGACAGCTACCACGATTTTAGGAGTGTGTCTACGAGGCCTATGCCACGCATGCCACTAAGAGTGCTGAAGTGAAACAATTTGACTAGAACAGATTTTTATTAATGCTGCCAGCCCTCAATGTCATTTGTTTCCAAATCGTATTTTTTAAGAGGCTTGTGATAATTTTCCACTGTGCTTTTGGCCATTCTTTTCGCCACAAATGAGAGCATCTGCGATCGCTTGTTAACTACTATTACCTCAAGATCTACAATTTTAACAGCTGGTCGCAACACTCCCAAGTTATGAACTATTGTTTCTTTGATGTCTACATCCACCACTCATCTTTGACGCCGTAACTTGTTCAAATTTCTTGCACTCATCTTTATTCACAATCGCGGGCATGAAACGCAAGTGTTTGATTACATTTTCAGTCATCACTACTTTTCAAAAATGGCCATTACGCTCACTCCTTTTCCTCACGCTACTCATGTCCATTTCTCCAAGCGCTAATTCCATTCGTGACAGGAACAAGGCTACGTGAAACAAAATACCTAGGTCACAATTCCAGCAATTCTAAATTTTGGCTTATCCTCTTCTGCCAAGGTCTCCATTAATACTGGAAGCTCTGCCATCTTGCCCTGTTTCTATTGTTCTACCTTCCTTCCCATTACTACATGTTCGCTCTTAAGGGCTCCTGCCATCTACTCGACACTCTAGCCACCTCTTCAGTTGACTTTCCGGTCCTCCAACTGAGATCACGTGATTCAGAGCTGTCGCTGATGCAATTCAATAATCATAAACGCTAAACGTAAATACACAATGATATATTTGGTTGACATGTTGAACATGAGAATCGGCCCCGCTCAAGCAAACTCAATTGATTGTCTAACCTGTGTCCATTCCATCAATAGAACGATCTTTGTCGTTTAAAATGTCTGCCGAATCTTCCCCGTCTCGCCAGTTGAGCGAAAGCTTGGGCAAATTTCACATATCGTCGCCCAAATTCAAACCATATATGGAAAATGACGAGTTCAGAGATTCACAATTTGACTCACAAGCGCAGAACTTCAAGAGCGGGAAAAGCTACGTTGGGAAGCTGGGGAATTGGTCCGTAAATTATGGGACAGTACAACAGCATGGCCACAATAGTGAAAATGAAGAACCTCCACAATGGAAGCAATACATGCAGGAACATGCAGAGCGTCAAGATCCACAGCAAAATGGCATGAAAAGCTTCAATTTTAAGGATAACCTAGTAGTGACCTCCTCACTCAGCGATATTTCTCTCATTCCAACCAACACTTTCAAGAATCGTGGAACAAAACTTCAAAACGTAGACTCCGAAAGCAGTGTCGTACAGGAGCGGGAATCGGCACTAGAAACTGACGGGGACCCGGCCAGAGAAGCGTTGGGCGTCTTTAACAACGTTTTGCGTCACCAAAGATCAAATTTTTTTGCACAGGAACAGGAAAATCGACCCGAAAGGTCCATCTCTGAGGAGTACGATTCGACAAACTCAACAGGATCCAGCTCCTCTTACGACTCATTCAACCCCTCGCTTTCACCTAGCATGCGTCAGTATGGCTCAGAACCACCCAAGTCTTCGTCCAGTGGAGTGCCCAAGCAGCAACAGGTTTCTCCTCGCAGACCTTTGAAGCTTATAACACCGGAGGACGCTGGCATGGTTTTTAATTACAAGGAAGGAGTCTGGGACCAACCTTCTGCCGCAGGTGATACATCTACAAGTGGGGCCCACGATGATTCATCTCAGGACAAGCTTGTGTCATTCAAACTGCCGCGCGCCAGACCTGAACAGTCTATGATGGACGATACACCACTCTCGACGCCCAAAGTTGATCACCGCTTCATGCCTCAAATATCAGTTTCTGATGAACCTGACAGCCGATCTACGTCGGGGAAAAGCACCGCTACTTTGCGAACAGCGTTTCTCACACCTGCGGACACTACTCATAATTTGGTGGACAATGTCACCAGCGTTTCAGAGCTCGACACATCTTTCCGTATTGCTAAGGGCGCAGTTGTATCTGCTCTCGTGGACACTATACCGCGAAAGGAAATATGGGAACGCATTAGAGAACTGTCATTGAAGCAAAAACGTTTAGATAGTTTAGTGGGTCTTTCTGATATGACGCCACAGGTACTGGAGCTGGACGTCTCCCACAACAAGATAAACTCATTACAAGGAGCACCAAGTAACCTTGTCACATTGCGATGCGCCTTCAACCGGATAGGCACATATTGTCAGCTTGACGATCTTCCGCATCTGGAAGACTTGGACATCTCTCACAATCTTTTGTCTGCGGATTTGTCTCTTCTCGCAAGCTGTCTCCATTTACGCAACGTCAATCTCTCGAAAAACAGTATTTCATCACTTCAAGGTTTAGCAGATTGTCGTGCAAGAATTGAGACCCTCAATGTTGCGCGAAATCGCCTCATTGGTCCATTGGACTTTGCAGAGCTTGTGTCACCCGACTTACACACGTCTGGTTTCCTGTCGCACATCTGTGAGCTAGATCTCAGCGGTAACAAGATAACCGCAATCAAGAACTTACACTTACTAACAAGTTTGAAAGTTCTGAAACTCGATGGAAATCCGCTAGAATCGCTCGAAGGCAATACCAACCGCAGCCTCAGAGTGCTAAGTTTGATTGGATGTTCGGCGCTACGATCCTTGGGAAGTTTCTCTCATCTTCGTGTACTAAAGCTGAGCTGTGAAAGCCTCCAGCAGCAACAACTCCCGGAGACTTTAGAGCACCTCGAAATGGTGGGTCCAAGTCCAACAACTGACCTGTGGGACAGCTTGCCATTTATGCTGCGAAGACTTCAATTAAGGCGCATGTGTATCCATGAGCTGCCACCACAGTTAGCAGCGCGTTGCACAGGTCTTCATACTTTAGTGGTAGCTGAAAATGACTTGAAGAGCTTGACAGCTCTGGTAGAAAGGTTGCCAGCGAATTTGCGGGTGCTGGACGTCCGCAACAATCCACTTTCGCAATTTCAAAGCGATAAAGAACGCAAGACTTTGACCGAAATGATGGCGTTGGCAATTCCGGTTTTAAGGAAGGTGTATTTGTGAGAGCGGGCTACTTGATAGCTACCTTCCAGAAGTTTTTTCAGTGTGGGAAATACAATATTCCGTAACTCGTACGTATGCTGGAGAAGGAGGCAGTAGGTCCTTTTTCAGGTTGATAAACTCCGCTTCCACAGAAGCGGCTACATTACAAGACACTAAAAGTCACGTGATATGTAATTCTCTCAGACATTCATGCGCAATAGGTAACGAAAATCTCAAAATTTCGATGAGAAACCCATTATGTGATCGTCGAGTCACTCATGTGTTTGTGTTTTCCAGGCCGAATTTATTTTTGAGTCGCCTATCACATACGTACACTAGTCGCTGCTTAACGGAGTTTTCAGGCAAAATAAATGTATCATCCACTACGATCAGGCCCTCAGATGCCCTAAGTGTTAGTCTAGTTTTTTAACAGCAAGGTAAGTCCTGGGAACGATCTGAGTCAACATTGCACTAAAATGCCATGAGGTTTCCACCTCTTGCAAAGCTCACGTGCCATTTTTTCCGTCTCAGTTACACTACCTTAAAATACGCGTAAAGTCAAAAATATAATAGATTATAGGACCTAAACAAGCATCACCAAGCTCAACTCTCCCATTTGCAAAAGACTGAAATGCTACCTGTCTAGCTGAACCAAATAGTGTACATATTCGTGCTCAAAACTTTGGCGCTGGCGCCGAATAAATCACATCAAACGGCCACAGGCTACTCATGCTGTACAAAGTCATTTACCCGTTGCTTACCCAAGTTTCCCATGGGTAAGTAAGAACCAATCTTGATTCCTACTCACGATTACCGAGTAACGAGCAGCACTTACTCGAGTTACCTGTTGCACGTGACTGGAATTTTCTGACCATCTTTCAAATGAGCTGTTCGTTCGACAATTGATGAGGTCATTGTGAGTGAGTATCAGCGCAGATAGATTCTATAGTGAACATGTTTTTTACCTCAGAGCTGGGCTTTGACGCAGCTTCATGAAAGCCTCAAGACGCGAATTGAACCTCTTCACGAACACTACCATTCATGTGAAGTTTCCGGTGAACTGTCTTCATTACGCTACTTTCGGTAGACATACTTCCGTCTTCCGCTTCTTGCGGTCCACATTTGTTGTGTTATCGGTCGAAACCTTACTTTAATTGCGAGCAGCCGAGCTTAGGACAACCAAAGGTCCGATAAATTGCATTGCACATATGACCCGCAGCCGTCAGATGTTATTATGTTGGATGAAAGACGACCCTACAAACGGTCTCACGGTCACGGCCGTGCTGACCATTTTCGTTTAGTAGAGCGACGGGCAAAAGCTCAAACAATGAAGAAGCGTCAAACAAGTAGTAGAATACCGGAACTCCGCTTCGCTGCAAGGCGTATTATTGTTGGGTATTTTCGCCTGTCATCCGACGTAACGACACCGTAGGTTTAGTAATGCTGATAAAAAGGAAAAAACACCTTGAAACACTATGGAAATTCTTATATAAAGCGGATCATCCCGCCAATTTGTCACTGAATAGCTATGATGGCGTTGTGTTGGTATAGTTCTCGCTGTATCTTACTTCCTCTACAAGAAGTGTATGTTGAAATAGACGTGGCCAGTGTGGGGTGTACAGATGTTCCAATCTAATTTGTCGTTTACGAGGATGATGCCGTCCGTAGCGATACTAAAGTTTTAAGGGGTACATGATTCTCCGTTCATAGCTATCTCCCCTTGTTTTTTTTGTGTTACATCTACGGGCGGTAAGATTGGCCTATAAAAGGAGAATTAGATTACAGTTCGCTCGACCGCACTTCTGTGAACATTTTACTAACACCTATATCGCAGCTACGAAGAAACCGTTCGAGCGAAGTGCAAAATATTAAATAAAGCACATTCTTAAAGAAATATAAAAGCACGGTATACACCATCTTTGTCTCAGCGCTTTCTGCCCAACTATGTTTACGAAAACGCTGTTGAGAACGGCAAACCCAGCCTTTAAAGCACGTCTGGGGTTGAGGTGCTATGCCCAACTACCTTTGCGGGTCCCTGTCCAGATCCCAAACGGAATAGAGTATGAACAACCCACCGGGCTGTTTATCAATAACAAATTTGTGAGAGCCAAACAGGGCAAGACGTTCGAAGTGATTAGCCCCGCAACTGAGGAGACGATCACGCACGTGTACGAGGCACGTGAGGACGATGTTGAAGACGCGATTACCGCGGCAGATGAAGCTTTCAAAAGTGGTGTGTGGTCTCAGGCAGACCCACTCGTACGTGCCAACGCTTTGAACAAGCTTGCAGGTTACATCGAAGAACACAAGGATATAGTGGCGTCGATCGAGACGCTCGACAACGGGAAGGCTATCAATAGCGCCAGAGGCGATGTGCAGCTTGTTATCAACTACCTAAGGTCGTGTGCCGGATGGTGTGACAAAGTGGACGGCCGGGTGATCAACACCGGCAACACCCATTTCTCCTACACTGTCAAGCAACCATTGGGCGTGTGCGGACAAATTATTCCTTGGAACTTCCCGCTATTGATGTGGGCTTGGAAAATTGGACCCGCCTTGGCAACTGGTAACACAGTTGTTCTAAAGACCGCTGAATCGACTCCTCTTTCTGCTCTGTACGTTTCTCAATTTGTGCCCAAATCCGGGATTCCTCCTGGGGTTGTGAACATTGTGTCTGGATTTGGTAAGATTGTTGGTGAAGCTTTGACTAACCATCCCAAGATCAAAAAGGTTGCTTTCACAGGTTCCACTGCTACCGGCCGTCACATTTATCAGAATGCCGGCCAAAACTTGAAGAAAGTTACTTTGGAACTTGGTGGTAAGTCTCCAAATATTGTTTTTGCAGACGCCGACATCAAACAAGCTGTTCAAAACGTTATTTTGGGTATTTACTACAACAGTGGTGAAGTTTGCTGTGCGGGTTCTAGAGTTTATGTGGAAGAATCGGCTCACGAGGAGTTCTTGCATGAAATCAAGGCTGCTGCTGAAGCTCTCAAGGTTGGCGATCCATTTGACGAGTCGACTTTCCAAGGTGCCCAGACTTCTCAGATGCAGTTAAGCAAGATCTTGAAGTATGTGGAAATTGGTAAAGAAGAAGGCGCTACGTTGGTCACTGGTGGTGAAAGAGTGGGCACCAAGGGTTACTTCATTTCACCCACTGTATTTGGTGACGTCAAGGAAGACATGCGTATTGTGAAGGAGGAGATTTTCGGTCCTGTCGTCACAGTCAGCAAATTCAAGTCCGTGGATGAATTGATCGAATTGGCCAACGATTCTGAATACGGTTTGGCTGCAGGTATTCACACCACAAACATCAACAAAGCAATTGAGGTTGCCAACAGAGTCAACGCCGGTACTGTGTGGGTCAATACTTTCAACGATTTCCACCACAGTGTTCCATTTGGCGGTTTCAACGCTTCTGGTATCGGTAGAGAAATGGGTAGCGAGGCTTTGGAAAACTACACTCAAACCAAGGCTGTGCGTGTGAAGCTTGCTTTGGAGGGTGGAGCATAAGAAGAAAAAATGGGTTCACGACGAAGCTCATGAATCAAGTAAACCGGTCTACTGGCCCAATAGTGCAATGCGATCTATATCGCGCTGCATGTATGTAACGACGATAACAATTTAAATATTCAAATTTTACTCAGGGCGAGCATGTTCTTATTGTTTGCTAGATATATGGCAAATGACTACAGCATCTATCCGCTAGGTGACTGTCGGTTTTTCACGTTGTGTGAGATATTACTTCGTTTCAAAGAAGACGACGGAGTTGGGTGCTGCAACGGTATTAGTACATATTCTGCGCCAAGCTGATATGGAGCTGGTGATTTTAATTGTTTGCTCCGGAGCGGCTACCCACTCATTCTCGTAAATTTTTTAGTGTATTTTTCGCCGATGCTAAAACTACACGTATGACAGAGATAGCGTAATACTATCTATGCTAAAAATCAAGGATTGCAAGAGTCCGTTATCACACATGTGTGCACAATTCAATCTTCTTCCATCAATGAAATCTCCATCTCTTCTTCGTACTCGCCGTTAGATTCGATAGGAATCACTTTTCTCGACAAAAGGTGTGCGTGAAGATCCTTTTCCTCCGCTGAGCTTGCTATTGACGTAGACTTTGCATTTTGTTTCGACGATAACAAGTTTCCCTTCTTGCCAACGCGAGGGGTCGTAGTCTCAGTCTCTGTCTTGCTATTCTCTTGACTCATCAACATGATTTTGATGAGTATAATTGCAGTCAAGACAACCACAACTACGGCACCAACGCCGAAAACCATGCCCTTAAACAAATCGTCCAGCAACATGAACTTATCAACCACAACTTGTGTAATCTTCTGAACAGGCCCCAAAGCTTCCTGCGAGCTCATGTTGTTCGAATTTTAGTTCACTTTTTTTTCATCCCCTTAAGAGAAAGAAAGTGCTAATTATAATATACATACGATTCTGCAGTCTTGATATTTATCGCAATTCCGACAAAAAAGGCGTCCGGAAGAGGCTTACCGTAAAGGGCGGAGTCATTTCCTCTAATCGAGATACGATACGAAAAAACTGTAGAGGCCGCTACGCTTGCTAATATAACGAATCTTGAGATGAAATGAGTTTGTAGATGTTGGGTCACTCAGCAATGATTCCAAGCAGGTCAATATTTTAGTAGATCCTGTTAAGCGTATCATTGTGAAATACAACTTAAAAGATCCGAAATACTCGACGTAAATCAGTGGAACAGGCCCAATTGCCTAATCAACAACACCTATAAATGTGTTATGGAGCTTGTATCGTCTAGCCAGTAGATCATTCAGTGAAAAACTTAATTAGACAAGCAAGATCAGAAACTCCGGAAGTGATGCGTTTTGTCTAAGCTTCTACATCGTCCGTCAAAAGGCCAAACAAGTTCTGGTTCGACAAAGTTGGTTTCTGTGAGAGCTCGGTTCCCGTTTCTTGGTCGTCCTGCGAGGCGGCGTCGGCATCGTCGTCGTCCGCGTGAGTTTCGGAGTTCTGTTGATCTGCTCCTTCGGTGACTTTCTTCGCGAGAGCTCGTCTGATACTTTCGTTGGTGCTGTCCCACCCGGCTTTTCGAGCTCCCTGTACGTATTTGGCTCTTGCCGTTGCCTTTTCCACTTTCCCATCGAGTCTGCTTGTGATATTCAAAGCTCTGGCAACTCTATCGCTGTCGAGATTTTCCAAAGCACTCTTCTTGGTGTCTTTTTTACCCACCTTCTTCCCGGATCTCTCTTTTTTCTTCATCTTGGCGTCCAGAAGTCTCTCGCTCTTAGACGCTGTCCTTATGAGCTTGTTGGTGACATCCACGTTTTGGGCACGAGGAAGCTGAGCCAAAGTTTGAGCTTCAGTGTCAAGCGCTTCGAAGCGACGAGAAGCTCTTGAATTTTTAGATACCTTCTTACCCATGATTAAAGCCTACTGCTAAAGTCTCTTGCTTTGTCCTTCGTGCCACGGTAATGGTGCTCATCTCATCTCATCTCATCACTGCATTGAGATTTTTCAGTAATCTGCAACGAAGACTCGTCAAATGTGAACTCGATGTGGGCGGGAAACTATGCGCTTTAAGAAACAGCTCTGTGCGCTCCAGAAGTCAACTACTCAATGTTCTCGATTCTGCGTTTTCAATAGACCATCTTAAAGAGATGCTACGTAAGTGACACTAAGAAGCTTCACGCTGTGTAAAACTGGTGTATTGACGAAGATATATGGTAATATTCACGTACTCCTTGATGTATATGCTGTGTAATCTCTAATCGGTTGACATTAAACGCAATAGTCGAGTTATAACACCGCGCTGTTTGTCGCGCGTGATCATTGATGCTTCTGGGAAATGCCAAGTGAAATAAGCACTGATTTTAGTAACACTAGATGATTCTAAAGCATCTGAAATGCAGCCCGCAATAGCACCTTACTTTGTGCTATCAAAACACCAATTATCTGCTTGTGACCATTTTGTCGTTGAAAGATCACCGTTTGAAGATTGTGCCCCATACCATATGGACGTACTGCGCGCCGGCTGATGTATTACTTGGATATGAAGCACATACGGCAGACATTTTCAGGTGTAGGTTTGTATGAATCCTATTGAGCTTCAGAACAAACTCTCGGAAGTGCATGCGTGCAACCTAATGCTTCTAAATCCATCAATTATAGTTGATTACCCAAGCACCTAGTGGCAATCATCTCTTGTCGTGCATGCCTCTTCGATCGAAGCACGATCCCAATAAGTGTCTTAGAAGTCTGGCAGTCAACATCTCGGAGTTTAGAATTTCCTCGACACCATCAGAGATGTTTCCGTCTTCCATTGCGGGCACTGCCAATTGATTTTGCTTAGACATGGAAGTAACTGCTCCATCTTCCAATTCTTCAATGTCGGGCATGAAGCTCGAATTTTTCAAGTTTTTTAAGCCATCGGTTTCCTCGAAGGGCTTAGTATCGCGATTATGGTAAGTATAGAAAGCCTCTGCGCGATGCGAGGATAATGACGACGGTACTTGCACCGGTAATGTTTTCGAATATGGAAAACCTCATAAATTGAGGATCTGCTCATTTAAAATTGCAGAATCGATGGCACTCTCGCGGAAAAATCTTGTCCAAAATGTAACTTTAGCCGACCTGGGTCATTTCACCTTTCCGCTGATGAACAGCACTTCGAGAGAATGTAAATGGTACTATTCAATCTGAGAGATAGCATTCAATGAGGACCTAAACAGTTTTTCCGAGAATTCCATCGTTCATCTATCCATGTCAGACTTGCCAAGATATAAAAACTTGTAAGTGCTTATATTGCCTCGAATGAAGTCTGGCTTTCATCATGCTCACACTGCTCTTGTAGATTTTTGAAGCCGCATACTACAACAGAAACCTCTTCAATATACTTACCATAAACTTGTCAAATACGTCCAATCGCCATATGCATTGAACCACCTCGTTATCTTCAGATCTTGGGTGGGGCTTAGTAGGATCAATAAACCCTGTGCAAGTTCTATGAAATTACTGACATTTCATGAAAAGAAGTCATCCCGTCAACTTCAGAAGAAGCAGAGATCTTCTGCTATCAGCGTCGTTGCCCAGCATGGATTTTGATACCAGTTCAAAATAAAACCTTTAGAACCACCAAACTACTTTTTATCTCATTATATAACCTGTATAACTTGCGTAGCGCGTTTAGAAGACATCACCTTGGTCGAACATGGCGTCGGCGACTCTAATGAAACCAACCAAGTTGGCACCCTTGATCAGAGATGGCAAAGCTTCAGTGTTGCTTTCGTTAGTGTACTCACGGGCAGTTTCCAGACAGTCGTTGAAACAGTTGACCATGATTTTCTTAAGTTCTTGGTCAACCTGTTCTCTAGTCCAAGACATTCTTTGAGAGTTCTGGGCCATTTCAAGACCAGAAACGGCAACACCACCCATGTTAGAGGCCTTACCTGGGGCGTACCAGACGGCAGGGGCAGAAGAGCTAGCAGCACGCTCGCCTTCGAAAATGTGAGCAGCCTCAGCTGTGCAACCCATGTTGGACCCTTCAGCGACAAACTTGACACCAGCAGCAACCAAAGCCTTCGCTTCGTCACCGGAAACTTCGTTCTGAGTGGCACATGGCAAAGCAACGTCGACGTTACCCACGTGAGTCCATGGACGGGCACCAGCGATGTACTTCACTTGGCTGGAAGAGAAAGCGGAGAATTCACCAATGATTTGTTCCAAAGTCTTGAATTGGACCTTGGCACCGATAATGGCTTCGACCTGCTCAGCAGTGATACCGGATTCGGTGACAATGGAACCCTTGGAGTCGGAGAGCGACACAACGGTACCACCAAGCTCGATGACCTTCAAGGCAGCGTACTGTGCAACGTTACCGGAACCAGAGATAGCGACACGCTTTCCAGCGAAAGATTCCTTGCCCCTGGTGGCAAAATCGATCATGGCCTGGGTGTAGTAAACCAAACCGTAACCGGTGGCTTCAGGTCTGATCAAAGAACCACCCCAGTTCAAACCCTTACCGGTCAAAACACCTTCCCAGGAGTTTTTGTAGGACTTGTAGGCACCGAACAAGTAGCCAACTTCACGACCACCCACACCGATGTCACCAGCTGGGACATCAGTGTCTTGGCCAATGTGTCTGCTTAGCTCTCTCATGAACGAGTAGCAGATTCTTCTGATTTCATTGTTGGATCTGCCCTTCAAGTCCACACAAAGACCACCCTTACCACCACCTAGGGCCTGGCCGGTCAAAGCGTTCTTGAAGATCTGCTCGAAACCCAAGAATTTCAAGATCGACAAATTCACGGTTGGATGGAAACGTAGTCCACCCTTGTATGGACCTTTGGCCGAGTTGTACTGCACTCTGTAACCGGTAGCGACTTCTTGTTCACCATTGTCGTTTTCCCAGGCAACTCTGAATTGGATGATTCTTTCTGGCACCGACACTACTGGCAACACCTTCTTGTATTTAGGCTGTTTCTCGAACAAAGTCGAGTCCTGCAAAGAGGAAACAACCTCTTCGTAAGCCTGTTGAAATTCTGGTTCTTGTGGGAAAGACATTATTGTGTGATTAAAAAGCGATTAGTCTTGGAAAGCTGTTGAGACCGCACGGCTTACTACAATTACATCTTCGAGCATGTCTGCTCTGCTTTTATAAGATTTGACCGGGGCTTGCAATGCTCAACCGGGGAGGCCAACAGCGAAGGCTACGGAGAAGAAAATTTTTCCAGATTACCACCTGGATTGTGCTAGATCTACAGCGTTCGTGGAACTTTAACGTCGGTACTGGAGTGTGTTAGCAGTTGATCTTTCTCCACCGTGTAATGCTCAACTATATGCCAGGTTATGTTGCAGCGAACTTGACTGGGTGTCACGGGACTGCAATATACTTTTTTATTTGAACATATCCTAGGCAAAAATGTGTGCTATTGGCCGCTTTTTAACGCAAATTTGATACGCGACCGATGGCGACCAATCAGATGCGCCAACTCCTCTTGATAAGCAGTAGTCTCATGGCCGAATAGGTGTAGAAGAGCGAACCTGCCTTTGATAGAGGTTTAAGGCATCAATCTAAATCAATGGCCAATTAGGTTGTCAAAAAAAAAAAAATCATCAATTGGATGAAAAAGTAAAAGGCCGGTACCGGCCAAGGTGCAGTATGGGGAGAAGCTATGCCAGAGGCAGGTGCCAGCGATAGATAGTGAGAGTGACAGAGGATATTGTTAGTTGAGAACTAGGAAACAGAGCGGGGAAACTGTTTACGGAAGCGAAAGGACGAAAAAAAGTGATGTGAGTGTGTATCGGGATCACTTCTAACGGGTGTGTCGCTTGCTCGGATTAAGCCGGCAAAACTTTAAGTGTTCGTATGTGAAAGGTCAGATAAGGTTTGGTGGTCAATGGAAAGAGAGACATGGATAGTGAGGTCATGTTTCGTGGTCACGATTGTGAACCAGATCAGATCAAAAAATCCGTGCTGCTCGGCGACAGAATGGTACGAAATGATGTTCAATGCGAGCACGCCTAGGTAACACAACCTGCTGTTGGTCTCACATGGATCAAGCTCAAATGGAAGCCTGTCAGTGCAAAAATACGCAAATTCTCAAAGTTGGAAGATGGTAGCGATATACATCCATAGCCTCCACCCAGGACTGGAGACGAATCCCGAGTCCGGGCGCGAGTCTGGTACACGCCTAAGAAGCTTCAGAATCTGACAAGGCTTTTGAATTGAGATTAGATCTAAAACCACCGTCAAACTCAAGTGTAATGATCGCATTTTTAGTCGAGTGGATTTTGTTTCATTCAGGCCGTTTGATAGCGCGAGGGTGCTGAGACCGAATGAAGGTCCCACGTCTGCTCAGCTATTGATTTGAGCTCAGCAAGCACTCGCGGGTTATCCACAAACAGAGAAATGGAAGACATCTAAAACACATCAAAGAGGAATGAATATCAGCGTCTAGCGGCTTTCGAAGGCTTAATAGTACCTTTAGTGACGGATTCGTGGTAAAGTGAGAATTCTTTTTCGTCCCCAATACCCAATACAAAATGTCATTAGCTTTCGGTATCACGTGACATATCCCAACTTGATAAATGTATAGTATGCCAGTTCTGCAGAGCACTTCCATTCCATCTAGCCTAACGTATCTGCTTTGATTTGCTCACTCATTTATCTGCCGTTCAAAAGTGTAGCACATGCGAAAATAACAAGCCGCAAAAGTTGACCTCGACTCTCCGAAACGAAGTTGTCATGGACCATGATGTAAAAAACTCACTGTGAATGTATGGTAAAAATTTCTTCGAACTTCCCGCTTTTCGAGCAATTTTCAATACGTTCGCATCGACCTGGCTTCTCATTGCTAATCTCTGTGTCTATATTTTATCGCATTCATATCTAAGGGATCCGGATTGCCGCCGGCAATTCATAGTCCGAACATCAATGTCATCTGTTTTACCTTTATTTCTTATTAAGTTAATGTGTATTCTAGAAGCACGAAAGTTACTATGTACTGGATTTTTTGAGTGGGCGTCTTGCCTGGCGTTATTTGCGACTCATACCTAGCAGCAGCCTCCAACACAAACTGAGTCTATTGGCATCTAAACAATCACCCTTTCATTCCTTACCCAGATTCTATCCTTTACTATATTACACTATCTATATCATTAGGTCATTAGTTAATCTACCGCGAATTTGCAGCAGCGTTGTCATACCGAGGTCAACTGGTGTGGAGCGGGGTTGCCCAATTGGTCACCTTCTTCGATATCTTCTGGAATCGACACCAGAAGAAGATCGCCTCCACTGGGCTTCTTCATGCTTTCCCCATGCGCAAGCGTATGGGTGGCCGGTCTGCGGAGATAAGCAGCATGTTCCACGCCCTGACGTGCTCTTACTAGATTGTCGTAGTCGTATACTTGGTAGTCTTCGTCATACTCGTAGTCATCGCTGTCGTCACTGCCATCGCTGTAGTCATCGTCTTCGCTGTTGCTGTCGCTGTCGCTGTCGCTGTCGTATTCGTAGATAGTGTGTTCAGGAGCCGCCGGCAGCGTGAATGTCACGTGTGATCCGCCGGTTACGTAATTTGGACTCTTCTCATCATCGTCGTGAACGAGATGGACGGGCTCATCCATTTCATCGAAATTAGGCTCATCTTCTTCCAGTTCTGCATCATCATCTTGAGAATCATGGTTGTGTAAGGATTCCATTACTTTGTCAAGTAGATTCGCATGTCCCACTAGAAGACGAAGGTTGAGATCTTTTTTGCTGGATTGCGCCGCACAATTAAGCAGCTTTGAACGTGCCTTACTGGCAAGCGCGTAGGTCTCCGTGGTTGTTGCGTGTTGAGTAGCACCGAACATTTTGTAAACTGTTATCTCTTGGTAGTTGTTTGGTATTCAAGAGAAGAATCAACGTTCATGAATGAATCGTAGGTGAAAACTTGACTTAACTTATATTCTTGTGTATTTCAATTCTAGTTTGTCAGTCACATTTGTCATTACTACTGTGTTTTCCTATTTCTTGCTCATCACCGAGTCTCCGCTATGGTTCCGAAATCCGGAAAACGGAAATAAACATTCAACACCTCCGGTTCCGCCAACTAAGTTTTTTTCTTTTCTCATTGGTAACGAACGATGCCCACCCTTATGACAAACTCTGAGCTCGTGCGGCCGAAGCAGATATGCAGAGTCATGTGAAGAACAGAAAAGCAGCCACAAGGGATCCGCTGGTTTCTGCAGTGCTTAGTTATCCTGCTGCTGACTACACGTACAGCAGCAAAAAAACCATGCATCACCCGGCGTTCATATTGCTAAGCGGCCGAAGAACGCCGTTCAGTGCTTTCTAATGCTTCTACCGTGCGCGAACCAGTTTTCTGGGTCGTAACGAACGAGTACGACACTTCAAACATATTTTTCGTTTGAAGTGTGAGATGGGCCACCTGGCCTTTTGGGTGTATTGGCGTTGAAAGAAGAAAAGGTTTCGGAAGCGAGGTGCAACAAGATCCGCGTGGCGGCCGGGGGAGGACGGATATCCGCGGAAGAACCAAAAAAATGGTTGGAACGGAAGAGAGCGGAGGTCGCATTTGAAAAGGATGCTGCACGTCAAAGCGAGAGTGCGGGAGCGGAAATCGTGTTAGCCGAGGAGAGTGAGACTGCTTTGCTTTGAAATGAAAGGCCGAGATGGTAGACGTAGTTGACGATAAGAGAAATACAATTTGACAAACACCGAATTTTTGGGTTGTAATTTTGCTTTATAATTCAGAAAAGTCCGATTGAGTGATGACTTTGTATGCTAGAGTATACGGCTATTGATAAAATTAGACGATGCGAAAGACAAATAAGTGACTGTGCTTTCTGGGGAGAAGTGATCGCCGAGTCGATGCTCATCAAGACTTTTCGTCCACTTCATGATTGTGTAGAGATTGCCCGTTACTCAATGCCACCAAAGCTCCCTGTAAGTCTGCAATCAAATCATCAACGTTTTCTAAACCCACAGATACTCTCAAAAGTGTGCGATCAATCTTGGCATCACTTAGACACTTCCACTCAACTAAAGATTCAACTCTGCCCAACGATGTAGCATGCTGAAAAACTCGCAGTTTCTTTAGCAGCGCAACGCATTGATCGGGGGTTCGCAACGTGATGGAAAAAACGGGGCTGTAGCCACCACTGTTTTGCGTCTTTGCATAATCTTCAGTCTGCAAACTAGCATGGCGAATGCTGGTCAATACGTCTTGAACTTCAAACGCGTGCTCTTTCAAATACCGTACTATCTGCGAGCAGTATTGGGATTGTTGTTTGACTCTCACTTCCAATGTCCGCAATGACCTCAAAAGCAAAAAGCTATCGACACTAGAAAGAATAGTGCCCAGCAGAGGGCGCTCTTTTTTCAATTCCTTAAAACGCTGCTCATCCTTAGTACATAAGACACCACACAAAAGATCAGAATGACCGCCCAAGTACTTTGTTCCCGAGTGCATAACGATGTCGACACCCAGCTTCCAAGGATCGCGTAGCGGAGGAGGAGCTAATGTAGAATCTATCAAAACAAGACCGCCTTTCTGATGCACTCTTGCAACGAGCTCTGCAACATCAGCACTTTCTCCAAATGGGTTGCTTGGATCTTCAATATGCACCAAATCGCCTGCCTCGCAAACCTCATCGATCTCAGATAAGTCGGAAATAAGCGTTCCGTTTATCTTGGAAAATAATTTTGCGACATCATGGCAACCAATGTAGCCGTCCGTGATAAATAATCTTTTTGGGCGCAAGTTGGTCAAGATTGCAAAATGTGCCGATAGTCCTGACGAATAAACAACTGCCGATCCATTCAATACCGAGCTCAGCACTGCCTCAACTCGTTCGGAGTTTGGGTGGGCCTCTCTTGAATATGTGTAAGCTTCACTCGGTTCCGTACTGTTTTCATTCAAGAGCTCATGATCGTAGTACTGACGTTAATTGGTGGTGCCACGTCAGAAACTCTGTTCAATACATCGTCTGCATGGATGCAATTCGTCCTGAAGCTTTGCATTTCGATGGCAGATTATTTCGTTAATTAAGCAATCAGTCTTTTGTCTAATGAGTACTCAAACCTTTAGGTTTATATGGTAAGTTGGAACTACGTCGATTGAAATAACACAGATAACGCGTTAAGGTGGTTAATACGACAGAATGTTTGCCGTAGTACTCAAGGTTGTGCTATATTAGGTGACACTCGCGTGAATTCGTTCCTTGTCGCGTAATGCTGGAAGTGGACTCTCAATATCTCACGCTTCAAAAAAGGACCCGCTCAAAGGCGTCACAAATGACTCATCACGATAACGGATGATATGATCTGTCTCAAAAGAGTTTTGAGGAAGAGGTATGTGATTTTTTATCTCCCATAAATGCCCTTAACAATTAAGAATTGTGACGTTGAAAAGGCGACTCAAAAAACTCCAACTTCAAACAATTTCTTGGGTGGGCGTCGCTTGTCCGGAAGGTGAAGAGTAAGTGAATTTTAGACGCACGACTTGGTCATTATAAATGAAACTGTTGGAAGCACTATGCTCGCACTTCAATTAAGACTTCAGCAATACCTAAATTTGTGATTTCCCTGCCCGTCAATGTAAATGACGGTTCCGTTTGCCGCATATGCGCTAAAATCTTAAAATGCTTGAAATGATCGTCCAGATTGACTTGAGGAAAACTCCGTAATGGAGACAACTCCGTCGTTTCATTACGAGTAGCTTTTTAGAAAAGCTTCGCAAGCTGGCATCGTAATCGTTGTCAAATTAAATGTCCTCAGGCGTCATAGGTATCAAAAAAGATCTTGATCAGTGTCATTGTCGACTTTCTCAGCTTTGGTCACGATCTGGCTGTATTCCGATCGGGCTATATTGTGAGAGCAAGCCATTGATGAGCTTTTCCGGTTTCGAAGCAACGAATTTTATGAACAAACAGCTTATTTCATACCTGAGTTTGGCATATGTATTTAAATGTCTGTATTGCCTCAGCTCTACTCAGTGCATACCCAACTTCCGATACTTATCTACCATGGTCCAATAGGTATGTTTCTGGCTATTACGAAAGTAGGGACCTGCCCTTAGCATTACCAGAAAGGTCATGTTTGCCGCCAAACACAAGAATGCAACACTAATGAAGCACTTTTTGTAACCCAGGTTTGTGACCCAGTCTGTTATACCATAACTCACGGCGAAGGACATGCAGTTCCGGATCATGATGACTACCACCATGGCCTCTGTATCAAGTTCCTTATACGTGTCCACCACATACGTTGCAGAAGCTGTTATTGCGAAAATTCCGCAGCCACCGAGGAGACCCATACCAAAAATAAGACCAAACCAGTGAACCTCGTAGGCGGCACCAACACCCCACAGTATCGCAGCAGAGCATCCTAACACGCTGTAAACTATGAGAATCCACAGTCTATCTTCTGGCTTGCTCAATCCTGTCCCTCTCCAAATTGCGATACGTACCTTCAACCAATCCGAGCAGATCCCCGATAGGAAGAACATTATGACGCTGAACACTGACGGAGAAAGGTATGCAATCCCTATAGATGAGGATTTAAAGTCATACGGTTTACCTGACAAAATCAACGCAGCAGTTCCGTTCAGTACGTTGAACCAAACAAGGGAGCTACCATAAAGAAAACCTGCCCATATCACCACGGGAAAACGAGCCATCAGAAACGGTGCGAGAGCATAATGGTGCAGAAGGAATTTCTTGCGTCTTCCGCTAATGAGAGAAAGCTTTTGCCAGTACGTCTTTTTGGTGAACTGAGCGGGAGCATAGGTGGCTGAATTGACGATTTCGATGTTACTGACCTGGTTTGCAAGATGGATGTTTTCCCGATTGTCTTCAGTACCTGACAATTCCTCTGAATCATTAATCTTGGCTTGATCTTTCTCTGGCAAGCCATCGATCGAGGACGGAAGTTTCATAATTTCGTCAATGTTTGTAACCACATTTCCCAATTGTTGTTGTTTCGAGTTGATTGTGAGGACTTCTCCAGTGGCAGAATCGACCTTCAGTTTGCGATCGTAATTAGTCTCTTCCATGAAGAAGAAGAGGATGACGAAACCAACAGCGCATAAAATAGCACACCACCACATTACCCATTCCCAACCTTGCCCCTCTGATATGAAGCCAGCGACAAAAGGCGCCAAAAAGGAAGCTAACAACAAAGTCAATCCATATAACGAAAGACCGAATGATCGTTCGTGCTCGAAAAAGAGGTCACTCATCGAGATCTCTGGAAGCGATTCCACGGATGATCCAACGAGTCCTTGCAAAATCTTCGAGGCTATCCATTCACCATTTGACTTGGTGTAGGGGGGCCAAATACAAATCATAGAAGTCGCAAATATTGAGAAAAGATACACTGGTCGTTTCCCAAACTGCAGTGCCAAGGGCTGAAAAATGAGGCACCCGATTCCCAAAAACAAGAACATGTATCCGGTACCGGCATTCAAGTCACCCAGCGTAATATCCGTCTTTTTTTCAATATTGGGAAGCACTGAGTAGATTGCCGCTGTGGGAATGCAGACGCAAAGGGTGTACACCAAAACACAGGCGACCGCGGTCCACCTCCGGCGTGGCGACCAATTCAATGGATCGTCTGGATCGTCTGATGGTGTCGGGATGAGCACAATTTTTCCGTCATGGTCCTTTCCACTTAAAGCGACAAGATGGGAGTCACCTGGCACAGCGTTAAAGTCTATAGAAGTCGCAGGCATTTTTTGGCTAGTCTTGCTGTTACTGAACTTGATTCATTGTCTAAACCTGCCTCTTTCTGAAGGAGCTAGGGATCACTTTTTATATGTCAAAGCTGAGCATTTTGCCAAGACTAAGGAGTTCACATTCGCTACTCGAACCAACGATTGGGTCGCACGTTAGCAAATTGGATGAGATTAATCCTCGAACTCATATCAAGATCGGTCCATCACCATTGGCAAGCAACCCGTGGTTACCACATAGTGAACGTGTTGCGGACACCATAATACAGTTTCAGAATGCTCCCTGGATGATAATGATCAGATATCAACGTTTCGGGCTCTCTAAGAGGAATTTTAACGATGTGATCGAAGTCCTTAAAGGGAAGATAAGCGATATGGTCATGAGACTCGCGATATCATGATAGCGACTCGTGGGTCTCTGCATAGCTGAGAACAATGTCTCACTAAAAATCTCTAGGCACCTTTAGGGTCGATCAATACGAGTTGTGATATTAAGCGACGTCGGGGTGTCCACTTACCTTCACACCCATGATCTTAAGCAATTGTTGCCTGTACACTAATATTGCATATCCCAAATCTCCGCCGGTGTTCTGCATCTCGTTCTGATGCGAGTTTCAAGCCCGGAGAGCATCTCATAGTCTACAAAGGCAAGTTTACTAAGCTGCCCTGCCAACAGGTCCTTACAAAAGAAGTTTAAATAACTGAAGTCCAAAAAAAGATGATCAGGCATGAAAGGTACCATCGAAAGCGGACTTCCATTTACTACAAGCGCAAGCTCATGTGTTCAATTATAGAGCTATCGCATCAAGAGAAATCAGGTTTTTGCAGCACGTTAACTTCTCTGTCAGAAGCGTTCAACTCTTTTCAGAGCATTTTCGCCAAGGAATTCCGCCTGTCGCTATTCACGGACTCTCTGTCAAAATCAGTTTACAGTTTTCCTATCTGTTATCATGCTATCAGCCCTTTGGCATCAAATTTCAAGTGTCAATGGTCGTTTTGATTCTGGCCAAGTCAAGTGAACCACTACAGTCCAGTACTCTTTCTGAACCATGGGTTAAGTCAAAAACTCAATACGCTTTGTGTGTGTTTATGTGTGATGCCGGTCATCAGATTCAGATCTGGCACCAAGAGCTTACAATATGATAGTATAGTCAGACGTACTGAAAGAAGGTCCAAAAACGGATGTCTTACGTGCCGTCTTAGAAGAAAGAAATGCGACGAAGTCTCGCCTGATTGTGGTAGGTGTTCAAGGAACGGTTTGAAGTGCGAGTGGCCATCGCCATTCGTACATTATGGGGCCCGTGTAAAACCGGTGTTTTCATTTGTTCATGTTTTGGAAAAACAGCTAGTGAAAGAGTTTCCTCGCAAGAAATCGGGCCAAGGATTGCGACAGCGGTGTGCACTCGAAAAAGGGCCTAATAATGCCAAATCGTAGCAGGAAACCGCCATCTCCAATCATACTACGAAGAGTGTCGTGCTAAGTGAATTTCCCAGGCAGAACGGCATTTTTTGGCAAGAGGTACGACCCCAGATAGCCCGTTCTCTCAATTCAAGATTGGGCTCACGTTCAATGCCGGGCAAAAATGATTCGGAGCGAACGGCTAAATGCCATGAGATTATTCAATCGAACTCGAATACTAACGACTTCAACGCAAGGCCTCAACTTCCTGCATCTAAAGAGGGTGTAAGTGTTACTCGAGTTCCTCACAATACTTTCAACACCATAGGTGGATTTCCCATCAGTGTTTCCAATACTACTACAGACAAGTACCTCAAAATAATTGATGCATATGACAAGGGAAAAACTCTCCCCAGTACCAATCCCGAAGACGATGAGGAACTGCTTTTCTACACATGTGTCAACATGTTTATACCGAATCTGGGCACCCAGTCTTCCCACCCGCTTTTGACAACATGTGCCACGTTCATTCCCCAAGTTGAAAATAGTGCGCCTTTGAGAGAAATCTTCTTGTGCTGTGGGGCAACTTACCCAGAATGGTATGACGAAGCGAAGTTTTCGGCACTCTCAGATGGACTTTATGAAAGCTCGAAACTGTTAATCAAAAAACAGCAACAGAAAGCTTCGGACGAGTATTCGGAGCTGTGGGTGCTACCGTCCTTTTTGCTGCTGTGCTTGCGGTGCAAAAAAGCTTCTTCGGGCACCGTGGATGACTGTGTCAAATGCCTCGCAGAGGCGTATCTCGTTATAAAGAATACAATTTGCTCCAAACACAATGAGCATGATCAACCGGCAGCTGGTCTGCAAAACTTGACTTACGAAATCGAAAAGAAGTTCATGTCTAAAGCTGAAGAGGGTGACGATACTGTAAAAACTGATGTTGTGCTGGAGCCTTTTGAAAGAATGTTCATGGAAAGCTTCATTTATAACTATTCAGTTGCAATTTTATTCGCGACCGATATAGTAGCACTTCTGAGTCCATTCTCTATATTCAAGGAGCTGGCTCCTTTTTTGAAACGACCACTTTATTACTGTTCTTTTGAATGGATGAATAACCCTGTGTTAGGTCCTTCTCTTGACGCATTCGAGATTTTAGCGAAAGTGTCGTATATTGCACGGCTGCCCATGCCTCTTCCTCAATCATCCCCGTGGTTGCAGAAGGCGCAGCGCTTACATTCGATGGCTTTTTATTACACCGGACCGGTGCTGTCTCCATCGTTGAGGTCTGAAGACACTCATATCTACAAGATTGCGAAAATTAGCTCCACGATCGGTAGCATAGTAGCGAAGTCGAGCTACTTGCTAGTTTCCAAAATTTTGAAATATAACGATTTTGACATACAGCGGCCATCGATTCAAAGGATCCGCTGTGAAATATTCGAGGCTTTTTCGTCTATTCCGTCTGACAGTAAAACCTGGGGCATTCTGCTTTGGTCCCTCGTCATCACTGGCTGTTTTTCCATTACTTCAGCCGAGAAATTTCAAATACTGACATACCTGCTGAATATCGGCGAAAATCTCCATCATCAAAACGTTAGAAAGATGAGAAGCGTCTTAGAAAAGGCGTGGTCGCTTCCAATAGACCAGCGTCTTGCCTTTTTATTCGATCGCGACGAACTTTCCACAATTTCACCGTAGTGAATTTCGCAAGCAGTTCCCGGTCTTACGAATGACATTTCCTGGCATGTAGGACTCAATATTCGGTGGATTATAATCTTATTGTCGGAATCATTTAGACCGCTTTCTTCCAAATGGAAGAGTGCTCGTAATGCCTGCTTTCACCAAAAGGGGAATCAATCAGCATGACGGCTAGGTCGCTGTTCTTTCGTGGAAATACTTGTGGTATTCGAGCCTGTAAATTACCGCGGTACCTGCAAGAAACTTAACTAAGTCGATAAACAGTGAGCAATCTGGGCATTGTTGAAAGTGTGATTCTACAGCAAACCAAGAATATCATTCAGCTTTCCAAGTGGATCGCTTTTTTAATTCAGCGGTGTGATATTTTTCGGTTCCTTTTATGTAAGAATCTATAACCTATCAGTCCTTACGTTAGCCTTCGCCAAAAAAAACCTCTGGTCGTTTCAGCCCAGCTCCTTCGGCTAATTCATATAAGGCTATGGATTTATAGACACCCTATTGACCGCGATGGCATGTAGAAAAAACTTCAAGTTTCGATGGTTTATTGCAGAAGATTGTCAAGGAACGACCTCTACCGTTGAAACAGAATTAAAACTTTCAAACTTGAGACTTGTTTCAAGAGCTATCGAGAAACAGCTATCCGGGATTGGTTTTATATACCCCAATTGAGGGTACATAATCGCTGACTGAGCATCGTACCTTTCCGCGGTGAATGACCATAAATGTGGTATTAGTTCAGATATTATGGCACAAGTTCAAGAGCCAGGAAGAAAATTGAGAGGGATGTCAGTACCAAGAAGAAAAGCTTGTGTTCCGTGCTTCAAATCTAAGGTGCGATGCGATCAGCAGCGGCCTGTTTGCACTCGATGCTTTCGACGGGGCAATCAAGACCAATGCACCTATCCATGGCCTGTGACTCAAGATCCAAGCAATGAATCGGAAATGAGAACAACAAGCTCTTCAAATGGACGAACGGATGCTTCCATGAGTTGTTTAGAGCCCAGATCCGAAAATTTGACATTAGCAGTCCTCCATCGTACTCAGAGCGAGCAAACAGGTGACGGGCCAATGTGCGACTATCCGCATTATTCGAGGCAGCCCAATGGCCGACGTTCTAGTTCCAGACTATTAGGACCACTGGAAACATCCCCCGACGAAAGCTCCCTCCATTTCGAACATTTAGACCTAGTCTGCACAGTGAACTCCGATGAGATACGAAATCGATGGCTCAATGCATTCGCTCCTCCCTTGGATCATTCGGTGAAAGCCTACCCGTCTGGCGTCATGGTTTTCATTTCTCGGATGCTCAAAGCCTATACACTCATGCCGGCTCGACAGAAGTTGATGCCCCCATTCGTACATCGACTTCAGCAGCGGCCATCAGAGGTTCCTGATTCTTTGGCCAACTGTTTTAGTCTTCTGAAACTTTGTGAAGGAAGGCTTCCGGCCAGTGAGCCTATCATCAAGAGTTTTCTGACCCAAGAAATGGACCGCTTATACGAACAATACGAATCATACGATGAACTTAATTTAGTGGCGGCTTTTCAGGCCTACCTCATCTACTCGATGACCATCTTCTTTGAATTCCGCGAGGATGAAAATGCCAGCTTGCACGATGCTATAGTTACGTTACAAAAGATAGCCAGCGAGGTGTGCCAACGAGGTCTCGTGTGCGCAGCTGAATTGAAGGGAACTAGGCCGAATTGGGAGTCGTGGATTTTGGCGGAAGCGAAAAGAAGAACATTATTCACAATGTACTTGTTCGATAGCGTTTTGTGTGCACATGATAACCTGCCCACATTTCTGGCGAAAGAACTGCAAGGGGTCTTGGCACCCTCTTACGGAAGCCTATGGGCCGCAGAAAGCAGAATGTCTTGGAATGAATACTATAACAGGTTTTTGTCAGAGTGGGGTTCTGAAGGGCCATTGTTGATCGAGGAATTGTGGCCCATTCCATCAGAGGCATCTGACATGCAGGTGGAAGCGAGGCAAAGACGCGTAGATAAATGGCTCGCCACTATCGACAACTATGGCACTATGCTTTTTGCAGTCACATCATGTACCCATGGTTGTTAATAACTTCCTGCACTGCAATGTTCAAAGCCCAGTTTTAAGATATCACTACAATTAAATTGTTTCATTGCATTTTTGCATCTATGGTGGTACATTCTGGTCCGCTTTGGTGTGCGTGCGAAGAACGACCCTGAAGTTACCTCATGGCAATAGCTGTGTTAAGCAGCTTGTATGTGATCTCATAGTGGTCTTCACTTTGAAGGTGGCAGACTATAAGTTTTACCCTAGGTATTACCATTCTAAGAGGACACTTGCCTTGGATGCAACTATCCATATTTTCAAGGTGAAGGCCACAATTCTGCTTTTTGGCAATTTACTGTGTGGTATTCTTTTACTTATGTCGTTCAGATTACCTGAAACCCCAAGGCATTAAAGTTGAAAACGGTTCTGCTTTAAGATACAAGAAACTTTCGGGGTTCAAAATCCATGGGCTTGAATCTGACCCGCCAATAGATAAAAACATGTCCATTGAGCATTTTCAAGATCACTTGTGATCTACGAGCGCTCTTTGTAATTGTTTCTTTGGAAATCCACAAGTCAGTGTGGCAGGTGATTATCACATATCGTTCAATCCTCTGTAAAGTCATGTACGGACCTGACGAAAGGAAAACGGGCCTTCTCTTCATCGTAAAGTGTATACGTTCACTCTGAGAAACTCTGCTAACTTACAAAATCCTGTTTTCCGATTATAGAGAATTACAAGCTAGTTTTGCGGCTTTGCCAGTAGCGATCCTTTACAATAGAACTCGCGCAGTGGATTTGGTCCGCTTCTCTAGAAATATGCATTTCATTGGTATAGGTCAAGCGGCATTGTGAATTGGTTCAGCTCACTTGAGTCATTCAAAGCTTACATTACATGACCTGATTCCGAGGAATTATATTCTTGGCAATTCTTGGCAAATCTCGCTCGCCACTTTCTCCACGGAAGGGAGTATCCCGCGATCGCAAAGACAAAACGTTTTTTCTTGGCAGATGTTACTTTACTTTTGCAGTTAGCTCCGAGGTCGGAGTTTTTAAACTTGTATTTAAGGTCCCTATGGAATATCGATGAGACAGACCAAGTTTAGGAAGCATCATTGCACAACAGCACAGTGAACCAAAATGAAATTGCCAACATCTGTCAGATTAGGAAACTCTGGTTTAAAAATCTCCCGTCTCATCGTGGGATGTATGTCATATGGTTTGAAGGAATGGCAAGATTGGGTTATCGAAGATAAGGAAGAGGTCTTCAAGTTACTCAAGCACTGCTACGATAATGGGTTAAGGACTTACGACACAGCCGATGTCTACAGTTATGGCGAAAGCGAGCGGCTGCTGGGCGAGTTTTTAAAGCACTATAACATTGACCGGGAGACCGTCGTGATTTTGACAAAGATATTTTCCCCGGTAAAGAGAGGTTTCAAGCCATTTGGTGAGACCCAGAAACCTTCGCCAATGGAAGTCCTGGAGCTTGAAAACCAGAGAGGCTTGTCAAGAAAACATATTTTGCACGGCGTACAGCAATCTGTGGAGCGTTTGGGAACTTATATCGACGTCCTTCAGGTACACAGATTAGATCGTGAGACGCCCATGGAAGAAATAATGAGGGCTTTAAACGATGTAGTTGAATCCGGGCAAGTGAGGTATCTGGGCGCTTCAACTATGCGAGCAACAGAATTTGTAGAATTGCAATTCATTGCAGAAAAGCACGGGTGGTTCAAGTTTATCAGCTCTCAATCATGCTACAACTTATTGTATAGAGAGGACGAGAAGGAACTCATTCCTTTTGCGCAAAGGCATCAAATTGGGCTGATACCATGGTCCCCTCTCGCGAGAGGCTCTTTGACTAAACCCGTTGGGGGCAAGAGCAATAGGAGCGTCTCTGATGCCGGGATGATGGTGGTAGGAGAGGTCAAAGATGACAGTGAAATACAAATAATCTCTCGAGTCCAAGAAGTTGCTGGGAATCGTAGTGTGAGCATGGCGATGGTTTCGACAGCTTGGGTGTTGAAAAAAGGCTTGAATCCAATTTTGGGCCTAAGTTCGATTGAGAGAATTGATGAGGCCATAAAAGCTCTAGAGCTTGAGCTCACCGATGATGAAGTGAAGTATTTGGAAGAGCCGTATCAGACAAAGAAGCTTATATTCTGATCTAACAGATACGGAGTGGTATCGCGATTTACTTGCTTTTATGACCGTTCTATATAGATATATGATTTGAGTAAGATAATTTTTTAGGATGCCTTGGCCATAACAAAGTCTTGCATTCGTGGAGTCAAGCGGGCAACTCGTATTACCCGATAGTGAATTAAGGTCTTTTAGTCTGATTGAAAACCATAGTTAGCATCAGTCAGGACTTAAACAGCTTAGTGGAGGAGTATTTGTGACTCAAATTTGACGTTCACAAAGGGTATCAAGGGGATGATCGAATTTTATGATAAGTTGTCTTAATGCTGTCTCTAGTCCACCAAACATATAATGATATCCACCATAAGAAGTGACACACATGTTTTGTTTAAGACAGTAGAATTACATGGACGAGATCATTTCTTCAGTTGAACTGACACCCCTGGAACTATGAAAAGGCTAACAGTAGTTGTGACTAGAAGGGACCGACGAAGCACCTTATTGTCAGTTCTCTTCTTACGCCTGGCGCGATCGTAATAAGCACGTGATGAGAAGACAGCGATAGAATAAGCGAATAGCCGAAATACTCGAGCTGTTGGCACCTCTCATAAGAACGGTTCGATAACCACACACACGACAGGAAGAGACAAAATGTTGTCCACCCCCTAGTAAGTGCAGCAAAATACTGATAGTGATCGGTGCCTCACGATATCCAATCACTTTTGATGGTGAAAGATGGAAATCTTAGCATCAAATAAAAAACACAATATTTTCCACTTACAAAAACATTTCCTACATTTGAGGCAGCACGAAAAGATGCAGTCATCAGCAAAAAGGCTAACAATACTAACCTGTTTGTACTGGTGTTGAGACTCTGTCTCTGGAGTGTCGTTGCAGGATAAACAGCCCATATCTTGGGTGATTATGTCCATTATTGTAAGATGTAAACCATTCTCTTATCGAGTTAAAGTTATCTCTCCGTGATTGATCTATCATGAATGCGATGAGCTTGAAGGGTGGGTAAAACTTCCCTTCTTATACAAATTTGGAAATGTTCCGTCACTGAAGGTAACAAAATTTTCAATCTTTCCGGGAACAATAACGTCAATGAGTTACTGGACAGATAATATTATCAATGCAAATGGTGCCACTCGGTAGAATCAACGTCATGCCACTCAGATCAGGAGCTGGTTTAGATTGTTTGACTATTTTGCCAATTCCGTCGCTGTCATCCTGTCACGTGCAAGTGATCACTTTGTCATATATCTGACGCTATGCATATAGAGAACTTCGACAATGGAATGTGTCAACATGGTAGTGACACAATTATCGTAGCGAAACGTTACGGGGACTAACTATGGATCCCAAAACAAGCACGAATACTATTTGGCCGTCCTGGTGCTAGGAGCAAATAATTGATTTGCCGTTTCTTCAGAATTTGACATAATTGACTTTATGGGTTTTGGGTAACGCTCCAAGATAACCGAGCACAAGTGCCCATAGCCTTAAGTGCCAGTATAATAGTAAGGTCGAGTTGTCAGCTTCATAGAATCTGTCGCTCTGGGGTTTCACCAAACACGTGATGAAAACTGTGGGTAGGCGATGCATTCTCTTTTGTCGAATTTTACACACTGCCATGCCCGTACACTGATTTTCCACGAGCCTGTGTTGCTGAAAGGCGACGCCAGAGGTCACCAAACTGTTTGATGGGTGCGTATTCCGCCGATCACGTCTCATGCGAAGCTCCCTTTTTCCCATGACGTCGAGAAAACGTTAATATAAGCTCTCTTTTGTGAGATAAGCAGCGTACAGGTGACCTCGACCGAGGCAAACTTCTTACGCGACTGTTCGAAGACGCTCTACCTACATCAGAAAATTGTCGTCACCTGCCATTAGGCCCCGATTTATTTTCTCATTGGACAGGCCCGTCGTTTTTTCCCTATCACCTTCGTGCTTAAATTTACAATGTTTAGCTGGATTCCGACAAGAACTACAGTGAAAAAAACGCTGTCGAGACTGCTTTGAGCGCGCCAATAATCTAAGGGTTTCTAAAACCAAACCCGAGATCTTGCCTGATCTGCAGATTAACGTTATTTTTCGAAAAAACGGGTTTCCAGCTCTAGTGCAGATCCTGAAATTGTTTTTAATTCCAACGGTGTACATCATCAAAAACGTTTGCCAGCCCCTAAACGGCGTTCAACGGTTAGTATTTAGGATCGGCAGCTTCTGGAAATTCAATCACTGGGCACACCTCAGCCCCGTTGAAGCCTTACTGATTACTTCAGGACCCTTTGGAACTCGAACGTAGGCATCCCGCACTTAACAATCAACCTACCGCCCACAATGTATGGGTTATCTCTCTCTCTATAAGGGCAGGAGCCTTACCAAATCCGTGAGAGCCCGTGAGAGCACATATCACGTGACAGAGAATCGAGAGTTACAATTAATTTACCTTAATCTTATTAGCCTTAACAGCCCTACATCATTAATTAGTTCACCTTTTTCATGATTATGATGTGGCTTCAGTTAAAGCCTGGATTTTATAAGACACGGGCTGTGGGTTAGCCCTCACTTCTCTTATGATAGCTTTGTATCTAATCCAATATATATAGAAATGGACTTTGGCCCGGAGAAACGATCATTGTAGTCTTGTGGGTCGGCTGTCAAACTAAATTTTTGTCGTTGCAGGAGAGGCAGACGATGTCATTTACGCAAGAGTCTGAGGGACCTTTGGCGACAACGTATTCGTCGATCGCTCCGCAGCTGAACACCGACGAAGAGGCACAAATATATGTGGGTAAAAGCTGGCCTGAAAAACACCGGATTTTTTTGATCGAAACAGCACTTTTCACCAATGTCTTCCTATCGGGCTTCGATAGCACTATCACAGCGTCCATCTACCAGCTTATCGGGGACGAATTCGAAGATGTCAAAATTGCCAGCTGGATTACCACTGCTTACTTGGTGACGTGCACTTCCTTCCAGCCCTTGTACGGATCCTTTTCGGACACTCTGGGCAGACGCAAATGCATGTTTTTCGCCAATAGCATTTTTGCATTGGGTTGTTTGGGTTGCGGGTTGTCGACCGACATCTTCACTCTGATTTTGATGCGTGCAGTAACAGGTATAGGCGGCGGAGGGCTGATCACGCTTTCGACTATCGTCAATTCAGACATCATCAGCCCTGAAAAGCGCGGAATTTATCAGTCGTTCCAAAATATTCTCGTCGGCACCGGTGCGGTTATCGGGGCATCCAGCGGTGGAAGTATCGCAGCGATCTTTGGCTGGAAATGGTGTTTTCTCGTTCAGGTTCCCATCTCAATAGCCGGAACTGTATTCGCCTATTTATTCGTCCAGGACCAACCAAACCATACCCATGTGGCAGGAATCGAGAGGTGGAAAAAAATAGATTTCAGCGGCGCCTTTCTCTTAATTATCGGACTAACAGCCCAGTTGATCTTTTTAACAGATGCCAGTTCCTCGGCTGGCAAGGGTCTGGAAGTCTTAGACTGGAAATCGCTTGCGTTCTTGTTCCTGAGTATCGCCTCCCTAGTACTATTTGCTTACGTCGAAAAAACTACGTCCGCCCACCCAATTATTCCGCACCATCTTTTAGGCGGGTCAACGAACAGCATTTTGATCATTGGCTTCTTCGTCGGTTTTGTAGCTTATGCCTATCTTTTCACCCTCCCACTATATTTTCAAGTGGTAGCTGGAGATACTGCCGCTCAAGCTGGTCTTCGCCTAGCCATCCCCGCCTTTTGTACTCCGATTGGGGGTCTCATAATGGGAATTTCGATGAAACAGACAAGGCGTCTGCCTGCTTTACTAATTGGAGGAATTGCGCTCATGTTTTTTGGTAATGTGTGCTTTCTTTTCATCAACAAATCAACTCCGGGCTGGTTAAAGTTTCTGCTGCTGATTCCCGCCAACATTGGACAAGGTATAACGTTTCCTTCAACCCTATTCTCCTTCCTCTTCGCGTTTTCGGTTAGAAAACAGGCCACGGCCACCGCAGCTCTGTACCTCTTTAGAAGTATTGGCTGTGTTTGGGGTGTTGCAGGTAGTTCGAGTCTTGTACAGACCCTTGTGAGCAGAGGTTTAAAAAAAGGTTTGAAGGACTTGGCTTCAGAAGAAGAAATCAGTCGCTTGCTTATCAAATTGAGCCAAAATACGTCTATTATTCGCAAGCTGAGGCCAGAAATCAGGGACGTTGTGATAGCGAGTTATAAAACAGGTATTCGCGGCGTATTCTTGTTGTCCATTGCACTCAGTTTGATTGCTCTTGTTCTGTCGGTTCGGGCTAAACAAAATATTACGGAACAGAAGGCCGAAAATATAGCTGCCATTGAGCGTCGCATAAGTTTCTGAACATTGTTTTTCCTGTCCTGAGACAGTTAATCGTGGCAGATAGAAGCATGCATGGGAGATTATCGTCGCACAGTCTCCACATCTCTTAATCTATAATCTTCATATATGTATATATCCTTTCATATATTCATTGTTACTTAGAGAAAAGTTTTGATTGATTCATGTTGAGCCGAATCGATCCGCTGTTTCGCAATCAAGTGATGGCTTAGGAGGCCCTTTTCCGAATATCGACTGTTTCGTCTGCAAATGAAGAATTTGTTTCTGTTTCGACATAGTTATAACAGTGTAAGTAGCCCCGTTGGTCCTTCCCCTTGAACGTTTCTTCAAGCGATTACTAAGTTAGAAGCTACCCCGGTTTAGCAGTATCACGGTGAATTCAATTATTTATTTCCTGAATAACACACTAGCAGGTTTCAAATCCTTGGGTAGAGAATTGTTAACTACAGATTTTAGATCAGCTGCTACGCCGCTGGAAAATACTCTATCCAAAACTACACGCCATAAAAGAGAAGGTATCAGCTCTACGTTGTCAGTAAAATACATAGGACGCCACATATCATCTTTCAATGTAAGTTGAAAAAGTGATTACACTATAACTGGCTATAGCAGTGAGGAAAGAAAGGACGATCCAGCTGGCACTGGGGCTTCATGTTTAGGTTCAAGGTGTAGAATCGGAAATATATTATATTGTTTCTGAAGGCACATGAAATTGGGCTTACATGAAATGAAGATTTCAGCCACTTTCTGCAGATCATTCGGCCAGATTCACTTTGGTCTAACTTGAACTGAAATTTCGTGTATTTTGCCCTTCACCGATCCAACGTACCACTGATGGTTCTCGTTGCTGGCGCTTGTCGATTTAACCGGCACGTAGGTTTGTTCCTAACATGTGATCTTCCTTCGTGAGCTCGAGAACTGAATAATGACCAACTGTTGTGAGCCTCGAAGACATTATGACTTGAAGGAAAGAAATCATATCTAATGATATCGAGAGTTATCGAACGATCACCGAGGATGATGATCACTAAAATAGCATAAAAAGGATGAAGTGCTCCCAAGCTTAGAGCCAGATTTGAACGCTAGGATGAACCCAGCGACTAAGATGTCACCAAAGAAGCCAAACTTTTTAGTGATAGTAGCAGATGACTTGGGATTCACGGATATCGGTTGTTTTGGCAGTGAGATCCATACCCCAAACCTCGATAAGTTGGGTCGTGATGGTCTGAGATTCTCAGGCTTTCATACCGCGTCCGCGTGTTCGCCCACCAGATCAATGTTACTTTCAGGAACTGACAATCACCTAGCTGGTCTAGGGCAAATGGCAGAATATGCAAGAGGATTCCCTGAAAAGTTTGCCGGAAAACCTGGCTACGAGGGATATCTGAATTTCAGAATAGCAGCGTTGCCCGAGATCCTCGGCCCTGATTACTACACGTTAATTTCAGGCAAATGGCACTTGGGACTTGACGAACCGCATTGGCCAGATAAAAGAGGATTCGAAAAAAGCTTCACCTTATTGCCAGGAGCGGGAAATCATTATAAATTCGACGTAAATGAAAAGAGTTTCATGCCTTTTATCTATCAAGAAAACGGTCGTCGTTTGGATGTTGAAGAAGAATTGCCAGAAGAATTCTATAGTACGGAATATTTCACCGACAAGTTTCTTGAATATTTGGAGGACGATGAACAGCGAGATGAAAGACCCTTTCTGGGATTTCTAACCTATACCGCTCCTCACTGGCCTTTACAAGCACCTCGCGAGACCATAGAAAAATATAAAGGCCGGTACTTCGAAGGGCCCCTAGCATTAAGGCGCGACAGACTGAGAAATGCAGAAGAGCAAGGAATCCTCGAAGAAGGGATCGTACCGCATCTAGTCGAAACGAAAAATGATAAAGTTTGGGATGAGCTAGATCGAAAAGACCAAGAATACTCTTCTCGTATCATGGAAACGTACGCTGCCATGGTGGACGAACTGGACAGAAATATTGGCCGTGTTCTGACCAGATTAGAGGACACTGGTGAAATTGATAATACAGTGATCATATTTATGTCCGATAATGGAGCGGAAGGTATGCTGCTAGAGGCTCTGCCTTTTGGAGGTAAACTTTTCGGAGACAACATCACCAAAAAATACGATAACAGCTTTGCTAATGTTGGAAATGGAAACAGTTTTGTGTTTTATGGAGACCTGTGGGCCCAGGCTGCCACAGCACCGAGATATATGTATAAGATGTGGGCCACCGAGGGCGGAATAAATTGCCCTTTGATCCTCCACTTCCCCCCATTGACACAAGAACAGCAGGCAGGGAATGTGATAAATGAATTTACTACTGTGATGGATATACTACCAACATTACTAGAACTAGCTGAAATTCCTCACCCAGGTCCTCAATTTCAGGGTCGAAAAGTACATACTCTCAGAGGCAAGTCATGGCTGCCATATTTGCAAGGCTCATCGCACCGTATTCATGATAAGAATACATTGACTGGATGGGAGCTTTTCGGGCAAAGAGCAATAAGAAAAGATTCTTGGAAAGCAGTTTACATCCCTGAGCCACTGGGAACCGGGGAATGGCAGCTTTTTGATTTGTCCAAAGATCTAGGTGAGACCACTGACATCAGTTCTGAACATCCGGACAAGCTTAATGACCTTGTTGAGTATTGGTCAATTTATGTCGCAGAAACAGGATTAGTGGAGGTCAACGAATATCCCAAGGGTACGGATTACAATAAAACCATTATTGATGATGGTCTGTCAGAGAGATTGAAAGAGACTGCAAAAGTATAGTCAAACAGTTACTGAGGACGCCAAACTTATGATTTGATTGTTCATTCTTGTTTAAATGTTAGACCAGATCAAGTCAACACGTACCTCTCGCATGCAATCGTCCCATGTACCTCAAAAGCCATGTTTCTGATTCATAACGCGAGCACTAGCGTGGCTGACACTAAAACCTAAACCAACGTTGGCGGCATTTTGAGAATTTTTAATTTGAACTCTTGAACGTGTAGAAAATTTATGACGGCAAGGTGTCTTTGCTCATGTAAAGCTCCTATGCCTAAGTGATAGTGAAACTCTGAGAGAGCTTAGAACTCCATTACATTTTCTTGAACACAACTATACCGCTGGTGAGAAGATATCGAGACAAAAGAGAAGCTCCGGTATTTATTAGTTGACAATCGCTATCGCATCATGCAGAGCTCATGCTTACTTTTCTCTATCTTATTGAGAACTTGGCTATGTCTGTCAATATCAACTGTGAATCACAGCCGAGTCGCTTCTTCATCTGCCGGGCGAGGAGGTGGTTCCCATATATATGCTCACTCACGCTGCAGCGATAGTTTCGCGAATATCGGAAAGTTTACGCTTTTGTACGCCATCTTGGAAGTTTTCAGGGCTCAACCACTGTTCGAAAGCTTGCTTGACCACGGGCCACTCATCTTCCACAATGGAAAACCACTGTTGGTCTCTGTTTCGGCCCTTGTAAATGAAAGATTTGCGCAAAGTTCCTTCGTATTTAAATCCTAGCCTCAAGGCTGCATTTCTGGAGGGCTCATTGAAAGCATCGCATGTCCATTCACCTCGTCTATAGTCCAGGTCGTCAAATAAGTATCTCAGCAGCAAATACTGGACCTCCGTGGCAATAACAGTACGCTGGAGTTGAGAAGAAAAAATCACAAACCCGATCTCAGCGGACGCACCGCGGGCATCAATTCTTTTTATGCATATCGTTCCGCATGCACGCCCTGTAATTCCACTAATGATTGCAAATGCAACACAGTGATCTAAGTTGATAAAGCCTAGCATAGTCTTTTTGTAGTCATCTAGCGTATTGAAGGGTTCAATGGGTAAGTAAGTTAAAAGACGGTCGACATTGGTTTCTGAAAACGCCTCATAAAGCTCTGCGCTGTGCTTTTCCACATTCAAAGGCTCCAATTTGCAGAATTGACCTTGCAAGGTAACTTTCTTGGGAAGCTCTCTTTCCGCGCAGTTCAGGACATTATCGTCAACTTTTTGGCCGTGAATATTAGTTTGAACCATCGCCTAGCAGCTCAATTAACCTGTGTCAATTGAATATGTATCTTCTCATGCCAAGACTTCGTAGGATCTGCCAACTTATACAGGAGAAAAGACAATGTTGAGTCATCCAGAAATATACTCATTATTATAAATGATAGGAGACCCGCCGGCGGAATTTTCAGCACTTCAACAATTTCCGACGTACCAATGCTGCGTCGCTACATGCAACAGGAAGACCGACCGCTTCCCAGATCAAGAAGTTGATAATTATCTTTGATGATTGCCCTTGATAATTGAAGTTGATTTCAAATTCCAGGTGCAGCATTTCAAGCTACTGTGAGTGAAATGCTGTATGACTATGAGTACTGTCTGTTGGTCTCACGGTAGATGCGCCTCGCAATCAATTCAAAAGGGTTGAGTTTCTTTTGATTTAGGTTACTGATCTGATTTCAGCGATGAGCTTAGTGTTGTTAACGATCTGTACGGTTACGTGGGCGATCTCTGTATTGACAAAGTAAAAGCAGATCGTGGTCGTCCAGGTTTCATCATAATCAAGAGTATCGCTGCGATTTTCACTTCGACGTTTTCCTCCAGACCGTCGACGTTGTGAGATGTAATTTTGATGGGACGTCTTATATAGAGGTGATGATGGTCATTGGACGTAACCGATGGTTTTATCGAAATTTCAACAAAAGAGAAGACGGAATGTCTTTTGTGTCTTGGCGTATTTCGTTTGAGGTTGTATGGCTAGTGTGCCGTCCTGCATTGTTTCTGATTCGGAGAACAGCAAGAGTCGTGCAACAAATATCCGCTTCGCTCACAGGTGTGAGCTGCAAAGATCGCTCGATTGAAAACTCTGACCATTACTCACTTGGTACAATACATTTGGTACTTGCCAAAAATCAGCTTCCCTTAATGTCCGTACGTGTCCAAAACACAGCAAAGCGCAGACTTTGGGCGCGATATTATACTGCCGCATATCTCCATCCGCGTTTATAGCTGAGTCTGGTAGTCTTTTGAGTTACTGACACTGCGGCAAATCCTAGAGGAACATAAAGGGCCCAATGTACGACGGCGCTAGAAGAATGCAGGATACCGGATACCATTGAGGTGATTCCTCATTTGTTTATCAGGACCAATACATCGGTGTGAGAAAGAAGGACAAGCATAAATCACCAGACCGGATGCTGCCCTATATGGTCCGATGTTCTTTTTCTTGGCTCGGCAGGCTCCGATCTTTCTTAGGCTTGTTCTGATAATACCTGAAGTTTTGACTCAACTGGTGCATTAGAAGTCAATGGTGTAGAACTACAATAATGCTGACGCATACATTAGTCGCAATTCAGTCCATGTACGTTTTAGCCCGTCTCATTATCTCTTATGCTCGGGGCTAAGAAATGATACAAACAAGGAATGCTGCGGCGACCGATGTGGACGCAATGGGCCCTGGTAAGTCTAGGAATTTCATTCAAGCTACCATGATGAACCCTCGGAACTTACAGGAAACTGTTTTCTGAAACGTCGTCAGGGTCTAAACATTGGACTTCGTTTCCGTGATAACTTACGGCATCCGACGGAGGGCCTCAGAAGCACCAAGCTCTTGCATGAGGATTAGAGTTAATAGGTTATGATTTTCAAGACTATAAATTCACGAGGCTGATTCGCAAGAGATTTCTGTTGACTGCGGAAGAAACAATCCTGTAAGTTCAAGCAAACTTCGATTCATATCTGGGGCGCTTGCAATGAAATCAGGTCACCAATATCTGCACACACTAATACTGGCGAATGTGTCATAAGAGTACAAGCTCGGAGGCTAGGTCCAAGCACTCAGCGCACACCATTGATCAGACAGGTTCATGTAAGGCTGTGTTAAGATAATTCAATCATTTAGGGCTCATGCCTGCTTTCTGTTGCTTCGGTGGGCGAGATCAGGTTTTCAAGCTTGAGAAAGGAATAGAAAATAATCACCTTTCCAGCGGCACTTTTCCGCTGAGGGAACGTCAATGGGCATCAAATATCACAGTGTGTCGTTCAATCAGACAAACTCTATGGTGTCGATTGAACAACAGAGTCGAGATGTGCTGCCGTTATTCGTCCTCTCAATTCGATTAGACTCTACTCACTTGTTCATGAAGATCTCACAGACGAAAAGGTGATGCCCTCGAGTGAATTTTCATTTTATCCTACGTTAAGCAGAAAGGGATGGTAAAAATGTCTAGCTCGCTTCATAATAAGTATCTATATATTTAACCGTGCTTCATCAGTTGTGAGACACACTATCAGTGGTTGAAGATGGATAATAAGTACTGTCATTGAGAAATTTCAAATCTTCAACTGGCCTTTCAGCTTGAGGAGTGATCCTCACCACATGTCTTGCAGATTCGGAATCCCAATCAACACTTGCTGAATGATTCACTCGGCGATTGTCCCAGACAACGACCGTCCCAGGCTCCCAATTGGCTCTAAGCTGTAAGTCAAGGGAATTGTTGACCAGGCCATATAAAAAATTCAAAACCGCGTCAGACTCAGGTTTTTTCAGCTCTACAATTTTCCTAGCAAAGCCTTGGTTTAGGTAAAGACTCTTTTTTTTCAAAACAGGGTGGACTCGAACCAAGGGATGGACGTGTGCAACTGGCTTTCTTCTCTGAACACCGCCGTTGTTTTTAGAGTTAACTGCTTGCTCTAAGGCACTGTGGATCACATGTAATCCATCAATGAACTCTCTGAAAGCTGGTGAAAGCCTCTCGTAAGCCTCGACAGAATTTGCAAATAAGGTGTCGCCCCCACTTTCAGGAGCTTCCAAGATGCTCAAAAAGGTGTAAGAAGGTGGTTGCAATTCATAGGAGACATCGGAGTGCCAGCGAACTGAGGAGATGTCATCCTTAAACACATTCTCAAATCCCCCTTTATCTGGCCTAGTATGGACAACATGTAACTCTGGTGCATTTCTAGGATGACCAGAAGTTTGGTGAATGTGCAGTTTTCCAAAATGTTTTCCAAACTTTACCGAAAATTCTGGTCCTTTGTCGATTAAGTCCTGGTTCCTGAATACAACGACACCCCTCTGGGCAACTAAGAGAGCTAATTCATTTTTAGCAGCATCGTTGAGAGCAGATAACTGGATGTTTCTGACTTCAGAACCCAATTTTGGTGTGATACTTTTAACTTTGAGTCCTTTTTCGTTTGCGTCAGGGAACAGATTCGGGAATGATGGGTCTGCTTTAAGGGCAGGATCTTCGTAAGCATGAAACTCCAATGGAGCATACTTTTCGGATGGATCCCACGTTGGCAGAAAATCCGGGTTTTTTGCATTGCCTCTGTTTTTCGCATTAAGGATCAGAATACCGTTTGAGTCTATCTCGTCATGACCGAAGTTTGACCTAGTGTAACCGGAACCACCGTTATTGTCAGTACTAAGATTAAGACGTAAAAAGTCGGCTTCAACGGCTGGTGTTTGCGCTACAGTTGATGATGCGATGACGGGGGACATTTCGTAGACTAGCGATTGGTTTCTACTGGTGATCGTTCAGGTTAAAAAGCGAAACTGACAGATTAGAATGGAAAACGCAGTCTTTATAAAGTGAAGTTGAAGCACGGAGTGACCGGTTATCATATCGGAATGTCCGACTGCTACTGGTATTAGTGCCATGGTTGAATGCCATAGCTAAGTGCCACAAACAGTGCCCCAAGCTTCACAATCTAAAGTCATCGAGTCTGTTCGCAACAATAGTCCCGGTGCTTTTCCAGCTGCTCCTACTCCTGCGATACTGTTGGCATCTGTGGGTAGATCAAATGCCACCTCAATCACGCGATTCGGTCACCAGTGGTCTTCGTGGTCAGAGGATCACATGCTTTGAATATTTTTGAAAAGACAGATTTCGTCGAGACATTCGACAATGGAGTCGAGGTATGAACCTGACCTCCAGGAATGCGTGAATGTCCTCTTGGGTATGCGGTCCCCACCGAAATCTGAACAAATGTCGGAGAAGATAGGAACTTGAAGACCTTCTGTCTTTCAAATTAATATAATTACGTCTTCTTATCTGCCAATCTGAAGGACACATTTGAAAACCTCAGAAACGTGAATTGTAAGCCGACTGCGCAATAGCTAACAATGTATTTTCATTGCGATGTGCTCCGCGAACAAAGGTGAAAACAGCATTAATTGGTACGAATGAACAATTTAGACCGAGTAAGGGTCGCTTCCGGAGGTGCGAGAGAATACACAGTTGTTCTCTATATTGAATAGAGAGCTTCCCTCTTCCTAGTTGTTAATGTACAAACGAAATGCACATGTAGCACCTTTTCTCTCTTCCTACCTCCTGCAAGACGTCTGAATACGCACTGGCATTTCCAAAAGGAATTCGTGTCATTCTGCCGTGATCAGTCCATCGAGAGCCGTCATAGACGTGATATCGGGAATTGCCAGGCTCTGAAATTACTGTGCTAACAGAAAAATCGCGCTTGCCAAACCAAGGATTTGGAACGTGCGGTATGTTCCCTTCCCCCCTTATTTTGAAAGCTGCAATTGACTTCAGGCTGGACATAATGAGGCATCGATCGCCCATATGTCTCTCGCTTCATTCGAGGTGCGTAGCCAGTATTATAGGCACTTTTTGCAAAATATTAGCATTTTCGAACTTGACTCGTGGCTGTTATAGGAAACGATGAAATTGGCATAGGTTTCTGGATTGTGGCCGCTTCGCCTAAGCAACATCATTACACGGACGTAGTTGATGGCATCATATGAGCATTCGTGAAAATTAGTGCTAATTTTGTACACTGAATAGCACCCTTTCCCTCCGAAGTTCGAGCAAAGAAATATCCAGGCTTGAGTTCGTCAGCAACATATGAGCCTTACCCGATCATAACGCCAATTCTGTAGAGCCCTTAGTGTTGGAAACTCTTCTTGGGTAATGTCAGAGTGCACTTACCTGCTCAAAGGATAGCGCAGCGTCATAGAAGAGAGATGTGTCCACTCGAAGTACTGTCGCGCGATAGCATATCTGCAACTCAATTCAGCGGTAACGCAGCGAAGAGGCCTAATCATTTCTGTTACTATGCTTCAGTCGAATAATTTTCGCTAGCATCAAAGATGAGATATGCGAAGAGGTACCAGGGACAAAATCTCATTTGAGGTGTTTTAAAATGCATCTATGGTCAATGGAGCTTACGACGCATTTATTCCTCATGAGTTGGGAGAGTGGCTCTTAGGTGTCAAAGTCCTGAATACTCTGAAAACAACCTCCACCTACATAATTATCGGACCAGCGCTTGCAGTCTGGCAGGCGGAGGTAGGAGTATTCTGTTCAAAACAAGAAAGCGAGTTCGCCCGTAAGTTATTCTTTTATTAGTGAACGAAACTCCAGAATTTAAGTCTCCGTTTTGCATCCATGCCAAATGATGCTATCAAGCTTTAAATGCCTTTAAAGAGGTTGAGAGAGGAAATAGTCGTTCATCTAATCAACAGCAAATGGTGCGCATGACAAAACCAATAAAATGATCGTAGTCAAACAGGACATACCATGATCAATTGTGGGGTCTATTTTGAGAACACAGGGCATGTCCAAGTAAACAATGATTCGTGAATGTCCACGTGAAACGTATGGCTAACAAGATTTGTTTTTAAAGCGACCCTGATGACTCAAGTTCCACCCAACACTGCATGACAACTCAAGCCCTGTCTCGATAAGATCACACCATAATTGGATGCACATTCAAACTTTGCAAGGGATTTGCCAAGAGTTCATATGCCGAAATCAATCTTCTTTTGAAAACTCGACTGACCTGCGGCAGGACCGCACCATAAAACTTCTGGGTCTCAATCTGAGTTGTACAACAAGTATGGATACTTTCAAAAGCAAGGACTTCCAACTTTCCACAGCAGTTGTTACTCGCTCTACATAAGGGAACCGGATTAGCTTTGACGGAGATTTCTCCTGGTGTAAGAAAGCTACCCAAAGGTGTGGCATCAAGGTCCACTAGTCGATAAGCCTGGTGCCGAGGGGCTCGCGAGTGATGACCGATTATGTTCTCGTAAAGTTCAACTCAAAAATATGATGGACTTGGGACTTTGAGCGCTAGTGAACGTGAACTGTTGAAGATAATGCGCACAAAAAAGTTGGCACTATATAACAATTTAAGAAGGACCACTCAAATTTGGACAGAACATGCCATGAACCCGTTGAACATTAATCATCGCCGGATGTCTAGCTGGGGGTTTACCGCATTTTCAAGCTCTACAGAGCAATTACTGTACAGAAATGTTTTGCCTCTGATCTATTTGAGGTTCAGTTGAGATGCGTATTCTCGCTAGAACTTCGCTTTTAACGAAGAATAGCTGCCCGGCCTTTTTGAATGGACGAACGAATTGGGCCAGGTTATCACAGATAAAATCTCCGAAGAGAAGAAAAATCGTACTTTTTGTTTGGTGAAAATACAACTGGTGGAGACATTGATCTTTTTTCAGGATTGCTCGCCTTGACGTTCAAGACGGTAAGCTCTATTAGCACTCAACTTGGGATATTTTAGCGCATTCAAGTCCAGTTGTCACAGGGAGAAATTTTACCTCTCTGCCCGCTGATCCGAAATCAAGTCAGTTTACGACTGTCCAAGATTTTCGACGTGAATAAAATCAATAAAAGCCCTTTGGAAAACCTGAACAATTGCGTTACAGGGCCAACCGTTATTACCTCATGTCAATTCGAGAGGCCAACGACTTGGGATCTGGGCAGTGCAATGTACGCTCCTTACGTGTCAACAAGTAAAATGGCAAGGTTGTTTGACAGTAGAAGAAAAGACTGATGTGTGGTGCCGAGCACTATAGCGCGTCGAGCTATCGAGAACTACACGGTACCTCACGAAGCAACATCAACGCGTGTGGTGGTAAAACATAAGAACTAAGATTGGCCTGCTTCTTACATGTCACTTGAGGAGCTAATTCACTGCTCAACAAGTCTTTGTGAGTACCAGAGCCAATCACTACAAACTCATCAACGACAGTCCAACGCATGACTTTTCTCCTTTTTAATGAGCATCTATGAAAATATGGTACTGTTTAACTAGCACATCGCAGGATGACTTGCTTTGTGATACTCAAGCCGTCAAGAGCCCTAGTTAGTAGCTCTCAAAAAGTATATAGCAAGTAGTAGTACTTCATACGACTAAATAATAATATTCCGCCTAAATATGACTCAGTCCCGTGACTCACTAAGATTGCTCTTTAACGGCTCATGCATGTTTCCTGTGGGCCTTTCTTCTCCGAGCTGTTCTAGCAGAACCCTGCCCACGTCATCCCAATGGACCCTATGCGCCGCATCCTTCGTCCTACGAAGTGTTCTTCGCTCGAGCAGAACGCCTTTACGCCTTGAGGTTCATTCGAAAAGAGGGACGTTTTACGCTGGGCATAAGTATAAATAGCAGACAAGCTGGCAATTCACACTTTAGGGCCCTGATCGTGTGTTCGAAAATTCACCAGAGGCCATAATATGTCCACTTCACAGCAGCAGCAAAACGAAAACCTGACAGCAGCCACCGACTTCATAAGTAGCCCCGCTGCTTGGTACTCGCGCACCGCGTTTCTAGCGTCGGTTCGAGTTGTCCAATTCGTGTCAACGATCACGGCGCTTGGTTTGCTAGCTACCCTCATCGACATTGGCGATGACCGTGGCTTCGAGCTCGCGGTCTCCGTAATTTCGTTCGTGTATTTGATCGTGATTGCTGCAGCACCACTGCCGCTCAATTTGTACTCTTTGATCGCGGTTTCTGTATTTGAAACTACCATCTTTTCACTGTGGGTCGCGGCAAGTGCCACCTTAGGCAACAGCTACAGTTACTATACCTGCACATTTAATGCACCTCAAGGCGATGGTGCTTATTACTACGGGTTTTGGGGGGACTACCTCGCCGAATTTTCAAAACAATGCAAGATAGGCAAGGCGTCGATAGCAATTGCAGCGTTCTCAGCGTTTCTCTCACTATGTGCATTTTTTCTACTGTGTGTGAACGTCTTGGTGCCCTTGAAAACAACTTCTGTTGGCGAAATGAATGCAGAGGGTACGCGCGCGTACCTGTCCCGCTTCACAGCGTTGGCAATTACACGCACACCGTTCTTGGCCGGAGACATCGAAAAAACCGGTCCCGTGGACGCTGAGGCTGCCGAACCTGCTGTTCCTGTAGACGCTGAGGCTGCCGAACCTGTTGTTCCTGTGAACGCCTAGGCACGCTCAACGTTTTGGTCTGGGTCAGAAATGTACAGCAGATCATTATGCAACCATTTCCCTTGAACCTGGACCCCGAGAAATACCTAATCGTTACAGTCTCAGATCCTCTTTGCAACGCATGTCAGGTTCGAACGCCCAAGAACTATTGACGTATCTTTTAGTACTTAATATAAACTGTTCATCTAAAAATCATACGTGAGAATCACAACGATATCCTTGTAGTTATGACTTCATAAGGAGAGATGCGATTACTATAGGTTGAAGTACGCGGATGTTTTGCCAGCTGCGACAGTTTTCAACTTGCCATTTTGATTATTTGAGTAAGGTGTGTAGGGCAATTATGGGGACACACGAGATGCGACAACATTTACTGATTTCCTGCCTTTATTCAAGCCGTACTTTAAATAAGATATCTGGAAATGTGACAGAAAAGAGGAAATATGCGGATACCTGCGACCATGGGTACATGATCGTGACAGCCAATAGGTCAACGCCTGTTTCTCAGAAGACCCGCTTGCTTGAATATCAATCAGTAAGTGTAATGAGCGATTCAAGCAGCAAAATGGTGCAGTAAGCACACAGAATAGTGCTGCAAGGATCACAGAGGGTGACAGCACACCCGGACCTCTTAAGCAGGATGTAGGTGCCAAGTGCACACCCTCCCCTGATCTTGTCAAATAGAATTTAGATGTGAGGAGCTCACTGGGAATGAGTACAAGGATCACACCGTCGAGGCGAGAGTAGATCACTGTTTACCGATGGAAATGGGACAGACACATCTTTTTCCGATATCTCTTCGTGTTTTGAGTGCAGATCATCGAATCTGCTGCGAATTTTAGAGAACGTTCAAGGAGTCCAGGGATTCAATAGGACGCTTGATCTTAAAAATGAAAAGAGTGACAAAATTCTGGTTGCATTCTCCCCAGATCCACCCAATGAGTTTGAGTAATGTTTGATCTTATAAATGCGCCAAATCCTTCCGTTTTCTGCACTAATCTCATATTTTTAAAAACGCCTGTATAGCCAAATCCTCAGCGGAGTGTCCGTCCACATAAACTTTCTCACTTTAGATACATTGGCAGTTTCTTTCCTCTCTATAAAATTCATGCAGCACTAGCGGGTTTCCAGGCAGGATTCATGAAAAACATTCGTTGCTCGACTATTGTGCCACTCAAAGAAGTATCTTCGCTCTCAAAAAAACTCAAGTTGAATTTTCACGGTTGTCAAGGAACTCTATTGATACTGCACACATCTCTTTTTATAGATTACAGCCGTCCTTTCATGCATAAAGGATCACAACAGAGAAATTGAATTATTCCCCCTTATAGAGAAACCCGAAGTCATCATTTTTAGACATAGAAATGCCTTCTAGAAAGTGGTAAGATTTAGATTTCAAATCATGAGATGAACTGTAAACCATACAATGAACTTATCGCGGTTGATTTTCTGGGAATTAAATATGGTTCTTGCTGTACACCTTTATCGAAGAAACGTTTTTGAACGTGTCCTATGAATTCAACTCCCTCATGCATTGGAAACTGCTGGCTAGTTAAAGATTCAAGAAGGTTCTGTAAGGTTAAGTAGTGTACTTAACACCATGAGAAGTCTCATTGACACTCAGCTGAAAGACATCCCCCCTCGAATAATGACCGACAACATCAAGTTCGTAGCGTGCTTGTACTATCAGGTCTGTATCGATTTCTGCCGTAAGCAATCCCTCTGTGCCTCGCAGAGGCCCAGCAATTATCTCACCAAAAGGGTTCACGATAACGCTACCTCCGTCAATGCAATTACCCTCACAGGAATCAAGACCAGGTAATTTTCTGCGCCCCGTTGTTTCGTCAACTACTTCCCCTAGACCCATGGCAGTTGCATCTTGCATTATTTGCACTGCACTCACAACAAACAATCGCCCCTCATAAGCAAGGTTTTGCATCACAACCGTCCATAAAGGCCTCTGGTCCACCGTGGGAGCGCACCAAACTTCGACTCCTTTGTCGTACATCGTTTGTCTCAGCAAGGGCATCATGTTTTCCCAACAAATTGCGCCACCAACTTTACCGACTTTAGTATCAACTACTGTCAACGTAGACCCATCGCCTTGTCCCCAGATTAAACGTTCGGTGGCTGTGGGAGTAAGCTTTCTGTGCTTTCCTACGTAACCGGCTTTTGGATCGATGTAGGCCATGGTACAGTACAAAGTCGATCCATCACGTTCAACACATCCGCAGCATATGAAAGCACCCGTATTCCTAGCAAGTTTGCACAACTTATTAATTTCTGGAAAACCGTCACCAGATCCAACCTCAATGGCTTGAGAAAAGTATTTGGCAAATTCCTTTCTGCCAGAATCTAAGCGATATCCCAGATATGTTCCGAAATTTGATCCTTTTGGATATCCACCCAATGTGGCCTCTGGTATGACCACTAGAGAGACATTCTTTTTCTTAATCTCCTCTTCATAAGATAAAATGTTGTCAAGTGTAGCTTGAGTGCCTCCCGGCAAAGTACCCACTTGCAATGCGGCGACAACCTTTTTGACCATGAGTTCGCGTAAGTCTTTGCTCGACTGAACCTGAATCTAAAGCTGTCAATACTAACTAGTCAGTAGCATCCTTCTTGTATATATAGGTCTTTTATGGCAACCAGAAAATCGTGATCGCATAGATTATGACTCAACTGATAGGAACTTTATAACTCCGATATATTTTTGATTAATCGTTCAAGGGCGCGAAAATTACACCGGACATAAGCCAGGGTCCTGATAAAGGACTTTGGGTTGATGCTGATGAACGGCTTGCTTATCTGTATTTTTTTTTCGTCTAAATCAAGTCAATAATCATGTTGTTGATGTGATTTTATTACATCATCGAGTGCCTGCGATAAACAAACCGCCGTGATTCAATTGAGTTTTCAGTCTGCCAACTGGTAATTAAAAGCGCAGTAGAGTCACTTTACGACTGGGATGAGAGCAATGTTGGTTATTTGAACTGCTATCAGCGAATTAACTTGCTCTGGCTTACTTCTGTTTGTTCGCAAATGCGCGATAGAAAGGCACATGATCGTTTAAGGTCACCACGAGCTACAATAAACCCAATTTTCTCATTGAATTTTATGATAACTTTACTATACCCAACTATTTATTCCATAAGAACTTGATGCGTCTCAGCATGTACGTAATGTATTTATTTAACGTGTTCTAAACGGCATCTCATGATTCCGCATCCGGCAAGGTGGAAGATCCAAATGCCTGAATGATCTCATGCGCAATTTCGGTTACGTGTGTTTCCAAAGCGAAATGCCCGGTATCGTAAAACCTCAAGGTTACATTTTTCAAATCTCTCTTATAGGCCTCAGCGCCAGCCACTGTGAAGATGACATCGTTTTTTCCCCAAACGATGAGCACTGGAATATCGCATGATCTAAAAAATTCTTGGAATTCAGTGTACATTGTCACATTGTTCTTGTAATCATAGAAAAGCTTGACTTGTATATCAGATTGATTTGGTCGCGCCATCAAAGCTATATCCAGGGTATAACCAGATGGATCAACAATCTCTGGATTAGAAACACCATCATAGTATTGGCATGTTATATTCTTTGAGTCTTTGACGAAGCTTTTCAACTGGTCTAAGAACAATGGATTTTGCTGATCAGACCTCCAATAGTCTTTCAAGGGACCCCAGAATCTATCATCCAAGCCCTCTTCATACGCGTTACCGTTCTGAATAATCAAACCCAAAACTGCCGAAGGATCTTTGAGAGCTAATCTCAATCCGACGGGACTCCCATAATCAAAAAGATAAACAATATATTTGGACAAACCGATGGATTTAACAAAATGAAAAATGGTCGTGGCTAAGTTATCGAAAGTATAAGTATAGTCTTCATCCACGGTCGTGAATCCAAATCCTGGGAGATCGGGAGAAACGACATGAAAGTGTGTTGCAATCAGAGGAATCAAATTTCGAAACATGTTGGAAGATGTGGGGTAGCCATGAAGCAAAAGAATTGTTGGTTTGTTGCGAGACCCAGCTTCGCGGTACCATACTTTTGCTCTTTCATTCACTTGAATTTTTCGGTATACTGGAGAAATGGGATTTTGCATTGTAAGTTGCAATGTAGTTGTGTGTCCAGAAGTTATTTTTTAAACGGGTGTCCAAACCTTTTCCCTTAATTCTTATACCTCTATTTTTTTTGAAATATGGGTGACTTGAAATTTTGGTCTCCTATCAAAATTCCAGGAAGTGCTAATATGACAGGTAGGGGTATCCTATCAACTTTGAAAAAAAAACACCACCAAATCAGAAGAGTATCAACTTCACCCGGATTAAAGAAGGAGAGATTTCAGGTGGTACTTCTCTTGCGTTGTTTACTAATCATCTTCTATTCAAATCTATCTTCCGGGATACTATAGCGTCAGTTGCATAATGAAAAACAATAATGTATTAGTACAAGTGATTTCGACAAGCATGATCGATCTACCTGTTTTCCGAAGTCTTTTCAAAGGCAATTGCAGGGCATTAAGCTGTGGTACCAATAGTAGACAATTTTGCGTTAACTGAGATAGCAGGAAGAACATATCTTATGCTACTTAGTGATCGCAGAAGTAAGATATAGAGAACTCCTCACATGTTTTAGAACAATTGGGATCAAACTAGTGTGAGGTTGTAAAAAACAATCTCACCGCAACACACCGAATGGATGAAAATCAACTATCTGCATGTTTGCTGCTGGGAGCAGTAGGGAACACATCCTATGGATAATGTGATGTGCACTATAATGAACTATTGAATCATCTATACTCTAAACCAATTGCTTTACCTAATGTTATTGTTGGGATTGGTGAACTATATGGTATAGTGCCAATTGCGTAATCCGAAAGTGACATATTAGTCTAAAATGACATCTTAAGCGCTAAGGTGAATTGGACCAATCGTAAAGATATGAAGCAACAATACGTCAACGCTATGCAGGGTCTGCAAGCAATCCAGAACGCTTATTAAGCATCCTTACTAATGGCTAGGGTCTAGAACATTACCTACTGCTCTCTATTGTTGCTCCAAAAATCATTTAAATATCCGTGGTTCGGTCAAACCAAATGTACCAAACGTAAAACCAAAAGAGCCACGGGGAGACAGGTAGAATCCATAACCGTAACCATTCATTTAGAGCAAATCATGACTGAGCAAACGAAGCAGATTAACAACTCGAACACTGCCGACGTAGTCGAGCCTCAATAGATTTACATTACTCTCAATTGCCGAAGAAAAAGTCACCGGTCGTAGGACCCATGCAGGATGCAGATCCACTGGAGATTTTGGTGCCTCATCTAAGACTCACAGTGGGAAAGATATAGCAAGATTGGGTCCTTTTCTTAACAGTTCATTGATCTTTCTTTGTTCATGAATTCTGACAAAACGGTTCTCCAAGTCCTGGCTCAAAGTTTGCTCGAGGAGAATAATGCCTATGTGTAGGTGTTGAATATCTTTAAGGCAGGGTGCATCTCGTCTTTAAATTAATTTGTTTCTTGGAGGCTGCTACAGGTAGGAATTCCACCTTTGAAACTCAACCGCGGCTTGTTTATGTTCGAAATTGCTCGAGAGTAGAAGATGGAGCTTTATTAGGTTGGCGTGTTAGCGACAAGAGCTTCGCACGAGTATGTTTTGCTCAGTACCTACCACCAAGGCATTGAGGGGTCCAGGCAAAGTCCAAGGTAGAAACGTCCTCAAACCTTTAATGCAGAATAGCGGAAAGTTTGATCAAAAATCTTGCAATGAGATACCTGTGCAGCATACGAACAGATAGCCACAGGACTTGTGCGGCCAGGAGCCTAAACCCATATTTAATCGCTGATTGANCAGGACTTGTGCGGCCAGGAGCCTAAACCCATATTTAATCGCTGATTGATAAGAAGGAATTCGATCATGGTTGTACAAGATCAAGCTTTTGACACTTGCCGACTACGCAAGAGACTAGGCCTAATTTTAACCGGTCTAGGACTAAAGTACGTTTTATGTCATGATTTATAACCGAACCTGGGTTTATCAAGATATCAAATGCTTAAATCTTTTTGTTCGGGCCTCATGCTGTGAAA